TAACACCTAGTTATAGCATAATTGCTTTAAAAATAACAATGCCCTAGTTTAGGCCTCTATTAATATATACTATAGTTAGATCTCTCTATATTAGGTACGCTATAAATAATACAATATTATAATCTACTACTTACTATACTTATGTACTATCTTAACGCTATAGTTACTTTCGAACTTCTTCTCTAGCTCTATGCTACTACTATGCTTTTAGTTAATTAAAAACAATGCGGCCCTACTAATAATATACTACTTATAATACTATAACGACTATCTAATTAATTGCTTTATACCTATATACGTACGTTCTAACCTAAAATTGCTATTAGGTAAATGCTCGTCCTTATGTTAGGGTCTAGGTTACCTAGATTAGTGTCTTAATCGTACTTTAATTAGGGTTCTATCTATAATTATCCGTTCCTAGTCCTAGCTATGTAAAATCGTAGCATAATTTAATGCTCTTATAAACGTATTAGTAACGAATCGGCTATCGTCGTCTTAGATAGTATTATAGTATACTACTCTCTCTTCTACTTTAGCTACTAACTTTACTTACATTATTATATAAACTCTTTCCTTCTATATACTTTAGCTAGCTAGTATTAGCTAGATTAGATCTACTAGCTTAACTATAAAATATACCTACTATGCTTACTACGCAAAAAATGTTTAGTATACTTAACTCTTATCCTATAACTAGTTAGGTAACTATATAGTCTTTTTATATACATTACTACTAGGTTTTTGCTTATTCTTCTATCTATAGATAGTCTTATAATGGTCCTAGATGCCTAGAATTAAACGGTATATATATCTATACTTATTACTAGTATATTAGGTTAAAACATAATAATATCTATTACGATATATAGGAAACCCTTCGACTAGTAGTAAATTTAGCTCTAGGTATATTACCTATTCTTTATCCTATATAACACTATTAATCTTTTTAGTAATATACTTAGCTACACCTTTCTAGCACTTTAGATCTATAGCCTTCTTATACTTATCCCTTAAATGTCTATATATATTTGCTAGGCTAATCGCGTATTAGTACTTAATGCACTATATAATCTTATACTTTACTCGTATAATAAACAACTATTAGAAATACTACTCTACTACGTTTTCGTCTATACTTATATTGTTATTACTATTACTTTGTCCCTATCTATATAGTTATAATAGGTATCGCTAATAATGTGTTTAATAGTATAGCGCATTACGCGCTTAGAATAGGACGCGTTTAGTAGGCTTAGGCTAACTTAACCCTATAACCTATAGGGTCGGGCTTATTCCCTATAGGCGTAACGCTATCTTAACCTCGTTCGCTAGGAACATTACTATTAGGACTAACTCTAGTCTACTATAAATATACTAAACTACTACTTAATTCTAATACCAAAATATTATTCAAAATTTTGTCTATAAACCATGATTTTTTTAGGGGCATTTAATACATTTAATATTAAAAAAACTAACCTACAACTTTTAGATAAATAGACCTCTTGCAGATTTTTCTTAGCATAACTTTATATAGGACTTTTAAATAAATAAACATTCTTTTTTTATAGAATAATAGGTAGGATATAGGTAGGTATAGAGGTTCTAGTAAGACGATAGAGTTAAGGCTTATAATAGGAAGATTAGTAAAAGGATAGAAGATAGAGTAGTAATTAGCTATAGAGGATATATTATAATATTTCTAAAGGTACCTAATAACTACCTATAGGTTAGGACTAACTACGTACTAGTATTAGAGATAGACGAGTACGTAGTTTTTGCTAAGATACTAGAATAGGCTTTATAGAGGTGTTATTAAGGACTATAGAAAACATATAGAATAGGCTTAGTCTAGCGACGTTATAGAAGAGTAATTAGCGTATAGGGAAGGGTAGTTAGTAAGGATAGCTAGGTTAATTTTAATATAGCTATTATCCTATTCTAGGGACGTTCCTAAACTTATAATATATTAGTTATAGTAAGGCGTATACGTATAGATATAATATAGTACCTAGAATAGGTACTACGTAATTAGGGTTAGACGCGTTCTATAAGCTAGTCTTATATATAATGTCCTTAATATTAAACGTATTACTCTTATTAGTATTATAAAGATTATTTAAGAGGATTATATTATTATTAAAGTTATAGCTAAATATATTAATAAGGAGTTAGGGCGCTTTATAGTAACTAGCGTTATTAGTTACTATTTTAGTATATAGGTGTTTTATATATATATTATAAAGGGTATTATAGATAGATAATGTTTTAATTAGAGTAGATATACTATTATATTAAGTAATATAATTATAGTATAATAGAGGGGGAGAGATATAGCGTTATAAAATAGAGTAGGTAATAAAGAGGAAGAGATAGGTGCATTTTAGCGTTATAAGATAAAGTAGGTAAGTTATATTTTAGCGTTATACTAAAAAAACTAGGGCTAGCCTATATGCTAGCATTAGACTAATTAGCGTACTATAATATAGGTACGCGACGCTAAATAGTAATAGAATTATGTGCCTAGTACTATCTACGTAAGTATATAGGTCTCTATAATGTCCTAGAGATAGTAAGAGATAATATTAGATTCGAACTTAATAGGTACGCTAATAGAGATTAGGGCTAAGCTATTACCTATAGTTATATATAGTAATAAGGAGTTAAAGGTAGTAGTAGATATTTAGCTACTTAGGATATTATAATTAAAGATTATATAATTAAAGATCTTATATAAGGTTTTAGGCTAATAGTATAAGACTATAGTAATAATATTAGAATAATTTTAAAGCGTTATAAGAAGAGTAAAAGTTATCCTATCTTTATACCTAGCTTAGAAGATATAAGTAAAAGAGAGGTTACTATATTATTAAGTTAGACCTCTATTATATAAGGCGTTAGTTATAAAATTTATATAGCCTACCTTTCTAAAGTTAGTAGAAGTACTAGAGTTAATAGCTAGGCTAATAGCTTTACCTCTAAACCCTATATAATACATTAGTTTAGTAGAGTTAAAGATAGTAGAAGGGAAGTACTTATAATTATACTAGTAGTTATAATCGCTATATATAAGAGTAACCTTAATACTATAATTAAGTAATTATCTAAGAATCGTAAGATTGTCGCCTTTCAAAAAGTTGCCTATAGCTTTAAACTTACTAGTAATAGTAGTAGAAAAGCTAGTAAAGTTAAGAGGTACACTAAGATCTTCCTATATAGTTACGTTATTAAGGTACCTAGCTACCTATTATAGGGGAAACGAATAAATAAGTAGTAAAGTAATATTAAAGTAGAAAGCCTAGTTATAAAAAGCTATACTAATAAGGTATCCTAATTATACCTCCTAAGGTTTTATAATACTTACATTATAATCTTAAAGACCTTAAAGCCTAGTCTCCCTTACGACATAGTTAAAGTAGTAGCTATATACTTTACTATAAGCGCTATTAACCTCTATATTACTTTCTAAGCTTTATAAAGAATCTAGTAAGGTAGCTAGCTCTCTATATTACCTAGTATAGTTTAGACATTATAGTAAAGCTACTATAGACGTAGTATAGGCTATATTATTAAAGATCTTAATACTATAGGTATTATTTATAGCTATAATAGGATATATAGGTATTTAAGTCTTAGCGTTAATATAAGCATTAATTAGACTAATTAAGTTAATAGTAAGAGTAGTTCTATTTAATTCTCTAGCTTTAATATATACGTTCTATAAGTAGAAGTAATTAGTAAAAGTAGGAACCTAGTAACCTCTATAAGACTCTCCCTAGATACTAAACTTATCTTTATTACCTTAGTATCTAGGGAAGCTACTATCTTAGTTAATAAAGATTATTATATTAAAGATAAAATGTACTTACTCCTATAGCTAGGTCTATATAAATCTCTATATTACTAGAGCGATAGCGTTAGAGCTATTTAGCGCTAACCTAGGATTCTATAATAAGAAGACACTAGTAAGGGTAGTCTTATTCGTAATCTAACTAGTACTAGGGAAGATAGTAAAAGGAGATAGTACCTTATTTATAATACCCTAAATTAAAGTATTATATAAGAAACTAGTCTAGATAGGCTAGTTAATATATAGTATATTAACTCTATTATTCTAAGACTAAGGATTATTCGCTAATTCTCTCGAGTTATTAAGTAGTACGTAAGGACTATTCTCGTTAATAGTAGAAACTAAAGTAGGGGCGCTAGGACTGCCTTAAAGCTAAAGTAAAAGAGGGGCATTTACTAGATTATTTCGAGCCTTAAAGAACTAAAACTAAGTATATACCTTATAGTTCTAGCCTTCCTAAGGTATAGGTAGAAGGTTAACGTATCTACTCTATCCTCTTACGCCTTTATTAGTCTTATATATTATAGTCTCCTTAAAAGAGATAGATACGCCTAGAAAGATAGTAGAGTTAATGTAGGTTAATCCTTATAGTATTAGAGGAGCTTACGTAAGATAATTAATAGCAAGAAGGGATATAGTAGTAACTAGACTAAGGAAATAGGTAGTGTTATATATTATAATGATTCTAATTATTTAGGTATTAAGTAGTCGCGAGATAAAGACGAAAGAAGCTTAACATATTTAAGCCTCTAAGATATAAATTTCTACTATTCTTATTACTAGCTAGGATGCTATCCTTATAGTCTTTATATAACTAGTCTAAACTTACTAAGGTGTCAATTTATGTAGGCAGTAAGATATAGAATATAAGGTAGTACTATTAAGTTTAGAAGGATTATAATCTTTAAAGGATAAAGATTACTAAGAAAGTAAGAGCTAAGCTATTAGTCTTAGTAAGAGCTAAACTATTCTACTTAGATTCGATAATTATTAGCTACTCGAAACTTCCTATTATAAAGAAGTAAGGTAGAATCCCCTCTTAATAATAATAGATTACTAGTTTAGGATTACGTATTAATGGCTCCTTCTTTATGCTAACCGACATAAGTTATAGCTAGCTAATAAAAGAAGGATCTAAATTTAGTAACTACATCCCTATATCCTCTTATATGCACCCCGCTATACCGATATACATGCTAAAAGTAACTACTAATTATTAGACTTTAAACATGCGGAACGCTTTTCTTCGGTCATTACATTAGAAGGCCTTAGGCCACCATTGCAAGGAGGAGTCTGTTTGAAAGATGTTGTTTTCGGGTCTCGATCCGTGTCATCTTTGTAGTCATTGCCAATGGTGATCACGAGATGCGGTCTTGGACTTCACCCCCATTGCGACAAAAGCAGGAGGATCTGACCGGTACATCTGCCTTTGCGACAGCCTTCGCCAATTGAGGTTCAACCTCAGCAGCTTCCTTGACACAGCCCAATTTGACAAGAGATTCATGATATCCATGCAGAGACCAGACATTGTTCGGATGCTGTAATGCTCGCGGAAGAGTGTCGTCAAAACCAAGATCAGCTTTGAAGACCTTTTCAGCACGAGCGATATGTCCTTGCTCAAGTAGCAATGCTCCTAGAGCATGTCTGGTTGGTTGCATCCATCCCCACGGCTCATCGTAAGGCAGATTGTCGTCGAGTTTGACTGCTCTTTCCAGATGCTCGAAAGCCAGGTCAAAATTGCAATCACGATACTCGACTTCCCCAACGAGCATCGTCTTTGCAACTTGCAGAATGTCGATGCAGCGGTTGTTGAACAGCATACGTGATGAAGGCACATTATCTAGCGCACTTTCGAACTTGATCATCTCAGCTCTAGCGTCCTGGACTTGCCCGGTGGCAGCAAAGGCAATTCCTCTTCCATATCGTATGAAAGCTGTCGTAACACAGTAAAGCTTATCGTCTGCTGGGAGCTCAAGGGCAAGAAGCTCTTCCCACGAGCCGAAGCGAATAAGAACGTGCACTCGCACAGACAAGAAGCCTTCAAGCCAGTCTGCCATCGGAGGCGAAGGTACTCGGAGCAGATCTGCAGGCAGAGATGCTTCAAGACCTGCCACACTCTCGAGTGCGGTCTTGGACTGACCAGCGAACATTGCGGCGTAGATGCGGAAATGATAATCATGCGATCGGTAGAGAGTGTAGAAACTGACTGGTCCGGCATGACTCAAGAACTTCTCATCTGCTTTGATGGCTTCGAGGTTCCAAGCAGCGGCAGATTCGTAATCACCGCAAAGAATGTCTAGGTGAGTGGGCATATGATGCAAATGGCCAGCATCCGGTACCAGACCTCGAAGAAGATTGGCTTTCGGTAAAGCTGCTTCAGGATTGCTCGACATTTCCATCAGATGGATGTACATGTGCAAAAGTCCAGCGTGCTTGTCTGAGCCGGATTGTTTCAGGGCGCGTTCTATGACACTCTTTGCTTCCAAGGTATGTGCGTCAGCAGCAGGCTCGCCACTCTTCAAGTCCCACAGGCCCCAGGGAGTGACATTCATAAGAGCATCTGCGAAAAGGGTTGCGACATCGAGATCATCGCAAAACTCTTCGTAGACGTTTCTCATGGCGTCCGCATATGACTGATTCCAAGACTTGAAGTCGTTCTGGTTGTACTTGCGAGAGAGATCCGAAGGATAGCGAGACTGTAGCGCCTCGATCAGAGCCTGCTCGAGCGGCGAAGCAGATTTGCCTCGCTGCTTTGCTTCAACAGCAGCATCGTCTGCTTTCTTGACAGTTCTGACAAAGTCGTCCTCGTCGAAGAACTCCCAAGGTTTGTTGTAATTCGGGCCAGAAGCATACGCGAGACCCCAATACGCCAACGCGCAATTCGGGTCTGCTTTGATAGCTTGGTTGAAACACTCGATAGCTTCCTCGTGATTGAAAGCATACGTCCAGATCAGACCACGATCGAACCATACTTGAGAAATCTGGCTTGTCGTCGTCACGGGCTTATGATAGGTGCCCAGATTGTAGGGATATGCATCCGTCAACATTGTACTGATCAGTAGTGCCGACAAGCTCAATGGCTTGTATCGAGAGGTCTGGCAATGAGCGGTGACGATTGAGCGAAAGCGAGAAGCAAGTCGATGGCGGTAGCAGAAAAGATAGAGAAGTGATAGCCGATACGAGATGGTGGCCGACACGAGCTCACAGCCGACAGATAGCGAACGCTTGGCCGAGGCTATTTGGCGAAGCCGATGAGGGCCTCATTTTTCAAAGATGCATAACATAGCAACGCTCTATTACGCTAGGCAGGATCCGATCTGTCTTCCAAATATTGTATAGAGTGAGTGCCGCGTGATGTGGTGGACGAGAAGAAAGAGACTGGTAGCGGAAAAGGGTGCGGAGGTGGTAGCCGACAGATAGCCGACGCTGGGTGAAGCCTGTTACTGCCATCGCTTGAGGATTGTACTGCACAACAATTGGGATATCATCTCTCGGAAGAGCAGGAAAGTTTGTCCTAGCGTCGATCGAGGAAGCTCTAGAGGAAGCTCATGCAAGAGTGTTAAAATATTTGATGTGTCTTTACCAAGACTGAAAGTTGCCAGCTTGACTCCGATAAAATGGTCGAGAAGAACGGCAGACGCTTGGATGAACACTGCCAACAGTCACCAGAGCTGCCATGGCATTCCAAATGATTGAAACAGAAGGAAAATGTCCAAGTTATCATGTCACAGACTCGGGTGCTTGTCAGAACAAAGATTGGTGGAGAGACTAAAGATCAAACCATGTCAAAACCAGGTCAAAGTCCTCACCCTGTCTGAGGCTTCCGAGACGCCGAAAGTCCAAAGCGTCGGCAGCGCCATTTCGCCTTCACCAACTTTCACTCCCAAACACGTCTCGACATATCGCAATCATGTCAACATTCGGCGGTCCCGGCGGTCGCCAAGTCATCGCAAAGCCCACACCGTACGTCTTCAAGCCATGCGCCATCGTCTTCGCCTCCGCTGACAGCGCAACAGACCCGAGCGCGGATCCTTCCCTCTTGACCACGATGCCGAGTGTCAACACATCATGAAGTCATACCTCCGCTGTTTGCGCGCCCATCGCGGAATGAACGACGACGAATGCCGCATGCTGAGCAAGAGCTATCTACAATGCCGAATGGACAACAACCTGATGGCGCCCGACGAGATGAAGAATCTTGGTTACGACAACACTCCCGAAGCACTCGCCGCAAGTGCTGCCGCTGCTGCTGGTCAGTCAAAGATGGATGATGCTACAAAGAAGGGCCCAGAGCGAGGGCAGAAGTAAGAGAAGGCAAGATCACCTCAAGGCGGCGGCGGCTTGTAAGAGTAGGAAGAACAACACGGATACCCAGGGCTGCAATGCGCATAACACAACAAAGAAGAGAAGAGACGGAAGACTGTTCATACGCTACACTCAATACTATTGATTCACAATCACAGCTTGTCCTTCAGTCCGTCCCAGAGTCCTTGCAAAAAGACCGAAGCCGCATACGCTCCGGGATCTCTCGGTACATCCTTCTCGCTGATCTTGTCGCCAACGTACGTCGCCCTACCGTAGACTGCAGGCATACCCTCAGTCTTGTCCGCACCCTTGACCGCTTCCGTCACTGCCGCCTTCAAATCGCCCTGTTCCGACAAAGTCTCGCAAAAGGGGATCAGTGTATCCATGACTGTTCGCCCGCCCACACGCGCCGGTGTGTACGTCTGCAAGTTCTTCAGCGCTTGTCCAGCACTACGTCCAGCAACATGCTCGTCGAACTTGAGAGAAGAGTTGGCTCGATACGTATTCTTGAGGTCTGAAGTCCAAGAAGCGAGCAGGATGCTGATAATGGCACCGAGGGTTCCTCCAATCTCCTCAATACCGCTTTCGATCTCGTCCAGAATTGGCAACAACGCGCCGTTGTGTCGCGAGACCAAACCCGACGAGAGTTGTGAGAGGACGCCCTTGCACATGCCCTCGACTGCTTCTCCGCAATCGCCGTCGCCCATGACGATGTCCCATTTTGTAATGTCGGGCTCGGCTGCCACTGCTGCTTCGCATGCACTTCTGAGTGCTCCTTCGAGAGTGGCTACATCAAGCTTGGGTCCGGAAGAAACGGTCTCGTGGTGTGCAAGCGAAGCTCGTGTCTGTGTCGGGCTGTCAACTCTAACTTGACCGTACGAGTCCTTCGGCCAAGCAGGTGCATTCGTGTCTCTGTCCAGCAACGCATACAATGTGTCTTCCTCCATCTTCGTTTCTCTGGCCACGCCGCTGATGTTCAGCAATGAGATGCTGAAGCCTGGAGCATTGAGCGATGTCTCGAATGGTTGTGCATACACTCTGCTTGGCGATATGTTCCAGTCGGACTTGAGGTGGCTGATTGTCAATGATGTCAAGGCTTCGAGTTCAAGATTGGACAGGCCGCCGAAGTTGTTGATGAGCAGGGCTACCTCGTCCTCTGGTGTGAACTTGACGAAGGCGCGATCTTTGTCGTTCTCGTCCAGCAGGTAGCGTAACAATTCCTGGATCAGCTCGTCGGGTGGAGGGATTTCCTTCTCGTGAAGGCCCTGACTTTGCATCAGCATCAATCTTTGAACAAGTCATGATCGACTCACCGCTTCATTGTGAATGCCTTGAGCGACAGAAAGTGTGTTTGCAGGTAGAGATTCGTGATGCGTGCGTCCAGGGATATGACAATAATCCAACGACGACCCAATAGTAACACAATGCCCATTCACACTCTCGCCAATCGCGAAGCAAGTATCAAAATCATAGTCCTCTTCTGCAGCAGCACCGCAGAGTTTCAGGACTGCATTCACACACTTCATATCAGCATCCAGTTCTCATATCATTTTCTTTCTGTCGAAGAAGATAGGCGGACTTACCAAACATATTCCCGGCCAATCCTCTCCTACCCAGTTTTCTCGTCTTTTCCCTTCCTAATCCAACATCATCCGTCATCCTCAACATACCCACTTTCCTGCCTGAACCCGCCACCTTCTCCCGCGCTAAACCAAAGTGCAGATTGTCTCCCGTGTAATTCGTTATACACAGAATAACACCCTTGTCACTCGGCACCTTTTCCACAGCAGCCATGATCTGTTTCGTGCTCGGTGAAGCAAAGACCTCGCCAGAGACTGCGGCGGAAAGCAGGCCAGAACCTACATAGCCGCACCATGCTGGTTCGTGACCTGCGCCGCCGCCGGATATCACAGAGACCTTTTGGGAAGAGTGGGAGGGTAGAAAGACGACTTTGTTCGCGGGATCGAGGGAGAGGTGTGGGTTTTTGGCTACGAGGGATTCGAGACCGCGGACGACGAGGTGGTCTGTGGAAGGAAAAAAGTGTTTCGTTGCCATTGTTGTTTCTGTATGTCTCGATTGCAGGATATTATTCGCAGAAGTGGTGGGATGATGAGTAGAAGGCAGAAAGTGAAGAAGAAAAGAATGGTCACCTGCTTACGTAGCTAGACCTCACCTTTTTGTAGCTTCTGACACGAAGCCTTTGATCCTTTTGCCTGTTTCAGTGTCCGGAAGGTACAGAGGGGAAGACATCAGAAAGTGAGCATCGGGAGAGAAGAGCGGGGTGCATGGTGGGGATTGCGGGGTGCTGGGATTGCCGAATTGGGCAATCCGAGCGGTTGAATGCTCCACGAAGTGACATGACTTCGACATGATGGGCAGGACAGCATCGTGTGACTCAGGGTAGACACAGAGTCAGCCTTGCGGTGTAAAAGAGAAGAGCAGTGGGTACTACCAACGAGGGCTCTCAAATCGTGAATCATAAACAGCCTTCGTATGTAAAGATACAACACATAGACAGCAAAGTCAAGAAGGAGCGGCCAGATGAACGGCATCGATGTGAGCCCTGACCTTCGTCTCGAACAAGTCCTTTTCCTGAGAAGCCTGGGCATTACTCCACTCCAAACAACCAATCTCAAAGCGCACTGTTTTATCCAACTTGCTCAACGACTCCAAGACGGGCAACTTCTCTTCCACATCTGTGTCAGTAACAGTGTCGACCCAACTCACCTGGACGACTTTCAGTTGCTTGGCTGTAGCCAGAATCTCGCAGGCTCTCGTCGCTCTTTTCTTGATCTCGTCGCAATATGTCCTCTGCTTGAGACTTGGATAACTCTTGAGCAGACTTCCGTCGAACCAAAAGACCAATTCCACCTTTTGCAAGCGCCTCAGTAGTCTTGAGCTAGCGAGATTTGACAAGGTGGGATCGATGCGGTAGAAGTTGAAGGCGTGTGAGGCGATGAGTTTCCAGCTCGCGAGGGAGTGATAATAGTCTTGAACTTCCGAGTTTATAGCATGCGAGCTGAGGAGGAAAGAAATTGGCGGTGGGCGGTGGGATACACAGGTAATGCCGACGGTAGGAATGGGGTTCGAGATTGGCGACGGCGGACATAGGTATGAGTAAATCTGTTGACGGAGCTCGAGTGGGAGTTGGAGCAGTTTGGGAAGGTTGCTAATGTCCATGTCGATGCTTAAGGAACCTATGATGGGTCGTTCGTGGTGTTCAGGTATGCGATCGAGTCTTGGAGGCGGAGGAGCTGCGGCGGGATTCGAATGCTATATCGAAGCTGGAGAGATCGGCTGGTGAGTGTGATCTGCGGAAGTGAGGTCGAGATAGTCTTCGAGAAACATACGAAGCGAGGAAGAAAGTATCGTAGGAAATGCTAGAGAGAGGAGTCGACTGAAATCAGATGCTCGACAAGGTCAAGAGCGGCTCGAGAAATGGACCATCATGACGTTGGAGGAAAACGCGGGGAAACCGATACCAGGATGGGCAGTCACAACAATCGCCCGACTGCCGCAACATCTACGTCCTTACCTTGACACGTTTTGGATCCTATCTTGGCTTTCGCTCGTATACCAGCGTGGCTGAGAGTGGGCAGATGTACAAGACGCTATCGAGCAGATATTGTGGAAAGAGTCTTTGAGAAGAAAACGAGTGACGGAGGTGAAGATGCGGGAGAGACCGAGAAGCGGCGGTCTGTGCTCACAAAGCTTGGGTTGACCGTTGCCGGTCGCGTCGCGAAAACAAATGAACGACACGCGAAAGTCAAGCGGCGCAGTGTTTTGGATGACGCCCGACTTTCTCATTCTCTTTCTCATCTGCAACATGTGCATGCCATGTCAATTCTTAACGATACCGTCTATTCTTCGCGTATGAAATCCGACATCTCTACCACCGCTCTCGTCAACACCCTCGCCGGCAATCTTCTTTCCAGGAAGCGCAAGCGCGACATCCCCGACCCTCGGCCATCAGCGCCATCTCAGTCGACGAAGCTTCCACCAAGAGCCGCCAATCCCTTGCAAAAGTCCTTCTCCGAGAGTTGCCTGCCACCTCTTGCCCATTCATCTCTTCCGACAGCAAACCCCCGAACATCCCTACCTCAAGCCTTTATCGTCAGAGTATGTCTTGCTGGCTAGCTAATGTTTGTTCGACTTGCTGAACACGCCGCAGTCTGTCGACAATGACAAGCCGCTATCCTTCCGCATTCTTTCCACCCTCCCTCGCGCTGCTCTACCCTTGAGCTACATCGACAACTCCGAATCTCCTCCACGCCTCTTCTCCGCCCGTCTCCCACAACTCAATCATGACGCTCCGTCCGGTCCCCTTGTCCTCATCGCGCGTCAAGAAGCACAACCAACCCGTGCTCTGTATGCAGTAGAAAGAGTCGGAGAGAAGAGATACGCACTGTGCAAGTTGGCTGCATGGCTGAGTCCAACCGACCTGAACGACCTCGCATCGGCCACACCCAAGCCAACACCATCGCCGACAGACACGCCAGTCCACACGTCACACGCGTCTTGGTGGCAGGCTTTCTCACTCGACATACCACTGACTCAACCACCGACTTCACGCAAAGCTCCACGCTTGTTGCTCTGCCGACTCGATTCGCAAACTGTTCGGAAACCACCCTTGCCAGAGCCGGACCTCGTACCGCTAGCCGTCGACCAGCCTCTTGTCGCAGAAGAAGCATGCGGGACTGTGGACGACCTGCTCAGCCGCTTCATCTCGCAGTACCTGGACACGCTTTACCTCTCCAAGACGCCTCTCGCATTCTTCACAAAAGGTCCACTGTCACGCTTGCGGGCCGCCTTCGTTGCCGCCCAGATCGATGGCGCAACCCTTCCTGACCTCGTCACCTTCTTGCGCAACCTGATCCACTCTTCCTCGACATCCGACAAGAAGTACCGCGATAAGCTGCCCGAGCTTCTAAAGGACTTGCCTTCGCAACATGATCAAGACCACACGCCCAATGCCGCCAAGAAGAAGAAACGCAAGAGAAAGCTGAAGCCCGACAAGTCTGGTCTGCTTCCAGAAGAGGCAGATTCCTTTGCCAAATGGTGGTACCAGGACGACGCTTCCACACCTTCGAACGAGACGGCCGAGCAGTCGCTCAAAAGAAGGGCACCACAACTCCGCACGCGTGAGGCATTCATGCAGGTCGTCCTGCTGCTGGAGATTCTGAGTCTGGAGGCTCTTCCCGAGTTCAAGACACTGCAAGAGAAGGAATCACAAACGAAGAGCAAGAAGGGTGACTCCACCATGCTGAGCTTGGAATTGCTGGTCGACAAACTCTGTATCTGGCATTCCCTTCATACTGCCGACCTGCTTGGCGATGCTCCGAAACCCAAGAATTCAGCCAAGGACGGCGCCAATCAACTGCACAGCTTCTGTGTTGAGGTCATCATCCCCTTCTACATGTCTCGTACGCACGAACATGCCACTTTTGTCAACAAGAAGCTGGGAGGACCAGGCACTTCCACCACATCCAGGCCCAAGCACAGTCGCAAGCCCTCCGAGGCCGACATCAAGACAACATCCGACAAGAAACCTCGTCGCTCCCTTGCTCGTGTCGCCACCGAAAGCTTCCCTCAGCCCGCTAAAACACCTCGCTCGTTCAGTCGATCAGCCACCGATTCGCAAGTCGTCCCAATAAAGCGCGAGACTCCCGACATCTCCTTGTCCTCGGTTCCAGTTCGACGCGACAGTCAGCCAGCTCTGGCCCGCAAGAACGAGGTATTGGAAAAGCATCGCTTGCGTCAACGAGAAGTCGACTTTGGTGCAATCGCTGCTGCGAACGAAGCAAAAGCAAAGAAGCGACAAGAGGTTGAGCAAAAGCTCAAGGATGCTATCTCCACCTTGAAGAGGCCGAGCCGTGCTACCGTTTCTGGCGAATTCGTGGATGCCCTCGAACAACGCAAGCGCATGGCCGAAGGAAGAGCAAGACCGCCACTGTCCAAGCGTACAAGCTCGACCGCTCAAGTCGCTGCAACTCCGAAGAATGGCCACAAGACCTCTGCTATTACTGCAACGCCACATCACATACCGGGCCCGTCGTTCGTTCGCCCCTCTGTGCCCTCCTCAGGTCCTTCTTTGATACCCTCCTCCAACATCAAGCAGCAGTCTTTGTCCTTTGCGCATTTCTCTCCTGTCAATGAGGCGTCGGATGATGAGGACGCCATCCCTGCCACCGACAGTCGACCACGGCACAAGAACGCACTTGCGGAGACTCCTTCGAAACCACGCGTTGGGTTTGCATCGCTACCAGGAGCTTCGCCCGATGAGGAAGAACGACTACCTTACCTTGGTCAAGACAGAGGAGATTCTTCGCCCTTGCGGGAAAGTCCGACCCTGTTGAAGACGCCGTCGAAGCCACAACGACCCAGGTTCAGCATCACCCCGAGCAAGCCAACACCGCCTTTGAACTTCGGGAAGGGCAGAGCCAAGGAGATTGTTGCAGCAACTCCGCAGAAAGTGCCTGCTTCGGCCATGTTGAAGCACCACCTTGGGAGCCTTCCAGGACCGACTGAACAGCGCACAGTCGAGGAACCTGTAGCGAAGGATCAATCAGATGATATCTATGCAGCTCTTGGGTGGGATGATGACCTCGATGATGACTAGCTTATGTATAAATGCCTTATGAATATTAATGTCGTTCAATCACATTGCGACTTGCACATGCTTGACTGTCGATCATGCTTGGCCTTCTCGGAGTCGCCGATGCGATACGAACCCCACCAACGGTCATACAAGAGACCCAGCTTCTCCTACATCCTTTGTCGCCTTCTTTGCACCTGTATAGATTAGCATGGCGGTCCAAGGATGCTTGGCGCTCCTTCCCGAAGTCCCCGTCTGGTTTCAGGATGACCTGAGGCTCACCTTGCCGACCGAGTCAGACCATATACCGATCATGGTCTCCTCTGTCGTGCGAAGTCAGCTGTATTACCTTCTCTGTCGTTTTCCGCAAACATCCCTCATCGGACTCAACATCACACTTGTCGCTCTTCCTACCTTCCGATAAGAAAACCATTCTGAAGCGTGACTCATCAGTTGCTATCACAGCCCATCATGAGTAGACCTCCATTACCGCCCCGACGAAACCTCTCCTCTCAGTCAGGATCCGATCAAGCACCCCCACTGCCACCTCGAAAGCCATCCCATGGTTCTGCCCACAATGCCTCTCATTCCAGCCACGTAGACCCGCTGCAAGACCTTGGTCGGAAGTTCAAGGATCTATTTACAAATAATGATTCAGCGTCACGAGAAGGCACACGAAATACGTGTGGACATCTCCCAGAGCAGACCAGTCCTAGAAAACCCCCACCGTACAAGACTTACTCAGGAGTCGAACATCCCCCTCATCTGGCTCCCTCATCAAGCGGTAACTTCTTCACAACATCGTCGCCGCCATCTTGTCTCCCTGCAGATCAGAAGAGAAACTACTATGTAGGCAGGGGCTGTCCAAGTGGTGAGGATTTGCTCCATGACGCATTCTGGTTCAGACATATCGACGCCCCCGGGTTTTCCGTTTGTAGTAGGTGCTTCGAATTTCACATCCGCGATAGCATCTTCGAGCTGGACTTTTCTGGGAAACTAGAGCCAGGTCTGACAGATAGCGCTCGCTGCATGTTTGGTGTCACACGCATAACCGACCAACTCTGGCCAGGAGCCATCTCCACGCAGGATCTTCAAACAGCGAAGAGCTATATGGAGGCCAGAGCAAAGATGCCCAATTGCCGTGGTATGGCAGGTGTTTCCGGAGCAGCTTTGGTGGGGATGAAATGGTATCAAGCAAAAAATGATGCTATCCCTGGATTTGTCGCGTGCGAGGCTTGCTACAATGCATTCATCGTTTGCTCGAACTTCGAAAGACGATTCAATCTTCACGACCATATACCGACGCAGGACCAGACCTGGGCTTGTGATATCGCAGTCCCATACCTGATGAGAGCATTTGCTGAATACTCAAAAGTTGACGATTGGTCCAAGTTTGTTGCTGCAGCGAATTCTCGCTTGAGCAAGCCGCCTTGCGCAGGATTTAACACGGTCAGCTCGAACAGCCGGGAATGGTACGGATTAACTTCTGGAAAAGTTGGCCTCGTGCTGTGCGAAACATGTAACTTGGACTTGATGGCCTTAACTGCGTTCGACAAGGCATACAAACCGAAGCTACTCCCAAAAGAAAGCAAGGAAACACAACTCATCTGCGATCTTGCAATTCCTGCATTGAAAGTGGCATACGGAGCAGCACTAGGATATGAGAGACACGACATCTTCTGGAATACCTGTAAAGTGCAGATGAAGACGCCTCTGTGTAAGGCCGCCGGCATGACCGATGTACAATGGTACACTCTCAAAGGAGGCTGCGACAACTTTGACATCTGCCCAACATGCTATAGCGGCTTTGTCTGTGCTTTCGGGATGCAACCATACTTCCAGCCTCAGAAGACTTGTCCTAAGGGCACGATCAAGATGTGCGACTTCTGTGCAGCAGCTCCAAACTTTGCAAAGACAGTTTTGCGCTATGATATTGCGCTTGAGACACCAGATAGGGAGCAGTTTCTGTCCCACGCCAGACAAATGTCTTCTGTATCACCATGCATGGGAGTGAAGCAGCAAGTCGCTCAGTTCTGGCGTATAGGTCTGAGAGGCGACCCCATGAGTGTATGTCCAGCCTGCTACGAAGATGTTCTACGTGACCAACCACTATCCCACTACTTCAACCATGAGACCACTCCAAGCAAGCATCTCTGCGAGCTATACTCTGCAAACATGCGTACACGCTGGCGAGCTGTCCAGAACGCAGCCGCTGCACAAAGCTCAAGAGATGCGAATGGCAACTACCTCCCCGACGAAACCGCTCTTGCAAACTTCATATCCTACCGCGAACACCGCACCCAAGTCTTCATCGAAACAGTCCCAGTGATGGAACAACTCCTCGCTGCAGCGCAAATGCGCCTCTTCCAGCAGCAGAGATTGAATGCGAACAGCACTTTCTACAATAATTTGAATATGAGTGCTGCTGCTGCGAATGGTATACATTATGGACCGACTCCTACGTATAAGACAACGTATGGAAATTCGAGTGTTGGGTACGGGTATGCTACACCTTGGGGTGTTGAGGGTGCTGCGTATGCACAGCAGGCTCGGAACGTCGCGAGTCAAGGAGGAGGAGATTTTGCGAGAGTTGCATATCTTGAGGCGAGATGGAAAGAGGTTGAGTGAGAATGTTCGTCTCTGGTCCAGCACTAGAGTGTCACTGCTTTCAAACATCCTCAGGGTGAAAGGTTGTCTCAGCGTTGATCCTAGCAAAGACGTTTTAGACACAATTCAAGACATGAACATTGCATCGAGTGTTCTTGCGTGGCTGAATTGGGTTGTCTTTCATCTTGCGTTCCAACTTGCGCTGTCTCTGTTGTGCTTTGTTCGCAAGAGTGCGATTACATCGACAAAAGTCGCCTCGCCGCTACTGTTTTCTCCAACAGACACAACCACCATCGCAGCCCAGATTCCAATCTCAGTCCTAGGATATTTACAAGACTACAACATTTACCCCATCGCAGACTGAGCAAAATGCACGCAATTCCCATGAGCTCCGACAACAGCGAGTCTGAAAATCAGGAGCTCGCTCGAAGTTTGCAATCCTCGCCCAGCAATACAGCATCCGTGCCTAGCAAGCAAAATGGTCGCTCCCTTGCCACAACGCACTCCGCCCTACTTGACGGACTTGAATTGTCACTTTCCATCATCAGTATTGGCTTTATCTGTCTTTTCCTCTTGATCCTTAACACCTGCCTCTACCTCAAACGCCTACCTTTCGAACCCTTGTTCTCTCTTGTCTGCACCATCTTGTACTTCCTATTCGTCACCATCAAGACAGTCTTCAAGGTCCTGAGTATCGTCTCGAAGATCTTGATTTGCTCACTGCAGATTTTGAGACGTATTCTTCCATTTTTGATTACAACCTTCATCGCATACGTGGCTACCTCTGTATTCGTGTTTGTACGGGATTTCAAGGATGATTTGCATACATTCAACACAGAGTATGGTCGCATGCATTAAGGTTGATATCATAGAGGAATTGCACGGCTGGGCCAGCGTCATGCAGCAGACTGTCAATCGTTCTGTACGGTCTAGCTCTTGTCCAGTCGCGTCGCAGTGTCGCGTTCATAGGGTAGTGTGTGTACTCAAGAACACATGCAGAAGCTCAAAGATGCGATTGTAGAACAGGTTGGTTATATCGGGGTGCAGAGGGAGTATATCGGGTGGTTTGGCAAGGAGTGACAGACTTCAGGTCCACGAATCTACTAAGGAAACTTTATCGGTAGAGTTGTAGCAATGGTAGAAAGATATCGAGGTCTTGCTCAGTGTATGGAATTGTTTCTGTTACACAGGGAGATTTGCATGCAAGATACTCCACCTGAGTGCCGCTGATATCGTTCTCGTTATAGTCAGCAATTGTAGATCTCGCTTCTGCGAAACTGCAAACATCTGTTCCACCCGGCAGGCTCCCATTTTTCGAGGAGCTTTTGGAAGGTATCCGTATGGAGTTCCTAAAATCCTTTATGAACATTAAAGGCTGAGACTCAAGCTAAGACGGGACTCGAATATCCGTCATGACACACACTATGTTGTCTCTTTGCCTGTTTGATGTTTTTGACATTCTTTGTGGTCTTACACATATGATACGCTGTCTTGAGTATTAGGTATCGTAAGACACACATAGATCAGCCGCTATGCGCAAAGATGAGACCGTAGCATATGAATGCTCCTCGAAGTGATTTCTCGTCTTCTGATATATAGTGATCTCTGATTCTCTGATTGGCATCCGATGTTTGTCACAGCTCAATTCCTTCCTGCATTTCCCGACAGCACATTTCTTCCATCACCTGTAGCTCATGATGACCAAGAAGAGATCAACTCCAGCCAACCGCAACGACAAGACTGCTAGATCTCACCCTCGTCAAATAAGCCAGAGCTCATCCGAGAATACCGCGGTCACTCCTGTCAACCGAGAAGTCCAACCTGAGACCGCAATGTCCACCACCGTCAACAATATTTGTACCGTCCTTGGAGGTGTCGTCCTCGGAGCCTTCGCGGTCCTCGCCTTCACGTTCGGCGGCGACGCTGTGCGATCCGAGATGATGAACGATGCAGCCACTGCTCTCATTGGTGGTTCAGACTCTACCACGCCCGAAGAATCACGCGAAGTCGCTCTTGCCTTGCCAATTGCCCAACAATCGTCATCCACAACATCGAGCGTTCGACCTTTGGCATACACCGTGATGGGTGCTCAGGCTTCAACAGATTCGCACTTCAGTGGTCGAAGACAGTCAGTTGTGCGAGAAAGTGTGGAGAGGGAGGTCACAGAGACGACTGATATCGTCGAGGGTGTCGTGAAGAAAGTTGTGAGCCATACGATGGAGTGCGTGGCGCGCAACGTGGGAAATACTATATGGCACTCGATGAAGAACTCATAAGAAAACGGTATAGGGTCGTGATGCAGAAGAGAGGTAGAAAACATGCTTGTTTTACCGAGACAAGCTGATCTCAGGAAAGACAGTTGAGATGAGAGTGGGACTGGGTATGAGAAGGGAGCCTCCATTGAAATGTAATACCTTGATGCCCTGTTGTCGTGCATCATAATTTACACTCAACATGCCATCTCAGCACCCATGTATGTGAGAAGCGAAGATATGACTGCAATGGCATGTCAAAGTCTTGATGATATGGATTGCTTCAGAATGGTCATAGAGAGGGAGCGAGCCTCGCAGCGCGGCGCTTCTTGAGGAACTGAAAAACGCCTGAGGCAGTCAGGCAAATTGTTCTCGCGACAAAGATCCTGCATCTTTTGTTCGAACCCCTAATCGAGTACGGCCGAATAGATGAAAACGAAGCCGTGCCGCTATGAAGTGACGCGCCCCCACTATATCTAGACTATTTCAAGCGAAGGATTGAGGAGTCGTGCCGATCGACGAATCGTGGACGCGAAAGCCGTCTCCGGTCGCACAAGTTCTTTCCTTCGTTCAACAACAGTCAGTCAGCCTGCACGACCATGGAGTTGTCACAAAGAAATACGACAAGGTGGCAGCGCCTAACCCACGGTTACAACAAATACTGGTACTGTAAGGCTGCGCTTCGTTGGCTCGCTCTGGTCACCGCGGTCGTCACTCTTATCACTTTTGGCGCGACATGGCGCGATTATACTCTCTATAGCCAATATGATGTTGGATATGTGTATGAGAGCTTGGCCATTACTTGTGTATGTTGTCGCGCTGCATCGCTTTCACGAGTAGTTGACTAACCCCCCACCAGCCTCTAATCGCAGTCATTGTTGATGTTTTCGCCATTGTTCTATTGTTCAGGACTCGGAAGAATTCAAACATCAATCCTGTCTTCTTACTGGCCGGCGACACCTTGACTCTTCCTTTGCTGATTATCGACATGGCCATCACATGCCCTGGCGAATTCGGCTTCCACGTCAGCACTGCATCTGTAGAGTTTCCGCTCGTGATGGTCTGGGGTCTTACTGTAGGCCTAACAGCACTGCATCTAATCCTTTTCATCACTAGTATCTGGGAAACACACATTTTCAGGGCCATGCGCAGGGAACAGAAGATGTCTGGTTCGGTCAATCTTCAAGATCTGAAACATCGATCGCAGGACTTGGAAAGCGACACTAGCACAATTTCATCAGTCACCGAGGGGCCCATAAGGGTTGAACTGCCAGATGGCAGGATATTTGAGCTTCCAGAGGGAACCAGGTTTGAGCTGTCCGCCGAACAGCGATCGGAATGCCGGCACAACTTCCCGGTGTGTTCCTGGCAGAGCTTGAGGCACCGGTACCGACACGAAGAGTCGACGAGAAAAACGATCAAGGACCGATCACAACAGCTCGCTCGGTCGTCGACAATTTGCTCGAGATACACTCAAGAAATGGTCCGTGAATATGTTCCCGTGCCAAACCAAAATCAAAGTCATCATCCAATCAGCAATGAAACGTACATATGTACCTCCCAAACTTCAGAAGCGCAGATGATCTACAAGAACTGCGACTGCTCGAGTTGATTTGTACTGGTATCACTTCTAGCATGAAGCTCTGGTGTGCAGTAAACCAAAGATGTCGCATGGAATAGGAACTCAACTGCGTCAAAACGTCGCATGTCGACGAAATCGTTCGCACACTGCTGGAGTCGCACACGTGAATGGCCTCTATACTGACCTGACGATGTAGCGTGATGGGAACTGTAGCCTAGTCGTAGTCAGGATCGACAGCCCAGCACACATGCCATCAGCGTTTGCCGTTACACATTGGAGCGAGTGGATGCATGTTTTATGCCCATGCAATAAGACATCCTTGCTTTTTCGCGCAGTCATGACCCGGCGCGTCTCTGACAGGCTTGATGGGGTCGGTTCTTGCGGAGTCTCGTATCCTCGGGCCAGACCAGATATTGCAATGTCCATGTTGCGCGATGGTATCCCTACAATCGACGGCGGCACAGGCGTGCATGAGCACAGCAACCCTTCTTACCTTGCTCTCCTTAACGACCACAGTAGGTCGAGAAAGACGGCTCTCTTTGCCATGGTCTTCTTTGATGCGCTTGCCGCCCCTCCAGGGCGGCCTGTTTCGAAAAGCCCACTTCTTGTTCTTCGCATGGCATCGTGCGCAGCGCTTCGAATACGGATATGGGTGCGAGGGCGGAGGGGCGGAGTGGTGAGTCGGGAGTGGATTGTCGCAGAGGGCTCGTGGACTTGTTTGAGGTGACCGTGTTTGTGAAGGCGAGGGAATGGGCGTGGCAGGCTACGGCGGGCGGCAAATACCTCCTCTGACGTTGTTGCGTCAAGATAGGGAAGCGCACTTCACGTGCCAGAGCAGCCAGACTCGCTTCCCTGCGGACTGCGAGATGATGACCGAGAGATCGAGAGAGGGGGGGTCGGGATGAATGGATAAGCTTTGTTGATGCAGGCCGACGATTATCCCCGGCGCTTGGCAGAACCTGTCAGCAAGCGCAACCGAGTGGATTCCTTCCTTCCTTCCCCACCTCTACCACCATCTGAGCAAGCCTTTCGCCCTTGCAGCTTCTATCTCGAAGCAACAACGATCTGCCTGGTTATCTACATCGCACGCTCTTGGACTGGTGCCCTCTGTGAAACACGGTCGTCTGCTCTGCTGAGCCGGTGCGGCAGAGTGTGTGGCAGCATGTCTGGCCTCCTCTCAACGTTGCGATCACGATCAATGAACCACCGCGGACTTCGTGGCGTGTGTGCCGAAAGTGTATCATCCAATGTACAGCTTCAGCATGTCACAAGCCTTGGTTCTGGCACGCCTATGAGGTGAACGACTTACCCGAACAGTTGCCCGCATATCATCAAATGTTTGTTTTTGCTCCACACATGCATTCCCCAACCTTACCTGGCTGCCACAGCTTCATTTTCTATGGGTGTAGGTGAATCAAGATGGTGAGCCTGGTCAGCGTCTCGCTCCATGGAAGACTTTCATTTCCACAACGACCCGCTCCTGCTCTACAATCGTCGTCATCTTGAGCGGGTGGTGATGTCCCATCATTGAATGTAGCCCGAATACATAAGACCTTCCGGGCTTCTCTCTCCGTAAATAGGCTATTCTTGAGTTTATCCAGCTAAGTCGCGATGATTGTTCTTATCTTCTTTCTCTTTGGTGCGGGTCTCGCCAATGCACAAGCGATACCGACCGCAAGTCAATGTCCCTCTGCGAATGGGCAGACCATCACGGACAGCACTGGCAGCACCTATCGCGTCACGTGCTCCGCTGACAACAACGTCGGTTCCTATGCCAACACCAAAGCAGCAAACTCCTATCTCGACTGTATGACTGCTTGCGATGCGGCCGCATCTGCGGGCTGTCAAGGCTTCACCTATGTTGGTGGTGCCAATGGCCTAAGTCCGGGAACGTGTTGGCTCAAAAAGTCCATGGGCACATACCCTGCTGCTTCAAGCTCCTACGTCTCAGCTGTCAGAATTGGAAATGTTGGCGCATCATCTCAAAGCAGTGTTGCGTCTACTCTTGCGACAGTGGTTACCTCCGCAGCGTCTGCATCATCTGCATCATCTGCATCGTCCACTTTGTCCACTGCAGTCGCCGCTTCCACCAGCTTGTGTCCATCTTCCAACTTCACGTCCTTCGTAGACACCGCAAGGAACGATTGGCAGATTTTGTGTGGTTTTGACACAAGCCCCGGATCGTTCGGCTCAACATCTGCAAGCACCTTCCCCGCTTGTATTGAAGCCTGCAGAACAACTGCGAATTGTGCCGCTGTCACATACATCGGGACCAGTTGCTACTTCAAGACCGCCTTCGTCAGCCTAATCACCAAGTCTTCAGCGAGCAGTGCGTTCATCATCAACCTCCAGAACTATCCGGTCCCAGTGACCGGCAACAGCAGGGCAAGTTCAGGCTGTGGTGCCCCCCTGCTACCCGGAGTTCAGCTCGGAGGCACTTCTACCACTTTCCAGATCACCTCAAAGGGTCAAGTCAGGTCGTTCAATGTTCATGTACCAACGTCATACAAGAACAACATGGCTGTGCCCTTGATCGTCGCGTATCACGGTCGGTCAAACACACAGCTCTCTGTAGAAAGTGATTCAAAGTTGTCGAGCGAAACATGGAATCCATTCGCTATTGCTGTTTATCCTCTTGGCGGTGATGTGAGTATCACTGAGAGCGCTGCAGAGATGATACACTAGAGCTGACTCATTGAACAGCAACAATGGCAGGGTGATCCGGCAACTGTCGGTACAAACCCTTATTACGACGATTTGGCGTTCACGAGCGACTTGCTCGACTACATCTCCAACAATTACTGTATCGACACAAGCCGCATGCTTGCAACCGGTTTCTCAAACGGCGGAGGGTTTGTTGGAACTCTTGCTTGCGACCCGACACTCTCCCAACGATTCAGCACTTTCTCGGTGAACTCCGGCGCAGAGTATACCAACACCACCGGGACCTGCAACCCAACCTCCGTCCTCACGAATACGATTGTCCAGCCAATATGTTCGCCAAGTAGATCAAACCTCCCGATGATCGAATTTCACGGCGACACAGACGGCACTATTCCCTATCCAGGCGGAGCTCGACGGGGATATTGTCTGCCAACAGTACCGCATTGGGTCACTGATTGGGCAATAAGAGATGGTCTTTCGACCTCCAATATTACCACATCGTTGGCGAGTGGCAAGGTGACTAAGTACGAGTTCGGTGCTTCTCAAGGTGTGCAGGGTTTGGTCACCCACTACAAGGTTGCTGGTTGGGGACATTCTTGGGCAAGCATCAACGCTGGCGCTCCAATTGATGCTACGCCCCTCATCATGGACTTCTTCTACAGCCATTCGTAGACTGGGAATAGCTGGAGGTATGGTATATCGCACGAATTAACCAAGCGCAAGCACATTTTCTAGTGTCTTTCACGAGCTTATTACACCTGTGAAGGTGGACACCCGATCCGAGAGATGTGGCTCGGAATGTGGAGCCGTGCGATATTTGCGAGACCAAACATCTGGCTGCTCTCTTACTTGCTTGTACAATGTTGAATGCCTACAAGCCCCGTCATCAAGGAGGTGAGAAACGCAGTATCTTAGTAATTGGTGGGTAACGCAATACCGTTGCTCGCGACCGTTGAAACCATCAACCGTCCGGATGTTGGACGAATGCCGAGCCGCAACATAAGTTCAAGTTTGGAATTCCAATAATTACTGCTGACGGCCATGTGCATCGCTTGAGTATAGAACTAATCGAATGTCGCAATCAGCAACTGGAACGGCGACAGCAGACCTGAGTCACAGAATTCAATGTTCAGGCTGGAGACCAGGTCGAACATGTAGAAAGCTGACTCGTCCAGCCACCGGTGCTAACGCGAGTCAGACAACAAGGTGTGCCCTACTTCCAACCTCCATTCGGCTGCTTCGGTACAGAATGAGGCTCTGACCGGTAGGGTTTCATTTATATGTCGCTCCTTGCTAGAAGCCACAGGAGTTCGAGGCCTTGCAGAGAACAATGACGAACGTTATCTTCTAAGAATGTTTCCATGGATGCCCTGTATTTTCTTACACGCTTGGCCTTCACAAAGCCATACTCGAAGGTCAGTGGTTAGTATCGTCCTTGAAAGAGCGTAGATCTGACACGGTATGCGCCTAGACCGATTGCAAGCAGATGCAAAAGCAATACAGTAAAATGCATCCTTCTTAGACGTTCCTCCGCCGTTTCCGCCAGTCGATGTACCGATACGGCCTTACACAAGTTGCTAGACTATAGATCTCGGACCTTCTGTGTCTCTCCTAGTCTCACCCGTTGAAGTTGACTGCTTCCGTCAGAACCACCATCAGCATATGATAAGTGCGCCATGTCCTCCAACGCACGGCGTTTGCACAAGAACATGCGTCCAGTTCGTTTTCCACCGCTGCCCACCTCAGGAGCTTGGACTTCACAACACATCGTTCCTTCCATGTTGGACAGATAAAGTTAAACATGAGCTTCTACTTCTTGCTCAGGGTCTTCGCCCTTTGCGTTCTTGCACTTCTAGTCGCTGCAGATAGCCCGAACCATGCAGAAATACACGGCCGCTCGACAATCAAGACAGCAAACAAGCTCTCCTGTATCAAATCAGACGTTTCGCTGGTGAAGAAGGAAGTCTCTCATCCTCTTGAGTTCTGCAAATTCTATCTGTCAGAGTACGTTCAGACTGACGGTTACATATGACCTACTGCTAACTGGCGTCTTAGCAAGCGAACTCGCTCTCCATTACCTAGTCTGGGTGTCACAGCACTCCAAAATGCTTGCAAATGTATTCAAGCATCGCCACCGCCGGAGCCCACCATCATCCATAGAGCCCTTCCTTCCAGCAAGCAATGCAGCCAATGGACCAAATTACTGAATGGTGAATACAAGCACGTTGCTGAGTTTTGCAACTTCTACCTCGGCTAGTGAGAGACATCTCTATCATACCTGCGAGACAAAGCTGAACATCACTCCTAGCCCGAGGAAGCGATCACCTGTACCAGGACTCTCAGTGTCGAACTTACTTACAGGCTGCAAATGCGCTATAGGATCCTCAACTGTTGCTTCCGTAGCAAAGGCTCAGCAGACTTCAACAGCAAGAACCCTCGCGTCGACCAAATCTTCGAGCATTGCAAAACAAGCCACATCAAGTGCTTCTAGCCGAATCGCGAAAGCGTCTACAGGTACAGTCGCATCTACTCCGCAAGTCACTTTGTCATTCAAAGCTGCGACGGTGCTGGGCTTTGCGTCCAGAATCTCACCATCACTTTCCACAATGAAGTCGTCAACCTCGGTGGTCCTTTCTTCGACAACCTCTGAAACAGATTCGGCGAAACGCGGAGCCCCCATCGTGTCCGCAGATATCACAACATCTGCTTCTTCATCGCAGGTCACTCCATTGCAGACTTCTGGTTCTTCTGCTTCCACAGTATCCAGATCGTCTAAAAGCAATACTCCGACAACGAGAAAAACTTACACCTTGATAACGGCGACCAGAGGTATGCCAACGACCAGCAGCGCTCTCTCTGAAATCTCAAGCGCGACCCATGATAAGGTAGTGTTCACAGCAGCCGAATCGTCTTTTCACAGCGACGTTCTGAAGGTTGGCACTCTAGCACCTCCAACGGACCCGGCCTCTTCGTCAGTTGGAGTGACGTCCCAATTATCCAGCACCGTGTACAAATCCATCACGGTCATTAGGGGCCAACCACTTGGCACGAAGGCTAAATCAACCATTTCCTCCGCATCTATCGCCCCTATACAAAGTTTCATCGACACGAGCAGTGGCAGTCAGACTCAACAGAAGACTTCAATGAGGTGGGCATCAATGAGAGGCAAGCTTCCCGTTACTACCTCCTCGACACAACCCCGAGATCTGGCTTCAGCGGTGGTGTTCACGTCGTGTCCAGATGCATCTGCAAGCGGAGCAACCTCAAGCACTTTCGCGCCCAGCCATTCTGTTGGCTTTGATTCAGTCTCCCGTAGCATCATTACCCCAACTACGGCTAGTGCTGCATCCGAACCCTCCAAAGCGTCAACTTGGACCATGCAGGTCGATGACAGCGCGGTGGCTTCTGAAAATTCAGCATCGATTGTCCAAGGCCAAACTTCGTCCGCTCGGAACGTGCCTGCGACCAGCACATTACCATCCGCTTCCGGTCATACGGGCAGTCCGTCTCGAGGAACCGGATCAACCTCTACTAATTCGCAGTATCAAGAAACCACATCTGGAGAAGAACCACACACATCGGCTTTTGTAGCCACATCCATTGAGTCTGATACTCCAGTCCTGCCGACGTCAAACATTCTTCCCATGACATTTCCTATGACTGGAACTCCTCGTGTGCAGACACTTCCAGAACCCTCAGTGACAGCAGCTCTAAGTCTCGAGGCCTCATCTACCTTTACTGAATTGGAGTACCCTACATACTCTAGTGGTGGTGGCTATCCGGAATGGATGCCGACCAAAACCTCTGAAGCTACGGCTGATCAGCAATCATCTTTGACTTCCATGTCCTCTAACAAAGCCCCTGGTGTTTGGATCAGCTCAGACACTCCTTCAAACACTCCCGATCTTTCACAAACCTCAAAATTGGCGTCCAAATCTTACGAAGACTTCATGTATCATGAGACATCTGCGGCTCTGGCAACCACAGATCTATCCGAGTCCATTGCGACCCTCCTTCCGACCCCTACACCTTCGATTTCCTTCGATACAATATCTTCTGTGGTTATCATACCATCGAGCTCAAGGGTCCTAAGTAACGACTATGAGGTCTCTCGAACGGCAGTACTCAGCAGCGATGGCGCGCAAAGCTCCGAGCAAACGATCGCAACTAGGATCACTCCTCATTCAACAGTGGACACGGTCAGTGATTCCTTGATCACTGAGATCAAAGCCATGTCTGCCAATTCCACGCAAGGAGGGCTCGTGTTGTCTGCAAAGATCACAAGCGCCTCGACTACGATAACCACACAGGGATCTTCAGCAGTCACTGGTATCGGGAGCGAAGCATTACACAGCACTTCGGAAGAATGGCGTCCTTCGACTATCTCAAGCGTTTCTGCAGCTTCGATGAGCAGTGAAAGCTCGGGGCTCCTTAACTCAGCAACATGGAACCTGACCACTTCATTCTTGCTGACCGCAGTTTCTTCTGAGACCGCTTTTGAGACGTCTTCTTCGAAATTTGCAACCATTGAAAGCTGGAGCACAACTGAATCTCTACCAGATCCTTTACCATCTTCCGGGATAAGCAGTCTCGACCACGAATTTACTCCAATTAGTGATTCGCAATATACCTTCACTACTGAGCCGCCCACCGAATCAACTGTGAACAGTTCTGCGACTCTTACAGACTCGGCGCAAACATCACTCGACCCTGAAACAACTCCCTTTACGAGTCTTGCCCAGTACAATCAAGCTAATCTGAACGTCACATCTCAAAGTCATTACGAATCAACGCAAACTTCTCAGACAATTCTGGGTCCTGAGGGACAAGCGATCACCCCATCTTCATCATTGAGTGAACGAATTCTTGACAGCTCTTTATCTTCATCTGCCTCCAGCACTGTCGCAGAAACAGTCGTCTCGGTCCAAACAACGAATGTCGCAGATGATTTTGTGAGCTCCAGATCTCAAGAGTTGTTGGTCAGCATGTTCTCCATGGCTAGCAGCCACAGCACTAGCTCGCTGGTTACTACTGCTATCGACTCCCTATGGTTGAATGCGACCAGTTCAACTGGCTCTTCCTCTGTTGAGACGAACTCGTTCTCATCAGCAGTCCCCTCAAGCACATTCCCGGCGTCTGAGATGGTCTTTTCTACTCAGTCATCATCTTCTGGCTCACCGTCAAGTACAATTATCGGGCAGAATTTCTTAGGCGCATCCTCGGGTGGTTCGTCGACTGAAGGTTCAACGTTGACATACTACAAGCCTGCAAGTGTGTCTGCCTCACCAACAGTCGGCTATGATGCTATTGCGCTGGCAACGACTCCATCAATCATCACGTCAGATGTTTCAGCTGGCACTTCCGATGGTGGCAGCAGTTACACAGACTCGAAAACCCCTGAGACTCCAGCTTCATTCAATACTGACATCGAATCTTCGCAAACTGATCCATCAACCATCGCTAATGCTCCGGAAACAACTGTGACCGACTCCAAAGACACTGATATTTCATCTTCGGGCATCAGCAGCATCGACGACCGCCAAACGCCCTTTGCTCAATCAAGTTCAGCGGAGGAGCCATCAAGTTCATTCGTTCGGCTGCCTGAAGTTACGGATGGTTCATTCAGTTATTCGAGCAGTTCCGAAACAAGTCCCACATTCACCGGCACTACTGAGCCGTACGCAAGTGCAGCTCCTGAAACTTTTGACACTGATGAGCATGTTGTTGATGTATATGCCAAAGAGTCAAACTCCTCCTCATCGACAGTAGAACCATCAGGCCCAAGCTCAACTAGAGAGGAGACAGTTCAGACTGTTGCAGAATCTACTTTACAAAGTTCAAGCTCTTTCTACATCTCTAGCGAGGCAAAATCAGCCATCGTCGAAATGAACACCAGCTCCATGCCTTCTGCGGCCACTTCTTCTGCCACTTTCCCAGACGATTCAAATTATACAACGCCATCTTCGTCGGAGGTTCGAGTTGAGACAGCAACGATTCCTTCATCCAGTACGAGCCCGACGGACTTGGATCCAGCTCAAACATTCTCATCCTCTTCAACAGAGAGGACAAGCACTTTCCATGTCCCTAGCAATACAACTTACACTTCTCTTGAGATGGAAACAAACTCAGCCCGCGCTGCAACATCTTCTTCTGCGACGATTTCTAGCTCGAGCATTCCCGAACCATTGCCCACGGCTTCTTCTCCATCACCAAGCGATGATCTCGGCTGGATAGAGACATCAACCACTCCAGATCCGTACTCCTCGGACGTTGTTGCACAGGATTCATCATTCTCTGCGACTAGCTTCTCGGAAATGTTCAGCGTAGCCTCCTCCAGCACTTTGCAGAGCATTATTTCTGGTCCAATGAACACCGCCTCTGCATCAGCCTTGGAGTCGAGCAGTTTTGAGTATGCGCGGTCGACCTCGATCACACAGATCAACTCTGCCGATCCAACGACCGAAAGCACCACGATGCCAATGGCGGAATCTTCTGCCTCTGTGACCAGCTTTTTAATTCCCAGCAGTAGCACACAGTCCCCGTCTGCCATGAGTTCCAGCGACTCCAGTACGTCGATGTCCTCCTTGATGAAGACTGAGTCTGCCGAATCTACGACCAAAAGCTTGCTTATGCCAGCTGAGGAATCATCTAGCTCTGCATCTTTCACCTCCCTTGGTTTCTGCCAGACAGGTGCTGCTTCAACTCTCAGCTCATACCCATCAGCCTCGCAATTTTGTTCGTCATTCATGGCGCCTCCGGTAGTTACCGCAACTACCACAATCTATAGTACGCAAACCACAGGAACGACCTCTTTCACCACAACTACACAGACTGTGCAAACAGAGACATCGCAGAGAGTCGTTACTCAATACTACAACAACTCCACGGTCACCACGACAACTTGTATACCAGCCAGCAATAGCGGTAATAACTTCAGAAAACGAGATGTTCCTGCCACACTGGCTACACAAACCACATACCTCTGGAAAAGAGATGATGCTGGAGATGCGAGCACCGCCTCGGCAACATGTTCGGTCGCACCCTCTGTTCTAAGGAAATACTCGTGCGACGATGTTTCTTCTGCATGCTCATGCTATGGTATTTCCACGATCTCACAGACCCCTACGTCAACAGCGACTGTCACCAGTAGCATTCAACAAACAGATATCGTCGTACAAACAACTACGGAATCAATCACTGTGACCGTAATCTCAAGCTCAACCTCCTACATTCCACAAACAAGCACCGTGCTCTACTGTCCACGGCCCTCGTCCGACTGTAACAACAAAGGTTACTTGTTTGCTTACTATGGCAACGAGCCCTATGGCAATGACGTCGCGAATATGGATGCCACGTACACCAAGCAAATGACTCCAACATACAACTCTACCACAAATCAAGGCGTAGGCATTTACGGCAGCGAATGGTCCAGCGTCTCACTCTACGGAAGCTCGCAGATGTATTCAGACAACTACTTCTACCTCTCCCACAAAGGATATTTCTTCGCTCAAGTCACTGGCTACTACAACTTTACCATCAAAGATGCCGACGACATTGCATATGTCTGGATGGGCGACGCAGCATACTCGGGATGGACAGGAGGACCGAGCGGTGGCAATTATGTTGCCAAAGCTAGATGTTGCTGGCCGCCGGAGAATACAAACACGACAACCTATTGGATGGAGGCGGAAACATATGTGCCGTTTCGAATCGTATTGGGTCAGCAGGATGGATCCACTTCGGTTGGGTTGACGATCACGGCGCCGGATGGAACTGTCATCTTGCAAACTGGCAAAGAGAGTGATTATGTAGTACAGTATTCGTGTGATGGAACTGCGCCGCCATTCCCGGATTGGGGGTATGAAACTTGAGAGTCTTATCAAGACTGAGCGATTTGCAGCTTAGCTTTGTAGCAATTCTGATAGCTCGTATGTCATATCTTATAGCAACAGTAGCGAAGACTTCCAAATGTTTCCTAGCAGACGTGCCATCGTTTGAAAGTCGGCCGACCCATTTCTCATGCTTTCTAGCCGCCGTGACAATTATTCCGATGGCATTAACAAACTCAGGCTTGTCACCTCGTCTGGCACATAGCCAAGAAGTGGGTGTCCTAGGAGCTAGAAATCATTGTTGGTACTCTTGTAACTAGCCCAATTCATCCACCAAAGCTTTTGTTGTAATGTGTTCATTCCATTCTGAAAATGCGTGAAAGCATTCACGTATCCATGACTTGCAGTGATCGTCGCACGTGACAGGCAGGACCTGATCGTCGTCCGCGGAAGGATTCCCTCCACAAACTGACATATAAAGGTACGACCACAGCCCCCACATTCCGCGTCCACTCGTTGGCAGACCATTTCCAGACCGAGATCCAGGACCGAAGAGCGCTTCTTGCAAGACCCATTTGTTTACCTAATACAATGCACAAGAGAACCTGTTCGTCGCCTAGCCAGGCCTAGTCTAATCAAAAAACTGACGACTGCTATGACATTAAGATCTCTCCATCTCTATAGTCGTACTGGCATCGCTCCCATGCTTCGCGACAGGGACTCAACCACACGCACTACTCAATCAGAATAGTGGCACACACGTGGAATCCAGAATCTCGCGCTTCCCAATCGAAGACCTCAGCCCATCAGAATGGCGCGCCGAACACGAACGCACACGCGCCTCTTTAGGCGATGAAGCCTATCTTGCCCTGCGTAAATCCGAAATCGATCAAAAGATGAGATCGAGCAATGATGTACTTAACGATATGATAAAAGCTGGACGGTGGAATTTGCCTCCAATCGGAAACGATGTCAAGCCGGATCGTATCGGTTTTGGTGACGAACGAGTGTTCGATGTTGGGATCAAGCATGGTGTCCCTAAGTATATCACTGACGCTATGTATGCGACGTATGGGTTGAAAGCTGGTGCGAAAAGTATCGCAGAAGAGTGGTTAGAGTTTGAGGTTCCGGCTGAAAAGTTGAAAGAAGAGAGGAAGCGGAAGGAGACAGAGCGGCAGGAGGCATTAGAGATGGAGAATACCAAGATCTTGGATGGAAGCTATTCGGTCAGGGACATTGATATGGGATGTTTCCTGAAACTGAAAAGCTCTTGAAATTCCAGCAAAGCACCACGGATGACCTAGAGATGCACACCGGTTGATAGCAGCATCAGATCGATTCTCTTCACTTCCTTCGTATAGGCAGTGAATTTATTCCATGGATTATCCCACGAAACTCCAAGACTCTATGGAGCTCGAATACTTCATGTAAGATCCATAGGATGATGGAGTTGGAATGTAGGATATTCCAAATGGAGTTAGGATAGAGCATGGATCTCATCCGGTCTCTTCACTGCATGCGCTAAGTCTGTCAAACATGCTCTTACTGCGTACCACTCACTCAGTGAATGTGCAGCTACAAAAACAGTGATGAGCACGACCAGACCAGAGTTTTACAACGACTTCAAGACCAAATACTCCGCGATCAACGCCCTGAGCGATTGGTTAGTGATAAGGCCGCAAGCCTATACATTGTGATTCTTGTATTGTATCATGCGTCAATTATAGAAGAATTGAGTGCCTGCCCTCGCGAAAAGACTGGAAGTCGAAGATCAAGCTTGTGATCGAGGAAGGATTGAAGATCGACAGAAACGTTCTTTAGCGGCCGCTTCTTCCACTAAACTGACGTCGCAACCGGTTCCTTATTTCCGCGAATAGCCGTCGTGCCTATAAGATAACGTACGTTCCTCGAATAAGAGCGACGACTTCCAGGCGATATCATCCAAGCGTCAATCACCATCCTCCATCCTATCCCATGATGGCGATGGCAAACCCAGCGTCGTTCGATTCCATAGTCCAAGCTTCCGCGGAAGGAGTGATTCAACTCATCACCACCGCCTTCCTCGACAGCATTGTCTTCTTCACCACCTTGGGCCTCTGTATTCTGGCTCCCAAAATCTCACTTAAAATCATCCAAAGCACGGCACGTCGGAAGTTCAGCCCGGAACATCAAGAGGTGTTCCGTGTGGGTTCGGCAATCGTTCTGACACTGATGCATGCCTTCTTGAGTATGCTGTTTGCTCTCCACGACGACTCTGGTCTTTCGCCGAATGCGCCGTCTGTTTTTTGGGCGCTTATGTGGTCGAGTGGGATTTCGCTTGGGGTGGCTGGTGGGTTTACGGCTGCGGCGGTTTTGTTGGTTCTGGGATCGGATGTTTTCGGTCTTTGAGCGCTGCTAAGACCTGTCGTCTCGTATTCGGCGAGGCAAAAACGCTATTCGTCGTAGGGTGCGTGGACACAATGAGAGTGACCGTTCAAGGAAGTGGTGGATGCAGTTTATGACCAGGTGTCCGCTGTCATGGAATCACGAATGAGCCAATTGGTCACGATCTAACCAACTGTATTATTCGAATCAGAAGTCTGAGCTTGGTGATTGCTGCAACCAAAGAGGATTCTGCTCAAGGTCGACAAAGCCATCTACTTCTTCTCAGTTTCCTCGTCAGCATCAGCAACAGCATCGCATTCAATCTCCACCAACATCTCCGGATCACAAAACCCCCCAACCACCACCATAGTCGCCGCACACCCAAACTCACTCCCTTTCCCCTTCCCCACCATATTCTTGAAAACCTCCCCTACCGGCCCACAATCCTGCTGCCTCTGCACATACATCTTCGTCCTTACGATACTCTCCGCACCTCTGCCTCCCAGAGCTTTGATAGCCTTGACGATTTCATCAATGGTGACGCGGGTTTGGGCGGCCGCGTCTCCAGGATGGAGGACGCGGGGATTGGAGGGGGTGGAGGAGGGGTCTACGGCTGTGGTGCCGGAGATGTAGATGTTTTTGTCGTGGCGGATGGCGCGGTAGTAGCCGATTGCTTCTTCCCAGGGGGAGTTTGTTGCGTAGTATCGTTTGGTCGAGCATTGAGGTGTGGGGATTGATTCGGAAGACATGGTTTGTTGAGATTTTGGATGGGCGACGATGTTGGTTGTCAGTGAAGGCGAGATTGTGTAACGGCTCGTGACAAAGGTGTGAGAGTTGAGCTGTAGTGATGTTGTATCCTGAATTGTTTTCAGAATGTCAGAACATTCTGATGAGTCACGAAAAGATGAGGCTCAAAACATTATGACTCACTTGGACAGCGACGACTTCAGGAAGGATTGCGAATTGAAAGAGATCATAAATTCATTATATATACCATATCGCTTCCTGGATTATGATTAAGTAGGCGTCAGTCCTCCAGCCTTACTGGTCAATACCAATGGATCACACTCAGTGACGTTGTTACCAGTAACGATCCATTGCACATCACCACTCAACAGAGTCTCCAAGCCCTTCTCATAATCACTCACAAGGAAGACCTTCGACCCTTGCCATCTTGGAGCTGTGCACCATGCCAATAAGTAGTTATGGCCATCAGTATCGGCTGCCACATATGCGGTAACTCCATCAGGGGTGGAGACAGGTACGAGCGTGACAAGCTGAGCACCCAATGGTGTGTCCAGGACTTGAGCGGCGCGAAGTCTAGACACGCCATAAGTAGACATGGTGTTCGGATAGTAATGGAACATGCGCTCAGACTCATCCTTGAAGGCGACAGAGTCTTCACTGTAAAACTTTGTCCCAGGGGATGCACCTCCAGTATTGCCAACCATATAGAAGTTGCCATCTTCTGCGGCAGCGAGACTTGACGCTTGACGAGTATCGAGATTGCTCATAGTGGTCCAACCAGTGAATGGCTCTCCGGAACCACCAGTCGGTGCTGCGCCGGCGACGCCGACCGTAGCTGATTTCATGATGTCCTCAAAGGCAGGGAACACATATTTGTTCTCACCAATGAACACGGCAGTAGCTGTGGGTACGGCAGCACCAAGAGTGTATGTCCCACCTGCAAGATTGCCACCAGGAACATAATCGAAAGACGGAGCTTCCAGATTGGGCGGCAAAGTTGGTGCAGCATTTGCGGCATCCAAATTTGGCGCTGCCGTCGATTTTCCCATGCTCGGTGCGGCATTTGCAGCGCCAATGGTAGGAACGGCATTCCCTACTGGAACAACAGGGGCTGCCTGGGTCTTGCCAACAGCAGGAGCAGCGTTAGACGCGGCGATAACGGGGATACCACCAGAAATAGCAGGAGCCGCTTGAGATTTCGCAATGGTGGGTATACCATTGGCAGCTGCAATGGTTGGGAGGGCATTACCTCCGGCAATCACTGGGGCTGCTTGACTCATTGCGACCGCAGGCATGGAGTTGATTGCGGGGATGTTGGGAATTGCGCTTCCCTCTGGGATTGCAGGTATCTGTCTCGCCTGCAACGTGTTGTTGTGGTGGAATGTTACGAGATCGGGATGTACCATCAACTGTCTCTTGGCTTGCAAGTCACGCTTCATGAAGGCGGAGGCGCTACATTGATGGTCAGCCTTAGGTCGCCTGTGAAGAATCTTTTATGCTGATTGGAGTCACTCACTCTGGCACGAGCTTGAAGTCATCGAGTCTGACATCAAAGTCATCTGAGGTGCATTCGATTTCAACTCCAACCTTGACCCTGTATGAAGCAATGTTGTCCTTGGCTGGAATGGTAATAGGAGTCTGCAATCCAAAACTTGTTTAGTGTCGTTTCCTCCTCGCAAGTTGGGTAACTTACAATACTGTTGCCACCGTTCGCGTTGCCGATGACCAGATTGCCTTTGTTTGCACCAGTTATTGGCAAAATTGGCTTGTCGAATGGGAAATCGCGAGTGAGCCACTGTGAGTTGCTGTCTGCACCCTGCAAAAACCACTTATTGACTTTGCAACTAGTACGGTCATTGCTTCTCTGGATACGACCAGAGAACTCAGCGTTGTACTGGGAATAGGTGCAGAGATCCACCGTTTGGGACACGGTGAATTTCCAGGGACCTTGAGGTTGTGGGCAAGCAGAGTCACAGCCGCCATCGCACTCGCCACTGGCCAGGCAAGTACCGAATGCACAGGTCTTGATGAAACAGCCGCCAGTGTCGAATGTCTCTCTGTGGATGGACCTGGAATATCGTCAGCCTGATGTTGAGTGGGGAAGGGTACACAAGACTTACAGCTCGCCGTTCGTGCCTTCAGCTTTCACGCCATTCTCAGCGTTCTCGTGACCGACAAGTGGCGTCCAGTATGATGCTCCGTTGCTGAAATCAGCGTTTACGAATGCGTTGTCAACAAGTTTGCATCCGGCTTTTGTCTCGCCGCCCGCGGCCGGCTGCTCTTGCTGTCTGACAGTTGTGACACCATTGTCATTGATGCAGCCTTCGATGAATTTGGGCCCCTCCCATTTGCCCAGCTCGAACTATTGCTCTTGGTTAGTTACCGTGTGCGGCAGAATCTGACTCTTAATCACTTACTGCACCCACGAAAGGCACTTCAAGCTCCAGAGAGTTGACCACGTTACTGTAGAAATAGATCCCAGGGCATTCGTCACCTCCAAGTTGTACACCTTGTTCATTGTCGTATGAGGCGGAATACTCTGCAACTGCTTGGATAGCTGGCGTGTTTACCAGAGCAAGTTTCTCCTCCCAGATACCGTCGAGAACGCTTACACCCAGATTGATGCCGATTGGGATACCGAGTGAGGCAGTGGCCGTAATTTCTCCGGAAGCTTGGAAGATAGGTGTCACAATTGGAGAAAAGCCGTAGCTCTTTGCAGATCCGGGGAGCAGAAAGTCGACAAACATGCCCATCTCTGGCCAGTCTAGATTGACACCAGCAAGAATTTGACCAACGGCTTCCACCTCGATTTTAGCCACAAGGTCGACCGTCAAATAAGGGCCGATGGTGATGACACCCGGGATTGAGAAGCCAGGCAGACCAATATCAGGAGTCAATGGAATCTCCAGGATGGGCCGTTCGAATTTGTAGAAACCATCGACGCCAATTTGTACATTTGCGTTCAAGTCACCACGAAGACGGAGACTGAGTCTAGTGGGACCGATGATGGTGAAAGTAGCTGATCCTGTGGTGTATATTGAACCATGAATACCACAGTCAACACACCATACGGTAACTCCGGGCTCTGGCAGTTGTTCCACGCCATTGATCTTGAAAGTGAGGATTTGGTCAGCGCCAGTCATCTTTGCAAGTGTATCAAAGCTGAAAGGATCAATGCTTTCTCCACCATCTTCTGGTGACCACTCCCAAAGTTGCAAGCCGCCGTCACCCCACGGACAATCATCGAGCATGCTCTGAGGAGGTGCGAGGGCGACAGGGATAGTGAAAGAAGCACTTGGGTTCCAGGTCGGCAGCAAGGACTCTGCAAGATTGCGCACGGCGGTAACGATTGCTTTCACTACCGCGATGACCACCTCCACGATGAATTTCACCACTTTGATGAGACCAGTGAAGAAGCCGCCCAAGTCTCGTCTTTCAAGGTGGCCTCTGCGAGTGAGAACTCTAGTGGTACCAGCTTGAGGTATGTCGCTGGACGTGATGCCAGTATTGGGGGCCCAATCGCGGAGGCGAGCGTTGAGGTTTCCCACATCCTTTAAGTAAGTGAAGAAGTCATCAACGTTTTTGTCAAAGCTGTTGTCGCAGTCCACTTTCGAAAAGTATTTTGAGAAACCAGACGGAACTGGACTCGGAACAACGCCGCATTTGCCAGTTCCAGTGGGTGGGATGAGTGCTGAGAATGATTCGCGCGATGTTGAATTTGAGGAAGAAGACACCAATGATGTAGACAGGCTAGCTCGGCCTGAAGTAGATGTCACACTGGCACTGGTACTTGCCGAAGATAGGGAGGCAGTCGACTGTACGAGAGCCTGTAGCGCCGCCAATCTGTTGGTAGTAGAGGATCTCAAACTTGGGCTTCCGGATACCGTGGAATTTCTGAGATTTCCGGTACTCAATTTCGACGACCCAGAGCTCGTGGCAGGTCTTGATAGGCTTTTAGAGCTTGAGCTGCTGGATTTGGACGAGATGAGTGAACTTCGGGAGCCAGAACTTGAAGATTGTCGTGCACTGGAGGCGCTAGATCGAGATGAAGCCCGCGAACTAAGGCTGCTTTGTCTAGATGAGCTACGCGAGCTCAAGACACTTGACCGAGACGAGCTGCGCGAACTCGCAGCCGCTGCCTGAGATGAGCTGACAAAGCTCGAAGTGCCAGATTTGGAAGATGCGCGGGAGCTTGTCATACTCGATTTAGATGAAGCGCGTGAGATTGAGCTGCTGGCTTTTGTCGAGCTCCGTGCTGAAGATGATGAGCTCCCCGCTGAAGAAGATGTGACTCGAGCAGAGCGTGAGGAGCTTCCTGAGGTCCGTGTGCTGGATATACGAGAAGAAAGCGAAGATGACCAACTCGATGCCAAGGATGTTGATTTACTGGATGCCGAAGACGATGACCGACTGTACGCCGAGGAAGATCTGAGCCGGGTCAATATCAGTCATAGAAATGGATTTGGGATTCCTTCATTCAAATTTCACTCACGTTCTGCTGGTGGATGACGAGCTCTTCGTGCTGGAGGACAATGCGGCTATCTGGACTCCCGGCGCAACTTGTTGTTCCGTCTTTGGACTTCCAGCAGCCTCCCATTGTCCCCAGACGACATTGAACTCTCTGATGGCTTGATCGACTGGAATCTGGCTGCCTTTTGCGAAGGCTGCGAGACTGTTCTGGTCGTAAGAGACAAAGGAAGTGTTGAAGAAGCCGAACTGGCCAGGGTATGTCGTGTGACATGACTTGTCTGAGCTCACGAAGACGATGGTATCTCCGGTCCAGTTGGTCTTAGCCGCAGTAAGACTCTGAATTGAATCAAGCTTGATGGACATTTGATTCGGTTGGCAAGTAACATTTGTGACGAAAGCGGAATGGTCTAGAATGACGGCATCCCAGTGAAACGTAGCATCCAAGGTAGCTACCATATCCGCGTCTTGCAACTCTGATTAATCCGGATCGTTAGCATCTTGTTCAGTTCAAAGCTTGAGAGGCCTCACATACGTATGCCACCATCTTTAGTGTAGAACAGCGAATGCTCTTGCCTAGAATGCAGATGAGATATATCCCTCTTGTTGAGGTCCGGGTGTATTGCAGGAAAGAGGTGATTATGACTATGATAACCTGCAGGCTCTTCACGTTTCCGCATAGGCTGAGCCATGATAGGTGCGCGTTGTGGTTTGAGGGGTTCGACATCGCGTTGGTCGAAAGAGTAGACAAACGAGTCGGCTGCAGTTCCTGTGACTAGCCAAACAAGGAGGAAAGAAAGAGTACCCCTCATGGTCATGGTGGCAGCGGATCTTCAGCCACAAGACCTGGTGGTAAGCAAAGATGATGAGAAGAACAAGAGACCTCTTTTGGGCGGGCAGTGATGCTGTTACTATATCTCCATTGATGCCTTTGCTTTGATCGGAGCGAAATCCAGAAGACAGCCGACCACGGTCTGCGTCCCGGTGCACGCGAACATCTGGACATGGGGAATAGCAGACGTTGGGCTGAACAGTTTAGATCGCACCTGAGGAACGGCAGCGTTGCAAGAAGTTCGCCGTTTTGCCTATAGATGGCCAGAAGATTTCGTGCTCGTTTCAGAGGCTGCCAAGCATTTGAGCATCTAAAGCGCTTAGTGCGGGCGACTGTTGTCTTTCATGCGACAAAGACGTGTACGCCATGTGTGGTATAGAAGGCCAGTCGTTCAGGGTATCTGAAGAGCATTCTTCATGGCCTTTCTTGAGACCCTAAAGACCGGATTGGTCCATCGGACTTGCAGTGAGAACGGGCTAACAGATGCCTGTGTGCTTCCATGTTCTCTCTCTGCCAATGTAGTCGAAGCTTAATCTTCGCGAACTCTGGTCCTCAGATGCGTTAGTATGTTGGCCTCTTCTGACCATGAAGCCACAAGAGTTCAAGATGTTCGGTCGTACCCGAAGATCCAATCTTACCGTTCGGCTTCGGCTCAGGAGGAAGGAGCGAGCTGTAGATTTCATCCTTGATATCGCGCTTCGGCGAAGGCGAAACACGTTCTTCATCCGTTGCCAGTGACCTGGTACAGTAACTTGTGCCCTATAAGGGTCGACACTAACTGGCGTAGAGTAGGCGGCTCAGCTAGATAGGAGTTTTAGGCAGGGGCAACGGTTGTCGTTTGAGAATCCTTCCATCAAGGCTGTGGTCATGACTCGCGGGCCGCGGCGAGTTGCGGGGTAGAGCTGGCACCTGTCGAAAAGTTTCTCTCCTGAGGACTCTGATCACTCATGCTTCTGCTCTTCCGGCGGAGTCGGGTTAGATAGACCTGATATTATCTGTCCTTGCAGACATCCAAAGCCAGATGTCGCGACATGTGTCCGAATGGGACCAAGGAGATGTCAACATGGGAGATGGATGCAGGACCGTTTGGCCAAGGAGGACGTTGGTAAGCCTGCCGAGACGAAGGAAGACTTCAGCTGTGTCTCAAAGATGGGAATCAACGGTAGTGCTCGCGACTGATTGACTGCATGTCTGCACAAAGTAGGTTGTTGAACACTTCCGCTCACAAAGTCTTGAGCGAGGAAAGAGAGAGCGCAGCGCTTGGAAAGCTAAGTGTCAGTGCTTATGCCTGAACAGGCTTGGCTGCATTGGCAAATGAACGACGTTGACACAAGAATCCTTTACATCTCGCCGTCCTGCACTCAACACCTGGACATATGCTACCTGACATGTCGTTGGAAACCAGTTGAGCTGAGGAACGATGCGTGTTCGGCAAGAGAGTATATCTGGTGGACGGACAGGCACTGCCCAAGTCGTTTCGCCAAGCGGACTCTCCCCCGAGCACTCATCCTCGACTAAATCTTCAACGTCTCTCTAGACAGCGATATAGCGGAGAAGGGGTTCTCCGAAACAAGAAAACGCTTACATTGGACTGTTGGCTAAGTTGCTGATGCTCAAATTCATGGCTGGCTGTAGTATGCACGAACTCATTCGAGGCTCGGTCATATCCGCTGCTCATCAAAGACATAGATGATCAAGTCATTGTGTTGAAGCGAGAGACTTGGAGAAGTACAGCTAGCTTTGTGGAACAAGTATCGTATATCTTGTCTCGAGGACCTCCCACCTGGAACTCTCTCTCAGCACATTCACTCTCTATCACTCTCATTTCAATCTCTTCTCTCTCTACTTATCAACATGCAACTCTTAGTTGTCGCTGCAGCCCTTATGGGTGCCGCGAAGGCTCAAGATATGACTTCCGTTGTCAACACTCAATGCTTCACTCGTTATGCCTTGCAAAGTACTGCAAACATTGAGACGATTGACTTGGCCACTACCACTAGCCGAACTGCTGTCGTGTCTGTTACTGAGACACCTCAGGAGACTGTCACACCTCTCGCAGTCACCAGTTCTGTGACAACCACCCGCACCATATTCAACACCATCACCCTGCCTATTCGAACCAACACTTACACCACGTCTGTGACCCTGAGCACAACCTTGACCAACACCGAGATTGAGAGCTATACTCAGACCATGACTGAATCCTCTACCACAACTCTGCAATCCACGACCACAGTAAGAAATCCTCGTCATGCTCAATAATGCTGTGCACTCTAACCTAATCTCATAGGTACCTGCTCCGGCTGGCTTTACCGCTCTGGCCCAGATGGCTGGGTATGCTCAGAAGCGCAATGCAGTACTTGAGAGACGCGAAGCACTCCAATCCAGAGGCGAGATCAAGGGTGTCATTCCCATCATCCCAGAAGCCGAACCCACTTCTGCCGCTTTGGTTGGACGCGCAGTGAGCTCTAGTACCAAGAAGAGCTCATCCAGCAGCATGAAGACGACAAGCACTTCAAGCTCCAAGAAGTCTGCTTCCACGAGCTCCAAGAAAGCCACGACAAGCTCTGCCAGAGCTTCTTCGAGCTCTAAGAAGATATCATCCACTTCTGCTAAACCATCGTCAAGCTCCAAGAAGGTTTCGGTCAGCTCCGCAAAGAGCTCATCCAGTGTCAAGAAGGTTTCGACAAGCTCTGCTAGGGTATCATCAAGCTCGAAGAAGATCTCGTCAAGCTCCAAGATCTCATTGAGCTCCGCAAAGATCCCTTCCAGCATCAAGCCGATTCTGTCAAGCTCCAAATCTTCAAGCACCGTCAAGCCCAGCAGTTCTATGAAGACTACCTCTGCCAAGTCCACCAGCTCGAGCAAGATCAGCCCATCAAGCAGTCTCGGCTCCAGCTCTAGCTCTAGCTCCAGCAGCTCTAGCAAGGCCAGCATCAGTCTGCTCCCCACTGTCGGTCAGCAATACCCAGTCGCTGTCTCTTGCACGAGAAGCACCACGATCATGACGACTGTCAGCACTACTTTCACTGCCGCTACTTCTACTTCGATTGCACCCACCCCTACCAGCATGATCACTATCACCAACTTTATGACTTCCACCATCACCGAAGTCCCTGCCGATAAGACTGAGATCATCACTGTTTCCACTGACACAATCACCGCTACTTCGACCTCGACTGTCAGCACGACCGAGGAAGCTCCCTCTCCTCTTGAATTTGAATCTTGAGGCACGACTGATCACTGACACAACACAGAACTCAAACTTCTACTTTCACCGTCGCTAAAGCTGCAGCCACTTTTCTCGCTCAATGTGCACCCAGCAATATTGTCAGCAGCGCGGTAGGCCAGAAGATTGGCACCATCAGCTTCAACAAAGCATTCACTCTGCAATCTCTGTATCTCCAAGACACTACCGGCTACGGCTGCTGCGGTAAGCATACCTTTTGATCCACTCATCCATCGTTTTCCCGTACTGATGTATCGTTATAGCTCAATGCGCCTCCGATGAAAACTGCGCCGGCTTCGCCCAAGCCCCTAATGGTGGTGCTTGTTACTACATCACTACAGATGGACGCTGTGATGTTGACCAGAGCTGGGGTGATAGGTTCCATTACTACAACACTAATGGTCTTGGATACCAGGTCGGTAATGGCCAGTGTGGTTGGTTGGGAGCTCAGGCTGGATCTCCTACTCAGTAGATAAATGTTGGGGAATTTGGTGTAGAGCTCGGAGGAGCTAAATTTCGTATTTCTTTTGTCTTGTTGATCTGTTCTAGGTTGTAGTGTTTTGGGGAAACTCGTATTAATGTCTTTTACCTTCTACAAAGCATTCTTTTCACATCAGAAGTATATCAGTGGAGCTATGATTCTTGCACATTACCTAGCCACCTCTAAAGTGGGCGAACGGCATTAAACTAAGATAAATCAACCGCCTAGTTTGTAAACACACAACACTGTTGTCAACAGTTCGACCTCTGTACCCTACGTTTTGTTCATGCATCTCTCTTAGACTTCAGAGATCGCGATCATTGTCGACCACGCTACCTGAATTGATGAGAAGAAGATCAGATAGCGAAAGCGCAGAGTTTGATCCTCCAGTATATCAGAAACGGCGACCATTGAATGGGAGACTGCCACAGGAATGCTAATGATAGGTGTCGAAGCAACATGAGCAGGGTCATCCCCGCTGGATCTGATAAGATGCGGAGATTCTTGCCAAGCCGCGTGCAAATCGCGTCGCGTTGGAAGCAGCGAGAACGGTTGACTTCAGTTGACATCCTCTACAACGACCTCACAATCACTTTTACACCTTGGGCCTCGATGTCATCACCTCCGCCTTTGCTAGGACCTCGCTATCTTCTGTCCTTGGACTATGAACCCGTCCAGCGCCTCTGCTCGCGTTCTCGTCCTCTAGACGTGTTTTCGATGACGAGGATGACCAAGTCACAAGGTCGTGCAGATTTTCAGCTTGCAAGGGAACAACTTCAAGCCACGAAATGACAAGGGCTTGACCAGGTCTCATTCATCGCATATCCTTCTTACTCTTGATCGTTGCCGATGGAACCAAGGCTTCGAAATTCTCGTTGCGTCGACCAAATCTCGCATCATGATCATCGTGACTATGGCATCGCAACGTCGCCAAAAAAATTGTGAGGTGCGACTCTTCTTCGAAGAGCGTATTCGGCATGCGACAATCACAGAAATACATTCAATCAAGCGACATGTATACAACCACCACCCTTCAGCGCCCCCCCCNCGTGACACGCCAACAATTGCAGCAGACAATGAAGTGATAACTTCCAAACACATATCAATGACGCCCGGGATATCCAGAGCCAGCTCACAAGTACACCTCATACTTCCGAAACCAGCGAGATATACCATGAAACGATACATACGTCGCTGGATTGCCAATACGTTCGGACCACCGCTGGTTACTATATCCTACCTGTTAATTGCACGATATCATCTGTGCGTCCCTCCTGTCAACGATGTCATCGACCCTCCTTCCATTAGCGCAGGGGCCGTCTTCTTCGCATGGTTGATTCTCAGCATCTTTGCATTGGATTGGGCGAAGTCAGCGCTGGCTGGTTTCGAAGCATGGGCTCTGATGGACCCCAGGTTTGCCCCTCGGACTGCCCTTCAATTGATGTGGCATACCGACCGGGCATGGGGAAGTGTCAGTGGTTGGCGTGATGCTCTGTTGCTGCTCTATACGGAACTCCGCTATCGACTCGCCAAACCGCCTGCCAAATTACCTTACAGAGGCCCAGCAGGACTCTGGTGGTTCCTGGCGTTCAGTAGTTTCCTCTTCTACGCTGCTGTCCCGCTCTCTAGTCTCACAATGGAGATGAAGCCAGCCTATAAGAGGAACACTCATCTCACTTACATAGATGGTCCTAACGAGGATGACTTCGATACCAGCATCTCCAACGTCATCGCCGAGCAAGCGAACAATCGATGGCGGTTAGGCAACCCGACCACTCCGAACAACGAGACAGTTTTATACAGTCCTGTTGGTGTTGGAAGCGGGAGCGACGCATACTACTGGCATACCATCCAGGATGTCTACGCGAACGATTCGGGCAATGCTTCCAGTCCGGCACACGAGATCAAGTTTTTCTCTGGCCCGGAGGTCTATAGGCGTGTCCATGGGAGTGCTTGGGGTTTACTCACAAGTCTGGAGTGCTCTATCGTCAGACCGACCGACCAGAGACTCAAGTTGCTAAAGGTTCATGAAATTGATAACTGGACTGCTCCCGGTCTCAATTCTGGCGACTCTGGAATTGGGTACTCCAAGCAAGGAGCGGGACTGACTCCCTCATTGTTTAACGCGGGGACCTCGTTTGGGGTATCTTATGCATTTCTGGTAGCCAGTGACTTGGCCGCCATTGGCGGTAGTGACTATTCGAATGCTGCAACCTTCCCCACTAACGGCTCCTTCGAAATTGTGCTTTGGCAGGCTTATAGTCTTCCTTTTGTTGCTGACGGAGCATACCACGCGCTCTGGCTACACCCTGCTGTCATGTCATCAGTATGGGCGAACCGAAGCACAGAATATCTGGGTTTCGGCGTTAAGTGTTCGGTAGACTCTTCTACCGGAACGGCTGACCTGCATGCTGAAAGACGATCGTACTCCAACTTTACGCCGAAGGCATCAACCCCGCAGAACATCTCGCACGTGGATGGGTTGAATGCGTATCCTGGCATGATGGCTCTGCAAAGCATAGTTTTTGCCAGCTTCACCACGGTCGTTTTGAACGTTAAGGCCCCGCCCACTTGCGACAATAGCAATAATTTGAGCTCTGTCACTTGTAACCCCTGGTATGGTGCTAGCATCGCTACCGGCGGAATCCCGATACTAGTCTATGGCAGTGAGAAGGACCCCCACATCCAGGTGCGGACCATCTCGCCTGCAACTTTCAAGTTCGCTATTCACAAACTCTTCGGTGAAGCCACCATCGCTATGATGGCGCGCCGAGGCGATCCATATGCTGCGTGGAACGCCGGATATCGCCGGCTCTACGGACTGGATCAGACCACTGCTCTCGTCCCCGGCAAGGTTCCCTGGTCAATCGTCTTGACACTCCTAATCCTCTGGACCGCCGTGACCAGTATTCCCAGTCTCTGGGTGTTCGACAGAAAGCGCTGGGCCGACACCCTATCAGGATTTGATATGTTCCGCTTCGGCGCAGAGTGGAAGGGAGCAGTATGGCAGTTCGAAGAGAACGAGTTCGAGAAGTGTCCTATTCTGCTTGAGGTACCTGGTATGATTGGAGACATGGAAGCGAATGTAATGGATACTGGGTTCATTGGACTGAGCAAAGATGAGGCCAAGAAGAATGGTTCTTTCGTGTTTGCAAGAGATGCGGTGGTTTGAATACGGTCAAGTCACTACTGAATATGGTGTCCAAGCCTGTCGCAATGCTTTGAGGACAACCTTGCTGCGACTACAAAGTTACTTCCATTACCGGTGAAGCTTTTTTGACCAGGTCATTCTCGCTTGGAGTTGTCAAGAATTGAAAGTACACAATTTCACTCTCTTAGGCAAAAGAACGAATGAACGACTTTTATCTCCCAGCAAACTCCGCATGTTCTGTGCGAGGATCACAATGCTTGCAATTCTTTTCGATTGATCCTGCAAGATGCTTGGCTTATCTGCTTACATCGATTCTATCGGTCGCTTACATAGCAAGCAAGAATAGCTGCATACCCCGCTCCAAGACAGCAGGATTTCCTGATTGATAAGCACGAGCGGTCTCTTTTCTATCAAGATATTATGGAGAGTATCTACAGAGTTTAATCGTTCTCCATTGTGTTTCCAGGCTATTTTCTCGCCCTTACAATTAATTGCGCAGAGAATCCGAGAGCTCGACACTGGTCATCGAATCATATCCTGGCCCGCCCGAGTCAAAATACACTGACACTGAAGCCATGTCATCCTTCAACGACCAAGGTTTCCCTGTAGTTCATCTCTCCGATGATGGTTGGTCCAATGAGGACGAAGCCACTGCTACCTGCTTTTGCGGAGCTGTGCAACTAGTTTTGGTGAGTCCCCGAAGGATAAATTCGCTGCAAAACCTGATGCTCGTAGTCCTCGCCTTATTTCCCTCTGCATACACGGCCTCTAGCTTCTCTAGCTAACAAATATCTACAGCCACTCCAAAAACCCGGTCTCATAAACCGCCACATCTGCCACTGCACCGATTGTCGCAAAATTGGCTCCGCCTTCTACCAATCCAACATTACCGTCCTCTCCACCCACCTCAAACACACCCGCGGCTCCGAAAACCTCACCACCTTCAGCGAAACCAAAACCATCCGCGCCTCCACCTCCATGGAAAACGATTTCTGCAAAACTTGCGGGACACTGATGTATAGACGTGGAGAAAGGTTTCCTGGATTGACGATTTTGAGGACGGGAACGGTGGATGATTTGGGGTTGGCGGAGGGGAGGTTGAGACCGCAGGTTGAGCAGTTTATTGAGAGGAGGGTGGGGTGGTCGAAGCCGATTGAGGGGGCGGCGCAGGTGGTGGGGATGCATGGGCCAGAGGATATTGAGGGTATTCCGTAAGACATTGACGTGGATGAGAGCGTAGGTGTCAGCGGCTATATGTAAAGATTAGAACATGCCTCTAGTTATAACGTTGTGCCTACAGAAGAGTGGAGGATAGGCAGATTGAGGATAATGAGAAGTTTTTGATTGGAGCAGGCGCTCACTTTTCGGAGATGATCATCCAGCAATTATCGGAGGTATAATCAGCGAATTCTCGCAAGCGGGACGAGTTGATTCGGGCGATGAGGAAGCTGATGATAAGGCGAGATTGTGATCTGTTACACTGTTACACTGTTGGAGAGCGGTCTGATTTGTCCTGTACGAATAAACCAAACTTTCTCCAACATGGGTTGCCCGAAGTCAAAATGGAGGACTGATTGAGATCTTACTACTTGCTCATTGAGGGCAGTACTTTCTCGGGATGTCCCTTAGATCTGCACATAAACTCGGTTCTGGGAGAGATATTACATATATTGAAGTCATAGTTGCAGTATCGGGCAAGAGTCGATCATGACATTGCGTCAGGCTGGAGTGCCACCATGGAAGTGCCGACAAACATCGCCAGCAATAGCTGTCGCTCTTGGATACTGGAGAGTCAATAGAACGCATTGAGAAGCTGGAATTAAGAAGATGCTCCTTTGCATCTACAAAAGTGGTGATCAAGCTACTGAAATCAACGACCACGCTGACTGTGGGAATGTGTTTTGTATTAAGAAAGATACGGTAGCTCATATGCCCAGCGCTTTCCGAAGTTCCCGAGGGTCAAACTCTATGATTGCCACTTCTCCCTTGTGGTTCACCATTGCCAGCTTGTTGCTCCATGAATCGTGTTTCGCAAAGGACCAATCATCAGGTGGTCGCAAAATCTTTCTACCATGCCATCTGATCCATCCTTCTGGTTCCCATTGGCTGAATTCCAAGGGTTGTCCAAGATCCAAGCAAGGCGATCGCAACGGCTTGAGGTCGATGGTCCCTCTAAAAGTCCTTAAGTATCTACCGTCATCTGAGAATGACAGACTCCGCTCTCTGCCAATCCCAACCGTCTTCCATGCATCAAAGATTCGAAGCAGAGCGTTGGTCTCGAGACTCCATAAATACCCTTCATCATTCCCCTCCTCAGACCAGGTATACGCAAGCATTGATGCGTCACTCGAAAATGCTGCCTCGACTACGTGTGCCAAGGATCCACCCCGGGGCGGGTCTCGGAAGATAGTTTCAATGGCGTTTGACCGATAGTTCCAAACTATAGCATTGCCAGCAACGTCTATCGAAGCGAGTTTTGCATCACTGGGAGAGAATTTGAGTGCTACGATAGCGCAAGAATGACCATCCAATATCATCATACATTCTCGCAATTTTATGTCCCATATGTGGACTTTGAAGTCGAATCCAGCAATCGCAAGCAATTGACTTGAGCTTGAGAAAGCTGTGATGCATACTGAATCGATGTACAACGAGTTCTTCTCATCAATGTTGTAGACGTACGTTCGGCGCGCGTTCGAGTTGTTTGCTCCTTGTGCAAGCACATGTTTTCCGTCCGGAGAGATGCTGAGATTCTCGACGAAGGAGAGATTTGGTTCGATGATCGTGGAGATATCTTGAAGAGCATCCAAAATACAGAGCTCCGTCGGCTTATCAAATCTCTCGCTGGCATAGAGAACCTTAGTGACATCGACAGAAAGAAGTATGTGCGTGATAGTGCTTCCCTTCTCGCGTACTGATTTCCATGACAACGTCGAGACATCCCATATCGTGGTGTAAGCTCCTACGTGGGCTAGCATGCTTCCATCAGGAGAAAATCGTACTCCGCAGTAATCGGAAGGGTCGACGAGGAAGGTGCAAATACGATCAGCAGACGTGATGTCATGCAAGAACACTCTGTCATCGTCTGTTTGTAAAGCGACACGAGTCGAATCCGATGAGAAAACCAGGCTCGTGAATGAGCTCTCAGAAGTTATCTTTGTGTTCAAACACTGTCCAGTCGTAGTGTTGAAAAGAAACAAGTCATGCCTGTTCTTCGAGGTTGCCAAAACAGATCCATCAGGACTGAGCCAGTGTGTCAGTTTCGTGTCCAGGTTTCGACTGTCGCCAGAATTTCCGATACCCAGTGTTATCGTGTGCAGTGTGTTCGAACTAGGACTCCAAGATATCATTTTCGCTCCGTTCACAATGATTAGATCGTTGTTTGTAGAGAAGCGGAGAGTTGTTGAATCGTCAATGTCTTCAAGTGATATCTGGAAATGCAAGGACTTTGTCTCAATATTCCACAACTTGACGCTGTTGTCAGAAGATACTGTGGCAATCAACGAGCTGTCGTTCGAGATCTCCAGCGCGTGAATGTAAACTGGTTCACGTAGACCGGGTCCCAAACTTCTTGCGAGCTCTGCTAAAGTGCGGTGAAGCTCTCCTGCCGTTAAGGTCCAGTGAAGTTCTGCTTCCGCTACAGTCCATACATTTACTTGATCTTGGGAGATAGAGACGAGAAAGGAACCGTCGGGAGAGAACAAGAACTCCTCAATCGCATATCCAGAGGTTTTCAAAACGTAATCCAACGTTCTAGCCACCGTGTCATAGAGCCAGATGCTAGCCGCATCAACCATGAGGGCGAGATGCTTCCCATCTGGTGAGAATAGCAGATTTTCGCCTGTCGAAAGCACTTCAAACGAGTCAATCGGAATTCCACACTTTACACTCCAGATCTCGACACAACGGTCCGATAAAATTGCAATTCTATTCGAGTCCGGAGAGAATACAAGCGACATCAGCATCGATGCAGTGTTAGCATACCTTGACGCCGGCGCCTTGAGAATGCACCGGTCCCATTGATCAGAAGGTGAACGATATTTCAACAGCCAAGATGACCTCTCCTCGGAGGATACCTGACAGACTAGGCTGTTCTTGGGACTGAATATCAGAGCCGAACAGTATATTTGTAAAGGGTTCTTTGCGATGACGGATCCGTTACTGATCATGAACTTCCTGGCGTCCCAGCAGAACAGCTTTAAGTCGGTCCCAAAATCCTGTTCCTCGTTAGTCATTTTCTGGAACCGAGTCTTGTCATAAATCACCAGAAGTTCGTAGAGTCTAGAGATTGATTCGACAGCCTCAGCGTATTTGTTGAGCCAGGACATAGCTTCCACCCAATGCAACAGATGTTTATGCAAAAAGATGTCAACCGCGCAGTGATTGGTTGTGTCGATTCCGCCACGTTCCAGATGGATGTTCCAGTGGCAAACTGCATATTGAACATGCAATGGTAAACCGTACAATATCTTCGCTGGATCAACACGAGGATCATCTCTTGCTACTCCTGGGTCTTTCAGGTCACAGAGATCTTGCTTGAGATGAACAGACAAGACATGGAGACAGTCTTTGAAAGTCTGACGATGTGCTGTCTTGGTGTTGACAGCTAGATGATCTTTCGTACATCTTTGTCCATCCGAAACGAACTCGCGAAATGTCTCATGGAGTAATGTGATCGGTGATTCGATCCCTGATTGCTTGATGACTGAGCGCAGTCTGTGCAATATGGCCATGATGTCAAATTGAGAAACATGGGTCAAGCAAGCTAGTGTGCTGGCGGACAGATCGTCCTGCAAAACAACGATACTGCCGACTACGTGATCGTACAAGTCTTTCGAACGGTCCTTTTCGCTTTCAGAGAGTTTTGATAGGTTCTTGAAAGCATTGGTTAAGACCGTAAGGTACATGTCGTCAAGCGCTGTCGTATGTCCTTTTCCTTGCAATGTGGTCTTATTCAATACGGTTTGAAGTCGGCTCTGTGAATGCTGACAATCCTCTTCTAGGTATAGGCAAAGCGTAACTGCATAGATGAACAGGCCTCCACATCGACGCAAGAGTATGTCCAAAGTGTGCAGGCCAGGCCAGTCTTCGGTAAACCCTTCTTGATGATCTCTGATAGCGTCGAACCTGCTATGAAGAAATCGTGCAAGGTCGGCGTCAATGACATGCTGAGGCACATCATCGAGAGACAGACTCGAGTGGAGAATTTTGCGCTTGTCGCTGAACTCCAGGCGCACAAGGGTTTCAGGTCTACTAGTGATGATTATTCGAAGTCTTGCTTGAGGCAACTGCTGACGTGCCATTGTTCGAATTATGCCCTTGATATCATTCTCATTTGAGCACTCGTCCAAGGCGTCAACGACAAGAACGGCAGATGTAGTTGGTGAAACGTCTTGGAGTTTTGCGAAGAAAGACGAAAGCGGACGGATAATGAGCTTGTCCCATTGCTCTTGTCGAGACTTGCGTATGACATCTGGGTCTTGACGCAGCGTTTCCCGCAAGGCATCCTGTAATGCTACGTGCGCTGAGCTCGTAGCTTGTGTTGCCGTATCCCTTCGGGTCGCCAATTGTTTTGCTAGAGTAGTGAAGAGGAACGAGGCGCTTTCAGAATCACCACTGCCCCTGGAGAAGAAGAAACTTGCCACCAAGCACTTTCTTCTCTGGAACTCATGTGCGACTGTGCGTGCAATGGTTGATTTTCCGGTTCCAGCCATTCCACTCAGCCAAAAGATACACCTGTCATCATCATCGGACTCTTGCCACGAGTAGATGTCCTGCTGCACCTGATCGCGAGTACCCTCCAAGCACAGTGGATCATCCTGGTTCTCGGCTGAGTCGTGGGAAGCCTCATGTACAATAGGCAATTGGTTGAGTGGGTCTTGTCTATACCACGCGTTAACTTAACTTGTCCAAACGACGATTTCGCAGTTCCTTACCCCGAAGTGAAGTACACATCGCCGTTTATCTGGCTGGCGCCGTTTGTCGCGCTCGGTCTTTGATAACTATGGCCGGTGTCTCTCAAATGAGCCATCGGTATGGGTCAAAAGATGAAAAAGGTTGTCTCGCAGACCCAGAAGGTGGAGGAGTTGGGAAGCCAAGGAGGACTCGTGATCTGCAGCCTCATGCAAGCCTTGCAGCCACAGAAAATCTCCGCCAATCGTAGACGGTCCGCGGCAGCTTCGGTTCAAAACAGCGGCTTGCACAAGAGCGAACGCAGTCGTAAGACGGTGAGGCATTCAGGTTTCTTATCTCGAGTTGCTCAACACCGCCACGTCGCTGCGATGTTCGGTTTTGCAATCGAGTAGATTCGCACGCTAACGCTTGCAAGAGGGTATTGAGACAATGGAGGGGATGAGACAGGTGCATGGCAACACGTGACTGATTAAATCTATCTTGTAAGACTGTCTCAACTCCTCCTCTGTCTCAATACCCCCTTGCGCGCGTTGTTCAACGCAGGGCCCTGTACAAAAGCTCGCTCTGTTCGGACGAAGCTCTGAAGTTACGAAGCTTCGCTCTATTTACGCAGCTTCTAGAACGATGGTTGGCATGAAGTAATCATAGCTTCATCGGTCATAGGAAAAACACAAAAAGCCGACGCGCAGACGACATGATGGTGCGAAACCCCTTCATGACCAGGTCTATGTCTTTAATATCGATCCGGTCCCCCATACACGTTGCCACAATGTTGTTTGGTACCTTTGCCTTCAGCGAGAGCCTTATGGTAGGTATGAGATAAGCCCCCAGTGGGACCCCGGTAGTCTTGATGAATGTGGTCGCCATGATGAGCGGCAGCCCCATCGCGCGTAATGGGTTCAAAAAAGGTCGATCCATGAGCTTGCATCGCTTCCTGAGCCGCAGTCGCCAACAGCGGATCCTGATCATCTGCGATACTCTTGACGAATGGAAGACTTTCATCGCCAAGGACACTCAACTCAGCAGTGGAGAGCTCTTGTTGTCGCTGCTTGGTTGCCGGAAACAGATTGACCAGCTGGGCCGTCAGGTCGGTAATATCTTCGACCAGGTTCTCAAGGTCGTTCTTCCTATACAGTGCCCAAGCCGCCTTTTTCAAGAAACCTGTGTTCCGTTGGCGCTGAGTGACTATACGCTGAACTCTTCGGTGCAGCTCCAGATCGTCTGGATCCAATGTTGCAACGGCATCCCCACTCGTGCGCTGCTCGTAGCGTTTTGACAGATGCTGTGCATCATCGAGTAGATGGAGGATATTTCCGAGGGCATTCTCGGCTTTCGCAATATTGTCTGATGAGCCAAGTGCAGTTGGCAGCTGCGTTGTTTTCGTGATCGAACCCAGTTCAAGTGCCTCTCCCCAACGGCTCAGTTGTAGTCTGGAAAGATCGAGCTTCGCTTGACTAGTCTCAAAATCTCTTGCGTATTGTTTGCCTAGACGGACATAGCCGTAAGTGTCGACGACATTGTTGAAAAGTCCTGCAAGAGCAACGGCTCCGATTCCGAGGCCGCCTGCTTCCATGTTGGAGAAGAGCAGATCTGATTCTCTCGGTCGTGGTGGTTTGGAAGGATAAGAGTTCTCTGTGGAAATAGAAGTCGAGGATGTAACGTGGCATGGCGCAGGGGCTGGCTGGAAGGAATATGTCGGACCAAGCCAGGCATGCAGCTACGGCACTGCCTTGAGGCATTGCATGGATGTCGTGAGCACGAGGCTGCGCAGCCGCATCTCAACAATGCGGCAGGTGATCCAACAGCTCGCTTGGAGGTTTGGTGGCGCATTCTGCGATCCAGCCTTGGAAATCGATCGTGACTGCGGGCAAAGCAACTCGAGAGTCATTGGACAAAGCGTGGACAAAGATGAGGGAAGTCACGAAGCGGGGTGCTTGTTGACCCGGTAGCTTGGCAAAGATCTCCGCATCTTATCAGATTCAAGGGGGGCAACCCTGCTTTGCTCTAGACCACTGACTAAACGTCTCAGCAGCCACTGTGAACTCGCAACGATCATCGGGCATAAATTTATTAATGGAATCGATATGGTTTTCTTTGCCCCTCCTACCGGGACACACACTAAGAGTCGATGTGGACGATAGCCTTGTTGCTTTCCAGGTCGTTTTCTTCGGCTTGCTTGACTCACACAAAGCTAAATTTCAACATCACTAAGCCCATGCTGCCTTTCGGATTGTAGGGGGTCACTTGAGAGAGCAATCCGCCCCTCGAAAGAGTCGAGATTTCGCAAATACAATGCTGGTGGCGAAGAAACAGCCTCCCGCGACAACGAAACATCTACTGTGACCTTTTTGACAGGGTATGACAGTATGATGTGCAGGTGAGTCGTGGAAAGCTTTTAGGCACGACCTAGACGAAAATATCATCAAGTCCGGAGAAGAAGTCGGATGAGCCTCTTTCAAACTGTAACGCGACTCGTTAGAGAATGACTCGAATGGAGAGATCAGCTTTGTGCTCAACTTACATCGAAGAGATCTGTGTTCAACCATTCTGCAAAGGTGCCGACGTCTGAGACAAGGGATGTCTGCGTTGCTGACTGATTCTCGTTTTGTGTTGATTGCACAGCAACGCGCGCAAGACCATTCTGCAGCAATGGCTGCTCTTGATATCGCTTCGATGAAGGTGTTTGCTGGCTTCCAGTGTGCTTGGAGTGTAGGTCCAAGAACTTTTGAGCGCAGATGTACTGCGCCGTTTGCGAGTCAGTCTTACCCAGATGGACTTTGAGAATCAGGTACGCGGCACACATGGTTATGGAGCACCAAGGTTCACTGTTACAAGATTGTAAGTACCTACTTTCTGTAATCGGTACGCATCGCTCCAGCAGATCGATGGTAGCATCAGAGCAGCCCATGATGACGCTGTTGGAACCTGAGGGAACCTCCGTGAGCCATGAGTATGAAAATGATATAGCATTTGACTTACGCAATGGCTGAAGCATGGTGACACGAACAAGGCTCAAGGATGCCAGCAGAAGATCCTCGCGGACCTGGACAAGACTTTGGAGACCCAAGTCTTTGAGCTCGAGATTTAGCAAAAGAATGTCACGCGACACATGGTGGCAGACATCTTCCGAGAGCGGGTGTTTTGAGTTGTCACAATTCAAGTAGGGTCGATGAATGGCCAAAATACATTCCATCAGCTGGAATTGGAGGAAGGCATTGGTGACCTTGTGTAGGCCTTTTTGAGAACAAAAGCCCCAACTTGGCAGCTTCGCGATGTGCTGTGTGAGTTCGTGTGTGTAGTGTAACACTTCGTCATAGGTGAATGACTGAGACAGGGCCGGGCTGTACAAACGGCGGGAAATGTCGACCCGAATGGCCCAGCTTTGAGCGCTGAGAGCTTGATAAGATGTGCCGGTATGGCGTTTGAAAGGCTCTGCTCCAGGTAGATCAACCAAGGCCTCATCAAGTGCCTCGTCATCAATGTTGGACGGTGGTGGGACATGAGAGTCGATATTGTGTAGGAGTGTAGGTAGGCCATGCTCGTACGAATTCTGAAGGTCGAGCTCCCGAATCGTGAACCATATCCGACGTCTCATCTCTGTTGCGAAGGTACTGTCATCACGAGATAACAACGTATCGTCGTGCAGACCATCAATCATCGCCTTTTGGACAAGCAAAGCTGACTCGCTCCAGAATCGCTTCTTGTGAACCATATTTATGCGTTTGGCCAGGTAAACCAGACAAGCGATTTGATAGTGTATGAGTCTATGGCATTTGGGGCTCTGACGCTTCGACCAATCCTCGCAAGCCATCAGCCACCTAGCTGAATCATTGCGACAATTGGCTCCAAGTGACGACGTAGAGGCAGAAATGGTGATCATAGAGAGAACAAGAGCGGTGGTTGCAGGTGAGCGCCGCTCATTGGGGACCCAGAATTTGGCATATTCGCGTGCGAAAGTTGGTACATGTATCACGCGATGAAGCAGTTCACAATGGTCAAGGTAGAACTTGACGAGGATATCCGTATCGTCTTGCGAAGGAAGAAGAAGATCCAGCGAAGACAGATTCTCCGGTGGTGAGGTCACATTGTATTTTTTCAAATGTACACCTGCAGGCTTCAGCCAGACTTCAACGCTTCCTGAGATGAACGGGTAAAGCTCTGGAATCTGATTTCTGTCAAACGAAGAACGGATGGCAAAGGGCAGCAAAAGCAGGAATATACCTCGACAAAGAATTTGAACAGGCTATGCTGAGCATAGTATATGCGTGGGGCTCTATCCTTCGGATGGGTCGATGATTGATGAACTTTCCAAGCAGGAACCTCATCTTTGGACTGTTCGATTGAGCTTTCAGTCGCGGGCAGCGTCGCCGAAGATGTTGGCGGAGCGGCGAATCCGCCAGTCTGCTTACTAAGCAAGCTCCGAAGCTGTTCAACTTCGGCACGCAGACGGCGAACTTCATCGTGGTTTGAAGGCGAAGCTTGTCGCTGATGCTCAGGCTGCTGGTTCGCCGTCGGCGGTTGACCATTCTGCGAGTCATAAATGCACAAATGTGCCCTTCCGGTCTTGACACATCTCTGGCAAGGCCAATCGCGGTTGCATGCTAGCTGGACAAGACACATCAGCAGCCGGAGAAAATGGACAAACGCCGAGTTCACCTTCTTCGCGCGGCATTCACCGCAACTGAGCTGGACGCGCTGCCTGCGTACTCGTTTCACAACACGCCCGTCGACCAAATTTGGAGTCGCTTCGGAGGAGGTTGCATTTTCGGACATCGTGTCGTGGCACGAATCTGTGTCCTGGTTCGTGTGTTGCTCAAGGCATGCGAATTCGTAGGAAGGACAGAATCTCGGATTTAGAGTCCCAAGAAATATCTCCGACCATCTCCGGCGCTAATAGACTGTCGCTATGCCTGCCAACAAGCATGGACAACATTCCATCGGCGACAAACATGATCTCCGACACTGTGCTGGGTATAGATCAGGAGTCGTTCTCTTGCTATTGGCCACCACTAATTCATTGTATCGTGTTGGTTTCCTAGCATCATTAAAACGTAAGTCGGACTTATCGCCCTTGATACATCTCCTTCGGACGATTCGGAGATGCCTTTAGCACGCCTGTGTGCTTTGATATATAAACTTCCCTCAGCAAAGTGAATTCCATCTTTCCACTATTCCCAGTCTGCTTTCCAACACTCAAGGTACCAAGTACCGAGCTTGCATCACCGTCAACATGTCTGCATCCTCAGACCTCACGACTGATCTATCCACGCCTCGCGATGAGTCCAGAGCTGATAAAGAGCATGTCTCCACAGGCGAGCCCGAACCTGTGATGCCGCTGTTCCCTGAAAGCGGAACGAAAGCCTGGCTGGTCGTGCTCGGATGCTGGTGCACTTCATTCGCTTCCTTCGGCATTGTCAATTCGTTCGGGTGAGTTTGGGCCGTTACCTGACAGAAATGTTTGTCGGTCTGATTGGTCATAGTGTGTACGAGACATACTACCTGCAAAACTTCCTCAAGGATCGCTCTTCCGCAGACATCGCTTGGATTGGCTCTATTCAGACTTTCACCCAGTTCTCGGCCACTCTGCTCGCCGGACCCATCAATGATCGCTACGGTCCGATGGTCTGCTTGTTTCGTCTCCTACTGTCCTGAACCTTACTGACTGGATACACATAGGTTCTGGTTTGGCCCTTCTCGCTCTTGCTCGTGATTGCTATGATGCTCACCAGTCTCTGCACTGAATACTACCAGTTCATCTTGTGCCAAGGCATTCTATTAGGCATGTCTTGTGGTCTTGTATTTGCTCCAGCTCTCTCCGTCATCGGTCACTACTTCTTCAACAAGCGCGCAATGGCCATGGCACTCGCTTCGACGGGTTCTCCCCTTGGCGGCATCGTCTATCCCGTCATCCTGAACAATTTGATCCCTAGCATTGGTTTCGGATGGGCTCAGCGCGTCTGCAGCTTCTTGAGCCTTTTTCTGCTCGCTATTGCTGCCGTCAGTCTTCGTCCCTCTGGTATGAGAAGGAAGGGCAACTTCATCCTTCTGGATGCGTTCAGGAATCCTACCTATTCGCTCCAGGTGGCTGCTATGTTCATGGTACTTCTTGGTCTCTGGACACCCTACTTTTATCTTGCAAACTATGGCTTGGCTCATGGCATGTCGGCCAATCTGGCTGGCTATCTTTTTGCACTCATCAATGCCGGCTCCTTTTTTGGACGTATCTTGGGCGGGCTCCTTGCAAATCACGTTGGACAATTCAATGTCGTTACTGTCGCTTGTTATTTATCTTCCGTGCTACTCTTCTGCTGGCTCGCCATTTCTTCATCGGCAGGATTGGTCGTCTTTGCGATCTTGTTTGGTGCGGTCAGTGGTGCTATCATCGCCCTCATGATGCCGCTTTTTGCTCATACGGCAGATCATCCCAGCAAGGTAAGTTTATTAGAGCTGCACAATGTTCCCGCATCGTCTAACTTCGACAGATTGGCACCTACATCGGACAATCAACCTTCGTGGTCGGTTTCGCGGGTCTCATCGGCACGCCCATTACTGGAGCCCTCATCACCAACGATCATGGGTACTCTCACGGCATCGTCTTCAGTGCCAGTGCTGCGATGGTCGGTGCTGTTCTGATCATCGTTGCGAGATATTCCTTTGCGAATGACAGAATTATTGCTTGAGTCTGTACAGTATTCTATGAGGCCTCTGCTTCTAATCAGTAACGTCATGAGTACACAACACGTGTGTTATTATTCCAGCTTACCAAAAATCATTCCGCGACAACAAGGGTATCGCGAGTTATCTTCTTCATCTGGCTGTACAACGGATTCACTCTGGTCTTTCAGCTGTACAGCCACTACTACAATTCCATCATCAGTATTTAACTCCCATCTTGGAAGATTATCAGGCGTTCTGTGAGCTACCTGACAGTTCTGGTCCGTGGGTTGCAAAACACGCAGTCGAGGCTCACTGCATTCTGTGGTCTAATAATCAGCTTTACACCTTACACAGACTGCGATCTCCATCTGACCACCCAAGGGTATCAAGCAGATGCAACGAGTCGATATCCCACAATCCACTCATACAAAATTCCTCTGCTCAACTCATTGACTGCGAGACATGCCATTGCTCATACATCATCACACCAGCACCTTGCACACCTTCTCTCATCCAACGATCACCATTAATATACTCCACAGCCTCAGCCACCGAGCCATGACTCTTTAGCGAAAGCAGCAAATCTCGGCATTCAGACACACTGCCTTGTCGTAAACGATCGAGTACATATTTGTAAGCTTCCAATTGCTTATTCATCGCTTGTCTTTGGCTTTGTCCTGGATTCACGGTGTATTCACACTCGGTGGCTCTGTCGGTGCAGATTTTGCAGCTAGGACGATCGCCATTACACTGTGTGCCAAATGTCAGCGATGTTGTTTTGTTGCGGATAGGGGAGGTGGAAGGTTGGGCAACTACTTTGGATTTACGCTTTCGACAAGCCAGACATGCGGCTTTCACCAAGGGGCCTCTGACGCGTATTGATTGCTCGTGGTGGCGTGATGTGATTTCATGCGAGGTATTGTTTTGTTTTGGGTGAGGGTTTTGCTGGGTTTGCAATCGTATCGATACAGAGTCTGGTGGAACGGTGGCAGGAATAAAAGGCAGGTCCTGCATTGCCGTCATTTCGGGTATCTTCTCTTGCTGTCCTAGGCAGGTATCTCGGGTTGTTGGCGACGTATCTTTGTGGACTGTCCTCTTTGACGATGCTAATGTCGGATATGTATCATCTTGAGTTGACTGAAGCAAGTTGCATATTTTCATCGTGTGCGACATGGTCGAATTGAGTTGATCCAGTAGGACTCGATTGCCAGGCGCGTTTTCGCAGTAAGAGCAGAGCGATCCAGCGTTGGAAAAATAACGATATGGAAATGCCGAAAGATTCTGGAAGAGCATTTGTACTTTCCTGGTCGCATAAAGACTAAGGCGTAACGCATCGTTTTGCCCTAGATCCTGTTCACCTCTTCTACTTGATCCGGAGCGCAGTTCCGCCTAATGTAGGCTTTCCGCTTGCATGGCGCATGGGTCTCGATCAGCGGAGCCGCAGCTATGATACGTTATCACAGCTATAACACATAACTAGACAGAGCTTCTAGATAAGCAAAAAACGACTGCTTCCACGCAGAGACATATTTAGGCTAAGCCTGGCAATATCCGTATTGATTTCTTACATACCGTGCGCTCGTGCTAAAGTGGCGGATTGGGAAAACAACGGGGCTGGGCTCTGGCTCATCGACAAATCGAAGATTTGCTGCAAGCCACAGTGATAGTAGTAGGATTCTAGATTGCGTCATCGTTTTGCATCCTTAGTTTGAGCAAATGATGGAAAGTAAGTGGCATTTGCAGCAAGAGGGTAAGCGCATATAAGGTTATAGGCGTGCGCACATATTGCCAGGGAATGGCATACCAAAAAGCACTTTTTGGACTGTCCTTGCGCCAATCGCCAAAAGTTTATCACGACCATAGACTGTCGATTATAGCAAGGGTGGTCAATTGTCGCCACATCAAGTCGTATTCAACGGGTGAAAAGGGCATTGGTAGACAGTTCCTTGTTTTCTAACAAATTGTGTTGACACTAAGTGACACCATGGGATCGCCTCTGTGCTTCCCCCACCGAAGCAAGACCATGTTTGAGGGCTCATCACTAATTTTCGCACACCTTGTACTGTTTGCAGATCTCGCAAGATTGACCAGCTCCCGTCAAATGTCCGTCCCGACTTGTCGTCCACTGGCCGGGAACTTCAGTTGAATCGCGCAGTCGTTCTCTAATAAACAGGGACCTTGAAAGCAGGGAAAGTATAAGTCCAGCTATCAATCGAAGCTTGGTCATTGACACACTTCCAGGCATCGTTCTTCCAGACAGGTCTGGTAGGCCATTGGCAAAGTTTCTGGACTTCGCCAGAGTACTGACCAGCAGAGACGGTCGCATTAAGTCCAGTGGGCTTGATTCCATTCTCAACCCAATCGATCATGGTGTTCATGTTGTCCTCAGGGAAAGGACCATCGGGTTGGAGAGAGTTGGAGGCGCAGTGAGCGGCACCGGGGACGAGATAGAATTGGTACCAATCCTCGAGAGCCTGGAGAGATTGTTCGTGAGAGTAGGAAGATTCGGGGTACATGATTGAGCGGACAGATTGCCAGTAGTGGACAGACGAAGCAGGAGGGACGGAAGGATCAGACTCTCCGTGGTAGTGAAGGAGTTTACCACCGGACTCCTGGAAAGGAGTAAGATCTGGAAGGGTGGTCTGAAGAGAATCGAGGTAGCGGACCATGGCAGTCTGCATCCAGTCAACTAGAGTGTCGTACGTAACGCCATCGAGGGTGGTGAGGTTATCTTCATCGATCAATTCAACCATCTTGGTGACGAATTCGCCGCCAGTGGAAGGGATGTTGAGCTCCCAGGAAGAAGTCTCATTGTTCCAGGTGGGATCAGCATCCGATGAGAGAGATGAGCCGTGCTGCCAGGAGATGTAGGCACGGTCGCCCTTGAGGTTGTGAAGACCGTTGTAGATACCCTTGACAACAGCGATATCCTGAGCGGTGATGGTTCCGTTCTGAGCAGGGGTTGAGCTAGTAGAGCTGCCAGCAATGCCGTCTCTCTTTCCGAAGCCGAAACCAAGGGAGGAACTGGTTGTAGCGGCGCAGTAGTAAGACTCGCCTACGAGAGTGTCCAAGTCGAAGTGAAGCTTGCAGAGGTCGGTACGGGAGATGACACCGTCAGTTCTTCCATCAAGAGGGTCACAAGCCGCGATTGTAGCATTGACGATTTTGGCCATGGAGCAAGGAGGAGGATAGTGATCCAAAGTGTGCTCAACAGCGACGGAGGTGAGATGACCGACTTGTTGCTGACCATAGCGCATAGCAGGAGCGCCGGCGACAACACCGTCGTACTCCTCTCCCCAGCGCTGAACTTGGCTCATACCTTGACGACCACCATCGGAGCAGCCTTCGAAATAGGTGTAAACTTTGGTGCCGTTGTTGTTTCCGTAGAAAGGATTGGCCATTGCCTTGCCCAGAGATGTCATTTCGCCGATGCCCTGGTAGGCAAACATGTAGGTAGCATCCCAGTTGATTGAGCCATTGCCCTTAAGGTTGACTTCATCGTAAGTGGTGCTGAAGGCGTCGTAACCAGCATCCGTGATGGCACCGATGGCACCGTAGGTGAGGCCACCAGTAGTGCTGCTTGGGAGCGAGTAGCCAAATCCACCTGCGACATAGAAGCGCTTCTGGAAGTCGGATGGTTGAGGGAAGGCATACTGCACGACAACTCTGTCATCCTTGCCAGTGTGGGTGTAAGTCACAGTGACGTTGCAGTAGGTGAGTGTTTCGCTGGTGGTGCTTCTTCGCATCATGAAACTACCGCCGGCGGTGGCGTTGACGACGGCATTTGCAGTCACAGACGAGATAATGGGCTCAATGCCAAGGAGAGTGTTGTTTGCGGGCAAAGCTGCCTGCACATTCTCGACAGTGCAGACGTCGGTCAGAGACTTCGCGGCGGCAGACAAGCCGGCAAGGGCGCTGAAGATGATCAAGGTAGTTTGGGGCATGATGGCCGATAAGTGAATGTAAGAAGAGTATGTGTGTGATGTTGCGATGAAGGGAGTAGAGGAGGAAAGAGGTAGTACTTATATGATTGAGTCAAAAAACATCCAATGATACTGCTCAGTGCGTGCATCAGGGCAGTGTGTAGGAGTCGTCATCAAGAGCGTTTCATGTTTGGACTTGACCTCGACCATTTGACCGCTTGCAATACCGCGTGTGCATGTTTAGGTTGTGGCGGAGGTTGACAAGGAACGGCTGGAGGTAATGAAATTGTCCAAACGATGTTATGAGTCGCGATGCGTATGCCCCCAGGGACGCATTGGTCATTCAGGCACATGGCTTGGACAGTCGACATTGGCCGGCTATCGATAGCCGACTGGCCGACACAGACATTTGTGGTCTGAGACTGAATGCTGAACGAACGAGATGAAAGTCAGGGAAAGAATGGGTTGGAGTCGAAGCATCTGTGCGCCGCTCTTGGCAATCCTCGGCCTGCTGTGATTGGCTTGCTCGTTTGTACACTCGCGCACGGACAGAACAGGTCAAGCTTCGGCTTTGTGAAACGCGGACAATGACAGCATCTATTTCTTCGGGGACTTCCTAAATCTCGTATGTACACTATGCCTGACCGTTCATCTACTTTGAGACAGCATCATTGTTCAAGTCGACCGCCAGGATGCCTCGATTGAAGCCGGGCGAAAGGAAGCGGGCCTATGTCCCCAAGAGTCGGTCAGGCTGCCCGACATGCAAGTGTGTACTTCCCATGGTCTGAGGCTTCCCGCTTCGTTGGCTGATATTTATTTCTTTTCAGAAGTTTGTTGATGATCCCACGTTGAGCTCTCCATAATCTAATGTGGATCAGTTCGGCGTGTCAAATGCGACGAGAGGAGGCCGCATTGTCGGAGATGCACCTCTACGGGCCGCAAATGCGATTATGACCGCAGCCTCTCACCTCACAGCGTTATAAGTGGTACATCTGTCACCGAGAGTCCTGTCTCCCACCCTAGGCTCAGCCCATGTCTCGACGAGCAAGAAGGACGAGCCCTGGACTTCTTTCGTTCTGTTACCCTCCCTCAAGTAGCAGGAACTAATCATCGGGACTTCTGGGGCAAATTGATCCTGCAAGGAGCTCACTTCGATGAAGCCACATACCATGCACTTCTTGCGCTTTCAAGCGTTCACGAGAATTATGTCACAGGCAAGGACGCAGGGGCTCGCCTCGACGCTTTTGCACTCAAGCAGTATAATATGGCTATCAGAGACCATCTTGATGTGCTTACCGTACTGTCTCGATCTGATGAGGTCGAAAGACCCTTCATCTTACCCTGCTCCATCATCTTCATTTGCATAGAGGTACGTTCGACCGGGTTGTCTTCTTGATTGGATGCTAAGATCCTACAGTTGATGCAGAATCATTTCAAATCAGCCATTCTTCTACTCAAAAATACCTTCACCGCCCTCTCAATGTTACAAGCCCGAGACAAGGAGAAATCGCTCGATCACATAAAGACAGGCTCGACCGACCAAGAGCTTCTCCTCAGCCGCCTACAATTTCAAGCTCGAGCTCTTGTCGGCCCAAAATGGGGCCACACATATCGCTTACGCCCGATCATCGCCCACGTTGAGATACCCCCCAGTTTCTCCTCTGTTGGTGAAGCTAAGGACTGCTTCCACACTCAGACATATATACACGGTCCTTCTGGTAAGACCAAGGATTCTCCGGAGAAGCCAGACTGGCCCTCAGGCTACAAAAGCGCTTTAGACGCATATCTCTCATCCCTCACATCCCCACTGAGTCTTGAGGATAATCATCGCCTTCGTCTTATCGAAATACACCTACTTACTATCCCTTTGGTGCCGAAGCTTAATGGCCCTAACTCCAGCAGCAACATTGTCGACGAAATGCACTGGGACCAGTATACGACAACCTTCAGCAAGATACTTGATCTGGCAGCGAGCACTATCTATGATTTGGACACTCATCTGGCCCCATCATTTTCTCTCGACTTCGGCATCATAGGTCCTCTCGGTATCTTGACAAGTCGATGTCGCGATCCAAGTCTACGGCGCAAGGCAATACATCTTTTGCGCATCTACAATCGTCAAGAGGGCATGTGGCACAGTTCTTTGACTGCCAATGTCGCAGAGAGACTAGTCAAGATCGAAGAAGCTGGTCTGGTCAAAGTCGAGCACTGTACAGATATTCCGCTGGCAGCACGTGTCTCGGAGGTGCGACTCCATCACGACCTGGATCAGCAACAAGTTATGCTGTGTTATTCACGGCAACAGAGCGCTGTGGAATCCTTGAGGATACATGTCCAGGAGAAGATAGCATACTGGTAGTCAGCCTACAATGCGTTCGAAAAGATGTCTGGCTATCATATCATATTCATCAGTGTGCCCAGGCCGCTAATGGCGCGAGGCTCTGATAGGATATGTGACTCGAGCCTCATTTGATGGGATGATGAACAGAGGCTACCAGGCTGTGCGAAAAAGGCCTCGGGCTATTGCTGACGGATTTGGAAGCTCTTGCGCGTTCCGGCACCATCGAACACAATCACCCTGTGCCTTCGAAATTTGCGGTCGTGACGAATGTTCGGCATCCGCGGACGCCATACTTAGATTTTCATGAGTCATCTAAGCTCACCAAAACCAGCCATGGCAGCAATGACCAATCTTTTGCGAGACAAGCTTCATGCAATTGTTGATAGGGCGTGTTGTTCCCGCCTCGCGACGGCTCCCTGATTGCGCCCTGTATAACTCGAGGCTTATCTGCATTAGAAAGGATGATGCGAAGGTGGCAAACACATGCATAACCGGGCATCGAAAAGACGACTTTGCTGTTGACAGTCCGACTCTTGTTTTTGTTCCAGGCTTGGACTCTGAAATACTCGCTTATAGCTTGGCTTTCCCTGCAATAACATATTACTCTGAACGCAACGGATACTGAAGGATTTGCCAATTGCGTCATCCCTGACAGAGGTGGTATTGTCTAGAATGTATATCGTATCAATGTCGCTGCCGTCGACTTTTTGGAAATCTACTTCGCCCAGTTGGCGATCCATCGCGATGGACACTCGCACGATCGGCTCCCAAATCAGTCCAAGCTCTTACCATACTGAGATCTGTTGCATTTGATCAATTTGGATTTGATGAAGGCGATATAGCTCTTATGTGTGGTTCTCATAGCGCGGAAGCAGTACGGCTTGAACGGGCGGCTGCGATATTGAAGCCCCTTGGGACCACTGAGAAAATTTTGCAGTGTGAAGGCCATCCTAGCCTTTTGCATACTGTCAATCATGAACGGGTCAAATGCGACTTCAGTCCTGGACCTTTGACGAACGACTGCTCTGGAGACCATGCCGGTATGATTGCTGGTGTGAAGGCACTGGGTGCTGATGCAACTGACTATCACCTTCCCCATTATCACATCACATGCAGTCATTTTGCGAAGTGACTTTTGAGGACATTTGTGGAACGCAACCTGACCAAGTTCCATGGGCTGTCGATGGCTGCAACCTTTCTACTCCCGCTGTGCCACTCAAGGCTTGCGAATACCTATTCGCTCTTTGTTGAAGCTGCTGATACATGCGAAGAACCAAACCCGTCTCTGCCTCAGCAAACGCATACAATGTCCCGTATAGTCAACGCGATGGTCGCTTACCCGGAAATGCTTGCTGGTGAAAATCACTTTTGCACTTCTCTTGGCAGAACATTTGGCAATCATCTCGCTAGCAGACTCGGAGCAGATGGGTGCTATGGATTCGGTATCAGAGCTTCTGAACAGACCGAGTACCTTGGTGCTCGAGGATTTATCGGTGTTGCAGTCAAAGTCGAGGACGGCAGTGTAGAGATCGCTTGTGCAGTGGTCCCTAAGCTGCTGGAAAGACTGCAGATGAGCACTGTGGGCATGCGAGAGAAGCTGCGAAACTATCGCTGTTCCGAGAGGAGTAACACGGCAGAGGTCGTGACGGGGAAGGCGCACCACCCACTCGTGTTACTCAAGACGCCTACCTTGAGCCCAGCTCTTGATTCCAGGGGACATTCAGGCTAAGAAATCACTACGTAGTAGCGCCGCTTGACATCTCGAAAGCAAGCTTGGAGCGGAAAAGGCGCGGAAAAGCGTTCTATGAAACGTCTCCACCAACAGAAATCCGCTGCCTACAATGAAAATGTCAACCCAACTAAATTTTCTAGGTAACTCTATGCGAACAATCACAAGCTTTGACCTACAAGCCATTGTTCGAATCGCATCGATTCAAAGCACGCCAAAGTGACGAACAAAGAGTTTTCACAATGTCATTGAGGCTTTGTGAGTCACCGTGGAAATAGAAATTCTGGCGGGAAATTCGACCAGTCGCCCTGCCAACTTTCACTCATGGCTTTTACCGTCATGTCACACGAAGTGCGCTGACCACCACGCCTGTCATTTTGTTTCATCTCTTACCACTCCACGACACAGAACGTATCAGACTATTACTCACCTGTCGGGTCGCTAACATGCCATCCATTGATCTCACCCCTATACCCGTTCCGTCTCCCACGACGCTACAGGAGATACGCACGTCAAAACTCAAAAAATTCGGCACAGTGCTTTCTGGTATCGATAAGAGACCAATACAAGGCTCACTTTATGTCTCTTCTATGGGCCTCACTGATGACGAACACGACCTCACCTTCCACGGCGGGATCGACAAAGTAATTCACCAATACAATCACTCTCACTATCCATTCTGGCAATCACTATACCCAGAAGCCGCCACTCGATTTGTAGCCGGAGGCTTTGGTGAGAACCTTGTGGTAGAGGAGTTGAACGAAGACAACATTTGTGTTGGCGATCTCGTGCGCATTGGACCAAAAGACTCTACCCTTACCGGCGGCGACAATGGATGTGTGCTGGAAGTCAGTCTGCCTCGCCAACCATGTTTCAAGTTGAATCAACGTTTCGGTGTCAAGAACCTCGCGCCCAAAACGCACGCTGAGAACAAGACTGGCTGGTACTATCGCGTCAAAGAGCAAGGCTACATTTCAGCAGGTATGGAGATCCGTGTCATACACAGATGTCAGCCGAGATGGTCGATTGCAAGATTACACCACTATGTTCACCGCGACAAGGTTGATCTTGAGATTTCAAAAGAGCTGGTCGCTATTCATGTACTTGGTGATGAATGCAAAGACGTGTTCAAGAAACGACTGCAAGATGCCGAGAACAAAGCTGCACAAAGCAATCAGACCTGGACAGACTACCGCGTCCACGCAAAAATAATGGAAACACCAAGAATTGTCAGACTCGACCTACAAGCTTGCAACATCGACAGACCAAAGGACACTTCCATTCCAGTCGGTAGCTACGCCTTACTCAAATTGCCCAATGGCTTGAAACGAGCCTATTCCATCGTCACCGGAAACACATCCCTCTTCACCCTCGGCATCGCCCTTGACGATAATAGCAGAGGCGGCTCCTCCTACATCCACACCACCCTTAATCCTGGCGCAATCATCCAGATCGGCGACATCAATCGCAGCATCAAATCCAACGGCATGGCCTCCCATCACATCTTCATCGTCGGCGGTATTGGTATCACAGCTTTCATCTCCACAATGCGAAAACTCCACAAGATAAACCAGACCTTCGAACTGCATTACGCTGTCTGCTATGCCGACGAGGTGGCATTCACATCACTGATGTCAGGATTCAAAAACGTCATCCACATCTACGACAAAAGCAAGGGCGTGCGTATGAACATCCCACAAATCTTACACAACAGAATCTGGAACTCCCACGTTTTCACCTGCGGTCCCGATCGTATGATCTCCGCCGTTGTCTCTGCAGCAAAAGACTCCGGAATGGCAGATGATGAGATTTACTACGAGAACTTCAGCACCGACACCACCGGCGACCCATTCTCCGCTTCCGTCATCACCGGCGCCAAAACCACAAGCTTGGAAGTTGCAGCGGATAGAACATTGCTTGAGGTCATGAGGGAAGCGGGATTGGAAGTGGCGAGTTCGTGCGAAACAGGCAGTTGTGGGACTTGCAGGATCGGTGTGAGGAGGGGAAAGATTTTGCACAAGGGAACGGGACTGAGCACCGAGGAGCAGGAGAAGGAAATGTTGTGTTGTGTTTCCCGGGGTCAGGGACATATCGACGTGGAACTTTTGGATTGAGGCTTCTTGGTTTCGCGGTGGATTGAAGAGACACCGAGTCTAGACGGATTTCTCACAAGCATCGCACGAGGGATACGCTCGAGAAGTCGGCGATGATATCACAAAGAGATTGGTCGAATGGAGTAAGAAGCACCCTAATCATGGATGAGGCTTTCGACCACTGGCTGTAACCAGGAAAGCGCGAACAAATCAACAATCAGCCTTCATTGGAACCTGTGTGCAGCAGAATCTGTCAAAATCCAACCCAGTGTTCCAGGATCTCCACTTCACATGGCCACATCTGGTTTACTTCTTTCAATGCTTCAAATCCACCTGCATCTACAATCCTGAACACCTTGCGGCGGGAGTCTAATACCACCGTCCACACTCAAATCATCCCTCTTCGCTTGGGATGCTCCAACACCACAATTAGTGAAAGACTCACAGATACGGTGACCACAAGATATGTTTGGATTAGTGGTGCAGAAGGAACCCAAGCACTTCCATAGACGTGGAAGATAATTTTGTGCACTTCCACAGTCGTGGAAGATATCAGTTTGAGAGATCCAGCTTCACATCTCCATTTCCTCGTCTTCATCATCACTGTTCTTCCTAGGCGAGCCCCCAATACCTTTCATATCCAACGCTCGCAGGAAGGCTCTGGGAACTCTGCTGCCTTGCCTAACCCACACAGCTTCTCTGCATTCCTTCGCCGTGGGCCTTTTCAAGATTTCATCTTGTAACATCCACGCTGTTGTCTCCCTGGCCCATTCAGAAAGTCCTGTGCTCTTGACATGAGGATGAAGCAAAGCGCCAGTAAGCATGTCTTTGACTAACATGCCCAGTGCCCAGACATCGGTTTTCGGGAGCAGGTGAGAGGGAAGATTGCGCAGGAGTGCTTCAGGTGAAGTGTAGCGAGCTGCTCCTTGGGACGTTCCAGACTTATCATTGATGGAAGCGGAGATGCCGAAGTCACTCAATTTCAGCAGCAGAGGTTGTGATCTTGATCCCTGAAAGACCAGAATATTGGCTGGCTTCAGATCCCGATGGACGATGTTCTCACCATGCAGGTACTCCAGAGCGCAAAGGATTTGATACGCTGTTGTTTGCGCCATTGCTTCATTCATACCAGAGATTCCCAGTGCAGTGTAGGAGACATAGAATGACTCCAATGTTTGTTCTGCCAATGGCATAATGATACAAGCATTGTAAAGCCCGGTCTCTGCATCAAGCACGCTTGCGAGGTCTTCCAAAGTCACGATGTTGGCGTGAGATAAGGAAACGAGAAAAGTGGCTTCTTGCTTGAAAAGTTTTACTTGTCCTGCGGTAGTGGTCCGGATGACTTTCATCGCCATGACTTGCTTGGTCGAAGAGTGCGAGACGCGATAGACCGTTCCATGAGTCCCGCTGCCGAGCGTGGATTTGATCGCATAGACGCCCTTTTGATTGTAGCTATACGCGGTGGTGTTCGTGGGCATGGGTGTGGGAGCTTGATTCGAGATGCTATTACCCATGATGAAGAGTGTTGCAAGTTGAAACCAGTGAAATGCGCTGACAACTGGAAGATTTTGGTGAATTTATTTGTTCTTTGAGCTTGTCTTAACGTCTTTCGCAGCGTTGATTCTTGAGGAAGCTTGTCTGTTCATATACTGATTGTTGACCTGAAACAATAAGCGCTGTATCAGTTGACGCTGTAAGCCAGTCAGACGTGTCTTTACCCCTTGCATTAGCCCACATTTCAGTGCAGCTCCTGCAAGCTTCTCGAATATTGCCGTTCTCGAGTACTCCCAGACTGCGATCCCTGAGCTTTGGTGGTGAAAAATGGTCTGCTGTTCCACAAAAATATTGTACACTCTCTGTAAGATTGCCAGTGGACATCGGCAACTGCGCGTGAGATTCTTCCTTTCACAGTGTCTGAAGAATCCAGGCTATTCCGAGACCAAGCGTACTTGTCTCAAATCCCAGAGCTTTGTCTCTCATCAATCTTTCCTTGTGGTGCCCGATGCCTCAAGCTTGATCATGGCTTCCAAGGCCTTGGCAGCATCTCGACGAGCGACTGGGTGAATTCTTGTTACATCGTCTGTTTCGGGAATCTCCTGGGAAAGACAAGATTCCATGCTTTCCAGTTCTCGAGGTTCCAGTCATCGTCATCGGTATCGTGCATAGAGTCGAGGCTTGGAAACAGACGTTTCTAGCGGGACATGGAGATCGATTCCGCTGATTTTAGGCAGCACAGAGTAAGCGCGAGATATAGAGCGTATAAACGTTGCATATGGGCCGTTCAAGGAAGTTAGTCTTAAGGTCGCAGCTGGCTGCATTGTCGGTGTGGCGTTAATGGCAGCTTCGCAGGCGGATGGTAAGCGAGCAAACTTCATTCGTGACATGAGCGTTCAGAATGAATTTGACGCGATTAAAAGGTGTCTGAAAGATTGCGCTGTCACTATGTTGTATAGGCAAACAAACAGAAAGGGTCTAGGTTGAAATGGACTCTGAGTTCGCCAATGTTTAGATAACTTATGTGGTAAATGTGGAGTGTCACGAGATGTAAGAGCGGATAAATCTCTGGCGGTCAAAGCAGCTGAGCTCTTACTTTTAAAAGGTGCGATGGGCACGAGATCAAGAAAGAAACCGCGACGGGAGAGATGGGCTGCCAAGTGCGCATATCTGAGTCCGACACGAGCTTCTGAGCACGGCGGCGAGCTGCAGCTTGTGTCTTCCTCCAATGCTCTTCCTCATTCTCACTTAACTTTGTTATCGCGACAATCAGGCGTCTTCGGCGGCTCTTCAAGCTCTGAATACACAAAAGCTGTTTCCAGTAGTAAGTCAAAGTGACATGGTCCGACCTTTAGCGAGTTTTGCGAATCATCGACCAAGTCTGACAATTCATGACCGCATGCAGCTATCCTTCTCAGAAAAAGACAGGGTGATTAAGCGAGTTGTTGCGTGTAAGGTCCCCTCAACCCGACTCTGTTATTCTGCGTCGAGGAACAGACACATTCAGATTGCGTTCACCCTCTGCAACAATGCGAATCGAAATGATCGCTTATCAAAAGGCAAGATGTGTTTGGCAGTCAAAATTGCTATCCGCGAGGAGCAGTAATTTTGTACGCTCTCTCTGAACAAACCCAACGATGCAAAAACCATCTTGCTTTCTAATCAGGTGTATGAGAAGTGCTCTGGTTGTCTAAGATGTCAAGATAACATAGAACAGGGTGTGATACTCGACGAAAGTGACGGCTAAACTACGGCTAAAAGAGTCCCATCCGTCATCAAACCTTCTCACTCAACCCGCCAACCTCTTCCTCCAACACAGCTCTCTGCTTCTTCGCCTTCTGGATGTTCAAACTGATCTTGACCGGATTGACGTTTGGAGTCTCAAACACAACATCAATCTCCTCCAAGCTCAAGCCATAAGTCTCCGGGAATACGAAATATGATGCGATAAGCTGAAGACTGTTGTACACCACATACACAGCCCAGATCTTATAGCCGAGCTTGTCGATGCCTACCGCAATGCCATAATTCTGCACACTTCCCGCTGCTCCTTGGATGAAGGAATACACACCCATACCTCTAGCTCTCAATGCCAACGACAAGATCTCTACGGGATACAGATTGTGCATCGTGGCGATAAAGGTTGCAGAGCAGACTTGGAAACTGTAAACCCAAAGTATTGTCAATCCTGCTGCTGCATGGGTGGGGTTGACACTGTATTGCCAGGAGGTGATTGTTGTCGCTGTTTGGAGGATGATGATACTGATCAGGCCGGCGAAGATGAGGGTACGGCGGCGGAATTTATCGATGATGTAGGAGCCGAACAGAGTGAAGACGAAGTATATGGCTGTTGAACCGAGTTGGCTAAGTCAATGTCAGTGGTAGTTCTTGTTTCCACTGGATTCTGGATTCCGAATAGGACTTACATGCCAAGCTGTTCCATTGGCTTCTTGATGCCGACCATGATTAGAGCGGGAGTCAGGTAGTAGGTGATAATGCCACCTCCGTTCCACTGCTGGAAGATGGAGTACAACGTCAGGACAACCATACGGAAACCAACACGCTTGGTGAAGAAGACTCGGTAGTCCCACCATGCTCCTGCAAGCGCCTTCTCGTTCTCTAGAGATTCGTCGATTTGACTGATGACGACATTGACCAATGGCTCGTCAATATCACCGCTGGTGGTGTGGTACTTTGCAATGACATGCTTTGCAGCATCTCTCTTGCCGACTTTGACCAGGTATCGAGGACTTTCGGGGGTCAAGAAGTAGATGGTGGAGCAGACGACCAGAGCAAGACCTGCTTGGAGTAGCAAAGGAATACGCCAGGAGTAATTGCCTTCGAGGGTGGTGAGACCGATCATAGCACCAGTCATACCCAGAGATCCGACTTGGAAGCAGGCTCCAAAGATGCCGACCAGTCTACCTCTCAGATGAATTGGCGATATCTCAGCCATGTACTGACTGGAACTCATAAGAGCGGTACCGAAGCCCATGAAGAACCTGTCTCAAGGTCAGCATCAGTCAATCACGACGACGTCAACGAACCCACCTTCCGGCCATAAACATCTCTGTGTTCTTCGACCAAGCTTGCAACAGCGCAGCGAAAATAACAATCACGTTGCCTGCAAAATTGACACCTCTTCGCCCAATCACATCAGCCAGCCCCAAGAATGGAGCACCACAGACGGTGCCAATCGTCATCAAAGCATTGATAACACCAATAGTGGATCCACTGTATCCAAAGCCGAAATAAGTGTGCAAAGCCGGCAAGGCATTTATACCGCCAATGACTGCCCAGTCTATACCATAGCCTGCTTGGTTGCAACCTTGGACAAACAGAATCATGGCGAGGCGCCATCCAGCTCTAGATTTGATGGTGAGGGAGTCGCGAGAGAGGCGGTGGACGTCTTCTTCGGTGAGGCGTGTTATGACGACTTCTTCAGTGTGTAGGGTTGCTTGCTTGAGGTCGACGTCGGCGAGCTCGTGGACTTCTTCGCCTGCGTTACCCATGATGAGTCCCTGCGCTGCAGTGTAGTAGGTCGAGAAGGGAGAAGATTCTGGTATAATCACGCCGGAGCGGCCACTGATGTGGTGCAAAGCATGATCTTATCTTCTTTGCCCACCACCATCATCTAATTGAGCCTTCGGCCCTGAGGTCCGCTTTGCCCTATACCTATGGTCATGCGATACAGACTCAAGACCGAAACCATGGGATCTGACACTGGCTAGACTAGGATCTACAGCGAAAACTACACCATTCCTGCTGGAAGATATCTGAACACAACAGGCAAAATTCAGACCTATGCAACGGCATTATGATCTTCCATATACTCGTGAGCAATTTGCTCCATCGGCTTCTTTCTATTGGACGTTTGATACGAGGCATGCATGTACTGATCGCGTGTAAACAGGCTAAACGACATGTCTCAACAGCTATACCTTTCAGGGCTCGGACCTGGAACGCGGCCAACTACAGTGTCCTTTCTGAGTAAGTGCGAAGGTGGACATCCAATGCATGTCCAAAGGATCGATTTCTTGTCGGAGTTCTTCCGTAGGATCACGACCCTGACCCCGCGTTTCGCTGTACCACACTCCGCAAACATCCCACGAACCACACCACACCACCTCAGCCCACGAACACACCCCTGTACCCCTCACTTCCTGCAGTAGTACAGCTTCCACCATTCACGCACGCGACAATGTACACCGAACCATGTTTCTCTCGCCGACCTCACCTCCCACTCAGGAACCCATCAAACTCAAAATACCATGGCACAATCCTCGAAGCTATGGTACGACAAACCAGCCGCAGAATGGAATGAAGCTTTACCCATCGGAAATGGCAGATTGGGTGCTATGATCCATGGACGTACTGGTACTGAACTCATCTGCTTGAACGAAGATTCAGTCTGGTACGGTGGACCCCAGGACCGTGTGCCCAAAGATGCCTTGGCACATCTGCCCAAGTTGAGAGATTTGGTCAGAGAGGGCAAACATGCTGAAGCTGAGAAATTGGTGGATAGGAGGTTTTGTGCTACACCTTCTGGGCAGAGGCATTATGAACCGTTGGGGACTGTGAAAATTGAATTCGGTCATGATGGGGATGGCGTGAGTGAGTATAGGAGAGAGCTGGATCTGGACACTGCTATTCACAAGACTGAGTATGCTTTTGATGGAAAGATGGTCAAGGTAGAGATGCTGGCGAGTGTTATTGATCAAGTCATTGCGATTCGCGTTCAGAGCGAGGAAACAATTGAGTTTGTGGTCAGGTTGACCAGAGTTGGAGAGATCGAGTACGAGAGTCATGAGTATTTGGATTCTGTTGAGACGACAGACAATCGTATGGTTATGCTCGTTACTCCCGGAGGATATCAGAGCGTGAGAGCATGCTGTGCTCTTGGCGTTCGTACAGATTCTGAAGGGACTACAGAGAATCAGGGCGGCTCTTTGGTCGTCAATGCCAAAGACGCACTTATCGTAGTTGCAGCAAGAACGACGTTCCGCCATGAAGATTTCGACACGCTGGCATTAGAAGACGTTTCTGCCGCCCTCGAGCGTGGTGCAGACAAGATCTGGGACTACCACATTCAACACCATCAACCCTCTTACCATCAAATGCAACTCACACTAGGTCCACCGAGAGCTGAAGATGGACTACCGACAGATCAAAGGATCAAGAATGGCACCACGCCAGCACTGATAGCTCTATACACAAACTACTCCCGCTACCTCCTCCTCTCCAGCAGTCGACCAAGCAATACCCCCACCACTCAACACCTCGACCTCCCAGCAAACCTTCAGGGCCTCTGGAACCCCTCTTTCCACCCAGCCTGGGGCTCAAAATTCACCATGAACATAAACCTGCAAATGAACTATTGGGGAGCTCTTCCTCTAAACCTGTCTTCCACAATGGACCCCCTCTTCTCTCTTCTCCACCGTCTCGCATTACCAGAAAATGGCGGAAGAGTGGCGAAACAGATGTATGGAGCAAGAGGATGGTGCTGCCACAACAACACTGATCTCTGGGCCGATTGTGCACCATGTGAACGCTGGACCCCGGCGACCCTCTGGCCATTAGGGGGAGCATGGTTATGCTCATTCATCTGGGAGCACTACCTCTTCACCTCTTCCCTTTCCACCCTACGCAAAAACTTTCCAGTCCTCCAAGGAGCTGTGGAGTTTTGCTTGGACTGGTTAGTCGAAGAAAAATTCCCAGATGGCAAAATCTATCGCGTCACCAATCCTTCTTTGTCGCCGGAGAATACCTTCATCGATGATGCCACGGGCGCAAAAGGCGTTTTCTGCAGAGGAAGCACGGCAGATTTGACAATCATCTCCAGCTTGTTTGAAGATTACCTCAACGTTTGCGAAACCCTACACCTGAAACCTCACCTCCTCCGCGAAGTAGGCGAAACAATGCTATCCCTTCCTCCCCCCAGCACATGTCCAAAAACAGGCAGACTTCAAGAATGGGGCGTGCACAATCACGCAGACGAGGAACCAGGTCATCGCCATCTAAGTCATTTACTGGGAGTCTATCCATTCACCTGCATCGACATATCCGCCTCTCCCATCCTCTCCCGCGCCGCCCTACGCAGTCTAGAAATCAGACTCGCAAATGGAGGAGGCCATACTTCTTGGTCCCGCGCCCATCTCCTTTGCCTATTCTCTCGTTTCCGTCTCCCTGGAAAAATCGCGGAGAATTTTTCTGCGCTGTTGGGGCACAGTACGTTGGGGAATTTGTTTTCCTCTCATCCGCCTTTTCAAGCGGATGGCAATTTCGGAGCTGCGGCTGGTGTGGTCGAGTGTGCGGTGCAGAGTTTCGAAATCACTGGGGATGGGAGGAGGGTTATCAGGATATTACCCTGTTGGCCTAAAGAATTCGGGACGCAGGGGGAAGTCAAGGGTGTCAGGTGTAGAGGAGGATGGACCGTCGGATTCAAATGGAGCAACGGAAAAGTTGATGGCAAAGTGGAAGTGAGAGATGCGATTGACCGTGGAGAAGAAGATGACGAAGAGGCAAATGAAACAAAGGGTGGAAAACGGGTTAGGAAAGGTGTGGTCATGTTTCCCGATGGCGGAATTGTCGATTTTGAAGGTTGTGGTCCACATTTCTGTTGATTTCCTCATTCGTCACATCTACAAGCAAATCTTTGACCTATACCAAAGCATTCTTGAAACATCACACCTTTTCACCGCTTCCTCCCTCTACAAAATGGCCTCTCGATCTTCTTCCGATTTCCTTTATCTTCCACCATATCCGCAGGATGAACAGTCGTCTATCGGGAATTAGACCAGTTGCTACACAATAGTCTGGGATGATGACAGTGAATAGGATGTCGAAGGTTATGGAGCTCAAGTATCAGTTGTGTCTCACGAGAGTCATCCTTGGAACCATATCAAGCATCAAAACGATATAGATTAGAACAAGAAAAACGAGAATATGAAAAATATGACTTCCGCGATAAAAAATCGGGACTATTTCTCAATAAGATGATCGAAAATCCTACCCAGCTCAAATGCTGATTTCTTTGGATATCTCGTCTTCTCAGGACTGTTGTAGTCCACCCAAGAACCACCGAAGCGATCGGTAAAGCCAGCAGCCCACTCCCAATTATCGGTGAATGTCCAGGCGAAGTAACTTCTGATATCTACGCCACTTCTCACAGCATCGGCTACAGCGCCCACGTATCCTTCGAAAAAGTCTTGACGGAATGTGTCGTCGAGCCAGAAACCTGATGAGGGATCCCAATCATCTTCGCCTTTTGCGGTGGTGCCGTTTTCGGTAATGTAGATGGGGGTTCGGTAGCGGTTCCATATCCAATGCAGAAGGGCGAGGAATCCGCCCGGGTTGCTGCGGAGCCAGGGGGTAGCACTCTCTGCACCGCGAGATATACCGGCTTTATTGGTATCGTGGGAGGTGATGTTGCCCTTGTGGTCGTTGATATCGGCAGCTTCGTCACGATGGCGGACGTAGAAGGTTGTGTAACTGTTCATGCCGTAGAAGTCTGAGGAACCTTTGACGAGTGCTTTTTCTTCATCCGTGAAATATGGGAGACGATCGCCTAGCTGTTTGCGCATACAGGGCGGGTAGTCGCCAGAGCCATAGACGGGGTCGGCGAACCAGGCGATCTCGAATTGGAGCGCACGTTCGGCGGCTTCGACATCTTTGGGGTCGTTCTCGTCCCAGGGTGCACTGTAGTTGCCGTGCAGGGTGATGCCTATAACGCCTTTCTGTTTCGGCTTGAACTCTTCTCGGTAGATCTTGACTGCGTGAGCGTGGCTGACAAGCTCGGTATGCGCAACAATGAATGGCTCGGTACTGCTGTCACCAGGGTCATTGCGCCCAGGCAGAGACGAGCGGCCTGGAGCGTGGACTCCTGCAGCGTATCCTGCGAGTGTGTAGACGCCCGGTTCGTTGTACGTTATCCAATGCTTGACGCGGTCGCCTAGAGCAGCGAAGCAAACTCTTGCATACCTCTCGAAGTCTGGTGTATAGCGAGCTTGATCTAGCATACCACCGTAACGATCTTCGAGTGCTTGAGGGGTGTCCCAATGAAAAAGAGTGACAAAGGGGGTGATATTGTTCGCCAGTAGCTCGTCAACGAGATTGCTGTAGTATTGGAGGCCAGCATCGTTGACAGGATCATCTTTGCCGCCTAGAGGAATGATTCGGCTCCAAGCAAGACTGAAGCGGTAAGAGTTGACACGGAGCTTTTTAAGTAGCTGGACGTCTTCTTTGTACAAGTCATAAGCGCGAGTAGCATCGGCATTGGTACTGCCATCAATGATCTTGCCAGGGATGCGTGAGAAGTTATCCCAGATGGAGTGACCCTTGCCATCGGCATCCCATGCTCCTTCAACCTGTGCAGCAGCTGTTGCGAAACCCCAGAAGAAGTCTGGACGAAGCACTGAAGCGTTCTCTGGCGATGAGGCGATTGGTGGGTCTTTCATGATGATGACTTGAGGAGGAGCTGGGAACAAACTGAAGAGAAAGAACGACTTAGTGCAAGCATGGGCAATGAAGCAAGAAATAGCAGGATTCAGGCTAAGAGGGGTCGCTCGTAAATTGTCCGAAGCTGCGGTACGAGCTGCATGAGGCCGGTGAAACGTGATATGGATGATGGCATTCTAGCGGCTCTACGGGACTGTGATCCGGTTGAAGTCACAACATCAGAGTCAGTTGAGGTGCAGGTTTACCAGACCGCCTACTGTATATCGAGTTATACAACTTTGCTTGATCAAGGCAGTTTTGTGCAGGTGAGTTGTCGAGGGAAATGGAAGGAAGCGGAGAAATTGTGGGGGAGCTGAGACACGTGATCGAGGGCAATGATGCAACAGGCGCCTTCGAGTCTCGACCAAGTTCTTTGGTTGTTTCGTTGCGAATCATCTTCACAATCACAATCAACACCCACAATGGCATCCTCAAGCAGCACAGCAACGCCCTTGCTCTACTCGTGTATCGCCTACAAGAACACGATCCTCGCCGAACACACGACCTCCGCCGCCTCAGCAACCTCGTCACTGGCATCGCTCATCCTCCCCAAGATTGACCACTCGTCAGCTCAGAAGTTGACCTACACCCACGGCGCAAACCACATACATTACATTGCAGATGCTGCTCCAGCCTCCCCCGACAACGCACCTGGCCTCACATACCTCGTCATCGCCAAGCAAGACCTAGGCCGTCGCATTCCCTTTGGCTACCTCGTCGAGATCAAGAAGCGTTTCTTGTCGCAACAAGGCAACACCGACTTCTCTTCACTCCCCTCATATGGCGCCGCCGCCTTCAATTCGGATCTCAAGAAATTGATGGTTGAGTACGGAACGACAAAAGCTGGCCAGGAAGACGCCTTCAAGAATGTCCAGGCCGAGATCGACAACGTGAGAGACATCATGAGCAAGAACATTGAGCAAGTTCTGGAAAGAGGCGAGAGAATTGACCTGTTGGTCGACAAGACTGATCGCTTGGGAGGCTCTGCCCATGACTTCCGCGTCCGAAGCAGAGGCCTCAGGAGGAGAATGTGGTGGAAGAATGTCAAGTTGATGGCTCTCTTGGTTCTTGTCATTGTCTTCCTCGTTTACCTCCTGGTTGGCTTTGGATGCGGTCTGCCTGGTATGTTGATCCTTAGCTCGTCATATCCAACTTCGCGAATCTCTAACCATCATCACAGGTTGGTCGAGATGCATCAGCCACTAATCCCCAGCACGAACTCACGACTTGTCCTTTTATCCTTACATGTTTTTAACTTAGCCCATGGTCTGTATATATCTTATCTGATTCCTCCAACATCTGCTTGATCTCGGTCATCTTGAGTTTTTCCTGTTTCGGCTTCGCGCGCCATTCCGTTTCATCTTGTACACGCGGCATACCAACTTCTTTCACCATCTTCTCCATTATGACATGCTCCTCGGCCGACCGCGGCCGAGGCTACGCGTCCTTTCGTGCTATCTGACTCTTGAAGAACGCAATCTGCTGTTTTCTTCATCCTAATCCTCAGTTCGTCGCGTGGTCAATTGTCGACACCCAAACACCCATCGGCTTACTCCAATTCGCTTCTGTCTCACAATGTGACAGCGCATCCCCATTTCCGGCGCCTGTCGCCAAGTCGTACGCTGTTTTGGTGCTTCGACGATTCTCGCCAGCGAAACGAGCAGTTCTCTGGGCAGTCACATATTGACTGCCACTACTACCGCTGTTCCCGCACCGATACGCCCAACTTGAACCGCTCTCTTACGACACAGTCGGCCATTCCGATTCGACACAAGACAGCTCTTACCTTCTGCAGTTCGGCCGAGCATCCAGGTCCTTCTGAGCGTTGTACAGGACAAGGATTGACCCGTGTCAAGCTTGGTCGCACTATGACATGTCACTGTATCAACCTGCGGGCAGCTTGCACTAGATTATGGCTCCGAAAGGATTCCAAGCCAATCTTTCGGTCAAGGATGGCCCGGTGAATTTGTTGGTCTGTAAATGCGCAGATGATTAGGCCTCCTCTCGATCTCTTCCCCTGGCGTTCTATCCATGTCTCCTACATCAAGACGAAACACACTCGGTGCGACTTGAGGCTTCCTGGACTGACCAACAATTTGCCTCAGTCAAAGCTCGACAATAACTCGGACTATGGAGGGGACATGGGACAAGATAGGCGAAAAGGTTCCACTTTATTGCCAATCGTCGCACATCTCCCGCAGCCCGTGATGTGTTGTTAACGGCCATGTTGTCCGGCTCAATGCTGAGGCTCTTCACTATACCAATTCGAACCTACTTCGCCAGCCTCATCACGCCGCTTGAGGATATGGATACAACGCTTCACCTTGGCATGACAACTTGAATACCGTCTCTCGAAACATCCGAGACCTCCGAAGGTGAACCTACTGCTCGTCCGTCCTCGCTTGGTTGATATCTTTCGCCTTTATGACGCCCAGATACAACTCGTGACGGCTACATCGCAGAAGTATCTCGCTACCTATTGAATTACCCTGAGCTATCTCTATATCCAGAAGGTAGCAGAGGATAATTACAACCAGTAACTACAAGTTCAAGACATGAAGCATTTTTTTCGCTAAACAAGCACTCTGCAAAAAGTCCTTGGCAGTGGCAGTGCAAGAAAGCATCACCAGCAAAAAAGACTTGGCCGACCATGCACCCCGACATTTGAAACACTCCTTCTTGCTTGGCTAATCAACACTTTGACAGACAGCTGCATGCATCCGCATGGGACAGGGCTGGTCTTTGCAATGCAATAGCCCTACTCCATAATTCAGCGTTGTTGGTGCACCCTACTTTGAAACGCGCCTCTTGGACCCAGAACCACTGCTACTGTGCTTGGCTCATCTATAGAGAGGTAGCGAGCGAGAAACACTAGGTCGCGACGGCTGAATGAACCTTGATGAGCGCACACCAGCCGTAGCGCCTTTCTGCTTGGCTGCAATATGCTAGGAAAGACGAAAACATCCATAGACGAAGCGACATTTGACGGACCATGTGCGGGACGGTGTATGTTGGAGGTAAGGCTGGTTTGAGAAGAAGACCCATCCGCAAGGCAAAGGCAAGGAATATAAGAAGGTGTTGAAATCCTCGGAGGAGAAAGAGCTCATCCCACATCAGTCTTTCACTTCTTTTCTCTCTCTCCAACCACACTCTTTCATCATGGTTGCCGGTATCAAGCTCTGGCTTGCAGCTCTCTTGCCTGTTGCTCTCGCCTGCAATGGCTACACTGGCGGCGTTCCCAAGGCAGTTGGCACCAAGACCAACAAAGCAGTCATCACCGTCAAGGCCGGTCAAACCTTTGACGGCAAGTGGAACCGCTACGACCGCGGCGCTGGCGCCTGCAACGGTCAAGGTGAAGGAGGTAAGCCACACTACACCCATCCCCCCCTCCTCCTTTACCGAATCCTAACATCTCTCCTCCACCACCAGGCAAAGCCGACGCCGTCTTCCTCCTCGAAGCCGGAGCCACACTGAAGAACGTCATCATCGGCAAAAACCAAGCCGAAGGCGTCCACTGCGACGGCCACTGCACCCTCGAATACGTCTGGTTCGAAGACGTCTGCGAAGACGCCATCAGCATCAAAAACGACAAGTCGGGCTCCCAATCCTGGATCATCGGCGGAGGCGCCTACCACGCTTCCGACAAAGTGGTCCAGCACAACGGCTGCGGCACCGTAAACATCATCAACTACTACGTCGAGGACTTTGGCAAACTCTACCGCAGCTGCGGCAATTGCAAGTCGCAATGCAAGCGCAATGTTTACATCGAGGGTGTGACCGCCAAGAATGGAGATTTGCTGGTCGGAATCAATTCCAACTATGGAGATACCGCTACGATTAAGAATACTTGCTCTGATGCTGGGACCAAGTGTCAGATGTTCAAGGGTTGCGCCGGTGGTTGCGAGCCCCCCAAGGCCGGTCTCTGCACCGGTTAAGCCGATAGCAGAAGATTGTTGAAATCTGGCAAGTGGTGTGGAAGAAGAAATTTGTGGTGTGAAGGTTTTGTCGGGAGCCCCTTTTTTCGATTCTTGTCGCTCTTTTTCTTAGTTGAGCTTATCGTTTTCCTCGATTGAAATGGCAAAGTTTGGCGGTTTTTGTTCGGACTGTGTCTGGAACTTTTATGGCCCTTTGCTCTTATACTGCATCTGTCTCTTGGTGATTCTGTGTAATTGCAATAGTTGGTGCTGTGAGTGCTGTAAGCTTTTTCGGGTAGTTCTCAAAAATCTCTCGTTTTCTCGTTCACGTTTTTCCAAGTCAACAACTTTTACTCAGGCAAGGAGAGTTGTGTTTCACTTCGCCCATCTACTTGGGCTTTATAAACTCCCTCCCTCCTTCCGTTTCAGCCCGCTACCACTGGTCAATCTTCCATCCTACCATAATTGTTGCAGAAACTATCTCGCTTCCTTACGCACTTTGCAAATATGATATACCCCGTTGGATAGCAGACCGGGTAGCTTGTTGCTGACTGTTCACTCCACAGTGAAGCAGGGGTTTGACGACTGTGTTACTGCGTTTTTGTATTATTTCACGTTTGATCTAAGATATGGAAGAGGGTATTGTCGTGGGCTTTTTCGCAGTGGTTGATGGTAGTGTGGTAATAGTAAAGGAAACGGGCGCATAATGACAAAACAGTGTGATATATATCTATCCATTCTGCTATGTATAGCTGTGAAATTGCTACTTGCACTATCACATGATAGTCTACCTTCTTACCTTTTCCGCAATGAGATTCTGGAACTTGTTTGTTTTCTATGGTCTCCACTACTACTCCCTGTTGTAGTATACCTCCCTTGTGCTCTTGACATTTTCTTACGCCATTTACTCTACCTGGGATAGTATACTTATGTCCTACGCCCATACTCTATATACCCTTACTCTCTAACCTTCAAAAACGATACTACTATCTAAGCGGTGCTAGAACCCAAGTCGCCTACGCCTTACTACTAGGATATCGGTGCGGCGGCAGCGGTAAGGTATAGAGTATATAGTTGTGCGTATATTAGACGCTCATACCTCCATCTCAAGAAGGTTAATGAAGAAGGGAAGGTAGGCTAAATAGAGGGCAGGCTAGGAGAATCAAACATGGAGGATGTGAAAATAGATGATAAAGGAATAAGGAGTAAAAAGACCAAGGTATGTGGAAAGGAAGAAAAGGTATATAGAGTGGGTGCAGCCGGGGAGGAATAGGAAAGCGGCAATTGAGAAATTTCTTAACACGCAGTTACCAAGGCATGCATGCATGCGTCAAAGGGATGAAGCGAAGAAAACCTTTGAGGTGTAAAATAAAACAACGGGCACCTTTTCTTGGGCCCAATCGTGATAAGGTAAAAACGATCTTGCTTTTCGGTAGATGGAGAATCTTGATAACGGGGGAGACGAAATTCACATGAAAGAGCAAAGTTCCTTCCAGCAGAGATATGAGACTGAAAAGTCCCAGCACGCTCTCTCCAAACACTTACGGCCGGGTGAAAATGATCATGCATTTTGGTGGATAGATTGATTGGCAAAAAAACAAACGGAGCTGGAGAGGTGAAAATAAGAACAAAGTGTTTACAGAGTTACTCCAATCTAGCTATGACTTCCACGATTCTCAATCCTCACTGATGACAACAGCATCATCACGAACTTCGAATTGCTGTAAGATCGGTCCCTCGGTCACCGCTGCAGGCATAGTCAATTTCCGCAACCACGCTGCCAACCTCACGCAAGGATCATCAACCAAAACCGTCAAGACCTCGCCAATCCACAGCGTAAACGGCAGTAAAATAAGATGAGGCAGCAAGAAATTCAATTCCAGACCTAGCGGGCCGATAGACGGGATGGGAAACCGGCCGATCCAGTGAGGAACGACAATGGCATGATTAGTGCGCTGCATGCCAACGGCAGCGTAAAGGCGGTCTCCCAAAGTTGACATGATGGGCCCGTGGACGAGATAGAACATGTAGCTTATCCTGCCTAGATACTGGCAGAAGCGGGTTTCGAAAAAATTCTTGAGCCAGGAGATGCGAGGGACACTGGCGACAAGGAAGACGGCGGCCCAGAATTGGTAGAACCATTTGTAATCGAACGCGGCATCGGGCTTGAGGTATGAGAGAATTTGCCAGCCAGGTGAGGAGCGCAAGTCTGCAAGTTCTCTAGAGTAGGAAGGAACGCCGCCGAGGTAGAGACTGGTGATGAACAAAACATAGAAGATTATCGAGTAGTGGGGTTTTAAATGGCGAGTCATCCAAGTAGGAAGCTCGTCTTTGGCCGCTAAGAGGTCGAGATCGCAAAGTAAGAGGCCGCCAGCAAAGAGAGCAAAATACAGGCCATCAACGATCCAAATGAAGTAGAAGATCAGCGCGATCTCGCAGCATAGTCTAGCTGCACGTGTGCATCGTGACAATGCTGTTAAAGTCACGTAAACGACAAGAGATCCCTTAAATTCGAGAGGAATGGTCCAGGTATGCGGATTGTACGTGAACCAGACTGGCGGACTCGAGTTGAGGATCCAGGTAAAACTCTTGAACTCATTATACCACACCCAAAGCTCCGCGCCTAAGGTTCTCTGTGGATGCAGATTTGCAGAGATACCAAAAACATGCCACAGAAGCACTATCCCAAGCGTCGTGACAATGATGGGAAGATAGAGTCTGAACCATCGTCTAAAGAGTGCTGAGCCCAAGTTGTCTCCAAGCAGAACAAAATCTCCAGCATGGATATGCATCAAGGGTTTAGCTGACAGCACATAGCCAGACAAGACGAAAAAGATGCCCACAGCATAATGGCCACCGGTGATGAAGTTACGAAGGAATGGCAGAGTGGCGAAGTAATGCTCGCCATTGTAGCCAAATGAGTTTTCCAGTATACGGTCCTTGAATTCGTGTGCCCAGAGCTCGTGATGGAGCACATACACCATGAGCGCGGCGAATCCTCGCATTCCATCAAGATATGCTGTTCGTCGCAGTTTTGTCGGGGACGCCTTGGTCCTGCCGAGGAAGGACGGTTTGAGAACGCGTAGACATCGAAACAGCTTTTTGGAAATCCTCAAGAATGCTGGATCTGGTTTCTGGACCTCTAAAGGGCCCTTCTCAAGGAACTCCTCGCTCGAGGAGGACATGTTGGATTCTAGGTGGGCACCGTGGAAAGCACGATCACGGTGAGCTTAGCGACGGCAATCGTGGCCAGGAAGAAGCAACAAGGATTAGATACAGATAGCCACTCGCATCTGATTCTCCCGGGGATGTAGGAGGCGGATGGTAGTTGTGCGATATCTCGCTACTCCTGTACCATGCAGAGCGCTGGAGCACGCGCTTTGCTGTCTCCCAGTGCCTCGGCCTCTCTCACAAGCAGGATCTGTCCGCACATAAGAAACCGCATCCTCAAATATCGCCGCCATTCGCTACGGCGGCGGTCCGGCCGAGAGCTGAAGTTCAAACCAAGGTACCTTCTTAAGCCCGGGAGTCTTTGCCGACAGATGATTGGTCGAATCCGAGACCTCAGGGCCTTTAGTCTTTGCGGACGAAGGTAGTTCTTTGTCTTGCTGGGTCACGCGTCCTATGTCCACACTCGGCCCCTGGCGCGCGCTACCATGTTGAATTCACAAGCTTGCGCCACAGAAGATCAATGGGATTGATTGAGCTTGTTTGTCGCTTGGTGTGCACTCTAGAGTTTCATTCTGTCCAAAAGGGGTGTTGTTATCGGTACCCCGCATGAATCGCATGTGGCAATGTGGATTTTTCCCCGCGTGATGAGCGTCGAACTCCTTGTTACACCTCTGGAAAACCAAACTTGTAATACAAGCACTCCTTATACAGTCTGTCAAGAATACACCTACTGAGCTATCATACGTGACCATACGTTGTAGCCGTCTAGACGTGATGGTGTCTACCACCAGTGGTCTGTACAACGTCCACCGCAGGTTTGTCGTCAGGCCGCGGCCCTGGACGAGCTGAGGCGTGAAGGACCGAGGCTGAAATTGTTAGATTATGCCAATGAACTTACGCGGGAACACGCCCCCGTACCACTCTTGTGTATGTGGTCGGGGTAAGCAAAGTGTATTCGCAGCCTTTGCATGATCGAATCTCTTCGCGCCACCAGCAAGACGATCATGGATATGCTGCCACAATAGGCCGAGGATGCTATTGTAGGGACTGCCGTCACACCTTATCTTCACCCTTCCCGTCTGTTCGAGTGCTTTATACTCCCTTCCGCTCTCTTCGCCGATCCTGTCGCTACCTGAGTCAGTCAAGATGGGGGCAATGAACGCCGATTACAAGGAAATGAAAGAGTACGTTGACACAGGATCAGACTTCTCCATGTCGGAATGGCCGCGACGATACAAAGGACTCAAGGAGAACTTTGTAAGACTATACAGCCGGACGCCGGAACTGGCAATTTCAAGATGCATGCGACGGACAAGCTTGATGGCATGCGCCTTCGTAGTGATGATGATATTCTTCTGGAACAGCATATTCAACGGCTCTGGTGTGTCCAACCACGAGCTCTTCCCACGCAAGATCTGGCAGACCTGGAAGGTTGATGTGCTGGATTTTGAGGAAAAACATCTCAAAGTCGCTCGTTCGTGGACGAATGTCAATCCGAGCTTTCGATATGAGGTCTTGACGGATCAGAATAGTCTTGCTTGGGTCGAATACAACTTTGGACCCGACCGGTTCAACCGCCTAGACATCATCTACATGTACAAAGAGATCACCGCGAAAATCATCAAGGCCGACCTTCTCCGCTACCTTGTCATGTACGTCGAGGGAGGAGTTTACACCGACATCGACGTCGAAGCCATTCGTCCTGTCCAGAGATTCATCCCAGAAAGATGGAATGAGAGGGACATTGACATGGTCGTCGGTGTGGAAATCGATGAGCCAGAGTGGAAGGACCACCCAATCCTGGGACCGAAAAGCCAGTCTTTCTGCCAATGGACATTCATGTGCAAGCCACAACTACGCGTCATGATGGACCTCGTCGAAAACATCATGGATTGGCTCAGAGACGAGGCGACCAAGCAACGCGTACCCATCGGCGAGATAAAACTCGACTTCGACCAAGTCATCAGCGGCACCGGACCATCAGCCTTCACAAAGGCAATCTTGGCCGACATGTCACGCAAAACCGGACGTGACATCACATGGAACACTTTCCACAGCCTTGACGAGTCAAAAGTGGTGGGCAACGTACTCGTCCTGACCGTAGAAGCTTTCGCAGCAGGACAAGGCCATTCAGACTCGGGCACGCACGACACAAAACAAGCTCTCGTAAAACACCACTATCACGCATCTCAATGGCCCAAATCGCATCCCAGATACAAACACCCCATCTTCGGCGAGATCGAGGAATGCAACTGGAAACCGGAATGTGTGCATAGATGGGACGAAGACAAGGCAGCCTTCGAGGCTCTAGACCCCGCCGAACAAAAAAGACGGATCGACGAAAAACTGGCCAAAGACAAGATCGAAGAGGAGGAAAAAAGACTAGAAGAGGAAAGAAAGCATGATGCCGATCGAGAACAGGCCGATAAAGATAGGGGTGCCAAAGCAGAGCAGTTTGAAGCATTTTTGAAGTACTCGGAGGAGCTTAGGAACAAGCAAGATCACAGAGATTGAGGGAAGGAAAGATCAATATACATTCGAGATACCCAGCAATATTTTGATCTATGCGCTAGCTGTACACAGAGCATTGGCTTGCGGTCATCTCGGTTGGTTTATGGTTTCTTGTTGATTCGTCCTTAAACATAGCCTGCGAGCCTTGTCCTCTTTTCTGATTGATCATACGTGTATAATTAGTTGTTCTCGAATGCTTCAAATACCCATGATCGGCACCTCTTTCTCTTCTCAACCTAGCCGTCTCTCTCAGATGTCTTAAGGCGTTCTTACAGTCTTCGAATCCAGTGGATTATGTAGATGATAGGCCATGTATTATTTCTTGCCACTGTGTACCTGAATCTTGATGCTGATTTGATCTTTCCGGACAAGGGCTCTCAAGATTCACTAGGCCTTAGCGTGCCGAGAATGCTTCGAAGATGGATAGTTGATCTCGCTGTCAGGAAGTGATGAACGCGACTCAGAAAGCCATATCTGCCCAATGTGTTGATGTAGTGTGATTTTGTGTCGTAACAATCGTAATTCTCTTTCCTGGGTATCATATCTTGTCTTCCTCCTTTCCCTTCCTTGTCCTTGTCGGTTCCCTCTCTGGTCTCATTCCATAGCTCTTTCTCATTGTCTATCTCCCTTCTCCTGTCCACCGCCTTGTGTCTGTCCCTCCTCCTCTTGTGTATTGTTGCTCTGTTGCTGCTGCGCCATCACATTCTCAAACATCGACCACAACCCCTCGACTTGACCGAATTCATTGCCGACCTGTGTATATCCACGTCAGCAACTCTTCTCATATACCCTCTACTCCTTTCTCAATCGCAGGTCTACTCGTGCAGCATAGGGGCGTCGTGCGGGCAACGGTCGAGCATCCAGGTATTCGAGCAGAGGGAGTTGTGGCACACATACAGCGATAACGCTTTCCAAGCTGCGATTCAGCGTGTTCATGTTTTGCAACACTTGTTCTAGATTCTGTATATCTTGTCAGTATTGCTCCTGTTTACATGACAATCCAGGGCAGGGAGGCAAAAGTACCGTTGCGACATCTTGGAGAACGAGTTCGCGCTGTTGTTCAAAGTATGTTTTCTCGGGCTGCGGGTTGCGTGATGTCGACATTATGAATCTCCCGTCTGTGATCTCTGCGACTGATAGGATAAGTAATTGAAGGTATGCGACAGAGTTGGGTGTGACAAGTACTCTAGTGGTTTGCACTCGATTTGTTTACACCAAAGCTGCAGGTCGCAGGACATGAATGGTCAAGCGAGCCCGTGCACTGCGCAGCCTCCCGCCAAGACCTCCACTCCACCTCACGCAGTCTCTTTCTGCGATTTCTGCCTTTTCTCTTTCCTCGACACCACAGCAGCGGACATGTCAGACAGGCAAGAGCCATTCGCCTTGACACGTTCGCTGAAATTCCCAACTCGTAAGTTCAATACCCTTTTTCCTTGTCAGCGCGACGTTTTCTTCATGATGCACAAAGAATTCTGCAATTCGGATGCGGACCTTTTCGGAGGTTTTGCAGGACGACACAACTATTCACAATCACTTTTTTTTCTGATCTTGTTTATTTTACAAGCATTCTTTGCACGATTGTCTGGGTGTGCAAGTTTTACTGACAAGGTATGAAGAATAGGTTTGGCTGTGTTGTATTGATATTGGAGGTTGCAATCTATATCAATCTGTCTCGAACATCTCGCTCCAATAAAAAATTCTTTTTCCAAAATCATACTCGAATCTGTCGTGCTTTTCGCCACATCCTTTTTGACTGTGAGAGTGTTGCTCCAAGCCGAAACTAGATTCAGACGTGTAGAGACTTAGTGTTGTCGAGCGCAAGATGGACTCAAGTCAGTACGTCGACATCGATATATCAGCCTCGCGCTTGACAACCAAAGCCTTGCGCACGACTGGCATTCTGCACAGCCTTGCGAAGTTTCTTGCCCTTCTTCGCGACAACTTCAATAAACCCCAGTGCGACCATGGCACTCCTAACAGATCCCATGTCGTAGTCTGGAATCCATGTAGACGACACCTACCACTGCCCTCGAAAAGCCTTCTTATCAAGAACAGTCAGGTCAATGACTTAGTACGTCAATCCTACTACACAAGCCAATTCTGCGAAAAAAGACTTGTCAAGATGTGCGCCAAAGATATCGCTGAAACAAAATAAACGTCCGATGATAGCGAAAGTATCTTCATCTCAAACGTGATAAAATCACAAAGGTGGTCAAGAAAGAAGTGCCGAGCAAAGCAATTTTTAATGAGCGTGGGGTTTATATAACCAAGGCAGGCACAGTAGAGTAATGAAGGAGATGTGTTATCCGTTTCCTTCTTCCCATTTCTTTGCGAGTGTTTTTTTTGATATTTCGGAGAGAGAATTTGAACGTCAAGCAAGCATTGCAACTTCCAAGAGACAAAGGAGAGACGTAAGAAGCCTAGTTGATAAGTTCAGAGGCCAAAAACGATGCCAAGTGTTGAATCTCAAGCAGGAAGAGAGAACAGAAAAACACGAAAAAAATCGAAAAAGCACACTGGCCATAAAAGTATCGTTGAAATTAAGGTCATAAGAAAGGCCGAGATGTGCCATGCATCAGGCTTCCTGGATTGGATTGCGTAAAGGCTCAAAAGCAGTGTCTAGCGCAGAGTGAGTTCCATGTTAGTGCTTCGACGTCGATGTGAGTTCAACGCCGCGCTTGATAACCGGAGCCTTGCGCGCAATCCAATCCAAGATTCCTCATGTGTGGCACCTCTTGGTCGATCTCGTCCGCGTCCGACGCGTGTGGGCAGATGTGGGATTGGCATGTCGACAGTCAGGCCTGGTTTTGGGGCTCAGGGTCGGCTGGGTCGACGACATCGCCAAAGCCGAGAGCGAACATGACTGTCTTGATGGCTTCCATGTCTCCATCAGAGTCGAGCCAGACGGCACCGATGAGGGCTTCCAGAAGATTCGCGGCCATTCTCACAGACGGCTGGACGATCTGGCGGGGGTTGCAATTGATCTCGGCAGTGAGACCGGTGGCGATTGCGACTCTGGCCAGGTTGCCATCTGACAAGTGGTGTTGCCTCACTCTATCCCAGTCGACTACAGAAGGTTAGTACAATGGACCGTAATGGGATGAGAAGCACAAACCGAGGGCACCGCCTTGATTGTACCAATGCTCGATCATGGGGACAGGCATCACAGCATCACCTGGCAGAGCAAGCCTTTTGTTTCCGACGGGGACGTTGCGTCCACCAATCATGTTGTGGCCAGATCCAGCCACTTGCAGAGCTTCCCAGATGTACGCTTTCTCGGGCTTTCGAGTCTTGTAATGAAGGATTGCCTCGATACGTTCGACCTTGGCTTGATGTTGTGGGGCCAGCATCTTAATTTGAACTCGTGTTGATAGTTTTGGTATGGATGGAATGAAGACAGATGATGATGAAGGTACACAGAATGTCAGAGGGGGCACGCGAGTTCAAATACTCATTGCATGCTTGACCCCGCTCTCAAGTTGAGCGCGTGAACTTTGAAGTGTTGACTCTTGAAAATGTGCCTCCATGCATAGATTGACCAACGCAAGCGCACACAGGCCCGAGTGTTAGCGCCCATATCTGTAATTCGTCGAAGGTTTGCATGGATGGCGTGAGGAGCAGTCGTATGTGCTGGTCGCAGTGGAGTTCTGAGTTCATAGTCTGCAACGCCAAGGGCATGATCGCTCCTTCTCTCGGTTCGAACTTGGTCATGAGAAGAGACCTGATGAAAGTACAAACAGTGATATTAATGCTCATAAAAGGGGTATCCAGAAATTATTATAACCTCGTCATCCAAACATATCTCTCGACGTTCATCCTCGTCGAGATATTACCCAGGTAAAAAAGAAAAAGTGAAATCGAAAAGTCGAGACATGCAAATGCTGAACATCCTCCTCTTTCTTTTTCATGCTTAGAAGAATTGTCTACCAAGAAGTGCCTTGGCCCTTGTATGCACCAGCATCAAGACCAGGAATGGAGAAGCCATAGCCTTGAGTGTGGCCTTCGCGATCACTTGGCGAGATCTCAACCTTGATGCAGACATCGAGGCCATCAGGGCCACCAAGACCAGTGAATTGCAAGCCCTCAGCGGCAGGGTGAGTAGTACCAGCCTTTTGCTCACCTGCATGAAGGGCATCACGAGGGTTGCCTCCAGCTGGGAATGAGGTGGCGGGGGCCGAGATAGCTGCGACGGTAGAGTCTCCATTGGTGTGTCCGTTGTTGTGACCATTGGTCAAGCCGTTCGTTGCGCCGTCAACTGCGGCAAAGGCGGAAGAAGCGGTGCCGTTGTGCGACTCAGCGATGATGGCGTAGTTGCGACTAGGCATAGTGCAGTGGTTCTTGTCCTTCGTCTTGTTCTTGACATCTTCGCGTCCGTGGCCGGGATCTTTGTCAAAAAGGTTCAGCAGTGTCTCGTCAGTGTCGTGATCAAGATGGTGAATCTTGTTGCGACTGGCGAGGAGGTTGGCGACTGCTGACGGAGGGGGCTTGTTGGTGATGGCAGATGAGATGATGTTGGGCATGTAACGCCAATCCTTCTCAACAGGAATGTTGAGCTTAGGGTTGCTGTAAAAGCGGCCCATGGCTGCGAGATGGACATCACCACCTAGGATGGAAACACGAACACCGTGTCTCTTGGCCAGATCTTGCAGACGCTGAATCAGCTCTCTACGCTCAGACTTGTGCTGATGAGCCGTGTAGTGGTCATCCAAATCATCAAGCAAATCGACTTGCCCGTCGAACTGATTGAAGAGGCCACCAGCCACACCGAATCTCTTGTTAAGGAAACGGATGGGGCCGACCAGAGGAGACTGAAGAATGTTCTCCAACCACTGCAGGCGAGGGTAGGCAATCGGCACACCCAAGAGCAAAATCAAGTGCTTGATGGCAGGATTGGCCTGGAGCTCAGCTGAGGTGCGGTGGAAGATTTGATCATAGGTCTCGGGATAATTGATCTGATGTCTGGTACGCTCAGTTCTGGCATCAATACCGACAAAGGCGATACGGGCACCGAGCTGACAGTACATGGATCTGCTGCGCTCTTCAACATAAGGTCCGGGCTTGGAGCCGATGATGTATGATGGCTCATGCTCATCACCAGTCTTGACGAAGGCATCGTTCAGCTGGACTGCATCAGGGGCAGCAGTGCCGTGCTCATTGGCGTGGACAGTCTGAGGAGCATCTGTGGTGAAGGTACTCTTCGGTGGGGCAAGATGGTGCTGGAAGAGCAAGTAGTACTTGTGAGCTACACCACCAATACCTCTGAAAACAGCACATCTCATGAAGTGATCAGTATAACTGCCGAAACCATCAATAATGTCGTGGTCGTCCCAGATGTTAAGCTGAGGAATCTGACCGTTGGCGAAGGAGAAAGGCTCGGTTCCGTACCAGCGGATGTAGTTGTTGAAGTAGTATTCGTCACACTTTGCGCGGAGCTCTTCGTTGAAGGGGAAATGTCTTCTCTTGTGAGGCGAACCAATGTCAGTCCAAGGTCTGAGAGGACCGTCAACTCTGACACCGTCGTTGTAGATCTGATCACCACCACCAATCATGACATGGAAAGGCTTCTGCTCGTGCATACGCAGAACATCGTTCCAGAGGGCGCATCCAGACCAGGCGTCAGTGTCGGTACCGACGGAGAAGCCATTGCACGAGTGGAACATGATTCTCATGGAGTTGGTCTTGGAGGGGATGTAGAATGACTTAGGACCAGGAGCGACGGTCTTCTTGGAATCGACATATTTTGCGCCGGGGATTCCGTACTCCCACTTGGACTCCTGAGCCAGGAATGGCACCTCAATGTCGAAGCGCCAGAAAGCGCTCTTGGGGTCCTCGTACAACTTGACACCGTCAATCTCTCTGGAGAATTGAATAGCGCCTGCGCTGCGGATGACAAGCTGAGGCTGTCTTTGTCCAGGGGTGGTAACAATCAAAACACTGCCATGCCATGTGGGGTTGTCCGTCTTTTGGCCGCTCATGTATCTGTAATTGAGCAGAGGTCCGCACAGAGTCTCGACATGATTGGAGGTGCTAAGAATCTGAGGGCCTTCGCCAACTCCGGTAGCGCCATCTTCTCTTGTTCGCGAAACGGGTCGCTGTGTGCTGTGAGGGTCTACGGTGTGGTCGGGACGGAAAGTAGGGTCTTGATGGCGTCCGAGAGCATGTTGAATGGCATCGCCGGCAGGGCCAGTCGCTGATGTGTGAGGCGCGTTGCCGCCTGTGCCCCAGTTGGTGTTCGCATGTTGGCGGTCCGAGTCGGAGGGTTCGTTTTGCTGATGTTCGAAGCGGTCTTCGAACCGGCGTTCCGATTGAGAGTTCATGCTTTGTAGCGGGCCGGAGGTGTGATCTTGTCCGGCGACAACAAAACGTCCTGTGGATGAGTAGCAAAAAGGTCAGGAAGGCAAGGGGCGCTCAGCCAAGGGCCGACGACGACAATTTTGTCTGCAATTATCGCCGACCTGCCACGCTCTTTCTCCTGCCTTGATTCCCCTTCATCTTACCAACGGCCGTCTTGGCTATGACGGGATTGACCGAATCCATGGTACAGCCAAGACGATGTGAAGCTTGGAGGCGTGCTTCTTTCGCGCCTCTTGTTTCGTCTCTCACCGGTCATGTCCTAAAATACATTGCTGCATATCGTCCATGTTGTCGCCATGTGCTTTGGCAGTCAATTCGAATACGTTGATATTGAATTGGTGAGCAAGAAAAGCATCTGTTGTATGTAAATGCATGCAAAAAGGCCATTCCTCCGAAGTCTTGGTATCTGGTGATCGTTGCAACTTCGCCCAGATTCGGACGCGTTTCCCTGCATGCGTCCAATCGCCTCGTTCCCAAATCTAATCTTGGTGCTTCCATCGCGATGCACCAACCTCCTCCTTAGCTTCAGTCAACCAGTACCATCTCCAGCATCAATTGTCCACGTCTTGAACCACTTTCGTCTTCATGCTCAGAGTCCAAGTCCATGATCTGAATCTCCTTGCCTGCGACCAAATGCTTTCGGGCCTTTCCTGCCATGGCCGATCTCTCATCGCGCTTCTCAAACCTTGACTGATTGCGCAGCCCGACCAGTGACTGATCCTTAGGCCAATCCTCTTGCTCATCGGGTGCAACATAACGATAGGCAGATCTGTCAATGTCGGTCTCTGGAATCACTACTTGCACCGTCTGTCGCTTTCTGGCAGCATCATCCTTGATTGTCAGACCCATTGCTGCCGAAGCAGACTTCCTGGCTGCCTTGTGACGAGGTATCAGCTTCTCATTCTTCTTTGCCGACATGGATCTTGTTGAACGGCGATGAGAATTCAAGGCATCTTTCAGCTCGTTGTCGAACTCATTCTTCTTTGCCGACATAGACCTTGTTTGACGGCGATGAGAATTCAAGCCATCTTTCAGCTCGTTTTCGAACTCCTGAGAAATTGTGCTTCTTGGTCGCCTGGCCTGGACTCCTCGACTGCTAGCTTCATCGCTCAAGGTTGCCGTCTCAGTGCGTGGACGCAAGTTGTACTTGTTCCTCTTCGCCTTAGTCGGAGTGTCTGTGTGGTCCTGCTCTCTACGCCTCTTCTTCATAATGCTTCTCAATCTCTGCTTCTGTGCTGGCTCCTCCTCAGTCAAGTCAAGGATGGGCTCATTGTAGGCTGTGACTGGCTGGGAAGCAAACATGCCGAAACGCTTGTGCCTCTTACGGTCCGCATTTGCGTCAGACTTGGGCGACACAAATGGGTCATGTTCATCCGACATCTGGTTCATGGCGGATCTCGAGAAAAGGCGACTTTCCAGAAACAATATCTCGTCTTCTGACTCCTCAGATCTGACAGGTGAGATGAGGTCGATGAGCTGTGAGCTGGTCCGGTTTTCAGTCAGATCATCAGATGATCCCGAGCCTGTTCTACCAAGCTCTTCGATACAAGTCTCGTTCTGATCCTGGACCTGGTGTCTCATGAGTTCGTGCTCCTCGGAGTCGTCAATGGGGAAGTCGTCGTTTTCGAGCATATTGCTCTGGCCTTTGTTGTGCTCGACAGCCTTGTCAGAGATTCGTGTAACGTTGCGCTTGTCGTTTTCTCTTTCGCCGTCGGAGTAGACGTAGTCTGACCCCTGACTGGAGTCCCAGCTATGTGCTCTCAACACCCTCTGGAACCTGACCCGCTTCTTGGTTTGCTCGGTTATCGTAGCGGAACCAGCTTCCTCAAAGACCTCACTTTCGTCAATAGTCTGCACGACAGCTGACTCGTCAAGGATCTCTGTCGATGAAGTGATGGGCAGTTCAACAGCCAACTCGGTGGTCGTGATGACGGCTGATTCATCAGACACCTGAACCTCGTTGTGCTCCTCCTCTACGGTATTCTCAGGAGACTGGGCTATACAACATTAGCAACTGCCGACAGGCCAACTCGCTTTCTGATTGACGCTACCGTATCTTCTGATCTCTTCGAGGAATGTCTCGTCAATCTGATCTTGATCCTGGGGCTCTGCTGAAACCACGTCGTCATCTCCGTCACTCTCGTCGACAAGAGTCTGGGCTGCTTGTTGTAAGCTATTGATCGATTTCAGACAGCCGACAAGCGTACCGTATCTTCGAATGTCGGCGACAAACAGTTCGTCCACATCACTGTCGTCGTCGATTGAAACGACGACTATCGGTCTGTCAGTGAACATGGCTTATCATGACACCAATACCGACGAGTTCTTACCCTTACTTCTATCGAGTTTCTTCAGAGGCATCATCTCTTCAGTTCCGGCAGTCTCCATGGTTTTATTTCTGCCGTCGTTTCTGGATTTGTTGCGAGCTTGGGGCTTTTTCTTGTTGCGAGCGCGGCGTTTGCCTTTACCTCCTAAGATCTCAGGGTCGGTGTCACTCTCGTCGGCTAAGATGTGCACGCCTTGGACATCTTCGTCGGGGTTTCTCTCGCCGTAGATGTCTTCGTAGTACTTGAGACGTTGTGTGGTACTCAGAGGTTTCTTAGATCTGAACCAGCCTTGTATGGGCGGCATAGCAGAGGGGATGGTCAAGATCTCAGGAAGGTTGTTATAGCCAAGGATATAAGGTGAGAGTTGAAAGAAGATAAGGATAAAGTGTTGTGAAAGTCGACAGGCAGCCTAAGGTAATTTGGTAAGGTAGGAAGATAAATTCAAAAGAAGGAGATTGAAGAGAGAGAAGGCAGTTGAAGGTGTTACAAGGTGTTGCTACTTCACATTTCCATCGCGCAATTAGGCAACGTAGGTGAGGAAGAAGTGAAAGACATATAATTTGAATCACAGGGCATCTCCAAGTCGGCAGCCGTGATTGGTAACACGCTGACGCGCAGCAACTCACAGCATAAACAGTGGATGTTCTTACAGTGTCCAGGGAGAACAACAAGCCGGAACAAGGCTTTCACTTTATTTGACATCAACTCATCGGGCGTCGGCCTCAACACGTGTGCGCTTGAGCGATAATCTTTTGTCGACTACGCCAAAGCCGCACTTGTTATTCTCTTGTTAATCTGCGATCTCAACATCCGCGCAACAAATCAACCCGCTGACACCTATTCTGGCCCCGCGCCACCACACCCACAAGATGCGCACCAGATCGGCCAGCGCCGACAGCTTCATCGAGACTGAGGCGGACAAACTCGCGCTTGACCATGTTTGATATCCCTACATCAATAAGCGGACATCCCACTGACACAAACAAAGGCCGGACAGATCTTGGCATTCGCCGAAGAGTTTGAGGAAATCATGAATGTGTGTATCGTTCCTGAGGGTCTGGAGAGGGCATTGAGAAGTCTGTTGAAGAAGAGGTTGGGCATTGTCCATTGGAAGGGAGACTTTGAGCAAGAGGAGGAAGAGGAACAACAGCTTGAGCAGATCGAGGAAGAACAAACCGATGAAGAGAAAGAGGAGGAAGACCAGAAGAAGCACGACATCGCTCCCCCCACTACCGAATTTATGGCAGACTCTGTATCGCCATCCCCCACATCTCGGTCGAACACGTCCTCCGACTCCTCTGAATCTCCGGAGCAAGACCCGCGCATCAACCAGCTCATCGACCAGCTCCCCGACCAGCTCCCGGCCTCGCCCTCTGCGACCCCGCCATACACCAAAGTCACACCTCAGCAACTCCTAGACATCATGTTTGGTTTGACCGACATCGAGGGCGGCGCCAAGGTCCTCGAATATTTCCACCGTGGTGTTGCTGCTGCCATCGCTCAGGGTCTTCCGAGCTTCAGAGTTGAAGATTTCGGCTGCAGTTTCTATTCACAGAGAGTCTTCATGTCTTGGGGCTATGTGGACGTGCCACTCGTGTATATCGAGGAGGAGGAGGAGGAGGAGGAGGAGGAGGAGGAGGAATATGAAGATGAGCATGAGAACCAGCATGAGCATGAGAGCGAGCACATCTCTGATGAAGAGACGGGTGGTGATATGGGAGCAGAAATATCTGGATCACCGCTGATGGCCATCCAAGAAGAAGACTTTTCCGAGCAGGATCAGAGTGAAAGTGAGGTTGAAGAGGAAGAAGAATAGACTTCGACATCACCATTGATCAACAGCCAAGAGGAGGGTTCTCCTGAGCTTGGCGAGAGTGAGAATGAAAGTGAAGTTGAAGAGGGAGAAATCATCGAGCTATAGACGCAGTCATGCCTCGATTGTAATGTACGTAAGAAAAGCTTTTGATGGGGTTGAGATCAAATCGGAGTACGTTTAGCTATTAACAAGAGTTGTTCCTACTTGACTCTGGTCTCGAAAACCGCTTCATCAAGCCATGTAGCCATGAATGACAACCGCCTGTAGGTCCCTACGGCGCCGAATCCCAGATCCAAACGCAGATTTGGGCAGGTAACGTTGACCGGCCATCTGGGCTTGATATTGCCTTGACAAAACCACGGAAGACGGGAGAGGATTTTCGAAGTACTCATGCATCAAGGTCAGCATACGAAATTCATTCATATCTTGTATCTGTTCGCATTGGTGCTCGCTATCACTGCTTCTTCGAAATGAATATTCAAGGCTTTGTCGGGGTCACCCTGGTCAAATCGATGGTCGAAAGCGGGAAACAACCATTGAAGTCGTCTAGCAAGCTATCTTGTGTTTCTAGATTCAAATCGCAGGACTATGATATGTGGACGAATGAGAAGGAAGAGCGTCGAGTCGAAGTGTCGTTCCTCGATGACAAGAGAAAAGCTCCGAGCGGACAATGATGAAAGCTGCTCCACCTCTCACTCCACAGATCCGCCCACCAAGGTGTTGATATCATGACAACGTCATAACATATTTTTTCACAGAACAACAAAACGGAAGTCACAATCTGCTGTCTTGCTGAACCTTTATTCCTCCAATACAACATATCTCTCGAGCTCACGCACCACACATCAATCTTTGTTGCAAACACATCAAGCAACGTCACAACTTCTTGTTCAATCCATACACTTCGAACACCACCACACATCATGCCCACCGACCCCCACCAAGGAGGTAACCTCTCCGACATGGCCGTCACCGGCACCTCCATCCCCAACGACGCCGGCGCCTACGAGACCCTCCCTTCAGTCCCCAACCCCGAACAAGCATCCACCAACAACCGCACCGCCACAAACCTGGCCGGTGCAACCGACAACGCGACCGATATGCCCAAGTCCAGCAAAGATATCGGCGCGACCGGCGAAGTCATGACGGCGACAGGCGACCAGCTTCCTGCTCAAGTGGAGAGCAAGAATTTGCATTTTGGAGCCAACAACCCGGCGGACAAGGGTCATGATAGGAGTGATAAGCATACTAAGCAGAAGGAGAGTGATTTTGAGAGGTATGCCGCTGAGTAAGGGATGGGGTTATGATGGATGATGAAGGATAGGCCCTGGAGGTCTGAGTCTTGTATATTAGATTTATGAATGGATGACTTGAATCACACCGAGAACAGCTCAATCTTCTAAGATGTGCTAACGATGGAGCAAAGTCGAAGAGATGGCTCGAACAATGCGAGAAGGCGGTGGCATATAAATTTGAGGGGCATGAAGTCGAGAAGACAGGATACCCCCTTGGCCGGCAATACTGACGAGATCAGCCTCCTATCCATCATGTCTTCCTCTCGTAGCGGCAACCACTCATTCTCCAGGGATAATTCCCCCTCTTCCTTCAAAAAGAGCTCGAACAAACCCACTTCGTCCGATGATGACAACTACTCCAACAACTCCTACAACCGCTCCTTCAACACATCTTCCAATAACTCCAGAACCCCTTTCCATGTCGTCTACTCCTTCATCCAGCGCCTTTTGCAGCTTCTCCAAAACTCCGACAATAAATCCCCCTACTCTATCTCCTCTTCCCAAAGCTCTTCCACCCAACTCCCCCTACCACATCTCCAACGACTCAAGAACCACTTCCACATCATCCACCCCCTGCACCTCCTCATCTACCTCAGCCCAACTCGCCAACTTCGAATCTCAAGCCCGCCGCATCCATGCTTCCGAGATCAAGTCTATAATGCCGCATACACGCGTGCCTGTGCTTCCGGTGGCGGTAAGCCCGCTAGACTCTACCTTATAGATTGGGCTAGAAATGCGGATAGACAGGATAGAGTGTTGGAGGGTATCAAGGAGGTGAAGGGGAAGAGGGAGAAGAAGGTTTGACTGGGGGTTAGGTGGAGTGGGGGTCGGTGATGGAAGAGTGAGTAACAGCTTTAGGGAATCTAGCCGGGGAGATTGGTTTGGGTATGGGGAGTCGTGTTTTTTTGGTCTTTTGTGTCTCGGGGATGGTGTGAGATATGGTTCGTTACTGTATTGCTTTCTTGCGAGATGGGAGATTTGGTCTGGGGCAATGACGGTTGCAACGATCTAGAGCAAGCATTGATTTTGGTCTACGTTGTGTCTTTCTTTGTGGTATTCGACACACTCGTACAGAGAACGGGAGTAGATGCTCACATGCAGCAGGAGTAGCGACTAGATCAGCACTTCTGCAATCCCATACTTCTCTCTTATTTTCCTGCAAGCTTTCATCTCAGCACGCAAATCCCAAAATTATCCAAAGCAAGACCGTGGAATCGATCCAAGCATCCAGCTCGGGCACTGTGCTTTGGAAAGGTTTCATGTATCTTTTCCAACCACACCTCAAGGCATTTGTCACCCCTGACATCCTCAAGGTTGATCATCTCGCAAAACATCTTTGCCAGTTTGTCCAACACTTCAGCGCGTTTGACTTCCAATTCACTCTGGTCCCTGATTACCCGTTCTTCCCTTTCCAATACATGTAATTCCGTACCCAGTCCTTGCTCCATTTCAACAACAGTTTCCCCTTTGTACAATTTTCCTAGACAAGTCCGCCGTCGCGCGACCTTGTCGTCATCGAGTATATCGTCGCCGAACCAGACTTGGCCCAAGCGGTGCGAATGGTGATACAATCAAACATGTCCATCGAAGCAGCCAAGTGTGAAGATCTGAAGTCCCCCCAAAACATCAAGTTCTTTTCCTCGATACGACTTGATGATTTCCGACCTCGAGATATGGAGATGTGCCATGGTTTCTTTTCCGCGTCGCCGCTGATGCCACAGTGTAAGCGAAGGTGTAGTTTTGGTAGCATGGCGTGCGTATGTTCATCTCGGGTTTGATGGCAGGTTCTGAGGATCGGAAGGATTTCTGTGAGGTGCTCGTAGACCATGATGCGGATGTCAGGTGGGAGAGCGAGGAATTGGAAAGGTCTCCAGGCCATGGTGGCCATCGCCCATTGCTCCAACAAGCACATTTTGGTTCCGTGCATGATCACCGAATTGAAGAAGAAGAAGGCGAAAGACGCTGAGGATAGAAAATCAGGATGCGACGTGCGCGAAGTTGAAATAGATAGCAGTGGCGGATTTGGCGAGAGTAGAGAGTGATCAAGGTAGTTAGTTCTAAGCTTGGAGCATTCGGCGCCGAAAAAAGATTTCACGGTCACGAAGCGTCGAGTCCAAGGAATGAAGCACGAGCGTGTATAGGACTACCGCATTTGCTCAATCGGACCTGTATGCGTTTGTCTTTCTCGGATGAATGAACATGGCCGGAGCATAGATTTTGCCATCCTTCTTCAGCAGAACATGTGGCATATCCGAATCTGGCTGTTTTTCTCCTTTCCAGTAAGCCATCATACGGTCAGGCATGGGACTGACCCAGTCGAAGCTCCTTCCTCGGACGAAAAACCCTAATGACGCTCCTCTAGTATTCACTGGTCCATTTGCAAAGCCATCCGAGAATTGGTCGATGTCGCCACCATTGAGCACAAAATTCAATTCCTCTCTGTCTCGTTCCGGGTCCTGGAAGATAGGTAACGGTAGTCCGACCAGCTTGAGACCATGCCAAAGTGCGAAAGATGGCAGCGTTGTCTCCGATGCTATGCGTAAGTCTTGCTGAGATTGCGCGTGGTGAATCGCATTGAGTAGATTCCAACTTGCGCGGCCCTGCGCTGGCGGTGAATGCCAGTAAGGAAGATCCTCATTTTTTGTGAAACCATAATGCCAGTATCTAAACGGCCAATCCTCGAGTCGTCGTACGTCCATCAACGTGTTGAAGAGTAAAAGGTCGGCAGGCTCTCCTGCACCCCACTGCCAGTTGACCTCCGTGTTGTTGGGCTGAGGTGATGGGGGCTGTGGACCGATAGGCAAGATTTCTTCGCCGATCTGAATCGGGCCCCAAGTACCCGTGCCATCAGGCATCGCCGCATTGACCTTCTGTGTAAATTCGGAGTAGGTGCCATGGAATTGAGGCATATATGCCCAGCTCGCGCGTTCGTGTGATTGCTTCCTCGGTTGGCTCTCGCCGAACTTGTCGAATGAGTCCAAGATCTCACCAACGTGCTGAGTGACACGAACATCCATCTCAAGCTGCCAGTAATGATCATATTCGGGATAAAGCTGGGCGAAAAGTTGAAAGGGCTGCATCATCTGCCAGAATGGTGTATGGTCTATGACATCTGGATACCAGCTTTCGAGCAAGGTCGTATCGAATAGAACAGCCATGTCTCGGAACTCTGCAGGGACCACCTGCTCGAGTATAGATGTATAATTAGAATCATCATAATGGATATGAGCGTCCAGATCCTTGACATCGACGAGAAGAAAGACATTGTATTTGCCGCTAGTAGCAAGAGCGGCCTCCGTCACGATGCTCCGAAGGTTTTGCATGTCGTCTTCAGTGTATGGATAAGTAGACCATGCTCTGAGAACAATGGCTTGTTTCCCATACTCCTTGTCAGAAGGTCGAACACCGTCCACTTTGGCCTTGTTTTCTCCATCCTTTGTTGATTTGTTCTTCTTCGGCTCCGTAAGCACTTCCGGTTTTGATGGTTCCCGGTACACAAATCGGCGCATTTCGGAGAGTTTAGCTTGATTCGGAAGTCGATGCGAATTCTCCTGAGCACATTGGTCTTGTAGTGTGCCCCATTTGACATCCTTCCAGCTCACATGGCTGAAACGGTAGCCTTCCTTATCTTGTCCGAGCCCGTATGGACCATATCTCTCCTCGGCTGTTGTCCAGGATCGGTTCAAAACCAGCGCCTCGAACGAGCCCGTGATGGGCTCAGGATATGAAGCAAAATCATGGAATGATGATTTCAGCTGGTCATCCGTGCTTTCGTTCAACCGCTTGCCTCGTGGTCCTACACATGATACAGGGTGTAGTTGTAGCTGTGGATTGATCCAGTCCGGGTCTTTGGCCGCGTCCGGGGTTGGGTGCTTCGAAGTGTCTGAGGTTGTGCCTTTATCAATAGACGATGGCTTCTGAGGAAAAGACAAAGACGACCAGACTAAAATCAACATCAACACAGCGAAGAAAGTGATGATAGCACGCTTAGCCAGGTCGCGCTTTGGAAGATATCGTGTCAACATGGTCATGTTCTGGTGCCCGCCGGGGAGATCAGTCAAGGATGAGAGTTGAAACAGTGACAATTGTCACAGTCCTCTGCACAAGTCCAGGGAAGACAGTCGACATGGACATTATGTGAGGATGTGGGTCTCGACTCGAATATCAGTCTCGAAATCTCTGCCACTCCACCCGCCTCAACCAAGGGAAGCCGTTCGTGAGATCATAAGCCAACGCTAATTGCTCGGACGGGGCTCCGTACGTGTCTGTGGAACGTCTCAATGTGGCCATACCACTCACCAATCGTCTTGTTTACCGAGAAATTGGTTGACCGCAGATTATGTCTTTGTCACGAGGACATCAATCTGGGACTCCTTACAGCAAGTCATCGACGCCTGGTCTTCGGGAAAAAGTTACAAGATCAGATATTGGTCGACACCAATATTACACAGTGGATGTTGGGCAGAGCTAGAGCTGCATGCCAATCCGCCGTGTGTCATCGAGGGGAAAGATCAAAATCCTGTTTCCGAATTTTGTCGAGCTCTGTTATCGATTACGTGCAATTGGCGTTGTGCTGGCTTGAGTCAGTGGATCGAGTCAGGCAGGCGCTCATTACTCGAGTACCGATGTATTCCAAGGCCACATAGTACGCGATATTGGAAGCCGAGTCTGAAGAGGAAGAACTCTCATAGCTTGTGTCATGCATGCTCACAGATCTGTTGTCGTGAGAGCCTATTTGTTCGAATGTTGCAAGATCATGAAACATCAATCTTATCGATCTGAGATGTTCCAGTTCGGGAAGGTCAAGACTCAGCCAAGAGATGTGCCGCTTCCCCGCAGGCAACCTGATTTCACCAAGCCCTTCCAAGCCCTCGCGCATCGACCTTCCAGCTGTCGACTATCTTGGCCTGACGAGACTGCATTTCCTGATCTGCGAGAGTGTCCAACATGACTGCTGCCTTTAACAACGATGGCGATGAGGTCGAGATCAGAAGAACACGGGTGGCCATGCCATCTCCAACGACTACAGTCTCGTCAATCAACAAGAGATGCAAGATGGAAGTCTGGATCTTACGCTCTATAAGTATTTATAACCATTGGCTGATTTTACGGCGATTTGCGAATCCTTCGTGCCCAAAGTAGATTTGTTGTTTGCGATACAACGAACCACGTGCGAATCCTCCGGGGAAAGGCAGCTGCGCCGTACTGGCCCGTCCAAGGGGTCTTTGATGATTGACTTTACCTAAACATCGAGACATTCCTTCCATTCTTCTTTCACGTTTCCCCACTCGCCATTCTTTGAAACATGCATCAACATGAGGCTGCCGTCGTTCTCAGTGAACGGCACCTTCAAGAGATATGTCCTGGCCATAGGCATCGTCTTTGCTCTTGAGATATGGTTTCATTTATCCCGCTTGTCGACCGAGAACTTCCGGATCGAGGTCAACAAAGCACCACGACCGGATTGCCATGCACCGGAACATTTACTGCATCACAATTCAACAACAAGTCGGCAAAATGCAACTGTGCTTATGCTTGCGCGGAATGAGGATCTCGAGGAAGCCGTGGACGCATTGAAGTCCTTCGAGTCGCAGTTCAACAACCGATATCATTATCCGGTCGTATTTCTCAACAACGAACCATGGACTGATGCCTTTATGCAAAACGTGTCGGGCGTTGTCAGTGGCCAGGCTATCTTCGACATCATTTCTGCGGACATGTGGGGTTTCCCCGACCACCTGGACCAAGATGTCGCAAAAGCGAGCATCAAAGAGCAGGGAGACAAGGGCATAATTCATGCTGGACAAGAGAGCTATCACCACATGTGTCGCTTCTACTCCATGTCAGTCATGTTCGCTCAACTACAAGAAGCCTCCACTAACGATCATCCAGGAAGTTTTATGACCATCCCGCAATGCAACAATACAAATGGTACTGGCGCATCGAACCTGGCATCTCCTTCGCCTGCCCCATAACATTCGACCCTTTCGTCTACATGTCCCACAACAAAAAACGCTACGCCTACGCCATCGCGCTTCAAGAAGTCGGCTCCACAGTCCGCAGCCTCTACAGAGCCGTCAGCGACTACAAAGACGACCTCCACATCTCCTCATCTCGCTACTGGACCGCCCTTATCAATCCCTCATGGGCCCCATTCCCAATCCGCTGGTTATTGCGTCTAGCGCCCTACCGCGACATTAACGGCGACGAGTGGAACCTCTGCCACTTCTGGAACAATTTCGAACTCGCAGATTTGGATTTCCTGCGCCAGGATGATCATAGACATATGATGGAACACCTGGACAAACTGGGAGGGTTTTATTCCGAGCGCTGGGGAGATGCTTCTATACGATCGTTTGCGGCGACTTTGCTGCTCAAGCCGGAGGAAATACATTATTTTGGTGATGATATTTGTTATTGCCATGGCGATTTTTGCTCGCCGGGCATTAATCTGTTGGGGGAGAAGGATAGTTGTCCGATTTTGGAGGCGGTGGAAGAGAAGGAGAAGAAAGGGGTGTTTAATGAGATGTGTCTTGATAGGTTCAGGCGGGCTAACGTGATATGAAGCGACGACAACATCAATGGCTTTGTAAGAGATGTATTCATACAACAATTCCTGTGGACCACAACTTTGCGCAAGTCTTGAGCGAATCCCAATGACCGAAATGGCAAGGAGCATTGCTACGAGGCATGATCTGGCATGAACTCTGTGCGATGCATCAGGATCTGTCTTTCCGTGTCGACGATTTATAAATACAGGTAGCCTTTCTACAAACTCTGTTCTGGACATTTCTTCGAGAAAACATCACCTCGTATAAACACCCAATCAAGATCCAATTACGTCACAACATCCTTTAGGAGACACCGCAACGTCTGCCTGAAACTGAGTTCGTCCAGGTGAGATCGCAAGTCTAAAACAGTCAAGTCAAAATAAAAAAAACCTAGCTATATCTCTACCCTTTCCTCTTTGCATCTTCCATCCTGCTAACCACCACAACCTTTGACACACCATTCAGTATCCAATAATCATGGATCACAATCTCCCCTACACATTCCAAGAAGACGCCTACTATACCGCCGAACCAGAAGAAATCGACCTCTTCGCAAACCTTGTACTCGCATGCGCGAAAAACAACCTCAGCCCTCTCGCTGCAGCCCAGAAAATCACAGATGAACTAGCAAACCTATCCTGGAGAAACAAAAGAACCATCGATGCGAATGACGAAGACCGACCCTACACCACAAATACAACATTGATAGCCATATTGCTAGCGAGTTGTGCGTCTTCATTTCCACCATGCAGTGTAGTGCACGAGAAAATATTCGCTTTGATTGAAAGTTTTGCGAAAGTGGAAACAAGGGGGGATATCATCATCCCGAATCACTCGCTCGATAAAAATGGTGGATTGAGAAATGCAGAGGTAAATGGTGGAGATTTGAGAGATTCTATTCCTCTTTGGGGAAGTCGCAGCTCACTGTCGTTTTCAATCGGATGTGAGCGATTGGCAGATGTGGGGGTTCCATGGACGGGGGTGGAGAAATGTGGGAGTAAGGAGCAGCAGAGGTGGAGGAATCTTTCATTCTTTATGGCGAGGTTGACGGTCATGGGAGTGGAGGATCTGGGGTGGAAAAGTGCGTTGCAGAGGTTGTTGCCGCGGTATGGGATGCCGGTCAAGGGGACGCTGGCGTGGTCTGGGGTTTTGGCTGGGCAGGTGCTTGCGGCGGCTCAATGGTTTGTTCATGAGGGTCATGGGGAGTGGGTGTGGCGAGCCTGTTGTCGTGGTGAAAGACTGGAGGAAAGTGTGGAAGTCGAACGAGATGAACGCGATGAAGGAGCGGAACCAAAAAATGGACATGTGACTGGAAAAGGCAGAGGAGAATCGGAACAAAGCCAGGTCTCAAAGTGGTTGTTCAATCTGGAAAACTGGAGGAATTGGAAAGCGTCCTTCAAGGAGATCACAGAGAGAATCCATGATCCAAGAGTTCATGAGCTGGCTCGCAGCGAGGCCTCGAAGGCACTGGAGATCATGGAGGACCTAGAAAGACATTGAGAAGATACCAGTCTTGGATGAATGCTCCAGACACGTCTTCGGTGCACACCTCTGTCGGGAGGCTTCTGCCGGCATTGAAACTCAGAACGAGGAAGCTCAAAGCCACCGAGACTGCGAATCGGTTAATAAAGCCTATCAAGCCGAAATGGGTCAATTCTTTTTCAGGGGCACTGTGACTGTTCTCAGGAGCTGAGAAACACTGTTTATCTCGTGGAGCAATCTCGCGACCGGTGTGTCGCGCTGGTCAAAGCAGCTTGTTTCCTGCCTACCATCCGTAGACAACGCAACCTTCCATAAGCTGCTCACGGAGTAGAATTGAATGTTTCCTCCTGTCCATCGCGATTTTGAGCATACAAACTTCTCATCATTCTGATTTCTAATTAATGTCTCTAGTACAAAGACCATCGTGTGCTCGTCAAGCCCGATGCTCGTGACTACGATCTATCCTCTGGGAATGGAGAGTGAGGAGTAGAGCCTTTAAATCTTCGCGAGCGCTTCAGCAAAACCAGCATCCAAGTCATCGTCAAGATGGTCAACATTCACCTTACCCCCGAACATCCCGAATACTCCGGCGGCAGCTGGCACATCGAAGGCAGATTGCACGAGCACATCTGCGCGACATCACGATACTATTACAACAACGAGAACATTACCGACTCTCACCTTGCCTTTCGCACAAAAGTCGCAACGGATGGTCTTGTGGAACGCGACTTTGAACAAGATGACAACGACGGCGTTTGCTATCTCTTCGACGTTACAAGAGATGGTCCAGGTACCTAGAAGATCGGTCAAGTAGCTACCAAAGGGCGTCTTCTCGCATTTCCCAACGTTATACAACATTAAGTGCAGCCTTTTAAGCTGGTGGACCCTACGAAACCCGGCTATCGCAAAATCCTCGCTCTTTTCCTCGCTGATCCTTTCTAGCGCATCATTAGCACAGCAAATGTACCTCCTCAACAACGAGAATGGTAGGCTAAAGCGGTAGATGGACTTAAAGGTAAGCTAGGCGAACTTCCCCTAGAGCTGCGCCATCAAGTCATGACCGAAGTAGGAGGTTTCCCCATTAGTCTAGAGGAAGCGAAGAAAGTTAGGGATGAATTAATAGATAAGCGCCGAGCTTTCGTGACAGATGTTAATAAGATCTATGAAGAAGATACATATAGTTTCTGTGAGCATTAAGATATGTACAAGGTTCCCGGCAACGCGCAAAAATCTCAGAATGAATATCATATCTCCCGCTGTCGTTGCTAGAAAGAGATGTTTTGGGTCCTAGAAGATCACTCCAGTAGATCACGTCATACTATCTGTGACATTTGACCAACCCCGTCAACCTGTTCGCATGCGTTTCATTAAATCATGATTCAATTGTCGTTACTTCTTTAGAGCTCAACGCCGTCAAAGCGATGATTTTGGCCCGCAGTAAACCATTCTCCACCTCGAGTTCACGAATCGCACGGGTTAATTTAAACCCATTCATCTTCGGCATCGAGATGTGAATGAGAATGGTAGTAAATGCAGAAGTCGCAGATATGGCTTTATATTTTGCGCCATTCACGGCTGTTTTGGCGGGTAGGTTTGATTTCTTGATGAACGTCGACAGAAGCTTGAGGTTTATGACATTGTCGTCTACGAGGAGAAGATGTTTTTTCGCACGGTCTTCGATGGTCATTTCTTCCGTGGCGTCGATTAAGGGTTCCGGTTGAGGAATGGTGGTGTCAATTTCCATATGATCCGGCATGATCATCGTGATAGAGGTCGAGGGTGGTGGGTAATCCAGATTCTCCGGAAGAAGCGGCTGGAGGTCGATGCTTCGGGAGGAATTAAGCTATGAAAAGGACAAAAGATAGCGGCGCCCGTGTAATTCGAACACAGAGTCCTCTCGTAAGCGCGTAGTGAATGGTAATCCCGGAGCCTCAGAGGGAGTAGTCAGAGGAGTGTCGAAGTCGCACGAAGAGGCTTCGCAAAGAGACCTTTCGGATGTAGCCGAATCTGAACAAGAGGCATCGTGACGTAGAAGCGTTTAATCATTGGAGAGACTGTGGTGGGTGTTCTGTAGATGATGTTGGTCGAAATAAAGTCATTCGTCTTTGAGTACTTTGTATACTATACATTATCCTGGTCTTGTTGTTGTTTTAATCAAGCCTGCTTAACTCCCTCGAACAACCCATGCCGACTAAAATCAACAACACCTACTAAATTTTCAACACTCTTAACCAAATGATCCAACTTATGCGTAATCATACTGGAAATAATCTCCGTCACAGCATAAGTGGAATAGCCTAGTTCCAGCATATGCCTCATGTGCAAGATATCCGGGTCCAACTCCTTGAGCTTCTGTGACAGCAAAAAAGGCTCCATTGATTGTGTCTTTGCGGGAAGTGGTCTACCAGTGTCCAAGGCAGAAGAAAGCTGTGATAGGACCAGAGTCACCCTCTGCTCGGTGGGCTCGATTGGTAGGATCAGCTCGGCAAGATCTTGTAGCCAGCGACGGCTACGTTGAGAGTGATGGAAGTAGTGGTTTGTGGGGCCATCGATGGACCATACTTCGGTGGAATAGGAAAGTAGTGACATGTAATCCAGGAGTCTGCGTGGTGGAAGTGTGAGTAACACAGACGATATCATGATATGGGACTATATTGACTTACACAGTAAGCTGGGACAGGATGTCCTCGAACATTGCTATGGGGAAGCGACCACCGAGACTGGGCTCGTACTTCTGAAGGTAGACGTTGTGCTTTGCGGTCGCTGTGAGTACCATAATTTTGTTGAACATGGCTCTCCGTGTGTTGGACAGAACATGACCTCGACTTGCCTTGTCGTTCGAATCGCCCTCCGCGCCTCGCAATCTGGTCTTGATGGTAACATGCACCACAGCGTGATAGTTCGCAAGCAAGTGCATAATCCTTGCCACATCTCTACGCAAGAACCCTCGGGCTGTGATCGGGTAAGGCAGATATGTCCAGAAGATCGACACAACAGTTCCCCAGAGCACACAAGCTACGCGCATGGCTGCAACATCAAACGCGGGATAGAAGTAGACGCCCGTAGAAGTCGCGGCCGCTACACCAATCTTTGCGACTTGCAATTCGTAGCCAATGGACAACACTTCTGTGATCAAGATGACTAGCCAGCCAATAAAGTACTTGGGCCACTTGATCAAGAAGTACATCTGGAGGAACGAGAAGAACCACATGAACACAATGACACCACTGGCAATACGTTAGTGGACAGGAATCAAATGTTCCTTGAGTGGGGAGTCAACTCACGCAACATGGCCGTTCGGAATGTACCACACGAGGTAACATATTATCAATGCCGCGAATGAGCCAAGAATACGAAGCATGTAAGAAACTCCAGATTGTCCTGCCGACATGTTGGCTCCAATGGCAGCAATGATGACTGGCCAGATAAGTCGGTAATGCGTGAAGATGAATTGAGTCTGATGGAGATATGCAAGGATAGCGCAGGACATTGTTGCACTGTAAACAATAGCCAGTAAGCAAAAACGTGAGTCGAAACAAAGAAAGAAAGAAAGATGAGTTGACTTACCAGCCTGATCTGAAGCCAAAACCCAACTCGGGTCCTTTCAAGAATTGTTGGAAGCGTCTGATTTTGACTCCAAACCTTTCAAATGCATTGGTGGGTGGAAGATGATCAATGTCATCAGTAGACCGGCCGGAAGTTCCGTATAGCATGTCTTTCTCTTCTCTTGAGCTTGGCCGGTCGTCATCAGCAAGCGCTTGATCCGCTGTATCCCAGATAGACAGAGTCCAGCGTCTCACTCTCGAAAACGACGGCACAATGAGACGATTGCGCGACATGACACCTTCAGCAACGAGGCGGTCGGAAAATTTACTAAGCTCAAGCACTGCTATTCCGGTGGTGTAAAGCTATGTGGAATGTCAATTTGCAGTCTTCATCTAAGATGAGTAGTTCGTACCATGTGTTGAATGTACAGGATCAGAAACAGCTGCTGGCGATCGATGGGTACGCGCGCTGAATCCGGATCTTGACCAAAGTCGCGAGAAGCACAAGACTGCAGTTCCTCCATTTGGTCCGGTGAGAGACCTTTACTGTTGGCCCACGCATTCAGAGCTTCAATTCTTCCGGCCGAGAACTCATTCAGCATCTCTTCCAGATGTTTAGAAAAATTTGCGTCGCTGGGTCTGACTTTTCCGCCCTCAGCTTCGGTGTCGATTTTAGCCTTATCATCGGCCTTTGGGGATTTAGTTACGAGCTCGAGTTGTATGGTGGTGTGTTCGATGCCGTTGCGGATAGCCTCAACCATGGAGTTGACCGGCTCGATTAGAGCATCGATGGATCGTCGCCATACCGCCTCGGAATCATCTTGATCATGCTTTGAGGAGCGCGTGGTGGCACTAGATCCGCTGCTGACTGGGTTGTCGATTCCGAACATAGGTTTCCATCCTCCATCGCTACCAATATGTTTCAATATCTCGGGCATATGGGCGATGCCACCCCTACCAGAAGGTCAGTATATTCATCATACATCATGAGAATTGCAGCTGAGCTTACAGGGGCATGAGAACTTTGCGACATAGATCACTGATGGCAGTAAAGTCCCTTGCTCTTTGTTTCCCCCATGCAATCTCCCTTTTCGCCATGGCGAGTTCGTGGCGCATCTTCGTATAAGCCGCCTTTACTTCCGCCATTTTCTGTATCATCGCTGTACCATCTCGGACCGCTTGCATCTTTTCTGGCTCGTCAAGCTTCACACCATGTGTCAGAACAGGGAAAAAGGTCGGAGCCTTTTGCAGATTGGCGAGATATGATCTAGTCTCTTCAAGCACATCACGTACTCCATGAAGGTACTTCTTTTGTACCTTGAACATTTCTGTTCGGCAAGAGACAGGATAGATGATGATGCCTGACACGAAGGAGATGGCAATTCCGGTGTAATAGCATTTTGTCGTGAGGTAGATCAGATCCCAGCATTGCGCCCAGGTCTCGAAGCGGGAACAAGAAGTGAGCTGGACGATGACGAAGATGTTGTACAGAATCGTGGGGATAAGAAGGGCTGGGTATCGTGCCTAGATACTGTTGGACAACATGATGTTAAAGAACAGCCAGACACCGGTTATCGCTAGTGAGAATATCAGAAGTCTGGTCATGATCAAATAACACGAGCACTACTAACCACTCTGCGACAGACTAGATGATACATGATATTAGCATAAATCCAAGGTCGTTTCATGTTATATTAGAGCTCTAGGCTTACATGTCATATATGTTAGAAATGTTATACATCCGTGTCAATGTTAGTCCCTTCTAGTAGCACCTCGCTGTCGTCGTCCTCTATAATAGGTAGGTCTACGATGTCGAAATCTAGAGTCTTCTACTACTGCTTAAGACACTCGATATCGCGTAGACTAGCTACTAAGAGGTGAGCTCTATCCTACGACATAGTTTGTCGATAACTACTAAACACCCTCTCGGACTTAGTAGACATTAGATTAATTAAGAGGACGTTAATGGCTATGCGAGAGAGGTTTAGATAGAGCTACTACTACTAGCCCTTAAGCTACTAGTAAATTAGCGAGGTAACTAGCACGGCAGGTCCTTTAATAAAGTGCTCGAGCTCGTCTCTAATACGTACTAATAGTTCGATAGAGTGTTACCCTCTAGATGTCGACATTATCTATCTCTATTATAACCTCCTCTTATATAGCTAGGCTAGCTTAACCGTTATAGCTTATTCTCTAGAGTGCCCTAACCTTCTTAAGGGAGTCTCTCTACTACTCGACTAGCTAATATCTCTTAAAATAGGTCTTACGGAGGGTTAGGTAGAGGAGGAAGGCAGTAGCGTAGGTAGGTATGTTATCGGTTATAAAGTGCTACTTCTTAAAGGCGTATCGGCTCGAGGTAATAGCTATAAGGAGTATAGGATCGGAAGTAGCTCTATTCTGCCATTTATTGTAATGCTCGTAAAGGAAGTTAAAGTTAATTATAACCTATAGATATTAGCATTTGTATAGTAATTAAAGAGGCGTACATTAACTTAATCGAGAGTAGCCTAATTGCCTTTATAGTCCTTTATAATGCGTAGTAATAGTAAGAGGAAGGTAACGGTATGTTAGAGTAGCTTCTAATAGTTAAAGGTAAGGAAGTAACCGCTTAAATCGTCGTTTTCCTTCTACTATTTAGTAATAGTTTCTCTTATAGCAAGCGCGCGCTAGATTATAGCGAGCTAGCTATGCTATCGAGTAGTGTTATTAACGACAGGTAATAGGCTAGTTATAGTAATAAAATCACGTATACGCTAGCGTAACGATTTTACCTAGTCGAAGAAGGCGCGTATAAAGGTAATTGCTTAGGAAGACGACTAACTAGTACTACTCTAGTTAGCGAGGACTCTAGTTATATCCTTACCCTCCTTAGTAGCAGCTATAGTAGTAGTAATAGCCTCTTATAAGCTAGTCGAGAAGAAGGCTTACGAAATAAGGTTAACTTAATGTCTAAAATAGCGAGTTCGGTATTAAACTGCGTCCTAAAAGTAGCCTTCCCGCTCTAACAATTTAGATAATTTAGATATTATAGTATCGTTAGCAGTAGCGTTATCTATAGTTATATAGCTAAGGTTGCCTACAATACTATAAGTCTTAATAGTTTTAAGCATCTAAGGAGCAGTCTTAGTGCTAGTATAGCCCTCTAGCAATTTAGCGAGTTTAAGAAGGGCCTTATTTAAGGTGCCGTCTTATCTAACAAATCGAGTAGTAATAGCGAGGAGCTTAAGGTAACTATAATTTAATGTCTATCTATCGTAGGTAAGGTAGATTAAAGAGCGAGATGTTATAAGCAACTCCTTAAGCTACTCTTAATAGAAGATATACTGTTTTTTAATATGCCTTACGACAGTATAATGCGACTTAATAAGTAGTTCTAAACCGCTAGGAATGAACGTATCGATAAGGGCTCTAAGGCGTAGATCTAACGTAGTTCTAAAGGATAGATTAGATCTAGTAATGTAAGCAATTAGACGCTTATTAATAAGGACCTTATTAACATCTCTAATAGTTCGAGGAGTAAGAGGGACTACTTTATCCCTAAAGTAAGTAAGGATATTAGCTTAAGTAGGGGTTAGTATACTAGTAAGGCGGATGCTATACTTATTAATAAGGTAGGACCTAATATTAGTATAGTTCTCTAACCTATAGTTACTAGGACATCTTGCACCTATACCGTAATACTAGTACCTCTAGCCCTTATCGTTACGCTCTACTTCTTATAGTTTCCTTACTCTTCTATAGCTCTAAAGGACATTAGTGTTACCTCGAGACTTCTTCTTCTTAGGAATTCTACGATATACGGTCTTAGGTTATAACTTAGTATTAGTCGAGTCCGATACGGTGCTCTATAGAGGAGTAATAACCTAAGTAAGAGGTAAAGGTAAAGGTAATAAGGGAGGTAAGAGTCTTCTACGTATATAAGGAGGCTCGGTAGGAGTAGGTTAATTAGTAGGGCGCTTAGTAAGGAAGGATTATAGAGCTTAAGAAGGCATTAGATTATTTAGGTCTTATAAGTCCTACGAGGCTCGAGTCTCTTAAGACTCTATAGCTACTATAAGAAGAGAGAGTCCTTATAACTAAGGGTCCTTCTCGTAGAGTAAGTAGTTAATAGAGCTAAGTTCGCTAACTATAGGCAAAGTTTTACGGACTACGATATAAGAGAGGGTACCTATTAACATATTAGTTAATATAAGGGTATAAATAGCGGAAAAGAGAGGAAATAATGCGTTATATATAATAGGAAATAGCTTTTATACGTATCTAAGTAGTAGAAGATTATAGATGTAAGCGAGGATTAATGTTAGAAATTCCGCAAATTTGTTAATGTTAGTAGTTAGGTTAATGTAGATTTGCTTTAGGAATTAATGCGCGCGCAATAACAAGTAGCTAGCGACGCTTAGGCATTAGTTGCTAAGTGCGACAAATTCTAAGGCTCTAATTAGCTAGATCTTATCTTGGAGATAAGATCTATTACTCCGATTAGCCGGCTTCGTGTCGCGTTCGTATAAAATTTGCGCGTTGCTCCTAGTAAAGCTCTACGCAATGTCGAGCGAGCGTAGAGCTCGCCTTTAAGCAGTTCGCTTAACCTAGAGGCTTAATTTTGACGCCGAAGTTACTAAGGGGTTTACCCTGCTTTAGAAATTCAATGGCGACAACGAGCACTCTAAAAGGCCTTTTTTGCTAGTTAAATCGTGTATTATATGTGTACGTACATAGAGGTTTATTTCAATGTATAGGACGTACATATGTATAGCTATTTGACCGATTTATGTATATATATGTCAAAATAATGTCATGTATTATCCAGTCTGCTCTGCGAAGAGTTGTACGAATGCAGTCCTTGCGGGTCAGTATGAAAACGAGCCTGCAGCCCGGACCAGGTAGCGAGCATCATGGAAGAAATGGCGATGGCTGTAAAGGCGCATATAGTAAAGGTCATCTGGATCAACTCTGCACGTGGTAAGAGGTTGACAGTGACAACTGCGATGATGGAAACCAGAAATCCCAAAGACGAGTACACCTCTGACACAGCCGTGCTTTGATAGATGGCCAGTGAAATGGCAACCGGGACAGATCCTCTAGAGACTTGTTAGACCGAATTCAAGCTCATATCTGCATGCCATAATGCATGCCATCATCTTACTTGAACATTAGACATGCCACTTCGAAGTCAATTCCAAGGCTCTTCCACACTGCCTTCAGGCGTCGCCCTATGCTGTTGGACATTCTGGCGCTTTGATGACAACTAGTTGAATCAGAATGCCAGGAGAATTTAACTGGGATGATGGACCTTATCACCAGGATCGAACTCATGAATGATGGCAGTATCAATGTTGACTACCAAGTACACGCTAGGAGGAACACTCGGCATGGATCCGTCGGAAGGAGTACTACATCGTCGCATATCGGTACGAGCGGGAAAGGTATTTTCATGGCGATGAAGCTGAAGTCCTATTTCAGCCACCTTTAACGTGCTGCGAATAATCTTGAGTGGACAAGGCCTTGGAGTTGATTCGGCCGAAGATGAATAGTCTTTCGGAAACGGCATCCGATCCTCTCGGAAGAAGTTCGCGCCCGACTTTCAGGATTTCTCGAGCCTTCCAGGATCTCACCTCGCTCACCTCGGAATCAGACATCGCACTAGTACGTGAACGCATGTCGGAGGAGATGCTCCAGAGTACGTTGCAGGCGGCAGGACTCTGCACTTCAAGAGTCTGTGAAAAGCTGTTTTGTTGCGGCCCTCCGTGAATCAGTCCATTTTGCGTCTGCTTCCGGCGTTTTGATGACTCGGGACATCACCAAGGAGCGGAATCAATGAGAGCCCAGTAGTTTAACAAGATAGGGGGAGTGGAACACAATGCTCTCGTTTACAACAGTACAAATTTGGGTTAACGGTCAGAAAAGCAGAGAACGGTTTGACACAGGAAGCATGAGCAACGGGATGTATTATCAGCTAATTTGCATGCAGAATGTGATGAAAGACCATAAGGGTCGAGCAACAGCATGCAATGACCGCAAAAAGCGTAGTGTAATCGCAGAACAATGACGAGCATTGGAACTCACCAGAGAGCAAAACAGCAGAACGGCAGCAATCCTCCGGGAGAAGAAAATCTACTCAGGGCCGTCGGATGCCTCCTCAACGGCAACGGCAACCTCGGCAGGGTGCTCGACGGGCTTGTCGGTAGGCTTGACCGAGAACTTGAGGTTGGCCATGAAGGACTTCTTGCGCTTGATGTAATCCTTCTCCTTGTTCTTGATCTCCTCGACTGAGCCAAAGCAGATATCCTTGATCTTGAGAACATCCTTGGCAGCAACCTTCCCATGAGCACTGTCAACAGCATCGGCCCACCATTGAATGTCTTCCCAGAACTTGTCTCCACCGTGCATGTGGCGGTTACCGTCGGTCTTGCCAACGATGATGCGGTCGAGGAGGATAGACTTGATGTTGGTGGCCGAGGTGAGCATCGCAAAGACGTGGTGGAGGTCCTTGGCGCAGATGTTCCAGTCAGCCCAGCCACGAAGAACGATGTGACGCAGCAACATGCGGTTGATAGGACTGATACGAGCAAGGAACAGTTGCAGAGTGGCGGGGGTGGCGAAGTGGAACTTCTGACCATAGAAGAAGGGGAGAGCCTCATCTCTGAAAGCCTTACAGACGCGCAAGAGGACGGGCTGGAGCGAGGTGCGCTTCTGCTCGTTGGTCTTCTCATGCTTGACAAGAATCTTGTGAGAACCCCAGCGAGTGGGCTTCTTGACCGTGTAACCGCGGAAGAAGTTGCGACCATGGCCTTTGCTGGCATAGGTGAGCTCCCTGGCGGACTCGACGAGGGCTTCCTTGTAGATCATGACGCGGATCTCTGGAGGCAGGTCCATGAAGGGGAAGGGGACATCCTTGATCTTCTTAGCCTTGTTGGCCTTCTTTGCCTTCTTGGCTGCCTTCTTCTTCTTCAGCGCCTTCTCCTGGGCCTTCATCTTTCTCTGTGCAGTCACATGTTAGACGCTGGATTGCTGCGCATTCGTTCGGTGCCTACCTTGTCGGTGGTGAACTCATCGGCGTCGGGCTCGCCGTCAGAGCTGTCGGAGTCGGAGTCCGGTGACTGGTCGTCGACAGGCTCGGCGGCGGCTTCGACCTCGATAGGGTCATCTTCCACAGCGATGTCGTCGTCAAGCTCGGTAGGCTCAACGTAGTTGACTTGAGCGCGGTTGCGCTTAGGGCGAGCGGTCGACATGCCGGGATGGTGAAAGTGGATGTCGGGGTAAGGAATTAGGAAGCGGGTGCGCAAGTAAAAGCGATGTTGCAGAAATTGCGAATAATAAGAGTCAGACATGCCGAGCATCTAACGCCGCTTCTCGGCCTTGTGAAATTGAAAACTCCGTGTTGTTCTCAGAGTTCGAGTGAGGGTCTCAAGTGGCAGCTACGTGCAACAACTCATAATTCGACGTGGTCGCCGAGCATTTGGAAAGCGTGGACCGCCTCGGGTTGGCAGCGAGACGTACGACGATCTGGTTATACCGAAGATTCGTAGGGAGCTTACAAGACCGCGGTGTCGAATTTATAGCTGCTAACAGAGCTCAAGATATTGTATGACGGACTCGGGTCTGGCGGGGTGGCCTATCGTATTCTAGATCAGCATATCCCAGGATCTGTTGCGATTCTGTTCTTTTAGCATGCTACATTGCTTTGAATGAGATGGGCATGCGATCGAGACATCAGAACGTCGAGGCTTCGATGGCTTTGTCAACAACCTGACATTTTGACGTCCAGGCCAGCTCAGAAGTTAGCGTCCCGAAACCTCCTACTAGAAGTTCAAGATTGTAAGCTTTAGATCTCATTGCAGAGTGTGTTCTCCATATTGAGACATGGCCAAAGAGGGCTCGTCACAACAACAAGATAAGTCTCTCAATGAAGGATTCGGCGCATCTCGGAAGGACTTTGCGTGTCGACATTAGTTGGGTACTTCCTGTGGTTAAGATATCGAGACCAGACGATATGGACTAGACCTGGCTGGGTACTCATATGGCAAGAGCAAGAGTATTGATAGCATGGTAAGATCAAGGCTTCCCAATATGGTGGACTGCAACATGGAGAGGGCCACCAAGAAGCACTGTGGTTTTCAAGACGAATCTGACTGCTAAATGGGAATGGCGGCTACAGCGGCTCTCACCGGGCGTGCCATAATCTGTCAAAAGCATCTTGCAATTTGATGCGTTCGTTTGAGCAGGTGGTGAAGCTGGTAAGTCAGGAAGGAGCAATCGAGGTGTGGGTTATGTGGCAGTTTGCATTGTTTGCATCACCATCTCCCCAGCTTTGGCCATCAAGGGACAAGTTTACATTCATCCACTCGCATCCCCCACTTGATCACGCTATTCCTCAATTCACAACCAACTCACCGCCTCGTATTCTACTGCAACCAAGTATTCTCATTTCATCGTATCCAAACAACACGCGACTGCAACCATGGACCCCTACTCATCAGAAGGAGGTACAACAACAGCCCCTCAGCCCTAAACACAGCTCCTGAGCACCCGTCTAACCTTTGATCAGAGCTGGTGAACATGCACACAGCCTTCGTCCAAGGCCAATATCAACAAGTCATCGACTTCGACACGTCAATCTTCAGCGCTCCTAACCAGCCCTCTGCCCAAATCCTCAAATACCGCGCCCAACTCGCCCTGCAAGATTATGATTCCGTATCGTCTTCCATCTCCTCCTCGGACGCTTCCTCAGACCCTTCTCTCGCTGCCGTAAAGGTCTACGCTTCGTACGCTGCTTCATCTTTCACCTCCGACTCCGCCGTATCGCAAGCCGAATCCCTGTCGCAGAGCAACAGCGACAACCTCTCAGTCCAGCTTCTTTGCGGTGCCGTCCTCGCCCGTGCAGGCAAGACCGACGAAGCCATCGCTCTTCTCTCCCAACACCAAGGCAGTCTTGATGCCGTAGCCATGTCGACCCAGATTCACCTTAGCAATAACCGCGCCGACCTCGCAGCAAAGGAAGCAAAGTCCGCTCGCTCATTCGCACAAGACGCACTGCTTGTCAATTTGGCAGAGAGCTGGATCAGTCTCCGTGAAGGGGGTGACGCAAAGTACCAACAAGCATTTTATGTGTTTGAAGAGTTGGCCCAGGCACCTGGTTCGTCCGCTGTCACATCATTGGTCGCACAAGCAGTGTCAGAGTTACATTTGGGCAGATACCCAGAGGCCGAGACTGCCTTGCAACAGGCTCTGGATGTCGAGCCTGAGAACACCACCGCATTGGCCAACGCTGTCGTTCTGTTTACCGCCACAGGGGATGTCGAAAGAGCCGCTGAGATGAAGAAGAAACTACAAGGTACCAAGGGTGGTGAGGAGACTGAGCTTCTCCAAGGTCTTGCAGCCAAGAAGGAAGCCTTCGATGCAGCATGCGAGAAGTACCAGCCCAAGTTCGAGCCCTAGTCTGGTTTACCTATACTGCTACAGAAGAGGCTACAGAAAAGCTGCCAGTTCAAGCTAGATATAAAGCGGTTTGAAAAGAATCAGGAGGAATGGCGAAAGTACGAAAGAGACATGAAGCGTTATGAAGAGTCTCGAGAGAAGCGGCTGAAGCACAACGAGAACACGAGGCAGCGGAAACGGCAGGAGGGAGAGAGGCTGGAGAGGGAAAGGCTGGAGCAGAAAAGGCTAGAGCAGGAAAGGCGCTCGGGCAATATCATCAAAAGAGGACTTTTCAACACCCAGGAATTTGTGAATTCATTCGAACCAGAAGATTTCTCTTCGATCGGCGAAATTCTACATGAGACCGGTCAAGGTATGAAAGCAGCATGGAAGGATATCATCAGGTAACCCCATAAGTGAGGAAACCCACACACCCAAGCACACAATGTTACCTTTTTTTTCGTCTCTTCTGCAGTTCCTTAACAACAGTCCGTCCTCTTCACAGGGCAAACAAAGATCATTTTGCAGTTTTCCCCCCCTCTTTTACCCTTCTGGTGAGTTGAGTATAGTGTTGCTTGCGTTTCCTGAAGCACCTAGTTGACGATATCCAAAAGACAGACTTTCTGTATCCAAACATGCTTTTGCCCCATCTTCGACAAAATGATGACTTTCTGTGTGGATTCTGAAGGGGAGGTGGTTATTGTGTTTTTTCTTCTGTTTTGAGGTTAAAGTTATACGGTTTATAAGTTTATAAGTTTATAGTCTACAGTTTCATAGGTTTAGGGTGCGTTACCAGTGTTGATGGGTATATCTTGTAATTCTGATATGAGAGATTTCATGGTTTGAGGTTTTTGTGTTTTAGTTGGTTTATATTGGGAAAAGTGTTTTCCGTGAGCGAGCGAGCGACTTTGGTGTTTGAGTCAAAGGGGGAGGTTATGAGAATAGTATCTGTAATGATTGATCTTACGCCTATGATGCTTGATGCGAATACGCAAATCCCAATGCCCACAACGCGATGAATGCAAAAGCAAATGCACACGCAACCCATCCCTTTCCAACAATGCGATGTGTAGAGAGAACCAGAAACCAACCCACCTTAGGAAGATAGATGCACCACAGGATCCCACCAGACCTCGACTTTGTAGACTCTTTTCCTCTACTGTTCATAAATTCTCCTCTCTCCTGACCTTGACCTTGACCTCTTCAACACACATCACCATCTCGCCCCCTTGATCTCAAAGAATCCTCCAAAATCACCTCTATTCCAACGCTCGATATCCCCACCACAAAGCCTCCACAATTTCCTCTCCAACGCTTTTTCTTTGACCTCTTTCGGAGACTGAGATTGAGATTTACGGATCTTATCCTGTAATTGCTCCACCGGCTCCAGAATCACACTGCTGAGGTCTTGATGTTGGGCGACAGAAGAAGGAGCAGCGTGGAAAGAGGAGCTTGCTGGGGAGACGGGACGTTGAGGTGTAGCTACTGGAGATGGTCTTCTCGAAGCCTTGAGTTGAGGTATCGGAGGTAGATCTTGTCGGGGTGTCATTTTTGGCTTACGACGAAGAGTGCGTGCTTGTCGTGTAGCCAATCTTTTGTTAGCCGCGACAGCGGACCTGCGTTTTGGCAATTCAAACGACGCTTCAATCTCCGTATCCGGTTCTGTTTCCGTGCCTAGGTCGAATGTGACGTTTGGCTCTAGTAGGGAGGATGAGTCCATGATACTAGGGGTGTTTTGAGCTTCTCTGGGTGCGGTGAATTGGAGTTGACGTGCTGCTCCTGCGCGGCTGCTTTCTGCTCTACTCGGTTCCGGGCGTGCGGGAGGGGGGAATGAGAAATCCGCTCGTTTCTTCGGACTCTTCTTCGGTGAAGGTGGGTATTCGATGCTGAGGTTGCTAGGGTCGCGAGTTTGCTTTTGAGGGCTCTTTTTGGGTGAGGGTGGGTATTCTGCTTCCGAGTCTGTCATTGAGACGTCGACCAGAGGTGCTGGAGGAGGTCCTTGGCGTCGTGGTGATAGTCGGGGGATTGGATCCATGATTGGGGATGTGTCTCGCTCGGCGGGTAGGAGTTCGGATGAGTCGTCTGCCATGATAGGGGTGGCGTTTGGTGCAGGGAGACGGACAGCACCAAAGACATCATCTCTGGCAAATTGACGCACGAAGGGCCGTGAAGGTGCTGATGCTCGAGTAACAGGCGGTGGAGGCGGCGTGTCTGCTCTCGTCGCTTTCCTCCCACTCTCGACCGGCGTCCCCATCATCTCTCTCGGCAAAGGCGTTCCTCTCCTCCTCGCCCTTCGCGCAGACCCCAAATTCAGCGCCGAATCTTTACGTTCCAGGTCCTCCTTCTCTTCACCCCTACTCTGTGCTTCCGCCACAGCCTCCTTGAGGTGTTTCGGCACAGCAGATTGGAACTTGGTCATCATCCTCGCCCTCTTCTCAAACTGCCCCCAATCCCCTTGCTCCAGAAACATACCCGCCTCAGCATTCAACGCACTACTCGCGTTCGGCTGCACCAACAAACAAGCAATCGTCACCAACACATCCCTCAAAGTCAACTTGACATCCCAATCCCTCTTCAACGTCTCCACACAAACAGCTCCAGTCCTGTCGTCCACATTCGGATGGAAAATCTTGTCGCGAAAATATGCTTTTGGCGGTTCCTGAGGATATGTGGTTGGGATCTTGAGATGCAATTTGAAGACGCCGTGTTCGTATGGTGTGGCTTTTGGTCCTGCGAGTAATATGTCTAGGGATGTGAGGTCGGATTCTGATGGTGCTGAGGGGTCGAAGAGGTAGTTTGGTGGTAGTGGGTTGTTGTGTAGAGCTGCATGATCGCCGGCTAGACGACGCAATGAACGTGAGTTCTTTTTTCCAATCACAAAAGTCAGCTTGTCATATACTCCAATGGACCCAATTCGAAATTGTGTTTACCATCATTTTCAGAAATCTGGTCGTCAATGCTCGTCTCTGTCCACACCTAAAAATGTGCTTCTTTCACAAAACCAATGCAATGCGCAGGCCCTCAGGATATTCCAGTATCAATTCTCGAAGAATACTTCGGTTCGCAACACAATCTAGGTTTTCGGGTGTTTGCTGTTTCTGATAATCCCTGTTGCAGCTTGCTTGTTGCTGATGTTGCGAGATTTGTTGTTTGTTATGCCTTGTTTGTTCTAGACTTTCCCGCACGCGCGCGCTTGAGGCGGAAGTCGCGGGCTTTCAATTTGCCCCATTTTTGGAACAACGCCAAGAGCCATGTTTTGGGTTTACCGTGATGGTTTTGAAGCAGCGATAGGTAGTATGCTACTAGGTTGACGGATATCCTGTTGATGTTTCAAGAGGTATGGGCGAGTTGCTGATGGTCGTCAAGCCGGTCGGTCTTCTGACATGTCTGGATTCAGCGTCCTCTCAATCTCAAGTAGTCAAAAGTGTAACTCGATGCTTGTGAAAAAGCGTTCATTACTGCGTATGTCGTGTACACTAAATATACACTATGGATCAATGTGTCCATCATCGTCCAAAAAGAGGACTTGTAGCCCATAAACCCCAGTACTCAGAAGATACCACTTCCTTTCACTACTCCATCCCAAAAAAACGCCTGTAATAGTTGTAGATAAAAGATTCCCATATCCATGTCGGATAGTTCCCAGTCCCATTCCCTGCCTTTCCCGGTAGGCCAATCCAGATTGATGCCCTGTATTCCAGAGTCCAAAGAAATTATGATCAAGTTGATTACTCGTCGCTTGACTTGTCAGTCATAGGCTTCAATTCAGCACCTTGACCGCTTTGACCTCGCTTACGACCGCTGCCGAAGTGGAAACCATGGTGACTTGATGTAGGTCTGCTATCTGAACCATCGTCGTTGCTGTCTGTCAGGCGCGACAAGAAACCACGCTTCTTCGGCTTGGGGTCCTCAAGACCGACATCCTCGAAGCCTTCGTCAGCGGTTGGTAGAGGTCTGTTGAGGGCCAGAGAACTGCGTGGGGGCTGGCGGTGGTATGATGAGTCGAGAGATTGACGGGGACGGCCTTCGGGCGGGATGACGGGAGAGCGTGCTGAGATGTCCTGTAGACAGACAATTAGCCTTTGATAAAATGTGTTTGTGAGAAATAACGACGTACAAAGGAACGTCTGTATGAGTCGAAAGATTCTCTAGAAATGTTGAAAGGCTCATCGCTGAGCATGGCGCGGTGGTTGGTAGAAGAGTTGGTGGAGCTGTTTGACTTGGTCGACCAGAAGTTCTTGCGCTCGGTGGGTGATGGCTGGGAAGGTCGCGTCAGCAATGGAACGGAAGTGTAGGGAGAGATGGTGCATACAGGAAGATAGACGCCGCTGTCGTTGATTTCTACATCACATGTCAGTCCAATGGGCAGATGAAACATGGTCGTCCGGGCGCATGCTAACCACTCAGCTTGTACTCAGCAGGCTCCTTGATGTCAATTGAGCGCGGGGCAGAGACATTGCGACGAGGCTCGGGTTGCGGCTCGACGGCGCGCGCAGCGTCCTCGGTGCGACGGAAGGGATTCCTGATGATGGGCATGATTGCGGAGATGCGACGGCGGCTTGTTTATTTGTTGAGCAATATAGAGTGGGCTGGGAGATGCGGCGGCCGTGCGGGGTCACTGTGCGATAGTCGATGCTGGCAGATGGATGATGGCGGTATAGTTGGTTGAGAGGATTGAATGTTAGAGATGGTTTGAAGTGGAAAGAAAGATCAAGGTGACCTTGATTCTTGGCTTGGTGTGGCTGCTGCGGAGAAAGGTAACCTCGATTTGGCGCAAAGATGATGCGAATGGGCTGATCTTGTTCCGAGCATTCCACCTTGATTGGCCCAGTCGTGACCACGCCGGCTGCAGGACAAGCCGTTCTCCTTCACGCCCAAGGGCCGCTCACGTTGGTGTCGCATATTGTCCTTATTAGACTTTCCGTTGTCGCTCTCAACTGTTCCCGTCGGAACCATCGAAATCACTGGAATGCCTTTGAGCCTTTTTGCTTCTGCTATTTGAAACATTACATAGGTGGCTAAGTCAATCAAGCATTTCTCAACCTCGCGCTTCTACAGCTTGCCTCTAACAATCAAAACTGATCACAACACAGGAAGTAGCTGCAGAACGCTCTTTGTTCCTTTGTTCTGCCATGCATCGACTTGGAACTTCCATGGCAGCCACGCTGCCCAAGCCTCGGCACACGGCAGCCACAAAGCCCCTTCCATCCGTTCTCGAATCAAATCTGCCGGCGCACGGGAAAACGTTCTTTTACGCAATCGATTGGCTTTGCTTATATACAAGTGCTTTTGCTAGCTAAAATACATTAAAAATACTACAACGCTGATCGTTTTATCGTATCATCTTCCCTCTCTCCAATTTCATAGACGAGATTAGATGCTGAGGCTACCGGTAAGCTGGATATCGAGTACACTCTTGCCGACATAGATGGGGTAGTTGCCAGATTGCAGGCGCCATTGTTGGCTGACAACATCCCACTCGCTCAGGTCACGTCTGGTGAGGTCGAAATGGAAGTTGACGCTCTTGCCGGGTTGGACACCTTGCTTGTTGAATCCACGAAGGACCTTGGCAGGGCCACCAGGGATGTTGATGTACAGCTGAGCGACCTCAGAGGCAGTGACTGAGCCAGTGTTGATGATGGTGCAGTCGACAGTAGCAATGACATCCCACAGGGATGCAACACCACCCTGAGCGATGGGGCTGCTAGGAGGGTACTCGGCAGTACTGACATTGCTGAGAACCTTGCTCTGCAGCGACGAGTAGTTGAAGGTTGTGTAAGTCAAACCATATCCGAACTCGAAGCGAGGAGTAATGTTCTGGGCGATGAAAGCCTTGTAGTCAATGTAGACACCCTCGGTGAAGTTGTCCTGGGTGTAGTAGTTGCTGGTGTTGTCGGGAGTGAGGTGGTGCAGCAGGTTGCCGTAATCAGCAGGCTTCTTGGCGACAGTGTAAGGCATGCGACCACTAGGCGACTGCTTTCCGTAGAGAACCTCGACCAAAGCCTTGCCCGAATCTTGTCCGGGAAGATGTGCGTAGACGATGGCAGTAACGTTGGGGTTCGAGTACCATGCGTCAATGGTGCGAATACCAGCATTGTGAAGAATGACCATAGTGTTGTTGCACTGAGCAGCGACGTTCAGAACAATGTCGTCTGAGTACTCATCCTCCAGGTAAGGACGGTCATAAGACTCGGTGGCGAAAGCGTTGATGAAGACAAGGCAGGCCTCAGATCCTCTCTGGACGACGGGATTCTGGCTGTGGAAGTCCCACTGGAGCCAAGTGTCATCCTGCATTGCTTGCTCGGTGATGGCACTGAACGGATCGCTGATGTAAGCAGGCTGAGCAGCACCAGAGCCACCGCCAGTTACCATGGTTCCGTTCATGGCGATACCGGGCAGGTTCTCAGAAGGAATGGATGAAGGGCTGACAAACAGCATAAGAAGTTCACTGCTGTTAACACCGCTGACGGGCGAGAATCCGAAGTTGGACAGGGTGAAGGCGGGCGAGTTGTCGGGAGTGTAGCTGGAAGGTGCGATACCATCATAACCGAAGAGCGAGATGAAGCCGGGAGCCTTCAGGGGAAGAGCGTTGTTGACGTTCTTGACAAGAACATGACCTTCAACAGCAGTTTGGAAGGTGCTAGGCTTAGAGGCAGGGTCGCGAGCATTGACGTACTCGTGAGGAAGGGTCAGGTTGACAGGCATGCCGTGGCCAGGGTATTGCCACTCGGCAAGATGGTACCAAGAAGCGACGATACGAGTGGCCATGTCATCAAGTCTGGTGGAAGCGAGAGATCCGTTGGTAACGGCCTGGCTCAAGTTGCCGTTCATCCAGTAGGCTGAGCTAGGCATAGCCATATCGAGACCAGCATCAGCACTGGCAACACCGGAGTGCTGAGCACCCCAATCAGAGACAATGAAACCCTCAAAGCCAAGCTCTCCCTTGAAGAGGCCGTTCATGACCTTGGAGTTCTGGCATCCGTAAGAGTTGTTGGCTCTCTGGTATGAGCACATGGCTGATCCGACTCCAGCGTGGACAGCGTCCTGGAAAGGCCACATGTACATTTCGTGCATGGTCTTGTCGTCGATGTTGGCAGACATCGAGGCGTTGACTCCAGCAGGGTTACGGTCGAGCTCCTGCTCGTTTCCGATAAGATGCTTGATGCATGAAACCACATTGTTCTGCATGCCTCTGACAGTCTCAAAAGTCAGACTACCAGCAAGGTAAGGGTCGTTGCTGAAACCTTCCCAGTTTCTGCCACCTTCGGCAACGCGACCAAGAGGACCAACGACGGGTCCGAGGAGGACGTTGACACCCTTAGCCTTGAACTCTGCACCCATGTAGTGGGCTCTCTGGTATGCGAGGTTGCGGTTCCAGGTAGCTCCGACGTGTACACCCGAAGCAAAACCAGTGACACCATCTGTACCACGGAGACCGTTTCCAGCATCGCTGAGACAGAGACCAGGGAAACCAACTCTGGGTACAGAGCCGCTGTTACCACCACAGCCATTTGTCTTCGAGGTGTAACCTATATTTGTTGGTCACTTGGAAAACATTGAATCTTGTCTCATGCCACTCACCATATGTGATGTTGTTCTTCTCGTAGTCGGTCATTGAAGCGACCAAGGTCTTTGCTTTTGCATAAGCAGTGGCCCACTCATCTCTGCCTGCTCCTTGAGCTGCGACTGGTCAGTATGAAGACTTCTTGAATGTCTAGATTAAACGTACGAGTAGGATACACTGGAGGAGATCTTCCATATGACCAGAACTTCTCAAGGTTGGCCAACTCAGCAGTCAATTTAGCTTGAGCAGCTGCAGTAGCATTATATGTTGAGTTCTGAGCAGAGGTAATATCTGCGAGGGCCAGCGCAACGGCCAGCAGCTCCGTGGTGAAACGCATGATGAAGAAGCCTTTGGATCAGACCGGTACAATCTCTTGTCGATATGCAAGGCGTTGGCTGTTGCTGGTGGATTACAAGAGGTGGACATGAAGTACATTTATACTTACGGACTTTTAGTGGCAGAAATTACCTCGAGGGCCCTAAAAGCATAGCCCAGCATCGCAACGACCTCTGCCCTTAGTCATGAACCCAAAGCGGGGTGCTCGCGTGCATACCAAGCCGATGAACTGGAGTGATCAGACCGACCTTGCCGATTTTAGATGGCCATTTCGCCAGACATCAAGGTTCGAGTGCCGGCAATCAGGCCGAAGGTGGTCTGCCGTATGGTGAACGACCCGCAATTAGCACCGATGGGAGGGCAAAATCATCTGCCATAGAGTATTGCCGTTGCGATGGCTTGGATGTGTCCGACGTTTAACCCTCTATGATGCCCGTTCTCCGCTCGAGCAAGCCACTTCCATGCCTCGTGACGACGACAAGTATCCGTGAGGTTGGTAAAGACAACGGGAATTGTACTTGGCACCATGCCGAATGCTTAGGGCACTAACTTGAGGTATGAAGAGTGTGAAATCAAGGTCGGCTTGTGGGGCATCGATGGAGGGGTTCGGGTCGGGACCACCCCAGCATTTGTTGCTTGACGATAGCGGCTGTCCTTGGGATGACATGTTCGTGCCACTACCGTCACGAAACGCAAGCGGCCAACCTCAAGTGCATGTGTGCTGAGATGGGCATTTCCAACACGAGGAAGATTCATGGTATGATCGGCCAGACATGCTGCAAGGCTGTAAGATTGACAAGCTCCTCGTATAGAAGCTCATGAAGGATTTTTTGATGTAAAGTCGATCATCGTGGAGTCGAAGAGCTGGAGACTCCACGAAAAAAGCCCTGTGGGTCTCTCTCCACGTCGACCAATGTGGGGCCGGGAAATGGCTTGAACAGACTTCGCTTCTTCAAGCCAAAACTGTGTACGCTTTGACCTTTGGCATCCAGGCCGCGATTGACGACGGTAGGACTTTGATGCGCCATCAAACTGACGGAACAGAGCCTCAGTGCTGGAATGACTCTTGAATCGTGGCAAGATCCGTGAAAACCTTCATGACTTGTTCCGAGGTCTTCGCTGACGAGGAAGCGTGAGCAGCAGAGCCGATTGTCCTTTTCATCTTCCAGGATGTTTGCGGTCAACAATCTTGAAGCAAATTTCAGGCCGACCCACAACAAAGCTCTTCTTAGTTCGCTCGTGCTTTGACAGTCTTTGCTGCGCACGAACACGCTATACATGACTCCACTTTGCCCAACGGTCATACACGCTTTTGACCGACCCGCCTTGTGATCAGACTCTCTCCACCGGGGTCTCCACAGCATGTCTCCACGCCATCGGCTCGTACCAAGACATTCCTTTCCCAGATAGTAGGCGAGACACGGCCCGTGAACCCGACTTCGAGATGCCGAAGATGTAGAAGCCTCTGAGAGCAGTCTTACAAACCCTTCAACAATGGCGATCCTTGATCTGATCACAATGATCGGCAGGAACCTGTAGCTCTCAAGGTTCTTCGTGTACAGATCAATCCGAGGGCAGAGTATCGAAGTCTATTGTGACTTTGAAGTCATTTTGGATAAACGTACCCTTGTCGTTCGAGATATTGGTCTCAAGCACAGTCATGGTTCAATGACTCGCTTGTTTGACCCTGTCGGAGGTAGCGATGGTCAATGCTGGTATTCTAGAAATCCCTTGGGATGCGAGTCTTCTGAACACTGCCAACATATGCCGAATGTGAGACCAATTCTCGCAGGTCATGAGCCGATGAATGCCAGAGTGAGCAGTCTTCGACACGCGGAGGCTTTGCATGTGAGGTTGATTGGTTCAATTCTCCAAAAATGATTCGTCTTTTGAGAAGGAGTTTCGTTAGATTCGGCATGGGGTGTCGGATTTTGGTGAAGTCTTCCAACATGCAGAACTTGCAGCCAGCTCTTTCAGTAATGTACAAGATTGTCATCTGATTATAGCAGACACACCGACAGTGCAGTTGTCAGCATCTACGCTATCATAAATCACATTGGTATGGTTAGATCGATGGCTACCGTCGTCAGAAAGTAGGGTCAGGGTGGCCCGCTCAGCAACGTCTGTGTTGAACACTGGAATTGTAAGTACATAACCCATTCAAGAGAGCTAATTAGTAGCTGTACGTGTAATAAGAGGATACAGAGTGAATACTCATCCGGCTGCACCTGATCAATTGGTATCTACAACCATCTAGTCCAGTCGTCGACGCGACAGACGCTTGTGGAACGCGGTGCTGATGACGACACGCGTGATTCTTACCATCTCTTTTCGCGATGTGAGCAACTTCCATGCGAAACCCGTCTGGTCTTCCCTTGTCTCGCCGAAGCTGGCGATTATTCTCACTACTATCGTACCGTGTCGGTAGTCAATACCACCGTCTAGGCAATGGTCCCAACCGTATCCAGGAACTCATGTCGGCTCAACGCATCTGTTCACGCCAAAGTGCTTAACCACGTTAGTGAAGTCGAGAGGGTCGGAAGTTCCGGCGCCTGAGAGCCGATATCGAGGATTTCTTTTCGCTGCCAGCTGGTGATGTCTGGCGACCGCATGGCTGATATCGGCATTGCTAAAGACCTCACTTAGCACCGATGATCTAAGCTCCTCTACTTTGGCGCCTGTGATAAGTCTGAGACGTCGCCCACAAATTCAAAGAGCTATCTGGATGTTCTCATCGCAAGTAGGCCACCGCCTATAAACAGGAACATATGTACTTGTCACAGGTAGTGGCTCTTCAATCTCGTCAGGCTCATTTGCGGCCTCGAAACTCGCCACGTCAAGAGCAAAGCAGGAATCAGCAGCTCCACGATATCGCCAATTCTGGAGGAACAGGCTGCCTCCTCTCCATAGACTCCCACCATGCTGGTCCAAAAGTGCTCCTGGATGTGTCTTCGAGAAAAAAAAAGAAGGAAATTGCTCTTAGACAATACCTTAGACTGCATTTGGTTCGATGCAAGCAGTCTTCCACGCTCTAACGACAAAATCAGCCTGCCCAAGCTGTCAACTTCAATCTCAGACTTATCTAGTTGACCACGCTAATCTCCTTCGTCCGCCGACTCTTTGGACGATGCCATCATCGTCACCGCTCTTTGTGTGCCATGCAAGCTCCTTATATACATCCTTCCCCGAGAAAGTGCTACTTCTTCTGGTATACAGTCGACAGATTATCGCCGAAGAAGTTGCTAGTAAATTGACCGACACCGCAGGCGACCTTACTAGAAATGTCTAAAACGATGCGACATAAATCTTCTATCACAAAAGGTTATGCTACTAACAGCCCCTGTCTGACGCGGCCTTTACGAATTGGAGAATTCAAGGTGTCGGGAGGTGTGAGTAAGGCATCTTGAAACATTACCGTTGACGAAAGATTGTTAGATCGGAGACTGTTCAAACATTACTCTTCTGCCACCTCGTATCATTATTCTAGACCGCAGCTTCGAAAATGATATCAAGCACACATTGGGAGGATGTCGTTTGCTTTCGACTTACAACCGGCTGATGGGAAAAGAAAAAACCACCAACGTGCAGTCTACTAGTTCATGGACAAAACCAAAGTTAGGCGTTTATCCTTAATATACTTTTTAGGAGTGGTCGGTAAGTTATAATCTGCTGTAATTGTTGGATATGTTCCTCGAGACTCACCTATGCCAAAGTCAGATCTCCTGTTGCCTGAAGACGTTTGCGCGTCTCTGTATGTTCTGAATTTAGTATACGAAGCGTTGCGAACAAGGTTTGGCACCAAAAAGAAAAGTAGCTATTATTAGCCACACAAGACGCAGCAATTATAAAGGATACGACAAGGCTCTTTCTGGGCAAATCCGATCACTTCTTGCAATTTGTTTGTTTCTTTAAAGCAATCATGTTTGAACGTATGGATTCGCTTGAAAATGGCTATAGAAACACGACGAAGAGGAATACAATGAAGCGCATACTTCGAACCTTTCTTGTTGGCACGATTTGTGTCACATCTATCTTGTAAGTATCAAGCGACAGAATTCGCAACAACTCAAACAGACCATCCTGCTGACTTTCCAACAAGGTGCATCCTCCAATTCTGGTGAATCAACCATGTGGTCTCCACAACCTCTCGCAACACAGAAGATAATTTCATCTTTTCACTCAGCACATGGACAAACATCCACTGGTCCAGCCCCGAAATCTGGGATCCCAAACGTCAGGAGGAAATCCGTAAAGTCATGCCCGTCGCCGTACATTCCCACAACGACTACACGCGCAGAATTCCTCTTTGGGAAGCCATAGGATCTGGATGCGTTAGTGTGGAGGCGGATGTGCATTTTGACAGGTCTGATTTACTCGTTGGGCATTCTGCAAGGGGGTTGAAGCGGAAGGAGTCGCTTGTGGCTATATATCTTGAGCCGCTGGAGCGATTGATCGGGAGTCGTAATGTTGATGTTACGGAGGGAGGTTGGCGAGGTGTTTTCGAAAAAGTGCCTGAACAGACACTAGTTTTGCTCGTGGATCTGAAGACGGAAAGCCGACAGACGCTCCAGGAACTCAGCAGACAACTCCAGCCATTGCGGGAACTGGATTACCTTACCTACTGGAATGGGACGAGCAGAATAATGCGTCCTCTTACGGTCGTCGCATCAGGCAAGGTTGCCTTTGGGGACATCCTGGCGCTGAATCCTACTCACCGCGACATCTTCTTCGATGCACCGCTGGCATCCCTTCACACTCCCAAAGACGATTGGACAACTTCTCCACCGACCCACGCGTACAATATCTCAAACTCGTACTACGCATCCAGCGAACTCAAAGATGGTATTATAAGTCTCGCCAGCGATGGCGACAAGACCTCATCACCAGAAGAGCAAGATGCATCCAGCAGTCAGCCAGAGCAAGCCAAATCTCGCGGTCTGGTATCTAGATATTGGGGTTCTGCGGGTCCCAAGTATCAGACTTCTGAGCAAGTCATGTGGAGATATTTCACCGAGATCATCGGGATTGGGATTATCAATATGGATGATATGGCTGCGGTGAGGGATAGGTCTAGAGGGATGGGAAAGATGGCGATTCAAGAGAAGAATTGACACTGTCCCACTCACGAATGTGTAGAATATGATAAAATCCTTATTGTGCAAGCGTCAACCTTTTCGAGTGTGCTCAGAAAAATAAGAAGATGTGTTTTGATAATGCCGGGTATATGTACAAAGCCTACCCAGGAAACCGCTTTGCTCCCATCCTAGTAACCCCAGATGCCAAACTCCTGTTCTCGCCGTCTTTATATCACTCATGCCTGGGAAGGCTGCACGATAACCGCATCCTGAGTCATGACCTGATTGACAACCTCCAAAGCCAACTGCTGCACACTAGCAAAATCCCCACTGACATCCACACTCATCACATCCCTCTCATCAACCGTCGGCGGCTCCAACGCTTCAAACTGACTCTTGACCATACTGTCCTTCATGTAATGACCCACTCTACCATGCACTCTTTGCAACAACAGCTCTTGAGTTGCGGAGAGGTAGATGAAGTGAACGAGCACATTGTTGTCGTTGTACGAAGCCACGCGGATGACGTCACGGTATTTGCGCTTCAGTGCCGAGCAAGTGAGGACGACGCCCGAGGCTCCGGATTCGAGGGCGGCGACCGCTTGGTCGCGGAGGAGGATCAGCCAGTCCCAGCGGTCGGCGTCGGTGAGGGGGATGCTGTTTGCCATTTTCTCGATGTTGGCTTGAGGGTGGAACTGTGGGAGATTTTCGTGTTAGTGAGGTCTCGAGGACTCGAGTGTGCTGGGTTCAAAAACTTACGGCATCGCCTTCTAGGTAGGGCAGTGTAAAGTAGCTGGCGAGATATTCTGCCACCGACGTCTTTCCGCATCCTGCTGGTCCTGTTATGATCCAGATGTGTCGGTGTTGCGGTACGGGGGCACTCGATGCAGGAGCAGTCGTGTTTGCAGAGGTCGCAGGAGCCATTGGAGTCGAAGACGAAGGCGCAATAGGATCAGTCATGATGTGTGTGTTTTTCTCGTAATGGAGCATCGTCGCGGAAGAAGCAGCAGCAGCAGCAAAACAATCGTGTGCTCGTTGTCGTTGTCGTGGGGAAGCCGAGTCAGGTACGAGAAGCTTGTGGAGTGACGGCGGGTGTAATGTTATACGAGTGAAGCACAAGTGACAGCGTGATTGGAATGACAAGTGAAAGGAAGAAAAGGACAAGGCTTCGAGCCCGAGGCATGTGAGGGCATGATATTCTTTCTATCGGCCGGAGATTGTAACCAGAAATCTGGAAAGTCGGGATCTCCACAACTTCGACCACCCGCATTCTCCTTAGCTATACGATCGGCAAATGACGCACCTTTGGGGTCTTCGTTTCTCAAAGGCCGATCGGCTATTGCTTGCTGGGGCTTGTTGCTATTTCCAGCTCACCTGTATTCTATTTAGTTGTTATGTCTTTGGTGTACTTCAAGTATGCAACTCTGGAGGTAAAGAAGCCTCATATCACCATAGAAATGACTCCGAGAGAAATAATTGAAGCATTCACACAATTCAAGGGTCGCTGTTGCCTCACAGGTCGACTGGCTGACTGTCGCCCTGGCGGCTAAGCACGGCCGACTCAAGTTGCCGGCTCTGTTTCCGCGAAAGCTGGGGAATCACGAGAATCAGCCTGAAAGTTCAGCTGCACTTTTTCGTTCACCATTTCCCTGAAGCTTGCCACGCATGTCAACTTCGAAGTGTAGAATCATGTTTGAACCAGGGTCATGTCTGACGAGAGCGCATGGGTTGACGACTCTGCGCGAGTGGCCATGGTAGCACGAATACCATCTTACATCCTTATGGCGTTCGCGTGATAAACACGCTGAAAAGAAACTCGAGAATCTCTTGGATCATCGAAACGATCACGGATTGGATTACAACAGTAGGTAAAACTAGTAGGTGTGGTAATCCATATATTCATTAGCTCTTCCATGGCTTTTCAAGTACAGTGTCGGTATTTGTTGGCAACTCCCATTCGAGTTCCATCTCGGAAAGATCGTTCGCTTCCACCAGCCATCGTTCAAGCCAGACATATAGAATGGAAGTCACATAAATCCTCTGTCGCGCTCATGGGCTTTGGAATGCCCGTCAACCGGAGCGGCTCCAGGCTGGTCCCTGACCACTCAATCTTTCAACCAATCTAGCCACAACTCTCTTGACAGCATTACCCCTCGTATGCATCCCAGTCTGCATCATCTCCATCGCATTCGAGGCATCTCTCATTGTATAGCGTACCACATGAATCGAATTCTTGTGCAAGGCCTGTACGCGCGCATCATTGACTTGATGATCTTGTGGAAAGGTGGCTTGCATCTGTTGCATTGCCGCTTGGAGTCTGACATTGTTGCGCTTGATGATCAGATAGTGATGCTCCAATTCCTGGTGAAAAGTGGTTAGTCGAGATATTTTCGCATTGACTTGAGGGGCAGAAGCTTACTCTCATAGATTCGCTGAGTTCTGAGAAGCAGAGGTCGAAGCTGGCTTCGATGGAAGTGAATCTGGGCATTTTCGTGTTTGTGTGCGGCCTTTGAGAAAGTTGGGTCGGGTAAGTCGAAATCTCCAGCGGGTGTGATAAAGAAGAAAGGAATGTCGAACATTCTCAATCATATATAACCAAAAGGGAGGGAGTGATCGAACTTGCAAAACATGCTTCCAGAACAAGGAACAATACAGGCGTTTCGGAGCTGGCGACAACATGACAGATTCAGTCGGAAGAGCAGGTTGTCAAGTTGCAGGAAAGAACGACCATGACATGAAAGTCATGCGGAAGGTGCGTTTTCCTTCGTCCAGGCAGTCCAGGCAGTCCATGGCATTCCATATCTCTTTCCGCTGTGGCAATTCGTGACCAGGGGCCTCGTCAGAAAAGGTCACAACCCCAAACCCTCAGCGGCATCATTGTGCAGACCAATGACACGCTCAATCATTGTTCCAAGAACGCTTTGTGTGGCTGGCATACCCTCAACTCGCACACCAGGACCAAACTCTCTTGACCACATAGCTCTGACATAATGCCGTCCAGCCTCAACGCAATGATCATACAGCTCATCCCGATGATTCGCCAGTCTCGCATACGAGGCATTAGCTTCAGCTCTAGTGAGCTCATCCCTCAAGACCTGCCTATCCATCTCATTGCGTCGAAGCTCCATGAGGGCTTCCCAAGCTTGAATGCCGTCGTCTAGAACACACACCATTTGACACAAGACCCAGATTCTTCTGTATGCATACATGACGCTGGTCTTGTGATAATTGTGTTGAGTCAGCATCTTGAATTCTTCCAGGAGGATTCGGTGCTGGAGACTGGCGCTTTGGAGGCGGAGGAGGATGGCTTCGCGTTGAAGGTTGCGGAGCTGTTGGTCGTCTGCATCGGAGTCGAGGTGGATTTCTGAGACATCGGAGTCAGAATCTGTTGATATGGGCGGGCTTTCCATGTCATGATCTTCTGCGTCAGGGGTCGAGATGATGGAGGTAAGCTCTCTCACTCTGCGATGTGCTTCCTCGACTGCTTGGATCTCGTGGACGGAGATTTCGGCGTCGATGGTCCTTATCGCGCTCATGAGTGCATCGTGGTCGTCGAGGCCGGGTCCATCGGGAAGGGAGTGGTCCTCATGGGTCTCTTGAGCGCCCTGATTGATTTCCTGATCCGCCTGATCGGACACCTGAGCTTCATCTCTTCTGCTGCGGAACTGATCGAGGATGCGTTGGTATTCCTCTGGTGGCTGATAATTCTCCGGTGAGTGATGTTCTTCTGGTGGTTGGTAGAAAGGATCAGGAGATCTGAGTGCACGGCTCCGTTGACGATCGGGTCCCAGTCGGTTGAAGCGAACAAAATTTCTACGCATGTTGAGAAGAGAGAGAGAGCAGAAGTATATAGGAGTTTCGAGAGTGAGTAGTCCTGTGGTCCCGGAAGTCTGATTGAGAAAGTGTCCTGGGTGAAATAGCTCAACATCGAAGGAATATATAGATTATGAGAGCGCAGTATCACACAACGACAGACAACGCAAAAGCACGTGAAACGGTCTTGAACAAAGGAATGACAGATACATGTTTTATCAGATTATCATGTGAAGCATCGTTCTGCTTCGCTCGAGCAGTCGTGACATTTCACGTGCTATGGTTCCTGTGTGCACTCACATGAAGCGCCAGATCAGAAGGAAAGCGAATCTCCATAGGTGTAGGAGGTCGCCACAGAAGGTACGCAGCAGCTGGACAGAGGCGTCCAATGTGCTAGGACCGAGTACTGTTTCCTGATGTGTAGATCTCTCAGGATTGAAGTCAACTGTGCCAATGTCGTCCAGGTGTTCCCAAGTCATCCTCACGAACTCTCCAAGCATTTCCGACCAATCCCGCTTAGCTTGAATATATAGACCTCGAATCCTGTTCGCATGGCTTTCATGTCTGTAACGCTCTTCTGCAGCATCCTGAACATCCAAATCGCCCCAGAAGACCTCGACGTGCATTTCAACATCGCGAAGATCCATATAGACGTTCCAGTTGTCCAATAGTTGGTCAAGATCTGACAGCAGCTGACGTCGAAGACGTAGAACTCTTGTAATGTGTCTGAGGGGCGGTGCGAGGTCAGGGCGTGCTCCTGCTTCCTCGAGGGCTTCAATCTCTGCTGTGATGGTAAGTAGTCTGGTACTGATCTGTTGACCTTCTTCATCGTTCCTGTCGAACGCCCTCTCGAGATCCTGGAGATTGTTGATATTCAGGCCATCAATTACAGGCAAGAAACCTCCATCATCGTAGGAGTGAGGCATTCTGTTGGAGTTTCTTGGTATATATGGAAGGAAAAATAGGAGGAAAATGGTTTGGTGGTAAATATAACAGAAAGTCAAGACGCACTGTCAGTATATAATCAGAATTGTACTTTAGACAGGTCTCCAGCAAGTAACAATGCAAGAATGACGAATCGTGAGAAGGCGTGAGAAGAAGTTAGCACATGATGTAGATATGTACCCCAAAGAGAAGAATACAAACACGTCGTTTCTGCATTTTGATGCAATCTTCACAATGGCCGCTGGCGTCGTAATTCTTATTGCCATAAGTGTCAAAGCTATGAATGAAAGGACGTTGCTTCTTGAGTATTTTGAGAGTAACACTAGAAAGTTTGTTTTCGATGTTAACAGGGCAAGCTGGATTCGTGTGCGTTGACGAGCATAGTAATGTTGGCCATGTGTCTTTGGTCGGAAGTAGATTTGGCGTTGGCTTCTCTGTGAGTTTCGCGAGCCTTGCAAGCCTTTTTGGCTCGTTACGAGTCCTTCTTGTACACATGTGCTCCTGGTGTGCGTTGAAGCATGCTTAATGCGCGTAGCACGAGAGGCGGTTTGCTTCGACCAAATTGTTCCAGGGGTCTTCGGCATAGCCTTCGATTTCGTATCTCCCCTGATAGGCTTCTTGGATGCTGGTCTTGGCCAGATCGATGCTCCTATTGAATCCTATGTTGTCGCGAACCATGAAGGCGTTCCCTGTGGAAACGGACAGATGAGGAGTGGGGGAAAACTTGCACCGAAGGACTAATATCATACGATCAGACCATAGATGCATGCCAGAATCTGCACTTCTGACTCCTCGATTGTGCGGGTGGCTTCGTTAATGTCATAAAGTTATCCTCCGAGACGCTGAAGCTCTCTCTCTACCCTCTCGAGTTCCACACTTAGAGTGTCCCCTTCGTGGTCCAGATCATGAGAATCCAGCTGCGCGAACCAGTTGTCGTAGCGACGATATGTTGAAGTTGTTTCGGACGGCCTTCAATTTTGTGAGATTCAAGCGCTTCGCGGAGAAGGAACACAGTGCGATACGTCGAAGTAGAAGATGCATGTAGACCGACGAGAGCTGGTGCGAGATGTTCCATGTACCAAGCCACGATCCAACGATTTGTATTTTGTAGGCCAACGGCACAGTAGCCAAACGAGAAAATGAATCTCAAGATCATGAGTTCCGAGGTAGCGATTCATGACCCATAAGACGTCTCCGCTTGTGAATTCAAGGGCTTCCGGTAAGCAAAATACATGTTGATCATGAAAGTTCAAGTATGAAAAAACGTGATGAAAGAGACATCTTCTTGCGAAACCGTACGAGAGGTCCACTACGGGCATGGCATTTTTCTGAATTGAGACAGTGGACGAGAAAATAAGAAAGTGAGAAGGTTTATTCCGAAGCAGCAAGCATGAAGCAAACTATGCCACGAAATGTGGGCTCTAGGCAACAATGAATAGTCCTGGTAGCATGGCCGGCCACTCAGAAGGGTCAAACTTTTGTGATTGCTTTTCGACGTGGGACGAATATCAGAGACCTCTGGCGTAGTGTCATAGCTACATCATATATGGAACTGTTAGCTGAGGCTCAGTCTCCAAGAGAACAGGCGTCGAACCACGGACCATAACTTGATAATTCAGCTGTGAGACTTGGAATCGGTGTTGATGAGTCTTGTCTGGACGAGAATCTTGAGAGGCTTGTAGCAAGAAGAGCATTTCTCGTCGACCTGGACGTTGGCGCAGATATCTCCATTGCGACAGGCTTGTTGTATCAAAGCAGCTCTCGAACAATGGCTGGAAAAGACTGTCTTGGTGTGTCCACATTGATATGTATGAGCGTAGAAGCGACACATTTCCAGTCTGTGATGTAAACTCGGATCTGTGGAGACGGTTTGTTCTGAGAGTTTGGACAGAGTTCGAGGGGAAGGGCAACGTTGACAATGATGCTCTTCTTTCTCCCATGACAACTGTACTTATATCTTCCTCGGATTTTGACGTATCCATCATTCATGCTAAAGCTCCAGCATTGGAGGCTCCACTCCAAAGATTGGCATGCTTTCTCTTCACACGCAGAGGGTGTGAGCTACTGCAAGTGACTTGTGCGTCCGACTTCTCTCGGCCGATCTCAGGTATCGTAATGGCCAATCTGATCTACTTCCGGACGTTGGAAGTAATATGCCGGCGAAGTCAAGGAAGCCACAATAGGCTTGAGTTGATCAGATCAAACAAAATTTTGGTCTTTGCACACACCAAAGATCAGGCTTGGAAGGTGTGTGTTACTCAAACGACAAGCATATCTTGCAGGTGGTCCTCAGGTACTACGTGCTCCGCACTGCGCAGCAGATAAGTGGATCAGAGCCGGCCGCGTGGAAGCATGTCGTGCATACAAGGCGACCAACCGCCTTGTTTTCTGATACCGGAAAGCAACGCCGACCAAGAAAATATGTAGGCAAGCAGGATATGCGAAGATCGACTGCAAATTATGAGCATAAGCATGCATCCATGTTTCGGATACGCTCGACTGGTTCTTAAAAAAAACGAGCGTATCGCATACCCTCGAGACCATTCTCAAATTGTCCTGAGTGAGTGCGCCGAAGGAAAGACAGCCGGAACCAGAAGCGGGACAACTGGAGTTTGCGGAACGTCATACCACAGTTGCATGCTTGCTCGATAGTACGATATTTTCATTCCGCGTGACGATGATTCGTGGCCACGAGAGGTGAGTAGGCGTCTATTGATCACCCCAAGAATTGAATCGTCTTCAGCAGAAATCTTGCTTGATCTGGCTGTTCCCAGCGGGTAGAGAAAAGATAGAAAAAGGGAAGCCGTATGATCATCTGGTCGTCAGTTCCGTCGCATCTGCTCATCATCTTCCAAGAAGGTCTCGAAGATGACTGCTCGTGCTGGTCGTACTTGCCAGATGCAGGCTTCGGTGTCACATGCTTGTTGCGTTGTGTGACAGTGTATTGTTGCACGCCGCCTGGCAGAAAGATTTGCTCAAATAGATTCTAACCCCTGATTGTATCTTCTGTTTGTATCAAGAACTTGGAGTCTGCTGGCGGGGATGTTCAGGTGTTTGTCTTCAGGATGTCGGCAGACGTTGGGCCACTCACAAGTGGATCTGCCTGACCCCGCCCACCAATCACATCTTCAGCGTCCCTTCTTGACCGCCTTTTTCAAAGCACGCTATTACACCACACAGCGCACATTCTAGACAGCCATACGGATAAGGCCGCATTGGCGCTCGCTGGATCTCCTGTCAGACCATGGGTTTGCTGTCGGTTCCTGCAGTACTGTTAACTGTCATGCGAACTATGTCCTCAATATGGGGTTGAAGGTAGGCTAGAGCTCGAAGCCTCGATTGCCAGCAAATACCAACAAGTTGGGTACCTCATCTTCCTTCCAGATGTCATACATGACGATATATGAGGAGCGGATCTTGGTTGCTACCCCGAAAGGAGCATCCTTGCCAACAAGCGAGGCCGACACGTAGCACCAATGCAATGCTTGCATGCAGGCTGCGCGATCCCGGCGCTCACCGTGCCACTGCCCAACTTCTCTTTCATGCTTTTCGTATCTCTTTCTTCATGTTTCGCATTTCCTTGACTTCTTTTGGTGGTTTCTTTCGCATTTCGTGCTGTTGTTTTCGTTTCTGCCGTTTTACTGCCGGTCAATCCTGACATTGATAACATATCCATTCATAATCGAGCGGAGGGTGTTGTCGAGTCGAAGAGAATCAGGGTAGCGTGGACGACTTCCCAGTGTCAGCGTGGTTTTTGTTGAGGCATTGAGAGGGCTTAGGAAGGGCCTCGGTTCTAGAGACGCCTGTCTAGAAGAGGCATTAGTCTTTATGTTCAGTAAGTGCTCCTCTACACATGGTACTGTTTGAGTAAGTACACTGGCGGATCATGCATTCTGCTTGTCCATCTGTAAAGACTGCGAATCGAAGCGTTGTGTTTGCATAGCTCCAGCTTGACGTTGCGCTCAGTACTCCGGTTTTCAGCTCCAGATTCCGGCCAATGAGGTCGTCGACGGCAGGCTTGGTGGTCGAAAAGGACGTCGACGGTAGCGTTAGTGGTCGGAATGGACGTCGACTGACAGCTGATAGGCTATCATATCAATAATAACATCTCCCGAATGCTTCACCTCGTGTCCATATCACATCGAGCAAGCCTTTCCCCCTCCCATCGTCTTCAACCTGTTCGCAGTCTGTCATCCAACCCTGAGCGAGCATCGCTCTCCAGTCTACTATCCTCGAGTAGACTACCCTTGAGCTAATCGCTTACCGCTGCGTTCTTGCGCTTTGTCCTCCTGCGGCTTGCAACCTCTGCCGAAGCCTCATCCTCGAGCATCGAAGCCGCGCAGCCATCCTATCAACGTCAGCTCTAATAGAGTCTACAAGCTATAGCATCCACCATCTCGGACATCCCAGGCAATCACTGGTTTGCCTAGTCAAAGGTCTAACACAAGTAGCCGCCAGCCTTGCACGATCTCAAAAACCTCTTCGGCTGTAACGATCTTACAACCCAGGACCTACCTCTACGCACACACAGCCGTAGGTACTTGATCGTCTCCAAGCGCAGTCGGTTTCCGCAGATGAGACCAGAGCAGCCACTAACCTTGCATATCTAGGCGCGTGACGATCTCACGCCTGCTGCAAAGTCCCAATACCCTTGAAGGACCTATCATCGTACATCATCCGACCAACGACAATACCGGGATCAGATCATCATCAAAGTCGACGATCTTACCATCAAGATCACAAAAAGTCCTCGAGATGTCGAGCGCCGAAATTGACCGAATGGTCCTGGCTCATTGGGCAACTCAGGCTCGCAAATTCAACATGATCCTCTCCCAGGGCATCTGTAAGGTCCTCGCTATCTCCTGCCAGCTCACGGATGTGCTCAATCGTGCCTATGGGCAACGCACAATCGACATGTCCAAGGAGACAAGATCGGTGGCGCTGTATCAGCACATCATCTTCCTTGCCAAAGAGGGATTGGCTCATACTGAGATCTACATCCTGCCATTCTGCGGCCGAGATGCCCATGCCGAGCTTCAGATCATGGCTGTGAAGATGCAGGCAACCTTCCACTACATCTTTTGCATGTATCACAACACACCTACCGTCCGTCAACTCCAAGCTCGTCAGAGAAGCGTGGGAGACCCCAACAGCCTTGGAGCCAAGTACATGGCCGCCAGAGAGGACTGGGTTGGACTGTCTGGCTCTCCTGCCCCGTCTTTGCAGTCCTACATAACCAACCCTTACGCCGCCGAGGTCAAGGCAGCTCCGGTAAAGCTGAAGGCTCATGCTGTTCAGTCTCCAGTTTCAACCGCCGTCCCTCCCACTCTTGCTCTCTTCCCTCGCACGACTCCAGCACGCCCTCCTGGTCTAGGCATGGACAGGATCATTGACTACGACCCACCTGTGTGTGCAAGCGCTTTCCTCATGCCGATCATGGACTACACTCCTGACACCAAGCTATATTTCGAGAGTGCATCCAGACGTGCAAAGAGACTCATGCCTCCCTCGCACGTCATCAGCCTTTCAGTGGCACATGCGCATTCCGAGTTCCTCTACGAATGTCTCGGAGACTATTATGGCGCCATGGACGTGATCAAGGACGCCATCCGTGCAGCTATCGAGGATGATCCCGGAGTCTATCGTCGTGTCGGAGTGGTGGATGGTGAAGTCGTCTATGACTCGAGCGATCAATACACCCTCATCCGTGAGATGTCTACTCTCGCGCAGGAGATTGAGAAGGTCTCGGATATCGAGCCTGTTCAAAGCCGTCACCAGCAGGTAATGTCGCCACCTCTTCACCCGCCTCCAGACCGCGAACTACCTAGCCCTCCCGGTCAGGACAAGGGCTCTGCCGGCGCCAAGGCCTCACATCAGCGCAATCAGTCTGACAACATCAACTTGTCCCCTGCTGGAGGCGTCTCGTTGGGCAGCCCGTACAGAAAGGTCCAGGGCCTTGATCCCTGTCTTGAGGCCGCCGCCATGAACTCACCCACAGCTCACAAGGGCCACAACGGTACCACCAGCAGAAACGATACCCTTGTCGGATCGCCTCCTCCTGTCATGGACCTCGACACTCAGATCCAGTTAATCAACAAGCAGATTCAGAAGGACGCTGACGACGACCTCGAGGCCTTCAACGCTATGAAGGCCGCTGAGACCCGCAAGAAGGATGAGTCAGATGACACCCGTGGTGACAGCTCCAAGGGCAATGGAGGACGCATGGAGGGAGCTGGTACTGAGAAGCAGCGCAAGAGACGTGTCCTTGAAAGAGCCGAGGACAGACTGGAGAGACAGCGCAAGGCTGCCATCACCAAGGCCTCCCTTGATGATCCCTACTCCTTCGTGTAACAATATGCAGGAAAAGAAAGAGCAAAAACAGAGACCATGGGTCTCTAGAGGGGAAAAGATGGAAGAAGATGATGGGTAGCTTTCGCCTTTTGCTTTGACGACTAGGAAGACTTGTTGCTTCCGGTACTTACAGATGATAGCTGGCGCACCCAGTTGCTAAATTTGCGTGTATAATAGTTTGCTTTATGGAAAAAAAAGGTGTTTCACCAATAATGATTTTGACTCTCAAGTGTGCGAAGTGGTATATTGAGGTCCGTGCGGGTCAAGTGACAGCGTGCCGGATGCAACGCGGTCTATGGCCGATGATTGACCATCAAGACACCACAATTTCTAGAACAGCAGGAAACAAGAGGTAAAACGCGTCTTCTCACATCTGACGTATTGAGACATTGATTGACACTGCAGGAAATAGCTCCGTTGCGCAGACTACTAGCAACAACCTTCAATCTTATCCTCCTTGTTACCCACCTACGCGCCTTCGAGACATGCGATAGAGCCATGGACGAAGATAGACTCTTTCACGGTGTTAGCTTCACCATCCTACCCGGAACCACGATAACGCCAGAAAGAGAGGAATGGGTATGAACAAGAGCGGCATCACAAGACACACAATTGCAGTTGCTGACGGCTTGCCAACAGTACATGCACCTCTTGACCAAAGACGGCGCCACCTTTATTCCCAGACGAGACGATGGTTCGATCAATAACATTGCCGGCCACACTCACATCATCACCGACGACATCGACTTTCCCGAGTACGGCAGAGCTCTAGAATACAACGTTCACGTCGTGCGACCATCATGGGTTATTTCTAGTCATGAGAAGGGGAGACAGACACAACCACGCCAACACAGCCCAGACCCGTCTATGTTCTTTAGAGAAGTCATAGTCTCCTGCGCTGACTTACCGGAAGGAGACAAGGATGCAATTATCGCCGGCACATTGGCTCTGGGAGGCCTGTACAGTGCGCCATTGACCAAGCTGGTTACGCATGTTGTGTCTATGGATATGCACAATGACAAGTGCCGCACTGTCGAGGCAAAGCAGCTGGCATGCAAGATCGTTCTTCCGCACTGGTATGGAATTAGACATTGCCAATCTTTCATACGCGGCTGACAAGACCATCACAGGTTTGACGACTGCTTGAAACTCGGCAAGCTGATCAACGAAGGCCCCTACCTCTTGCCAGACCCTGAGATCCTCCGCGCGACTTCGGATGAACCTGTCCGAGCGAGATCGACACCAGGACTTGATGGTGCTCTTTCGGCTGTGGCAGGAGCCCCACCAGCATACAACCCTCCAATCTCACCTTCCGACTCTCGCAAGCAGCTCGCAGTCTTCAAGGACAAGAAGGTGCTATTCTCGAAAGACCTGAACATCAACGATCACCTGGCAAAGACATTGCGACACCTCGTAAGCCAAGCTGGAGGCGCCCTCACCACCGACGTCGAGGAATGCAATGTATACATCGGCCACTACCGCGACGGCATGGACTATGTAGCAGCTTCTCGCGCTGAGAAGACTGTCGGAAACCTATCGTGGTTCTACAACGTCATCAACCGTAACAAATGGACAAATCCTTTGGGCAAGCTTCTACACTACCCAGTCCCAAGAAATGGTATCCCTGGTTTTGAAAACACGAGGATCAGTCTGTCAAATTACAGCGGTGAAGCTCGCATCTATCTGGAGAACCTCTGCAAGGAAGCAGGAGCCGAGTTTACGAAAACTATGAAGCAAGACAACACCCATCTCATCACAGCTCACACCCACTCGGAAAAATGCGATGCAGCCCAGGAATGGAACATTAACATTGTCAATCACCTCTGGCTGGAAGAAAGCTACGCAAAATGCGCAATCCAATCGCTAACAAACAAGCGCTACACACACTTCCCTCCGCGAACAAACCTCAGCGAGATAGTAGGTCAAACGACCATCGACTTTAAGAAAGTCCAGAAACTCTATTTTGCGAGTAATGAGAAGACGATCAAGGATGCAGAGCCAGGAGCAAAGACACCACACCCTTTCCGTGGAGCAGTGAAGGCACCTGACACATCACCCGGAAAAGGCGTGCCACAGTCCAGTGCTGCGACATCAAAGGCAAGGTCTTTTGCCGATGCCCCGGAGCCTATGGATGTGGATGATCAAGAAGACACGAGTGAATTCATGCCTGCACCTCAGACGGCGAAGAAGAGAAAGACAAGGGTTGGTTCGGATGCAGCAATGGCCACACCTTCTATGCTCAGACACAAGGATGGAGAAAGCACTCCACCCACCACCGGTCGCGCGTCAAAAGAAAAGGCATTGACCAGTCTGCACGCATTGAAAGATGACGTGCTCCTCTACGACCGCGAGAGAAAGCGAAAAGGCGGCGTCGTTCATGGTGGCAGAAGAACAGCAGAACCCGAAGAAGCGCCCGTCACGAAACCCACAGTCAAAGGACGCAATAAGCGCAAAAGTGACGATACGGCCGACGACCATGCTGAAATCAGCGAGACCGAAATCGCCGGTGTCAAGAGTAAAGCCAAGAAGGCAAAGACTGGCACCAATGATACTGAAGTCTTGTTCACGATGATGGTTACAGGAGATGAGCGATGGCTGGGCAATATGAAGAAGGAGAGTGCTGAAACTGTGAGTTTTATTCCCATCTGTCTTTCAAGAGCATCAAAAACTGACTTGTCTATAGGCAAAACTACGAGCATTGGGTATAAAACTCACAGCCGAACCAGCAGAATGCACACTCCTCTGCGCACCACGCATCCTTCGCACCAAGAAATTCATCGCCGCACTCGCAAACAGTCCTTCCGTCGTCGACATTGGCTTCCTCGACGAAGCACTCTCAACAAACATACTACCTGATGTCGACGAACATCTTCTTTCCGACGACGAAGCAGAAGAACGTTTAGGATTCCGCATGGACGCAGCTCTGGAGAGAGGCGAAGTCAACGCCAACCGCCTCCTCCACGGCTGGACAATCTTCGTGACCGAAAAAGTCAGCGGGAAATTCGACACGTACAAAGAAATCATCTCCATCAACGGCGGCACCGCACTCCTGTACAAAGGTCGCACGAATGTCATCGCCGGCCCCCGCATCCCAGCCTCTGAAGACCCAGAAGCAGGACCAGAGACGGAGAACAACGGCAAAGAAGAGGAATTGGATAAAGTATATCTCATCTCCGGGACCGCGAATGAGGAAGTCAAGTTGTGGGAGAAGTTCAGACAAGAGGCGAGGAAGAAGGGGTGTCATGGTAGGGTTGTCAAGACCGATTGGCTTATCAATCTTGCCATGAGTCAGAAGGTTGAGTGGGATGAGAAGTGGGAGTTGAAAGAGGAGACGGTGCCGGGATGGGAGGAAGGTCGTGGAAAGTAGATGGTCCCTGCTGGTTGAGAGGAGATGTGTATATCCAGTATCCGAATGCAGTAGAAAGGCTCTTTGCATGTGGCTGAGTTGTCCATGGAAGGCTCGATCCAGTTTTCCAGTCTTTGCTTTGTCCTGAAGGATGTAGGTCTCCACCTTGTGTCCGGTTCAGGCTTCCTGTGTCTTCTGGGGTCCATGTGACAGACAGACAGACAGACAGACAGACAGACATGAACCCGCCCATCCTTGTCTTGAGCCAGACGAGTCCGCACACCAGGAAAACCAGAAGCATCCATCCCCGACCATCCCTTCCTCTTTCAACACAACCACCCACAACAACCAACAAGACGGCTCAAAAGAACTTGACACCACTCCCATCCACCTGCCCAAAAACCTGACACCTCCCCTTCTTGACCAAAACATCCAAAACCTTCCTCAACATATCCTCATCCATCCCCACCCATTCCTGCCCTTGAACCGCATCCGACTCCCTCAACTCATAAATCGTCAACACTACTCCCTTTTGTCCCGTTTCCTCCACCCAAGAAGCGATTTTGTCCGCCCATTCGGAGGGCGTGCGCCACCATATCCACGCGACGGTCTTGTCTGAAGAAGTGTAGGAGGCTGTGGGGGGTGTGGAGGTGGCCATGAAGTCGAGGATTTGGCGGATGGCGAGGGGGTCTAGGGAACGATTGAGTTTGGCGTTGGAGAAGAGAGGGAGGGTGGGGGCGGAGGAGAGAGGAAGTTTGAAGGTGCGGTGGTGGGAGAAGTGGGAGCGGATTAGAGAGGACCAGAGGGAGAGTTGGCGGGTCAGGGTTGCTTGGTTTGGTTGGAGGGTGTAGAAGGGTGGGAAGGAGTGGTGGGGTGGGTAGGTGAAGGAGTCGGTTGTGGCTATTGTGTCGGTTGGAGGGAGGGGAGATGTTGACATTATTGCGAATCGAACGAGTTGGTCGTGGTTTTGGTATAGCAGGATTGTGAGGAAGGAAAGGTGGTTTGGACTTTCATGTGATTGTCCCTCTAGCTGCCGTCATTGCTTGACTCGAGGGTTCTGGGGAAGTGAACGATAAATGACTCGTAGCTACAGACTTCAAGCTTATGACGACGCTGCATCAACAGGCCAACTTTCTCCAGACAAGCAGAAACACAGCATCTTGTTCGCAACATACACATACAAGATCATACACAATGGCGACGACGACAATGGCAGAAAACATCACGGTGGATCTGGATCAGCTGCTTGGAAAGTTGTCGAATACATTGCTCTCGCCGACAGCAGATGACACGCATCTCCGCACCACTTTCTACGAACGCAATCGCATCAGTGCTGTACGTCGCATCACCTCTTCCTTCCTCTCCGTCCCTTCTCACGATCATTCTTCGTTTTCTTTCCCAATCAACTCTCGTACGATCTCCTCTGACAATCACACCGCATGAACAGAATGTCGAATACGCACGAACCCTCCTCCTCCGTCTCGAACACAACACCGCAGACATCAAAACCCAATCCCGAAAATCCACCATCCAAGCCGACCTACAAACAAAACGCGACCTGATCAAAAAACTAAACACGCGACTGATCGAATTGAACCAACTGGCTTCCCTCCAAGAAGACTCGGACAGCTCATCCGACGAAGAAGATGAAGATGAAGAAGAATCACAAGGCCAAAAAGTCAGGGAATTCGCCCCGGCGGTGTCTACAAGCGATACCCTAGATACAGATCCCAGCCTCACATCGCCACAACAAGCAGCACAAGATCTAGCAAACAACCTACGCTCGAGAAAACCGAACGCCACGAACAGCAACGCCCCAGCCGATTCCGCCACAACCTCCGCCCTTTTCAACAACCGCAACACAGCCCAACCCACCACCGCCGCCGGCGAAAAACTTTCTACCGAACAAGTCCTCGACTCGGCGAACCGCGATCAAGATATCCTAACCACCTCCCTAGTCGCCCTGGCCCAATCACTAAAACAATCTTCCCTATCCTTCGCTTCCTCGCTAGATGCGGAAAAAGAAGTCCTCCGCAGAGCGGAAGGAGGGTTGGATAAAAATTCCATGGGTATGGAAGCTGCGGGGAACAGAATGGGTGCGTTGAGGAGGATGACGGAAGGAAAAGGGTGGTGGGGCAGGATTAGATTGTATGCGATAATCGCTGCATTATGGGTTGCTGCATTTTTGCTGGTGTTCGTGGGACCGAAGTTGAGGTTTTAGGGAGGGAGGAAGGAGGAAGCGTCATTAGCAAAGAGTATGGAACGAAGCAGTGAATAGAGAGAGACAGTAAGTCTCTACCACAATCCTGCTATATGGAGAATAGTATCAGCGGGTTCCCTAAGGAGTGTTTATCGATGAACCCATCATGAACCTCTCTAGCACACGCCGATCTCGTTTCTGGGATCTTGGTCTTCGGTCTCCCTGGTATGGAAGCAGCTTTATGCTTTCCATATATCATTGTATTTCTCGTCATCTCTTCACCTGCCCCCCCTCCCAATACCTGTATCAAAGATATCCAAACCATATGTACATATCAGATAACCACTTGAAACTCGCTGACCCGCCGTCTTCACAAGCTAATCTGATATCACAGGTATTCCCTGCCACATCAATCACTGCATAGTTATCCCCTAATAAATCATTTACTCTTTACTCTTGCTCATATGCTCTAGATGAAATAAAAGTTTGTTGTCATTGTGTCTTTCAAAACTAATTCTCTAAAAGAGGACTAGACTAAAAGGCAGCTCTTAGATAGAATAAAAGCAAATGTTCATTACGTCCACGTCCACAAATATCTTTGCGATGATACTCTTCCTCTTGCTTTACCTGCATATGCAAAGTATGTAATTCCCATTTCCTGTTTTTCTGAGTGAAAATGCGATATGCTGGTGACTTTGACGGATCGTAGAGTGGGGTTGTCATGGAATGGAGAGAAGATTGTCACGGAATAGATTGTCATGGATAGTCACGGAAAATCTGGAATGGGATGGATTGCAGTGGATGGTTAGATGGTAGTGGAAGTAGATAGGTAGGTGTAGATTGGCAGATGGATGTGGACTCGTAGATGGACGGTATAGATGGGACAGGTAATAAAAGACAAAGATCTATACCAATAACATACTAATACTAATATACAACCCCTACCCTATCAAAGATGGCAATCAATCGCATTCCATAACCTCACCTTCAGAAAAAATGCATTTCTATCTAGCCTCGAAGCAATGTGGTGAAGAGAGCAATCATGTAATCACGTAATCACGTTATCACAAAACCCCCAATATACGAAAAATGTACAAAGTAAAAGCTCAAAAACACATTCGAAATATTTCAGGGTATGAGAGCGGGGGAAAAAAAAACCAACATTATTTGCTGCGAAGGAAAGCAGGGAGACGAAATCAATACTTCGAAAACCTCCAGAATGTTACGAATCAAAAGAATAAGTACAATGCAAGAAGAAGAAGAAAACAATCCTTGAATCTCTATCATCTACAACATCCACTCATGCTAAAAACGCAAAAAACGCACTTTCTTTTGTTATACCCAAAAGAGGAGAAAAAAAGAACAAAGAGAAAAAGAAGACATGAAGAAGTAACAGAAAAGAAAAGGAAAGAAATATCACTACTACAAGGACAGCCGGCCATCACCACGATATTCCTGGATCAGATGAACCTCCTAGTTCTGTCCAATGTCCACCCAACTGATATCACTGGCCTGTGTCTTTCTAGCACCAGCTCCTTGCCTATCCAATCTTTCCTTCTCCATCCTCTCGGCCTCGAGTCGTTGTCTAAACGCCTCTTCGCGATCCCTTTGCGTCATGGCGCCGGTGGCAGAGGGCCAGATGGTGGCGCTGGAATCTCTGTTCTCGTCGGGATTGTGGATGCCGAGGCCGGATTGAGCGACAGGAGGCTGGGGTGCCGCGCGCTCGGGGGTGAAGCGGAGAGCGGCGAGGGTACCCGGGTGGAGAGCGCCGATCTTGCGGGCGGAGCCGGCGAGACCTGGGTTAGGGGCAGGGCGATCGTGCATGGCGCGTGTGCCGCTGCCAGGGAAGAAACCACCACCACTGTTACCGCGAGCAGCGGGGCCAGGGATAGCGACGGCGGCAGGTGGGCTGAGGGCGCGGCCGAGAGCGTTGGGAGCCTCGAACCCAGTCATGCGGCTATCACGGTCTGGATCTGAAGTGTAGGCGCTGGATGGAGGGCGAGGGAAAGCAGATGCTGAAACGGCAGGCGACGGTGGGATGTGGACTTCCTTTACTGCGGGTGAGTTTGGTGCTTTTCTGTTGACGCCTTGCGCTGTGTTGGTTGCGTGGGCGGTTGCGATTGTTGCGTCACCGTTGACGGGAGTCCATTCATCATGATGCGAGAAGAATTGTGATGATGCTACGCTGCTCGAAGAGTGACGTCTGGACGAAGCAAACGACTCGCGAGCATCGCCGAGGTAGCCTTGGCTTTCCAAACTTTGACCAGTGTGGAAGTCAGCACGCTGACCTTCAACCATATCGAAGCTCTGGCCTCTAGCGGAGAAATCCTCGACACTGTGACTAAAGCTGGGTCTGCCCATACCAACGACCGACAGGCGGTGCTGGTGTGCATCAGCAGGATGCAAGTGCCCCTTAGGCTCCACATCGAGCGGTGCCACCATAGCTGAAGGGTTGCGTACGAGTTGTGAAGGGCCACGTGATGGTGTGTAGTCCGAAACACTGAGGTCAGGTGATGCAGTGAGGTTGGGTGAGTGTTGTGCAGCGGGGTCGTAAGCACCACCGTCGCTCTGGTTGGCAAAGTATCTTGACCAGCCTGAGCTGCGTTTTGTCTGCATGTCATCTTCCTTATTCTGGTTGGGAACGGCTCTCAAGGTTGGCATAGGAGGTGCAGGCCCACGAGCCGACTGCAGGCGAGGTGTCTGACTGTTCATAGACTCCATCTCCATGTGATCATCAAAGCTCTGCGGGCTGGTGGGTGATCGCACAAGCTTGGTAGTACTCTCGAAACTTCCCTTCTCACCATTGTTTCTGTTGTGGTTCTTACCATACTTGCCAGAGATGATGGCCAAGGAGCTTGAAGAATCGTTGGCTTGGTGACCGTATGCCGTCTTGGGAGGTTGCAGATCGGCGTACGGGTTGGTGCTGCTATTAACGGGTGTCTTTTCAGACGCACCGTATTTGCTGAAACGCTGACTGAAACGATCAGCTCCAAGTTTACCAGCAAGGATAGCAAAAGAGCTGCGAGGATCGTATGAACCAATGGTGGGTTTGGGCAATTGCGGAGGAGCCTCGCTCACTCCGCCACCGCCACCTGCCTCTTTCATGAAAGAAGCACCCCTGTCTTGGAAGCTCATTCTATCAGCCTTGTCATCGTTGAACTTGGTCTTCTTTTGCTGTTGCTTGCGACGTCTAACGAGAAGGAGGGCAATGATGAGTACTGCAGCAAGACCGAACAGAAGACCCAAAGTGATTCCCAAGACCTTGCGAGTGTGGGCTCCACCATCACCGCTGTTTTTCGGTTTTGCGGCGGCGGATGATGTGGCGGAGGCTTGTGCTGAGGTAGATGTAGGAAGTGCGGATGAAGTTGATGCAGAAGTTGTCGTCAAAGGAATTTGGCTATCTCCAAATAGCACTTCATTGCTGACCCATGAGTTGCTAGTCTGGTTGAAAACATTGACAGGAGTGTCGTCGTTGCCGCCACTAATAACGGCAAGAGTACCTTGGTCGTTCTGTGCAACAGAGTAGTCCGATCGCTTTACTGAAGGGGCTGAGCTACTGTTGTACGTAGGCCAGCTGTCCAGTGTCAAGTCACGCTTGCGTTTCCTTGAGGATGGTTGGCTTGTGAAATCACCAACAGTCTGACCATTGCTAGCAGGCTGACCGTCAGCATCCAGTAAGACAAGCTGAGTAACGTCGTTAGGAGAAGCAGTGGCATCATAAACCGTCAAGACTTTACTGCCGTCGTCACCAGTGACCAAGGCGCCCTTTGCACCGTCTGGCAATGCTGATGTGAGGTTAGTTTCCAGCCTGGTCCAACTGCTACTCTTGCTGAAAGCCCAGATACCAGTGTTACTCTTAGAACCTCCCAACATGACAGCGGAACTATCGTCCCATGGCAATAAAATAGGGTTAGAAACGGCAGGCGCCTCGGATGTGAATGATTCGATATTGAAGGGCTTCTCGGTCGAGATGACGAAAGTTTGCGATGACAATTGATCGTCAGTTCGCGAACCGGCATAGACAAGAATGGAAGAAGAGTCGTTCAAGTATGCGGCGCCGTGATTCGTACGTCCCTTCATATCCTCGGTCGGCAGATCGAGAGTCTCCCAAGACTTGTTTGAGAAAATATAACGTTGTAGTCCTCCGTATGATGAGTCGTCTGATGTGCCGCCTACCACGTATAGTGCGGCTTGTGAATCATCTCCATTCGGTACTGCGCGAAGACATGTCGGGCCAGTCACTGCTTTTCCCATATCCATCGAAGTCCATGTAGCATTCTCCACGAGCGGCAGGGCCTGGAATGAGTCCGGCGACAGGACATATAGAGTGTTGTTGTCAATGACAGAGCAGTGGCCAGCGAGGGCCTTCTTTGGTAGCGGGGCAGCCATGTCGAAAAGTCGAGTGGTATTATGATATTAATGCAAAGGTGTATTATTTCTGGAGTCGTGTGTTGCGAATGAGGGTTGGTGATGCGCTGGAAAATGCTGGTCAATTCAATGAAGCATCATACGGCGTGAAACGAGTGTGGTGTATGGTCTGTCGTATCCGGATAACGAGTGTGAGGAATTGCGAGAGTGAGAAAAGAGCGACGTGTCGAAGTGAGCGGGTTCCAGGGATAGGGGAAATCCAGAACAACAGCGACGTGTGGTGGTCAAAGCGATCGAATCAACGACTACGAGAGCAGAAAGCAAGAGTCGTCAAGACTTCAATCCAGGTACCAGGGATTCGACAACACAAACAAGAGTTGGGCGAGAGTTGCGTGTGAGTAGGAAAGAAAGAGGTTGTGATGTTTCCGTCTTGTCAAAACACGACAGGGGCGCTTGAGGCTGATGATAGATGGAACGGTCCGCGGGAGATGTCGTTGCGAAGAAACGGTCGCCGATAGAAGCAGCGAACGGGAGGGAGATATGATGCCGAGTCGTAGTGAAAGAGAGTGGGTTGTGGTGATGAGACAGCGAGGGTGCAAGTGCTGACGAGTCGCAATAGTGTACGGCAACAAGACACTCGGAGGCGGAAAGAAGGAAAGAACCAATGGCTAGACCAGACACGAGAAAGAGAGACAGGCACACTACGGCAGCCAAAGGAAGGGGAGGGAGTGCTTGTGTGGCCGTTGGTTGGCCGTTTGTCGCGCGAAAGCAGGACGTAGGAGAGAGACAGGAGGTGTCCAAGAGTCAGACAATCAAAGCTCATGCCGCGACCTCGAGCCATCTCTCGTCAACTCGCGCCACGGAATATATTTGCCATTGATTGCGCCGCCCCCATCCAGTTTTCGACATCTGCACCGACCACCCAGATATCATTATCACCCATAATGGATGCTTCTATTTTCCGCCCAGCTCCCATAAGAAGACGTGAGCCGGCTGACAAGACTTTACTTTGCCCAACTCCACTTCGAAACCCCCGACTCGCACATGGCCCAGAACTCTAAAAACCAGTACACTATTCGCACCACCTTCACTTCCACCACAACCGCAGCTCTGTTCTTCCCAGACAACAAGATTTGCCTTCTTCCTCCATGTCAGCTCTGCCCTAAACGACCTGCTGTCCTCGACAGTCACGCACAGGGCCGCAGAAAAGGCCACAGGAAAGTATTGGCAGGGTCGGATGCATCGTAGATCACTTGGGGGTGTTCGCTTCTGCAAGAACACTCTAGGCTCGTGCTTTTCTGCGCACCCCTTACGCCGTACGGGCACCTTTCCTGATCCGGCTGCTGAAACGCGCCGAGTCGTGGACGGACCCTGTGCCTTTGCGAGCTCCGATGGTCGACCTTTCCCTTTCTTTGCTCGCTCGACTAGCAAGTGGTGGCTTGATATTTCTCATCACAATCACATGTTCTTGTGCCTTGCTGTATCGATTTCTTCCTTCCAGTCATCTTGTTTACATAAACGCTTGCATCTTCCGCTACAAACCTGATCACGATTTCGGCATCGGATCACCGTTTCGGGTTTGTACCTTGTCTATATACGAAGTCGTTTCAGCATACGAACAACTCACACTTTGAAGACGAGGAGAGTGTTTTCTGTGGTACACCAGTATACAATCGCGTCCCATATTCGTCTCGAGTCGTGGGCTGGATATAGCTCCAAGTCTGTGCGTAGGGTAGAGAAAATGAGATCGACTGGTAAGCCGCAAGCGTGATGGGTGAATGGGAAAGCCGGCGGTCGTGCACGATAACTACTCGAGTACTGGCTACCACGCAGATCTTTCCCATCATGTATTTCTCTGTCAGGTCAAAGTAAATTGAGTCAAGTAGAAGAGAAAGTAGTACTCGAGTCGAGTAGGAAGGGTAGATCTTATCTCACGTCATCTGATGTGCAAGTCACGCAGAGAATGCGTACGGTACGTATGTTTTCGCAGAAATGGATGTCGGGTGGATGGGTGGACGGAGAAACATTCGCCTTTGGGCAAGAAAGTGTCGGATATACAAGAATTGTATGTAAGCGAGTCCATCTGTCCGCGACAAGAAACACATGCTTGTTCTGCCCTTCTCGACAGCATCGGTTGCAAGCCTGCCACAGAAACCCCAGGATGCATCGCTTCTGCAGATATATTGATCACGATATCCTGATGCCCTACTTGACGCTTCCGAGATCGAAACATCATGCATCTCTGCCCTAGTATCCTCCTCAACCACTCGCTTGCTCTTTCTTCCAAGCTTGTGCCATTTGCAACAGTTTCGACATCTTTGCTGCGCTCTCGTCGTCGGCGGGGAATACATAATCCATGTATTCTTCCCACTCGTCTTCGGACAACTTTCTTCTCTTCTTGACGCGGCGGGGCATTTGTTTCTCGACCTTTTCGAGGTCGGAGCTGGAGCCGTGTGTTGTTTCGAACGATTTCCATGCATTGAGAAGGGCCACACGCTGGAATATGTAAGTACGGGTAATCGTCAAAGTGGATCCGCGTGATAAACTTACCTCTTCCTTGAGATCCTTCTGCTTCATATCCTCGTATGCTCGTTGGAAGACCTTGCGTGCACGTAGCTTGGCGTTTTCTGAGATAGGCTTTTCTTCCTCCTCGTCTTCGTCCGCCTCTTCTTCGTCTGGATCTGGCACATTGATTTCGAAATGTGCGTAACTGATCCATACCTTGACGTGACCGGTCTTTTCCAACAATCTCTCGTACAAGTCTCTTGTCCTATCCCACTCGCCCTCTTCTTCCTCAAAGTCGATGTATGCTTTCCATAACAATTCAGGCATATCAAGAGATGGTTGGTCGACAGCGAGCTCAAAGATTGCGCGCGTACGTTCCAAGTCTTCCAGTCCTCGTTCCAGTTCTGCAAATTTGATCCATGCTTGACAATTTGCCGGATTCCATTCGATGTGCTTTTCGTAGAGAGTCCGGCAGCGCATGAACTCGAAGAGCTTGAGTTCGAGATCGATGTAGCCACGGAACAGTTTGTCCTTCGGGCACATACCAATAGCAATACCTAGCGACTTGCGTGCTGCTTGTAGTTGCATCTGTCTGATCTCGAACTGTGCCTTCAACAGCCAGAACTTGGCGAATGTGAACTTCTTGTGAGGAATAAGCTTTTGACACTCAGCATAGACCTGTCTGGCACGCTCAACGTCCTTGTTCTCCATCTCTTCCCAGAGTGCGTAGAAGATCCAGATGTAGATGTATCGTCGCCAGTGTCTTTTCTCTTGTGTCGGCGGTACTTGTGCAATGGCGCGTTCGTATACGTCTCTTGTGCGCTCAGCGTCACCAAGAGACTCCTCTAATCTTGCATAGTCGATCCAAGCATCGTAGTTCTTGGAGTTCTCCCTGACCTGCTCTTCATATTGTACTCGTCGCTTGGACAAGACAACATCTTCGACACCTTCCTGGTCTCCGTATTGTTTCTCGAAGGTTGTGTAATGCTTGTGAAGAATGGCGGATTGTGATCTGGGCATGCGATCGAGGGCGTATTTGTAGATAGCTCTTGCACGCTCATACTCCTTCAGCTTGACTTCGTAGCGAGCATATGCGATGAAGAGCTTCTCATCCATGAAATCTTCACCCATTGTCTCGATAGCCATGCCGAAGACCTCTCTAACATGGTCACTTGTTCCACTCTCTTCCTCGAACCGGGCCCATTTTATCCAGTTCTTGGACTCGGGGTGAACGATGGTGAATCTTTCGAAAATTGAGCGAGCACGGTCGAACTCTCCGTATCTCTTTTCCATCTTGATGTATGCACCCCAAGCGTCCTCACTAGGCTCCCAGCTCATCCACCTCTCAAAGACCTGACGGGTTCCGGGAATGTTGCCGAGAGTCTCTTCCATGTAGACGTACTTGTACCATAGCTTGTCGATTCTTGGTAGAATGGTGACAGCTCTGTCAAGTAAGTTACGGGCGTGGTTGATGTTTCTCGTCTTCATCTCGGCCTCGATGTAACGCAGCCACAAGGGCACATTTGTAGGCTCGACATCAAGAGCGCGCTCAAAGACACTTCTTGCACGGCGGTATTCTTTTTGTTCAAGTTCCCAGGCGGCATAGCGCATCCAGTTGCCCATGTTGAGGCGGTTTCGGCGGACATAGTCTTCAAATTCCTTGCGCTTGCGGCCCTGGTGTTCGTGTAATTCTTCCAAGTCGGCAAAACGCTGAGTAGGGGCCTGGAGACCTGGTTCCTGGCGGTCGACGGCCTCGCGCAGAAGTTGTTCGGCGCTGATCTGAATGGGCGCGGCGGCCTTGTTCTTGACCCTGGGAGGGCCACGCGATGACTCCATGATGGCGGATGGAGAGAGAGTATACGATTTGAGGCGGGGGTTATTGGTGTGTAACAGTCGTGAAGGCCCGACAGGTCGGCCTGTGGTGGTTGACGAAGAGGTGGAGGACAAGTGCTGGTTAAAGTTGTCGGAAGCTTTGGATGATGATGGAATTTGCCGGCGCGTCACTTTGCATGTGAAGCAACAAGCAGCAGCCTAGACTTTCTTCCACAACGACCAATCAATTCAATCACAACTACACTTGATTTCTTCAAAGACTGCACGATAGGAAGGCGCAACCTCAACAAGTAGCTACCCTCCATATCTTGAACGCGCGACATCCCGGACTACAACTACCAAGCCCTCAAGATGGCGACCGTCGCCGACGAGCTCTTGAACGACTTTGAGTCAGACGCCGAGGATGAGAACCAGGAGTCGCTCGAAGGCGACATTATGACACACTCGATATTGCGCCCATCAGACCCCAGCGATGCACATGGAGAGGGCGGCATGGAACTGGATGGCGACGAGGAAGAGCCTGACGATGAAGAGGGAGATGAGGCAGCACCGAATGGCAAGATTCAAGAGACCGAGACTGAGGAAGAAGCAAGAGCCAGAGTTGAGAAGATGGACCTTGGTGCCGTGGGAGATGTGCGCAGTGTCGCAAACTTGATGAAGACACTACAACCAGTCCTCGAGGTAAGCAATCACCCTATCCCCAAATCTAAACGTAAACATGATTCACATCCTTCGAACATAGCCCTGACCACCGCCTCTTGCTTGCAGAAAATCGCCCACTATCAAAACCTGCCCTCCGATCAACAGACCAAGAACATTGGCTCCATCGAAGACAATCCCGAGTACAAGCTTTTGACCGAGTCCAACACACTCTCTACCTCTATCGATGGTGAAGTCATCCTGGTTCACAAATTCATCCGCGATCATTACTCGACACGCTTTCCCGAGCTTGAAAGATTGGTTCAGAACCCTCTCGACTATGCAAAGACTGTCGCAATCATTGGAAATGGCCCCATGGAGGATGTCAAGAGCCTGTCAAATTCAACAGACAACCCTGTCGGCCAGTCGCTTCGCCAAGTACTGGATGGCCCTACAATGATGGTTGTTACTGTGGAAGCAACAACCACAAGAGGTGTCCCTCTCTCAGACTCTGAGCTCGCCAACGTCCGTCGCGCCTGCGACATGATTCTTCAACTCGACAAGGCCAAACGAACACTGACCGACTACGTGCAATCTCGCATGAACGTCTTTGCACCCAACCTCACAGTCCTGATTGGATCCTTGACAGCGGCTCAACTCATCAACTTCGCGGGTGGTATTGCAGGACTAGCAAAGACTCCCTCTTGCAACATCCCTCCACTTGGATCAAAGAAGCAGACTCAAACCGGTTTCGCGACAAACGTCGGAGTCCGCCACCAAGGTTTCCTCTACAACTCCCCTCTCGTCCGCGAAGTCCCCAGTGACCTGAAGAAGCAAGCCATGCGCATCGTTTCCGCAAAGGTCGTCCTCGCTGCACGTATGGATCGCGTCCACGCCTCGCCCAACGGCGCGGATGGCGAGCTCCTCAAAGAACAATGCATAAACCGCCTCGACAAACTAGTAGAACCAGCACCCAACCGAGGAGCCCGCGCTCTGCCCGCGCCCGACGACAAACCCAGTCGCAAACGCGGTGGCCGCAGAGCCAGAAAGGCAAAGGAAGCAACCGCCATGACCGACCTCCGCAAAGCACAAAACCGCATGGCTTTCGGCAAGGAAGAAGCGGAAATCGGCTACGGCACCGGCGATGGCACGACAGGTCTCGGAATGATAGGAGCAGCACAGACCGGATCCATCCGCACACAACAAATCGACCAACGCACGCGCGCGAAACTGTCAAAGAAGAATCCAGGTTGGGGTGGCGCTACACCCGCACCCTCTGGTCTTGCATCTACCTTCCACGGCGGTTTTGGCTCGGGCACAGCGTCAGTGCTCAGGAACTCTGGTCTCAGGACTTCTGGCGTGGGTATGGGATCAGGTACATCTAGTATCGCATTCACACCTGTGCAAGGCTTGGAATTGGTGGATCCAAAGGTCAGAGATGAGATGAATAGGAAAAGAAAGGCGGACGAGGATAGATGGTTCAAAGGCGGCACCTTTACACAAATCGGTGGAAGTGCATCTTCGGCACCGGGAGCTGGAGCTAGTAATGGAGGATTCAAAGTTCCTGCTCTGCCTCCGCCGGGAAAGAAGAGGGATACCGGTGCTACCAAGTGAGGAAAGAGCGTCCCGGGAATCTCAATATCCTTCATTTCAGCTGGAGCAAATCGATGGTATTGACTATGCTCGCCAACAGAATCATTATCAGAGTAACTTGCATCTCACCTATACCTTCCACTCCAATCTTCGTGCTGTGTTTCAATCTCAAGCATTTTGATACTGGAACACTGGACTTGCTTTTAATGAAGCAATCAAATAATAAAACTCGCAGACCGTCTGTTTGCAAAACGAGGCTTTTAGGTATTCACCATCGTAACGAACAGCCGAAGCACTCAATAAAATGCATGTGGTTTCTGCAACATGATTCACTTTGACATATATGCTCACTAATGCACACGCATCAACAATACTTTTGCTCACTGTCTAGCCTTGTCGAATATTAAATCAATTCTTGAAGTTCTAAAGAAAACCTCGTGTTTATTTCCTACTATGCTATTGATGCTATCATGCTTCCAAGGGTTAATGTAGAGGATGTTTTTTGTATGTTGTATCTTTTCTATCAGGGATGATATTGACATGTGCAGCGGCAGACTCGACGTGATTCTTAGAGGTAAATTTTGTGGTCAGGGTGTTATTCTTAACCGATTCGCGAAGGAAAAAGGAGGAAAAAGGAGGAAAAAGGAGGAAAAAGGAGAACAAAAGGAGGGGAAAAGCAGTATATGGGCTTGTGATTGATTTGGTTATCAGTTCCATTTTCATAACGCTTCTTGGAAAATTGTTTTCTGTAAATCATGTCTGACATGATTTCTTGATGTTAGATGGTGGTAGATGGTGAAGAGCTCAAAAGTAGTCAGATCAAGCATGCCGGTACGTTGGACTCTAGAAGTTCTGAGAGGAATGGCTATGGTATACTTCTCTTCTCTTCGAAAGGAATCAGCAAAGCAGGAATATTTAACCCGAGGTGTAAGTATGTTGGAAAAGATGCTTCGATCTGGTATGAATCGTGCGACGACGATTCCCGATGGAATGGAGTAGTTGTTCTATCAAACGCTCATACATGGCTTGTGATAGGAACTTGACCGTACACCAAGAGAACCGACCGTTTCATCATACTCCTTCGTTTCCTTGCTCCCTTGCTCCCCTTACTCCATCGGTAAACTCTCCTCCGTAAGATAGACCTAACCGAAATGTGGTATGTAGCGTGTAAAGACCGGAGTGGTGAAGGCGGAGTCGGGAAGATATGCCACTTCGATGAAGCATTCGACGACGAGGTAGACTCTAGTGAAAGAGTAAAAGAGCAAGTAGCTTACACCAAGAAACTGGATGATTAGCACGACCATGTCCTTGCTTACATATAGAAACTGAATGACTTTCGATGGGTGTCTCGATCTCGTTTCTGGAGAGTTCCAGTGCCTGATGTGCCAGAAATGGATGTAGTTGAAAAGCTTGTTTGTAACAGAAAGCGATCCCGCATGAGCGATTGACATTGGACCAATACTTGCTACAGATATGCCCGAGATCTTCCATAGTGTTTTTTCGATCCTAGTATGGAATGGAGCATTCCAGGCGAGAAGATGCAAACCACCGTACACAATTGCCACAATGACAAAAGTGATGGAGCTGAGCGGCTCCCTAAATGCTACAGCATTGTCGATGGAGACTTCTGAAAGGGACCAGTTCCTTATTCGGTGACGGTGACTAGAGGTCTCGTATGGTCCGTAGTGTCGGTAGCGTGATTTGCATGTTCGCTCTAGGCGTCCCGCCATTGTTGTTTCTAGGTCAAAGATGACTTGAGGGACGTCAGGGTTCTCTAAGGTAATCCGGCGCTTCTTATCATGACTGGACAACGTGTATGTAATCCAGAAGCTGCTGTGGAATTGTAACTTCAAGACGTAAAGCAGTCTGCTTCTGTGTCTTTTGACAAAACAATGTTCCCCAGTTCTAATGCTTTGTCAGCTGCAAGATCTCGGCTTTCCGTGATGTTCATGTACTAACATTCTGGATCGTAACAAATCGCCAAACAGGACTTTGTTTGTGATAATTTCATACGACTGTGGATCATGAGAAGTCCAAGAACTGTCCATCGTGTTGAAACTGGTTTCTGACGCTCGCGCACTTGACCGCATGCCATGAACTGTAGGAAATATCGGGAGAGCGCCGGGTCGACCACTGAACAGATAGACCGCGTCCACCCATTCTCTCAACCCGTTGGAGACAGACAGACTTGTAGGTTGGCTGACATCAGTGGGCTTTTTCCACCATATTGCATAAGTCGCAAAGGCGCACAGACAGTGACCCAGCACATTAAGTTCGAGGAAACTGATAGAGGCACCTTGTGATAATCTGGCAATACATTGAATGCAAAACCAAAGTGCTTGTAGGCATACGATAATTTTGGTGAGTGTGCTGGCCTTGCTCTTGTCAAGTATTTCTGACTCCGGGATGTTGGGGATTGAGACAGGCTCGGTGTCAGCCAGGAACTCTATGCCTTGTTCGCTGAGCACGAAGGCTCCTGTTCCGTAGGATGGGCCGAGATCTTTCGCTTGAATCACAAAACCACCCATGGCTGCATAGAAACCGTGTGTCAAGGTCCAAGGATGGCGGTGTGCCGATGTGTCGGTATTCAATGAGCCAAGGGGTATCTGAGAGTCAAGACACTATATGGCTTGTCAGAATTACAGATCTCGTTTATCGTTCTCCCGAGTGTTTACCTCCTCTGTGTCAACACCTGTTGAAAACCAGCGTCCTGGTGCCCTTTTACAAGACGCCCAGAAATTTCTGTACCATGGCGACGTTAGTGCCGGTGGATATGCCTTATGGACGACCTGAGTGATTATTGAGGCCGTCCGGTACTGTTCCCAAGCATTCCAAGCAACGATTTCTGGGGCAAGCAGGCCTAATATTACCCATCCAAACTTGCGAAAGTACTGTTGACGCTCTTTGCCATGTTCAGGAATATTGAGGTGGACAGCTGTGTATACACAGAGAACCAAAGTCGTGATGCAAGATGAGAGAAGTCCGAAGGTCCCTCGGCCGCGCGGTTCGGGGTGCCACGTCGCTGTCTGATTGGCGGTCTGGTTTCCGAAAGGGGCGAACATCTGGACAAAAGCCGCTGGAATGATGCTGGAGTATGCAGCGGCGTGGTGAAGTTCGAAGTAGATAAAAGATCACTTTTCGGAAGGATGCTCAATCAAGGAGGCACAGCAAGAAGTTCAGCCTTGGGGCAGACTTGCTTGATCCTCCATGCACGAAAAGCCACCATCGGCGCCAAAAACACCTCACGCGCCAATCAACACCATCTTTTCATATCGTTTCTTCAAGTCGGAATCCAAGTCACTGGAACACTGCCTGGTCTAAAGATGGATGGAGCCAAGCGCTCGATCAAGACACAACACCAGATTTATGCCATTGCGTATCCGGCTGGGATGCATGCTGCAGACCGCAATGTTTCTCTAGGCAATAGTAGTGCAAATGAATCAAGGGATTTCACTGACATCGAGGAAGCCGAAGTATGGTTGTGTGGGAAGTTGTGTTTGGATTTTTGTGTTGAGTACGGGCTCTTCATCATTTGTCAATGCTCCGCCAGTCGCTCTTCATGCCAGGGAGTGGCATATGCTACCATGTGGCAAGGATTACTGACGCATATACCTAAGTCGCCGGAGAAAAAGTTATCGGAAGCTGTGGTCGCGTACGAAGAGCCGAGAAGTGGCAATGCATAGATCCAGACGTGAACATGCCGAAACTTGGAAAGCTACATCTTCTCACTGTTCACCGCCGATCTCGTTGGTAACCTTGACGAATGCTTCCCACTGCTCTTTGGCAGCGCCGCTGGTAATACACCAACGGGCACGTCTGACGCCCTCCTTCCAGCGCAGACCACCAGGGCCACGCTCTGTGATGACATTACCGTCGTCTCCGGGGCCCATCTCGCTAGTGTCTGAGTCACAGATACCTGAGCACACCAAAAGAGCAGCTGTGTTTATCAGGACAAAAGTAAGGACGGGATCGTTGGGATCAATCGTGCCGTCAAGGATGCTCTGCAGGATGACGGCGTTCTCTTGAGGAGACTTACCACCTGCGACAAGGCTAAGCGGTACAGGCTTCAAGCCAAAGTCCTCGGGCGCGACAGTGAAAGGTACGATGTCGACTTGAGAGTCGGCAGCATCGGAATGCGGTTTCAGCGTCCAGCAGTATGAAGGTCCGGCACAACTGAACTCATCCAAGTCTTCGGCACCGCATACGATCAAAGCCTTTCTTGCACCGGCCAAGCGCATAGACTCTGCGAACACAGGGCCCATGTCGCGTTTGGCGACACCGAGGATGCGAGCCTCAATCAGATTACTGTTTTGTACCGGGTTGGCCAAAGGACCGAGTAGATTGAAGATTGTTCGGAATGGTAGCTCTTTACGGATAGCAGCAGCGTGCTTCATGCCAGGATGCCATTCGCGAGCGTAGAGGAAGGCGTAGTTTGTGCGAGAGTAGATTTCGGGCAGTGTCTTCTCGGTGGTAGCGGCGATTACGGGAGAAGGTGAAGCAGCGAGGAGGAGGTCGGCTGAACCGGACTTTGAGGTCGAAGCGTTGTTACCGTGTTTGGCCATCATGAGCAGGGCTGAGGCGAGGATACTCGAGGTTGTGCTGACATTGTATGTGTTGTGGCTGTCACCGCCAGTACCGACTATGTCGCACTGTTGATAGATTAGCCGTGGAGTAGCAGGGAAGAGTCGCTGGGGCATACCATACCAGACCTCCATGGTATTGACCCTCCTTGCGACCACGTTGAGTCACAGCTTCCTTCAAAGCATCCTCATCGACTTGAGCAGCGGCATATCTCATAGAACTGGCGCATGCTGCAAGGATGTCTGGACGACGATCCAACTGAGTTGTGTGAAGACCGTAGAGAAGACATCCGGTTTGTACGGGAGAGATGCTGTTTGCGAAAATGTGCGAGACAGCAGCAGCAACTTCCTGGGCAGTGACGCTGTACAAAGTCGTAGTGGGGTCAGCCAGCCGGAGGAGCAGCGGTGATATCGAGATTGCTGCTTTGGCTTCGCTCATTGCTACGGTCTCTGTGTTTCTGAGAAGGATGTTGGAAGACGCGAATCGCATACAATACAAAGAAGGAGCGACTGATAGCAAAGAAACGATTGAGCGAGTGCTATTGAAGCCTGGAATAGTATGACTGGAATGCGGCCTTGATACTCGGGTGTTGCCGAATAGAGAAAGAGCGACTCCAAAAGAGTCCGTGCGCGAGATTTCCTGAAGATGCGGAAGTTGCGCTGAACGGCAAGAGCAGAGCGTCCACCCTGTCACTGCCTGTACATATCACATGTACGTCAATATCCGAGTCGCATTGCTAGCCGTACCTTCCCACTGACCATCTCAGCCAACATCATAATGCCGCCGAGGTTACGACTCCACGCCAGCAAGCGCTTGCGCCTTTCCACACCCAACGCCGCATACCCTTCATGTCAATGCCGGTACGCTTCTCTGGCCACTGCCACCACTCCGGCCGCTTCAATTGAGTCGACAATCCATGCCTCATCTCCCATCGCTCGCCATCCTCCTACTCAACCTCCGCCATACAAGCCTGCCGAGTTCCGCAAGACACAACTCCACCGTCTCTACACATCACTGATCCGCTCGTCACCTTTGATGCTGGTCTTCCAACACAACAACCTCAAAGCTTCTGAGTTCTCAGGAATTAGAAGACAGCTGAATTTCGCTCTGCAGAAGGTCGACGCCGAGTTGGGCACTGAGGCCTCGCCTTCAGTTGTAGGCAAATACACCGAGCTTCAGATTGTCCAAACCGGCATCTTCGCCTCTGCCGTCAAGGTCGCAGAATCTTTCAACCCAGAACTTTTCCCCGACACTCCCAGGACGCATCACCCCCAAGATCCTGCCACAAACACTTCCACCACTCTCAACACCAAGCCTGCTAGCCCTCAGTTCACCCACAGCTTGTCAAAGTCAGCATGGAAGACTGCTAGGAGTGCGAAGGTCCAGACTGGTCTTGAACCTTTGTTGTCCGGCCCTCTGGTTGTCCTCACGTTCCCCCTGGTCTCGCCCCAGCACTTGAAGGCTGCCATGACCATTCTCTCGCCTTCAGAGGCTTTCCCTGCTCCTAAGAGAAAGGCAAACCCAGGCCTCTATGAGCCTGGAATCCAGAGCGGTCTCCAAAAGCTTATGCTGCTTGGTGCGCGTGTTGAGGGCAAGGTCTTCGATCTTGACGGCACCAAATGGGTCGGTGGCATCTCTGGCGGTCTCGACGGCCTCAGAGCCCAGCTTGTCTACATGCTCCAATCTCTACCTGCAACTCTCACAAACACTCTCGAGGGTGCAGCAAAGAGCTTGTATGTCACTGTCGAGAGCAGACGCCTGGATATGGAGCCCAAAGACGAGAAGTCGAAATCCGCCGAGGCCGAGAAAAAGGAGGAATAGACGTAGGTCTGTCCTGTTTGTACTACCACCAGCAAATTTGTACAGCAATTTTGTGTTCCTCCAAAATGATATCCAATCGATTCTCTACCATCTGCTTGTTTTCTTCGAAAGAACGTTCTTCATCGTCATTCTTCACTTCAGGAATTTCTATCTTCCGTTTTCACTTCTACCGTGAAGCCAGTCCAAGCACAATAGACTACCAGACCTCAACGTTTCTTTTCCATACACACTTCCTTTTCTTCCAAGATCTTTGACATTCTTCAACATCATCTCCTCAACAAAGCATCATGGTTCTCGACTCTGTTATGCACGCCATTTGCACCAAGCGCCCTAAGCTGGCAACTCCTGAATTGGAAAGCTCGCCTTCTAGCTCTACCCTCTCGAAAGTCTCTATCTTGACCAAGTCCATCAGACACAACGATCTCTTGACCTTCAAGAAACACAAGCTCCACGACCCTCGCACTCCGTTCCCAGTTGGCTCTAGCAATATCGCCTGGAACGGCCCCCAGTAAGTCCACTGACTATCTATAAACTGCAACAAACGCTGACAATTGTGGCTCAGGCTCCGCGGCAGTGTCATCTCGTTTGATCTAAACGCCCCCTCGACTCCCGTCAAGAAACGTTCCTCGACTCCTGATCTTGCCTCCACCCAAAGCAACACCAAGGGACCGGGCAAAAAGGAGAAAGACAAGGATGCCAATTTCTCTTACGTCCACGCCGAGCTTGTCCGCCCTGCATCGATCATCTTTGCTAGATATCTCTCCACCGGCCGCCTCGTCATTCCAATCCCTGGTCAAGATCGCGATGTCATTCAGCTGTTCGTTCGCTTCCTCTACTCTGGCAACATCAACAGCAATGTCGCCGATGCCTGTACCGTAAAGGCAGGTTGCAAGACTCTCAACTTCAAGCTGAGCGACGACTCCTTCGCCCAACTCATGACTCCCGACGATGAAGAGAGACTTCTCGTCAAGGCTTACCTGTTCGGCTATTCCTACAGCTGCTGGACATTCTGCGATGCCATTATCGACACTCTCATCTGCAAGATCATCGGCCAAAAGAGAGCCCCTGTCCTACACCAGCTCGTCGATCTCAGCACCAATTGCGGCTCCTTCTACCCGCTCAAGATATTCATCGCCCATCTCGCCGTCTACACCTGGTCCGACAACCAGCTCTGCGGGTTTGCTATGGCCCACAAGTTTGACAGAATCGATCATGTCAGATTCTGGGCTGATGTTGGAGACTATCACGCCATGCACAAGACTGCCACTTACGGTCTTCCCAAGGCTCCTTGGCGCAAGTCGATCTGTCACTACCATGTTCACAACTCTTACCCCAAGTTGAAGTACACTTGCTACGCTCAAGGACAAGGACGTCAAGGTTGATAACATTATGACTCTCACGGGTTCTGGAGATCACTGTCCATAATTTGCGATCTGAAGCACTGGAACAAATATACCCGAGAGAAGCGGTGGAAGATGTCTTCTGTAAATATCTTCACTCTGACCCTAAATCGAGTATCGTTGTGCTGTTCCCGAGAAACGAATATCAATAACCTTCACTACACTCGTCTTCACCTACTCGCCCTTAGGCTGGTTTCTCTTCACTTTCTGCTTTTCAATCCACTTGACCAACTGGTCTGCTTTTTGTCTAGGACTTTCTCCTTACAGCATCTTCTCACATCTCTCACATCCCGTCACTCAGTCATCCCCATGATCCTTTTCTTCAAAAGTTCTTTCCAACGTCTCCAAGAGTTTGTCTCGAATTTTACCATGTCACAGCCCTTGTCGCTAGAGTCGTCTATGAGTCCAGAGTACGACACCACATGGAGGCCCCCGACCTTTGCAGTGCTCAAGAGATCGTACGATATGGCAATTGCGGAAGAAGTCGAGGCTACCAACAAGCGCCGCAAGATCGAGGCGCACAAACACTGTCAAGATGACAGTCAATATCGTGCTGAAGACGATCCCATGGTCGGGTAAGATTCGACTGCTCTGTATGGCATATGCACAATCCAGTCTTTGACTGACGATCTCTAGTCCAGATGTGGTCATCATCAAAAAGTCCAGCCGTATCGTGGCCCATGTGCCTCTCGTAAACCTCAAGACATTCGCCCCACACATCTATTCAGAGATAATGATTGACGCCGTCTACGAAGGTCATCAGGTCCCCTTGTTCACACCCAGAGCGTACACCTCAGCCACAGGCCTGAGACGTTGGGCACTCTGGCTAGAAACCCACCATATCGGTCATGCCATGGGAGGACCTTCCGCCCCATTCGCTACAATCCTCGACACATTCGGAACCGCCAATTCTCTGGGCCACGAAGACTTCAAAGATGCCATCATGGATTACCTCATGGTACGCATATTCCACGGCTCCCAAGGATCAGACTGGGTCGATCACGCCTCTGCCGGCTGTGTGAGCGAAAACCTACGCCAACTTGGAAAATGCTTGGGCAATGCCACTTCCAACTGCATGCTTGAGAAGCTGGTCAAAACTCTGGTCCTGCACTATGATACTGAAGGAGCATTGGACCAAGATATCTATCCTAGGTTTGTCAAGAATGCGGTCACGGCTTATGTTCTTGATCAGTGGCGCTACAAGGATGGTTTCGGGGTTCCGGCAAAGGTGTCGACGGAGACGCCGACGGAGGAGTGGTGTGAGCGGTTTCATCTACATGGGCGCAGGGGCTTGCCTTGTTGGTACAGCAGAGTTTTGCCTGGCGATGAGGAGTGATTGTGCTGTGCCGGAAAGGATGAAGGTTCTTTGGTCTTCTTGAGGGTTTGTGGCTGCACATCGCAAGTCCGGCGAGTAAGTTGGAATTCAAGCTTCGAAATTTCGCCGTGCACATTACGAAACACGGTGAGACGTTGGGTTTCTTTCGAAAGCTCTGCGTTTGTTGATCTGCACGAACCTCCGACATTGGCCTTTGCAAAAGCATGTGCTACTCATAGAGCTGTAGATATTTTACATGCCCAAATCAATTTCCACATTTCACTTTTGTTGCTTCTCTGATTTGGTTGTGATGATTAGGTGTTTTGATACGTTTCAGTGTGTCCCATTCTTGAAGTTGGAGGTCAAGATTGACTATTAGAATGCATGAATCAGTTCGCTTTTGGAAGACTAGCGGCGAAGAAGGAGAGCGATAGTCCACGGAAAGGTAGCTTCTTCGCGAAGTTGGAGATATATTGAACTATTAGAGTGCAAGAGGTTTTCCGCTTTTGGGAGATTGTCTAGAGAGGAAGGGATGGTCCACGAAAAGGTATAGTCCAGAGAAAGGTCATAGTCCACGAACAGAGACTGTCCACTGGAGGTTAAAGAGAGCTACCCTGCTCGAGCAATAGTATCCGTTCCATCAAGTCGGGAGTCAGCTCCGACTGTCAAAATGCAGGAAGCTTTTCGCTTTTGGCGAAATGTCCAGAGAGAGGAAGGCATAGTCCACAGATAATCATAGTCCACAGAAAGCTGGTTATTCACTCCAACTTCACCCTAACTCCGCTGTACGCTCGTCTTCACAGTCTCGCACTCCTTCCTTTGCGCCTACTTAAAGCACCTTCCGGGTCACCACTCCCTCTCTTGTTCATCAACATCCACAGTCGGATCGTCAACCAACATCGAGCATCAAGAACAAGCTCGATCGATCTTCACTTCCACGATCTCGACACATCTCTCGACGATCTAACATCCAACAACACGTCTCGACTGGAGGTTACTTCAAGCTCACACCCAACAAGCAGCAATCAGCGATGTCTTCTACACCTATCAAGAGATCTTCGGATGGCGATGGCTCGGCTGAGAAGCGTCTGAAGACTGAGGACCAAGAGCAGGCCAAGCCTGTCTACGAGTGAGTGGAAGATTTTCATGACCTTGCTTGAGCTTGAGAGAGTGACGATACTGACATAAAATCCCTAGTTTGGGCGTTGTCCTCCTTAAGAACAACCGCGGAGATGTCGTGACACACGTTCCTCTTGTCAACTTCAAGACATACGCTTCATCTGTTGTCAAGGACCTGAAGACTCAGATTCTGGGAGAATATAACCTAACTATCTACACTTACAAATCAGGTCCTCTCTTGATTAACCCCGACATCCGAACATGGGCAAATTGGCTTGTCAAAAGAGACATCAGGACCGCATTGAGAGGCGAACTTATGAGCACCTACCACGCTAGTCGTGCCCTGTGGGTTGCACAAAAACTTGGGGATGTCGACTACCAGGATGCTCTGATAGATTTCCTCTTCGTCCATCTTCAGAATAAGAATGACCCTGCCAAGCTCGATATTCCTCGTTTCCGACATCTCATGTCATTAGGATGGGCATGCGGTTTGCACATCATCCCAGAAGCCCTGATTCTTCACCATGATGCAAAAGCCGCAGCCACTGGTCATTATGATCATGAAACCAGACAACGAGTTGAGAAAATTGCTTTCAAGCATTTCTCAGCCCCTGATGAGTGTCCCAAAGATCCTCTCAGCCTCAGTACCGAAGAATTCTGCAAGACATACCACCAACATCATACAAAGGATCTTCCTTGCTACAAGACCCAGAAGCTTCCCGGAACCTCCGAGTAGCTGCGGTATCGTATGAAGCTCACATCTTGACATCTCCAGAATCAAAGTACGTTGCTCCCATTTCTCTGGGTCAACAGCTACTGACCACACTTCCCAGGGCTCTTTTCACAGAACGTACTATCACGAGGGTTGAAACTCACATTGAAACTCCATCACGTTCACCATGTCTCATTTTCTAGCACAACACAACACGCCGAAAACATATTTTCGGCCTTTTTCATTTTCTGCCGAGAGCATCTCATCTCTGCACTCTTTATTTCCAAGCTTTCCACATCATCCGCAGACATGTTCTGCACAGCTGCATATAGCAGTTAATCATTTTTCGATAAAAAACATGTTTCTCATCTCTCTTGTGCCTTCTTCCTGATTTGATGTATAAGTGTCGTGCGTGCGGTTGCGATTTAACGACTTTTTAGAGTTTTCGCCGGTCGTCTTGACTGGATCAAGAAAGTTCATGCATTGCGACAGATATAACAAAGTCTGGTTCGATATTTTATATCCTGTCAAGACATGCTTGTTGAACTTGTCACCTGGTTTTTTGTCCGAGCGTTTGAGATCGGCGGCTTTGACCTCACCTCCTACCTTTGGTGAAGTTTTGCTCTTGAAAGTCTGGTAACATAGAGTGTGAAAGCTGCGATTGCTAGTGAGACTCGAGGTAATGTGACGAAGGCGCATCAAGCCGATTCTGTGGAAGTGAGAGCGTGAAACGGCGTTCAAAACGCTAACACCGACTGTAGTGTACTTTCTATGCTATTGCTTCACTATCTACGTTAACGTAGACGTAGCCGCAAAAAATCGACCCGGCACCGAACTCCCTCTCGCCTATAAGGCCTTGCAACCTTGGCTGCAAAAAGGCAGGATGCTTTTGATAATCAGGTACATGTCCATTGAGGGCGATACTGCCCCTCGATCTCTTTGGGCCTATATCAAAAACCAAAATTCATTGTGCCTTTTGACTGCTATGTTGTAAGGAGCCTTTGCTAGGCTAAGAGCTCGGTTTTGGTGCAATTTTTGTGGCCCTATATCTACTTTACTTCTTCTGCTTTCCGACCGGTGCCGTAACCCGCCCCACGGGAGTCTGGTAACCTGTGGTTCGTTCTTCCCTCACGAAAGTCGGAAATAGAAGAACTTTTCAGGAATCACTGTCCTGACCAAGTCCCTTCTCCTACGACATTCCTCAGGTTGGCGGTCGAAATGAAAACGACCGCAGCACTGTTTCAACGGGAGAGTAAGTGGATCCTTGGGAATCCTGCTCCAGCCTCGTCTGATCCAAGCGTCGCGCAAGAGTCGGGTGGTGAAGATGTCCGTCATACGACTGATGAGTCCGTTCTCCTCCCATTCGTTGTGGTCTGTCTCGCGATGTATGTATATGGTAGCAAAAACCATATCTAGTTCGTTCTCGGAATCAGGTCTTGGATGGTATCTGTAGAACTTGTAGACGGTGTCGAGGAGCTCTCGAGGATCGGAGCTTTGCGCCATCTCTTGTCTTAGCCATTCGATGATGCAACTCTTGAGTGAGCTGGTGATCAGAGAAGAGAAATTGCCTTCGCCGACCAGGCTAGCATAGATTCTGAAGAACGTCTCGTGCCATTCATCTCCGCTTAGTCGTACGAAATGATCGATGCTATTTCTGGTGTCTCTGGTCCAAGTCCAGATGGCCATGAAACGTACAACCTCTTCTTCGAATTCAAAGTCGTAGGATTGAATTTTGAGCGGCGCAGTGTTTTCGATCTTTAGAGTGACTCCGTTGTTGCTACCTCTATCGGGATACTTGTAGATCAGTTCGAAGTCGGATGGGAGGACTTGGGCGATGGGCGTTCCTTTTGCCCTGAGAAGGATCATGTTCGGTCTTTCAAAGGAGGATGATTAGCGTATGAGTACGTTGGAAGATCTTCGGAAACTTACTTGTAGGTATGCCCTTCGTCCGAAGCACCATGGCGAGCGTTGTTTTCGTGTGGATCGACTGCTGTTGGCAGAGGTGGATTGACAAAAGGCCCAGCCTTGGGCATCGTGTTTTCGACAACTTCCTCTGACATGATGACGATGTAGATGATATGGAGCCAGCAAAACTGCCTGGCGAGCTGTATTCGTGTAGAATCAGCGTTGTCCCGACAAGAAAAGCACGTTGCTGAGGACTTTAGAAGAAAGTCACTCCTTGGCGTGATGATCCGGAGTCATCTGGGTACTCCTTTCTCACCTCAAACAGACCGGGCATTGTGCTTGTTCATCCAAATGAGTTCGAGAATCTCTTTCGAAACTTCATTCCCCTTTCGCTGGTTCCATGGACGTCGTCACACATCAGCTTTCCGTGTAAGAAAGCGGCGGAGTGCGGAAAGTAATCAAAGACTACTGGTAAAAGGTCGCCAAAGCCTCTCGGCTGGCAATACTCGTGTTTGCGTGTCATTCGCAGGGCAGTTATACGTCGCCATGATCTCTCAAGATGGAAGATGTTTGTACACAAAGAAACAGAGCAGAACTTGAGCTGCAAGATAAGTGGTCTGTCACGAATGCAAGGAGAATGTATGAGAACAGTTAGTCACGGTGAAATCAGTCAAGTAACAGAGATGTTTGGTTGAACGTTATTGGTGAAAGTTGATTTTTCTTGCCTTCGCTGGCAGAAAATGCAACTTATCGACCACCCTCGAGATTATAAAGTCGCATCTCGAAGACAAATGCGACAAGTGTAGCATCTTGTCTTCCAAGCAGCCTCCTGTATGATATTCTGTGCCCTTTCCTCGTCTGGAAAAGTTTGTCCGTCTTCCTCGTTCATGAGTTGCCCCTTTTTTCTCCATTATTCCTCTTTTTCTTCTTTTCGCGCTGCCCCTTTTTTCTTCCTTTTTCTTCTTTTTTCTTCTTTCTCTTGCTTGTGATGTAATTGCCTTTCTTGTGCAGCAGTGGTGATATATCTTACCTTCGCACTGGTGTCTGGGTGTACTGTCGAAATGCAAGGTGAAAAATGTTTGCTCTGTAGCTCCATGGAAAGACAATTTTACTTCGATTGCCCGCGCGAGTCGCATCGAGTTGAAAAAAGATTGTGCATTGCGACGCGAGCTAATAAGGACGAGAAGGAAAGGCGAGATCGAAGAATGTAAGTCTCTCACTTGTCTCTGTAACACGTCTCGGCTTTTTTGTGCTTGTGGTAAGGACAGTGCTGATCAAAGGAATCTTGTAGCGGATCCTTGGGCAAGTTCTCAAAGGTTCCAGCAGCAGCAGCATTGAGCAGATGGTCCACAGCATAGACTCTGATGTTGTGAAACAGATTCAATCTCAGATCGTCCTCCGTGTTCTCTCGGAGGTTATCAGAGAGGTCAGACCTGATGTGATGGAGATGCAAAGTAGCCAGCAACTCTGCGATCGCCGTGTTAGTCAATCTGCTTTCTCCTCCGCTTTCGATGCTCTCGACTCCACTATAAACTTTGTTAATTGCTTCTTCTTCCGAACACCCGTTGTTTACAGCGTCTCGCATGAGGTAGATAAAGTTGTCAATCGAGCAGTCGTGAAACTCGTTGCTCAAGGACTCCTTGCTGCAAAATTCGAGCATTTCACACAGAAATGGAATCTCGAACCTTCTCTCGTGCTGACAGCTATCCAGTGCCGATTTGATGTCACGTTCTTGAACCCAGTGGGCAAATAATCTGACGATATCGGCATGGTACTTCAAGTCGATTCTCTCAATTTCCATGTTTCCAGGAAGATCGCTGCTCTGACGTGCCTTCACAGAATTCAAAGAACCAGAGTAGACTTCACGAAGTTTGACCTTGTGCACGACAGCAACGATCTCACTGCCGCCGTTTCTGTCCAGTGCGCCAAGCCAAACGATCTCGGATCTATCACGAAATGGTCAGCGTTGACGGCAGCAAAAGCTCACTTTCCAACATACCCAGAGGCGAAAATCTTTTGACGCTTAGCAGGCGGCTCTCCAGAAGCAGCGCGAACGGTCATAGTAGAGCTCGAAGACATGGCGATGTTTGTTAAGCTTTCTTTGCTGTTAAAGATCTTTGTCCGAGTATGCAGTAGTGGCGATAGACGATAGACCTTGCCGAATAGATGACCGATCTGTAAAGTTGTGTGAGAGCGAAGTGAACGGTCAAGCAGTGTAAAAGGGGATGTCTTGCGTGCCTCGAAGTGACAAAGTCGTGAGATCGAAGATAGGACGACGAAGAGCAGTGTGTCATGGCTATCGGGAAGAAGAGACGCAGCGGAAGATGAGGAGACTTGGAGTGCAGCAACTGGGAGTGTGATAGTCACGATTGTGAGTGAGAGAATACCTCAGGGAACGAGAAGGTGGAGGATCGAGTTGAGCGACTAGAACGCCAAGAGTCAATGAAGGTATATAGGTAGTCTCAATTCAAACTCCTTCAATTCTGGATGACGGAATGCTGGCCTGGCCAACCAGCATCCTGACGGGAGTTTAGTGTGATGGGAGAGTATCCCGCATGCAGAACTCTTTTGCCCTTTGTAAGTCCACCATTCGATTCCCAGCGTTGGCAACCTTTTTCTTTTCGCACTTTTTTTGGCCAGAGAGGCCGACCAAACTATCTGTCAAAAGGCAAGGTGGTTTTCAGATTTGTGTAATTGTCCAGAGAGAGAGGTCAACATTGCTGCTCTCTGCGGACATTTACTCGTTCTGGGAAAACTTCTTGCATTTTGACAGACATATTCGAAGACAAACAGGGGTGAGGAGAGGGAGAACGCGTGTAGTCTTCTGCCATAGCACTGATCTTTTAGTTTAACGGGATGCCGTTTACAGAATTGGACAGAACGATAGTATGTTTGGAGGCTTATAATTGCGACTGTACTTGTGCTTCGATTGATATCTCGCTAACCTTTGTTTAACGCTACTCCTCCTTTGCTCAAATACTTGCAGCTACTTGTTGTTCTCAAAGGCCTTGTGTTTGCCTATACTAGATGCATGCTCCATCACTGTGTGATCTTGTTAGCCACGCGATCAATCAATCTTGAGTTAAAGTTCTTTCACCTCAGTACTGTGGCTTCTTCAGGTAGCAGACCTCTTCATCGCCGTGGTGATGGTAGGCACACCAGTCGGTGAAGTCGGAGCTCAAGACATCTCCGGGGATGGTGTGTTTGACACTTTCCTTGGTCTGTGGCTGGAGCCACTGGTTGAAACGAGCCTGATTGCGAGCAGTGAATAACTCCTCTCTGTGGTTGTCAAAGACATTGGCGCAGACACGGATGAGTCCGCCCTCGGCGAATATGTCATTGGACATGCAGGTGTTGAGAGCTTTGTTGAAGTCCTTGTTTGTGTTGTTTCCCAACCACAGGATGAACCAGTCGATCAGAGAGTCGTGGATGTCGCTGTTGTATTTGGACATGTGTGCGAAGTGGTTGATGACGAGACAGAAGTGCACCATGACATCGGGGGTGTCGGTCGGATCTTCACCCAGTCTGAACTTTCTTGACTGAACCAAAGCTTTGCCGACAGTCCAAGACTTGGTCATCTCGCCAAAGAAACGCACAACGCGTTCGCTAGCAGCCATTTCGTAGATGTGGATTGTGAGACCAGCGCATTTGTTGGGGGCTGGCTTGATGGAGGATGCCATCCAGGGCTTGCGCATGACCCACTCAAGGTCGGAGAGAGCGGCGTGAGCAACGGTCTTACCACGCGACTTCAAAGCCACGACCTGAGTACTGGTGGACATGTCAGCAGTTGTTGTGTCAGTGATTGCGAACATCAGCTCATACTCGTAGAGAAACTCGTTGGCAGTGGTTGTGATGGGGGTTTGGACAGCGCCCAGGCCAGTAGGATGGTTGGAAGACATTGTGTTGTTGTTACACAAAGATGTCCACAGAAGTTTCCTTGTCGTTGGGAGAAGAGAGGAAGAAGTGTGAAGGTAGAAACAACGAGGAGAGAACTAATAATCTTCAAGGCGCAGATCGTCAGGACAACATACAAGTGAAGTGCGAGCGTCACTTTCACAGGCGACTTTCACTCGCGCCGGGAAATTCACACCACGCCTCTCGATGTGCCTTCTTCTTTTCCTGACCTTCCTCCAACTTCTCTCAAGAACAAACAACATGTCGGAGTCATTCCCCGACTTCGAAGACGTGGACGACAACGACGACTACGACGCCGAGCAGTACTTCGATAGCAGCGCCGATGATGACCTTGGAGTCGAGACACTGGACAGCATCTTCGCGGCCCCTCCTCAGAACCCTCAGTACGGTCTGAAGCGCGCAAGACCCAGTCCTCCTCCATCCGGACGCAAGCGTGCAAAGCCTGACAACCAAAGCACTTACAGATTCGGGCAAGTCAATTCGCGAGATATCCACAGAGCCTTTCCCTGACGACAATCAGTATTGAGCTCGTCATTCTGCTGGCCAAGGGCAATCCAGTGGCCCATGTCTCCAAGATCGAGTTCGAAACCGTAGCAAAGCCTACCGGCGTCCTGTACAACGAGGTCGAACTCTGCAAGGGCGCCCAATTCAGACAGTACAACTACGATGTCGACGCCTCTGTCCTTCACTTCCTGGCCCACTGGATCTGTTACCGCAGCCCGAGCATCGCTATCAAGTATGCTTTTGGCGACAAGGTCTCAAATGACAACGACAACGCTCACGACGACGACTCGCTCGACGAAAACCAGCGTCTCTTCCTTGTCGAACTCATCAACTTCTTCGCCAACGAGGATGCGTTCCAGCCCGTCATCAAGGACTCCCTGGTCTCTTGTTTCGCCAAATGTCTCAAAGCCCAGGACCGGAAGGGAAAGATCGTACTGGCCGAGGTCCTCAAGAATGCTTGTGCAGACAACGTCTTCAAGCACATTGCCACTGACATCTTTGTCGCTCTTTCGACCTGAGAGCCTTTGGGGAATGGAAGAAAACCTGTTTGCGGCTTCGCTGGAAAGAAAGAAGTCTGAAAGCATCCTGACGTTTGGTACACCTTGAACGTTCGTACGCAGTCATTGACAATTGAACTTACTCTGCCTCTCTCTCATCTTCTTCTCTCTTACCATCGATCGACCTTCCTTCTCGTACACATCACGAAGAACTATAATTTTTGAAACCGTTAGTCTCTCCAGTGAGGTCGGCTGCATACTGTGTCTTCATGCAGCACAACTCTGATTCGCAATCAGATGTTGCATGAGTGTTTGTGACCTTTGAGATTGCTCGTCGTGAGTCAATCTTTGGGCACTGGGCTATCTATCAAAAGCTTCTCGCATTTCTCAAAGGAGTTTTGTATAGTGTAGTGAGGACATCAGACGAACGGAGAGCAAGCTTGCAGCATATTCTGTCTTTCCAACCCATGGAGCAGCTTGGTAATTTTGTGGTGTCAAGAGCCGTAGACATCAGAATGCATGGAAAGTTTCGAGTTTGTGGCGTTTTTTGATGAGAGAGGTATTGGCGGCGGCTCTGGAGTCTCAACCAACCTTCCCAAGGTCCGAATATATCTGTGACAGTAGCTCCACGGATGCGCTTGCCGTTTGGGACCGCATTGAGGCTGTTCTGTAATATCTGGTGCTTGTCGCCCAGCTTCGGGCCCTCGGCGTCGCTCTTTCCTCCATTTCTTGACTCATCTTTCTACTTCGATACACCCACACCTTCTCAATCGATCCTGCCTCGAGATCACTTGTCGGATTCAGGTTGAGACTTTCTGTCTTGCGGGGAGATTACTCGAGATTGAGATCAGAGGATCAGGGATAGACTTTGGCAACCAAGCACCTTTCCAACGCAACGCGTAAATACTTTGAAGGTCAGCAGAATCGAAGAGACATGATGCCTTGCTTCTTTCTCAACGAATCAAACCTACCATCACCACATGCCCCTACTGACGACGCTTTGTTTCCTGTGCTTGGCCAGCCTCGTGAGATATAGTGGTAACGAACTCAAAATGAACTCATGAGCCGTAACTCAACCACGGGTCGCACAGAATGGAAACATCACACCACGGGTCCGGACCATCACTAGGTCAATCATAAAACGTCCGTTCAATCTGTTTCCGACCCTCTTCTTTGTCTCAAGCCTGGACTTCTACCTAACCTGTCGAATCACTCGACCATCAACCACCCAGTATGATCATACCGAACACAGCTAGCCTCCTGTTGGCTCCCATGGTCTTCTTTACCGCTGTCTCAGCCCTTGCAATTTCTTCCACTCGAACACCCCATCCTCAAATCTACAGCAAGAAACTTCACAGCGCGAGAATCTATGAAGCTCTCACCACAAAGAAGAACTTGCGTACCCTCACCAAAACCGTAGATGCCGCTGCCACGCCGGGACTTGCTGAGGGTCACCCTGATTGGGCACATCACGCGCTTGTCCTTGATGCCTTCGCCACCAAAAAGCCCTGGAATACCATGACCATTGAACAAGACGAGGTCGTCTTTGTCACCACTACCAGGAAAGCGGCCCCAGCTGCAGTCGAGACTGGAAATGTAGATTTGGCTGCTGTAGTTCCTCCCGGAACCTCTTACGTCAAGTTCAATACTGCTGATGCTCATTCTACTCCATCACTCCACGCCCGCGACCAAGCTTCAACCGTTACCCACGCGACCGAAAACGAGGTCAAGACAATCAAAATCAAACACACTACTACCACTCCTGTGCACTCAACGGAAATCAAGACACTCAACATTAAACACACTACTACCACTCCTGTGCACTCAACGGAAATCAAGACACTCAAAATCATGCACACCACGACTACGCCTATTCACTCGACGGTTATTGAGACCAATATGCTCATGCACACGAAGACTACTGTTGTCCATGAGACTAAGATGAAGACAAAGACCGTCGGTGCAAAGAGAGAGATTGCAGAAACTCAACCCGCACAATCTATTGAATGGCAAGCTACATGGTCAGAACTGGTTGGCCTTGCTTCTGCTCCTTCTGCCGACATCCACGCCAGAGATGCAGAACATGATAATGGCGGCGATCCAGAGTTTGTGGTGGAGATCGTTGTGCCAGATGTTGTGTCAGATGTTGTGGTGAAGGTCGGCGCCGTTACTTCCGCCACATCTTCTGCAATGGCTTCCTCGTCTACCGACGGCTTACTCTACTGGAGATATAATTGTGGGATCACGGGTTGTATTCCCCCACTCGCGGCTCTCTCTGATGCTACCGCATTTTCCAAATACATCCCTACTGGTATTGATCTCGTTCACACCCCGCTTCCAACCGTGGCTTGAGGGTTGAAGACTAGGAAGAGTGCGTGAAGAAGAAATCTGATTGTTCAAGATTTGATCGATGGTAGACTCATCGTGTCAAAGAAGGGAAAAGAAGGAAAAAAAGAAAAGAATGTGGGGTGCTCATGTAGTCGTGGTGGTTTGAGCAGACGAGCTTGAAAATATGAGAACTCCCTACCCCTGATCCAAGCTATGTCGTGTCCCATGTGTCCTGTGGCCTACACAACAAGCATGTCAAAATGCACAGTGTTTTTCGAGATTGAGTGAATTTCCAAAGAGCTCCGTCTTCCATCATAGACGGGTCTTGTTGTGCGATGATGTCGCGAGCGTTCATCGATGGAATGTTTAGAAGTGGGCTGTACGTCCAGTCCAGATCGCGAGAAGCGATTGTAACAAGAGCCAAGATCTAATCTTGTCATGCCAATGAATGCAACAAACAACGTGTCCAGTCTATGGACTGGGCATTCGTAAAACAAGAAAAGTAGCGAGATGGAGACAGGGTGTTGTCCTACAAATACCAAGCAGCTAACCGAGATCGGCAGTCGAAAGTGTGGGGAAGCAGATGCGGCTCGGCCACGATTAGCACCTATGACGTACATGTTCCTGGCAATCATTGTGATGGGAAGTTGCTTTTGGTTTCTGACACATCCACCCGCGTCCCTGCCGCAGAGCTCGTGTGCCTTGATAACGATCCATGTCTGCAGCCTGATTGACCTGTGATCCTGCTTCTCTTCCCCTCTTTACCAGTTTTCCGGGATTACGATCTGGAGTAACACATCATGTCTGGTATCAAGGAGAACTTTGTGATTCCGTTTACGGGAGCTTTGCAGGCTTCTTTGGCAGTGCTGCTGACAATCTTCTACGGTGTCATTGCTGCTCAATTCGATCTGTTGAATGAGAAGTCGGCGAAGGATATCTCCAAAGCTTGTGTCAGGTTATTCTTACCTGCTTTGTTGATTGTTAATGTCGGACAGCAACTGAGTCTTGAATCGGTGAGTGTCAAAGAGGTGAGAGAAGAGGAGACAAGATAGCTAATGAGTTGGCAGGGAACCAAGTATCTAGCTGTCCTGATCTGGGCTATTGTCTACAATGTGCTTAGCATGGTTTTTGGACTCGCTGTGTAAGTGTTTCAGCAAAAGCTGTTTACCATTCTCGAACTCTGTTGTGAAAAGAGTTTCCGCGGAAGTTCGGTGACAGGTCTTGAGCCTCATCTTGGTTCCTTACAGTACTTCTATACGACACATGCTGATGACTTGTCAAACAGGACCAAGTTCTTGAATTTGCCTCAATGGGTCACTCCGGCACTGGCCTTCAACAACACAACCTCGCTGCCTCTCCTTCTTGTCCAGTCCTTACAGTCAACCGGCATCCTCGACTCCCTCGATGCATCCAGCGACGCCGTCGACCGTGCCAAATCATACTTCCTCGTCAATGCCATGGTCTCAAACTCCTTGACCTTCGCCCTCGGCCCTCGCCTTCTCAACGGACAAGAAGAAGATTCTCCAGATGAAGAACCAGAAAAAGACGAACAAGATGAGGAGCAAGCCGAACGTGCTTCCATTCACGAACATCAAGAGGAAAACGAAGAAACCTCTCTCCTCCCCAATCGTGCCGTTCGTCCCGCTGTCAAGGGCATTTACAAGACGCACAAGAAACTCGCAAACTTTTACGCTTCACTCTCACCTCGCACTCAAGCTACCTTGGACTTCCTATACCAGTTCTGCAACCCACCTCTGATCGGCGCAGTACTTGGTGGTATCGTGGGCTTGGTTCCCGCTCTACACACCCTCTTCTTCTCCTCTCCAAACGAAGGCGGCTACCTCAACGCCTGGCTCACCTCCTCCATCAAAAACATCGGCGACCTCTTCGCCTCCCTCCAAGTCGTCGTCGTCGGCGTCAAACTCTCCCAAGCCATGCTCCGCTACAAAAAAGGCGAACAATCCGGCTCCGTACCCTGGACCCCATTCACCATAATCACCATTGTCAGATTCATCATCTGGCCACTCATCTCCATCCCTCTGATTTGGATCTTGGCGTCCAAGACCTCTGTGCTTTCTGATGATCCTATTTTGTGGTTTGCTATGATGTTGATGCCGACGGGACCGCCGGCTATGAAGTTGACAGCATTGGCCGATGTCAGTGGGGCGGGCGATGAGGAGAAAATGAGTATTGCTAAGTTTTTGACCATTTCTTATGCTATTTCTCCTCTGATTTGTTTTTCGGTGGTGGGGAGTTTGAAGGCTAGTCAGGCTATCGCTAGCAGGTAGATGGAAGATGTGTCCTTTTGGGGCGGAAATTGTAGATTGCAGTATCATTATTATCAAATCCACATGCTGTTTGTTCCATGTTGTGTTGAGTGTTGTTTCTTCAAAAGCTTATGCTCTTCTTGTTCGCTACCTAGAGTATGCTTTGCTCCTGGTATTACCAAAGATAAGCACGCAGTATCACACTCAGTGGACAACCATTCCAAAATCGAAATGCATCTTGCCCCTTTTACAACCAAGTTTTCGAAGACCTGCTCAATCGTATAAAGAGCAAGAAACCCCATTAAAGCTCAATAAGAAATAGGAAAAACATCCCAGCCACTTCTCTTGAGTATTAGAAAGGTCTGGGTTTTGGTAAGAATGTGATATCCCTATTTTTGCCATCTGGAGTGGAGGATTGTACGGATTATCACTTATAACCGAAGAAGGATGTATGATAGTTTGCAAAGGGCATCTGGAGTAGAGGATCGCAAGGGGATTTAATTTGGACTGGCCGCTTGTAAAAGAAAGGTCTTTTGGATAATAGGGTAGAGGATTTGTAGAAAGCACTTACTCGATACCTTTTTCCTATACCTTCTTGCTAACATCAATTTCTTGCTACATTTGTTTCTTGCCCGATAAAACTCCCCCTTTTCGCATATACAAAACATATCATGCATGCTACAATATACCCTTTTCAGTTATTTTCCCACAAGTGTTCAGCTACCTAGCTTAAAGCAATATAGGATATTTCTGGGTTTAGAGGTGTAGATGTCTATAGAGAGGAAAGGAAAGAGAGAAAGCTAGTTTTAGATGAGCCTCTATTCTATTTTACATCCATCATTCGTACATCTTTAATATTCATGCGTAATAAGATCTTTGTAGATAAAAAGCAGGAAGTTAGAGGCAGGAAGTAGGAAGCCAAAAGATTAAAAAGATTAGAAAGAGAGAGAGAATGGAGTTAAATTTAAGTTACGGCATTCCAAACATTCTAAACATTCCTCTCGCATTTAGTATTCTTCGTGACTTTTAATGGTATCAAAAAGAAAAATCCTTACATCTGTCATCCGACTTATCCCTTGCCATCCCTTCTTCCCAATTTTCCTCTACCCTATTCTCCATACCAACCTCCAATTCCTGCATACCAATCCCCAATCTCTAATCACCAATTCCTCTCCAATCCCTTCCTCTTCCCAATTTCCAACTTATTACACAGCAGCAGGTGCAGCAGCCCCAGCAGCCCCAGCAACAACCTTACTCTTCCTCCTAGCAGCCCACTCCCTACTAGCCAATCTCCCCTTTTCCGCCGCCTCAACTCTAGCCTTCTTGGCCGCATCCTCTTTATCCTTTTTCTCTTTGTCTTCTTTTTCCTTCTTCTCTGCCGCTCGGCTGAATACCTCTTTACCTTTACTGACAAACGGTGCTGCGGTGCTCTGTCGTTTTTGGAAAGAAGTTGATGCGCGAGGGGGAAGAGTCGTTGTCGAAGATGTAGAATCGGAGGGTTGAAAGGACGATTGGCGTTTAGCTGCTGTGGAAGTGGGTTCGCGGACGCTGGTCGCGCGTTTCAATCCACCTGTGTTGGTGTCGTTGGATGGCAATCTAGCTCTACTGGCAGCGGTCTGTCTAACCAATGCCGGCTCCTTGAGCTTCGGCGCAGGTCTGGCTTTAAACCCCTGTTTCCTCTGTGCTGCCACTTTTTCCTCTTCTTCTTGTGCTCTTTTTGCACGTTCTTCCTTTTGTGCTTTCATCTTTGCGGCGAATGCGTCAGAGGAAAGCTGGAATGTGGCTTTTGTGACGGGTTTCGTCGATTTTTGCGTCACGGGAGGAACGAATGTCGATTTCTTCGCGGGACCTTCGGATTCGAGTCGTTTTTGACGTTCTTCCTTGTCTGCTTTCAGTTTCGCGGCTATGGCTTCACCGGGGAGTTGGAAGGTTGGGCGGGTAGGTGCTTTGGTGGACTTTGGTGGAGGTGGAGGCTTGTAAGTGGTCTTTGCTGCAGTACCCTCGGCTTGTCGTTTCAGTCGTTCTTCCTTCTCGGCCTTGAGGCGAGCGGCTACGGCTTCACCGCCGAGTTGGAAGGTGGCTTGTGTGGGTGCCTTGGAAGACTTGGGAGGGGGTGGAGGAGTGGGGAAGGACATGGACATAGGGCGAGGTTTGGAATGAGGGATCGGTGCGGGTGGACCTCTCTCGGCGGACTGAGAGGATCCTGCTCGGGGGGCTATGCTGGGTCTGACCGAGGAGCGCTTGACTGAAGTTGTACGCTTGATGGCTGTGTTGATTGAGGGTTCGGGACGAGGAGCCATTGATTTGCGGACCACAGAGGATTGGCGAGTGACTGTTGATTGGCGAACTGAAGGCTTACGTGCGAGCTTTGTCGTGTCAGACTGGGAGGTTTGAGGAGCTACCTTCTTTGCTACGGGTGAAGTGGTGGTGGCCTGCTTGTCTTTGGGTTGAAGCTTTTGACCGACATTGGGCTTCTTTTCGGCGTTAGGTGCCTCCTTCTTGATATCTTTGGGGGCTTCCTGCTGTGCTTGATCGGTAGCTCCGTTGGTCTTGATGGTCTCTTCGGCCTTATGTGGTTGCTCAGGAACTGACTGCTCGGCACCGGACTGAGTCCCAGACTCAGCTTCCGGATCCACAAACTTCTGAGCCTTCTTGGGCGAGACGTGAAGAGCCTCGAAATGGCCAATTAAGCTGTCATCTTGTGCCTCATATGTCTGTGTGCTCTCTGGCTCGGCGTTTGTTGTCTCTTGATGGTTGTGATTCTCCATCTCATTGCCGTTCTCGTGTCCATCCTGTGGTTGATGACTGTGCTGTGCGTCGGTGGCTGTCTGTGGTTGGTCTTGCTCAGAACCCAGATACTCAACATGTGTCTGCAGTCTATCCACAGGACCGGCAACCACAGGCGGGTCTGGCACCATGTTCTCCTTGTTGGACGTCGATCTCATGTGTGCGAATTCGTTCTTCATAACCTTCTTGGCTGGTGTGCGTTGAGGGGTGATGTTCAGGAGTGGTAGCTCGGTGGTGGGCGATCCGGCGTCGAGATTCGTAACAGGAAGCTTCAAGGAGTCGTCCTGGTGGATTGGAATGTGGTTTGGCTTCTCTGGTGAAGCTGAGGCTGCAGGTGTAGAAGTGGATGCTGCGTCGATGTTAGTGATGCGGTTGAAGTGGTGGCTGAGAGTCGCGTACCTTTTTCCCCCTTTGCGCCAGCCTCCTCGTCTTCAATTTCGTCCACATCCTTCTCCACTTCGTCATGTCCGAGATCTCTCGACTCTGCTATCTCATCCGTGATGTCTCGTTCCTCGTCTTGGACAGTCGATTGATCCGCCTCACCATCAAGGTTTGGAGTCAACTCGCCCAAGACTTCACGCCCCTTGGCCGGAAGCTCGTCGGTCGGTGTCGTAGATGCATTGCGATCGTTGTTGTTGTCGTTATCGTCAGCATCAGCAGCTGCTGCCATGGCGGCTGCCTGGGCTCTGGTCATTCGCATCTCGATTGATGAAGCTGTTGTATCAATGTTGGGAAGGTGAACGTCGCGCGCGCTTGGGGGAGAGGATGGAACAAGACGATTGGCCGCCTGTGTTGAGGTTGTACAAAGGAGAGGGCCTGTTTCAGAATGCGACAAAGCTGTTTCCGTGCCGCAACTCGCTATGTTTTGTTGATGTTTCCCCGCACCCCACGCCCTTCACCAAAATGATCAACATGTGATAGACAAAAATGACTCGTGGGTTGGAAGTCTTGGACCTTTTCCAGCATACTCTTTGCAATGTCTTGTGATTTGAGAAGACTAGACCAAAGGCTATCTCTATCTAGACCATCATGCTGCGTCTGCGTGCTCCGCTACGGTCTACTCGTGCTGATCTCGGTGCTTTTCGCACCGTCTCTTGCACTTCTGCCTCAGCCTTCTCCTCCGCTTCTTCCACTTCACTCTGCACGTCTGTACCAGTGCTGGTCCTTTGCCTACTCAGGTCGCTCTCGCTGCTGTCTGTAACCGAAGAGTGCCGCCTGCTTCCTCGCTTTTTGCTTTGCAGACTCTCCTCTACATCAGAAGAGTCCTTCAGCTCATATACTCCAATATCTTCGCTTGCTTCCTTTTCGTGATTTTTGGATCCTGCCATCAGAGCTGAAATCGTCCTGCTGGATGCCGATGACATTCTGCCGCTATCAAATGTTCGCTCGTGCTCTCTGTCCATTTTCTGTCCTAGAGGACTTGGTGCTTCTGAGCCCATATCTCGTGCCAATGATCCCGTCATGTCTGTGTTGATAATGACTGTTCTCATTGCTTTTTTCTCCGAAGCAGTCGTGCTACTGCTGATTCGTCGTCCATTGGCGTCTACTGCATTCGCCATGTTTGCTGATGGTCGGCGCATCTTGCTCACCAGGTTCGGTTCTGCATAGTTGACTGCTGCTCTGGCTCGTCGCGAAGGCCTACTAGCGCCATTCAGAGCAGCCGGTCCTGAGCTCATTGACTTCAATCCTGATGGAGGTGGCGTATCTCTTCCTTCGTCTCTTGCTGCTGAAGGTTCCGAGGGTGTGGGCGAGAAGAATTCCGGGAGTGGTGTTTTTGGCGCCATGTCCTCTGCATCCGATGCAGACTCCACGGGTAGTGCAATCTCAATAGTTCGCATAATCGTCTCCGGCTCGCTCGTTGAGATTGTGACAGATTTTGCCGAGGGGTTTCTCGACTTCCTGCGGTCCGTCGTTTTTGTAGCTGGTTTGAGTGGTGGATCGTCTTTCTTCAGATCTCCCTTTCCTTTTGTTGATCTGGAGAGTTTCCGAGGAGAAACATTGACACTCTTGTTACCTAAGACCTTGCGCTCAGGCAAAAGACTTGGAGTCTCGGTTTCTTCCAGAGTGCTTGTTGGTGTTGTAGTGGATTCGGTGATCCTAAAGTCGGCCGCGATAGAGGACCTCCTGCTGAACTTGAAATCGTCCTTCACAACACCATTCGCGCTCTCGTCCTCAACATCTCTCACGCTGAGCTTTCTCTTAGCACTCGTCCGTGTGAGTTGTGGTTGGTCGTCCTCATCCAGATCAAGTGGTAGGAGCGAGCTCCTGCGCATTTGCACTTTAGAGTCCTTGCGCTTCCTTCTTGTTTCGAGGTTGACAGATAAATTGCTTGGTAGTGATTCGTTATCAGAGGTAGGTTGTTCTTGTTGTTCGTGATCATGGGGCTGGTCGGCTTCGGCGGACAAGGCATCGAACTTTATAGGATCTTCATTATCGAAATGAACGACTGGAGGCGGACCGATGTCAGGAGAGGCGTTGCTGTGATCGGATAGGCGTGTTATATTGGCGCGACCGGTCCTGCTATTGTCAGCTCCCTGGAGAAAAGCTTGAGGAGAGGAGTAAACATGCTGCAGAGAGCCACCAGGAGAGCACATCTCCTCGGCGATGCCATCCATTCTCGGGGCCTGGCCAGACAGAATAGCGACAGGGACGTCAGGACGCCATGACGAGGGATCGGAAAATTTGGGTTGCTGAGCAGAGGGGTGGCTGTTTTGGATCTGGCCAAGTTCCGAGACGAGGGCTCCAAACTCGAGTAGCTTCGCCTGGAGCTGGTCCTTGACAGACACGAGAGCGGTGTTGTCGATTTGCGTGCGAGGTTCCGAGAGCTGTGCTTGGAGGTGGACAATGTCTTCACGAAGGTCGAGGTTCTCGGCGAGAAGACGCGAGACTTCGCATTCGAGAGCGCGGATACGCAAACATTGCGCCGAGTTGTTTCTGAGGGAGAAAGAGTCAGAATGGCACACCCGAGGAAGGTCCAAGTCATGGGCGCATACTTAGCGAGCTCACGGTTCTGGCGTACGAAGCGGCGCTTTACTGCTGCATGTTAGGGAGATGATCAGCAGGGTTAATTGAGAGAAACGTACGAGCATCAACGCTCTCTGTTGGCAGAGGGGCCTCGTTGAGTCTGGCCATGAGGCGGACGACGGATTAAATGGGTTGCGGTGTCCGGTAGAGATGTTTCTTAGATGGCTTGACAGTCGAAAATGACGATTTCTGTGTTTGTTTCGAATGTACACAGGCAGCCGTTGCCGTGAGCAACTGCCAAGCAACCCCACAATCCGGGCATCAGGTCGGCCGAGAGGCGTCAATTCATGAACAGCAACCTTGACTTCTTTCTATTGTTCACAAACCTCCTTCGTCCCGCAATCATGTATCGCCCTACGAGTAACCTGCCGTCGCATATGCGCCAATCTTCGCTATCAACATCCAATTCGCAAACATCAGCCCTCCAGCAACGCATCAACGAGAAACGCGCCGAACTGGAGAACCTTAAACAACTACGGGAACTTAGTGCTGGCCTTGCTGGTCAGATGGAACAGCTAGAGGAGAAATTGTCCACCCTTTCGGATGGTACTCAGGGTGTGTTTCTTCAGAACCGCCTCACCAACTACCAATGCTGACTCTTGCAGCCATTGCGACCGTTCTTTCCAACTGGCACACGGTGCTCAGAGCCATTCACATGGCATCCGGTATGAAATGCTGCCCTCCCCTGCGTTCTCTGCATATGCTGATACTGATCCTTTTCCCAGCACACATTGCAAAGCCTGCCCAAGAAAGCGAATCTGAAGCCGAAGCTCAACTCCCTCTGCCCCAAACGCTTGTCAGAATCCCAATGCAGCACGTCGACCAGTCCGAACCTGCCCAATCCGAGAACGGCGACGACTCAACCGTCAAATGAGAAGAGAAGACATAATTTTCTCATCTATACTTACGACGCCTTACATGCGACCTGGCAAGACGATCGCATAGCTTCCCGCACCGAACACAAAGGACCTGCCTAGAGTCTTCGACAAAGATGACTTTGTCCCCAAATAATCGGAACACTGATGACTGCGGCCAAGCTCGAACCAATACACGAGAGTGGATATGGATGAAAGGAATAACTCTGCTCCCTTCATGTTTCATTCCTTCTTGGGGGTCTTTTTCTTGGGAATTCTCTCATAGGCATTCGGGCTGGGCTTTCGCGCCTTTTGCTTGCCTTTGCCAGAAGTGTGCGAGTGTGAAGGGTCTGCGTGGTCGTGATCGCAGTCGCCCTCAGGGTGATGGTGCTGGTTGCGACGGCGGTTGGCAGGTTGAGCTCTGCTGGTGTCGGGTTCGCTGTCCGAGTCCGAGGAAGACGACGAGGATTCTTCGTCAGAAGATTCACCAGCCTCACGTGGCTTGTGGTAGATGCAGCATACTTTTGGAGCGTGTTAGTTAAGAGACACCTTGTCAGCATGAATAGAAAGTCGCATACCTTTTGAGCTCTTCTTGCCCATGCCTTCATTATCAATCACATCCTCAGCCCATTGAATGCGACGGCGCTCTGAAGGTTCGGCCTCGGCCTCGGCCCTGAGACGGAGAGTGGTAGGCCCCGCTTGCGAGGCGGTGAGGGTCAAGCTGCCGCGGGTTTGCGACGACAGGTTGGATTGGTGGGACGACATGATTCTGGATGCACGATCAAGGCGGCGACATGGATGATTAATGGTGTTGTTGGCTCGTAGCAAGCGTCTCAGAAAGCAAGCGAGTTGAATGTTTAGGTGAATAAGCAGAGAGGCTTTGGCTGTGACGTGCAGGGCGAACACAATGGAAGGCCGGAAAGAGCATCCCCAGAGAGTTTAGCCGCTGCTTTGTCAGGACTAGCATGGATTTTCTAGAAACAAGAGGCAAGAGCAAACAAGCGCCAAGGCCAAGCCAGCCGCAGTTGAGCAGAGCGTTAGGCAAGCCAGAGGCACAAGGCAGTTGAAGCATCGAAAGCTCTCGTCCGTCCTGCAACTCGTCTCCAGCAGACTCTGTCAATCCCACTCGCACCAACAAACACAACCCGACTGTACAGCTGTGCGCTTACTCAACCTTCCTCTCCAACACACCCAACCCCGACTCTCCCCTCAGACGCGTCTTCTGCCTCCGACCAGAGCGTCTTCTCTTCACACGCGCCGCCCCACCTTGTCCGTCCTTCATCAAAGCCAGCATCAACCAACTCTCCGAGCAAACGCATGCTAGAGTAGACAATCAGTCCTTCTCTCCAGGCAACGCGCCATAACTTTCACCAACTACACTCACCGCCCTTCCCTATCGAACACCACACCCCGCTATGGCATCTTCAATACAGGAGCTGGACGCCACTGTCCAGGCCTTCTACAGCAGCGGTCCAGGCGAGCAGGTACGCTTCATTCTCTCCCCTGTATAGCAGCAGGCATGCTTACAAACTTCTCAACAGCAAAAACAGGCTCAAGCTACACTGAACCAGGTAAGTCGCAAGCTCTGAAACAGCTTCAGTCCTCTATCCCGCCGACCCGTGCTAACCACCTCTTGCAGTTCAAGGAGAACCCCGACGCATGGCTCATGGTTGACAAGATTCTCCAAGATGCCCAATACCCTCAGACCAAGTGTATGCCGTCTCCTCCTCTCTTTCACCATCCGCCGCCTTTTGCTAACCTCTACTTCAACAGTCCTCGGCCTCCAAGTCCTTGACAATGTGATCATGACGCGGTGGAAGGTGTTGCCTCGCGAGCAGTGTCAGGGTATCCGTAACTTCGTCGTCCAGTTCATCATCCAAATGTCGAGCTCGGACGAGAGCTTGCGCAAGGAAAGAGCTCTGATCAACAAGCTCAACCTGGTCCTCGTCTCCATCCTCAAGCAGGAGTGGCCTCACAACTGGCCCACCTTCATCAACGAGATCATCTCATCCTGTCACAGCAGTCTACCCATTTGTGAAAACAACATGGCCATTCTGCGTCTTCTGTCCGAAGAAGTTTTCGACTTTTCCGCCGAGCAAATGACTTCGACCAAGACCCGCCAACTCAAGCAGAGCATGTGTGACGAGTTCACCTCCATCTACAACCTGTGTAGCGAGATTCTCCGCACTGCCACACAACCCTCGCTGATCAAGGCCACTCTTGAGACCCTGCTGCGCTTCCTCAACTGGATCCCTCTTGGCTTCATCTTCGAGACACCACCTACTGGTATCAGCTTGCTCGAGACTCTTCGCAGTCGCTTCCTTGAGGTTCCTGAGTTCCGCAACGTCACTCTCAAGTGCTTGACAGAAGTCGGTGGTCTTCAGACTGAGCAGCAGTACAACGAGAAGCTCATTGCCATGTTCACCGACACCATGACAACCATCTCTACTGTCATCCCCCTCTCGCTCGACCTCAAGGCAACTTACGCTTCCAGCAACAGCCGCGATCAAGAATTCGTCCAGAACCTTGCTCTCTTCCTCACAAACTTCTTCTCTAACCACCTTAGCATTATTGAGAACCTCCCCAATCCCGACTTCCTGGTCCATGGTCACTTCTACCTCATCCGCATCAGCCAAATCGACGACCGTGAAATCTTCAAGATTTGTCTCGAATATTGGACCAAGCTAGTGTGCGATCTCTACGATGAGATGCAGCAACTCCCCATCACCGACCTCAACCCTCTTGTCAACATGAACACCATGAGTGGTCTCTCAAATGGTGGCGCTGCTCACCCGTCACAAATGGCTGGCTACCCGCTTCGTAAGAACAAATATGGTGAAGTCTTAACCAACTTGCGCCAGGTCATGATTGAGAAGATGGTTCGTCCTGAAGAAGTCTTGATTGTTGAGAACGATGAGGGTGAGATTGTGCGTGAATTCGTCAAGGAGAGCGACACCATTCAGCTCTACAAGACCACCAGAGAGTGCTTGGTTTTCCTGACTCACCTGGATGTTGTTGACACCGAGACTATCATGTCCGACAAGCTCTCCAAGCAGGTCGACGGCTCTGAGTGGTCATGGGCCAACTGCAACACTCTCTGCTGGGCCATCGGCTCCATCTCCGGTGCCATGAACGAAGAGACCGAGAAGCGCTTCCTGGTTACCGTCATTAAGGATCTTCTCGGCCTGACCGAGCAGAAGCGTGGCAAGGACAACAAGGCTGTGGTCGCCTCCAACATCATGTACATTGTCGGCCAATACCCTCGTTTCCTCAAGGCTCACTGGAAGTTCCTCAAGACTGTTGTCAACAAGTTGTTCGAGTTCATGCACGAAACCCATGAGGGTGTTCAGGATATGGCTTGCGATACGTTCATCAAGATTGCCAACAAGTGCAAGCGTCACTTCGTCTTGACTCAACCCGGCGAGTCGGAACCTTTCATCGACGAGATTGTGCGTAACATGCGCAAGATCACCTGTGATTTGTCCCCTCAGCAGGTACACACTTTCTACGAGGCTTGCGGTTACATGATCAGTGCTCAGGGCCAGAAGACCTTGCAAGAACGATTGATTGGCGACCTCATGGGTCTTCCCAACCAGGCCTGGGACGCCATTATTCAGTCCGCTCACCAAGATCCCAACATCCTCCAAGACTCCGAGACTATCAAGGTCGTCGGCAACATCATGAAGACCAACGTTTCTGCTTGCTCTTCGGTTGGAAGCTACTTCTACCCTCAGATCGGCAAGATCTACCTCGACATGCTTACCATGTACCGCGCCAGCAGTCAGCTCATTGACGAGGCTGTGCAGAGAGATGGTAAGTTCTTCCCTTTATCCTTGTCAAATCATGGCTAACAATCGCAGGTAACATCGCCACCAAGATGCCCAAGGTCCGCGGTCTCAGGACCATCAAGAAGGAGATCCTCAAGTTGATCAGCACCTACGTTGACAAGGCTGACGACCTCGAAATGGTTCACGAGCGTCTTGTGCCTGACTTGTTGCAAGCCGTCCTCCTCGACTACCAGAACAACGTCCCTGATGCACGAGAGGCCGAGGTCCTGAACGTTATGACTACCATCATCAAGAAGCTTCAAGTACGTTGGACCCCTAATCGTAGCAGATACTCGGTTGGCTTGATCGCCATCCTGCCTTTCACGCATCATGCTAACATATCAACAGGGCCTGATGACCAAGGATGTTCCCGGCATTCTCGGTGCCGTTTTCGAGTGCACTCTCGACATGATCAACAAGGACTTCTCCGAATACCCCGAGCATCGTGTCGAGTTCTTCAAGCTTCTCCGCGAGATCAATCTGCGCTGTTTCCCCGCCCTTCTCCAGCTCGATCAACGCCAATTCAAGTTTGTCATTGACTCTTGCATGTGGGCCAGCAAGCACGACAACCGCTTAGTTGAGGGTGAAGGTTTGAACATGTGCCACGAGCTTGTCAGCAACATGTCAGAAACGGATGCCGAGATTAGCGGTCCCTTCTTCCAGAACTTCTACACCACCATCCTCCAGGACGTCTTCTTCGTCCTGACCGATTCGGACCACAAGGCCGGATTCAAGTACCAGTCAGTACTCCTGGCTCAGATGTTCTACTTCGTTGGTTCTGGCAAGTTGAACAACTCGCCCATCTACACTTCCGACATGGCACCTGCCGGCACATCGAACAAGGAGTTCTTACAAAACTTTGTTGGCAACCTCCTCGTCAACGCCTTCCCCAACCTCACTCCTGCACAGATCCAGAAGTTCATCTCCGACTTATTCGACCAAGCCAACGACATCAACCGCTTCAAGCTCACCCTTCGTGACTTCTTGATCCAGTTGAAGGAGTTCGCAGGAGACAACGCCGAGTTGTTCATCGAGGATCGTGAGAACGCTGCCAAGGAGGCCAAGGTTCAGGAAAGAGAGCGTGCCATGAAGGTTGGCGGTCTTCTCAAGCCCAGTGAGATCGATGATGACGAGCTTTGACTTGACCACGAGTTAGGCACCAGAACAGCTCATGATCCAAGAGACATTGACGTATCCGCAAAACCCAATGTGGTTGGAGATGATGGTTTGGACGGTTGGCAAGTCTACGGCCTGTAGAGCTCCACGCCGCCGCCCTGCCAACTCCACGGACGACACCTCTTTGGGCATCAGAACAAGAAAAATAATGGAAAGAAAAAGGGTACAACCTAGGGAAAAATCTGACACTTTGTGCGATAGCCTGAAAGCAAACAGCAGCGCACTGGCGCATAGGGGGGTTATGCTGAGGACACAGCTGGGCCATAGCGAGCAATGAAACTCGCCATCTTGTTGTATACACAAGACAATGGCGACCGGGCAGGAGTCGGGAATCTTTACAATTGCGTTCTTCCGTTTTTTCTCGTCTTTTCTACTCGCTCTCCTCTCTGATACAAACCAGATGGCTGTCCTACTGTTTAGTTTTCTCACGGTCTACTTTTTCAGCGGGTAAAGCATTAGATATCCTCCTTTTCAAAAATCAAACATTGTGGATTTTCTCTCATGATTTTCAACATGAGCTTTCTCTCTCCAGTGAAACAAACCTTCATGCTCTCACTGGACAATCTTTTCGATTCAAATAACTTCTTGTATTACATCAATACACTAACACCCAGGCACACATGAAGCGCAATCAAACCTTGTTTCTTCAACAAACATGGTATATATTAATGACCCAAGAAGATTCCAAGATCCAAGACTTCTTAAGCCCCCACTTTTGGGGTCGTTGCGGAGGTTGGCAGGGCCCCGCACCGCTTCGCCCGCTCTCCGCAAATTTGTCGATGCAAGCATGATCAATATATCTTCGGTCTTGTTTTTACTGGGCAGATGGTTTTGAGCATCGTCATGGGCTTGTTGAGGTAGTGTCATTTCGCTGGATAGTGGTGACATTCTGCGACTGACATGGCAGAAGATGATACTCATCTGGAGAGATGGCGACAGGGAGAGGATAGGTGCTGTCGTGCTCTCAGGAAACGGCACTGCGGCAAGAAGTGCGTTTATACTTTTCGGCATGTCTTGTTGTTCACGAACCGTTTCATGACCCGGGTGGAGGAAGTCGGTCGGCACCAGTCAGGACCTCGGGAACCCGTGTTTCTTACTGACACTGCCTTCTTTTGCCCTCAGTCCCCACCACCAAAAACATACAAGACTCGACGCGCAGAGATCACGTAACGGTAAATGCTTCATGGGGTCGTGACGGGGTGGCACAGTGGTAGTCCGTACTTAGGCTATACCAAGCGATGCGACTGTGGTAACATGATCCACTTGGACCGCATTTGAAGGTAGCTTGCGATCTGTATAAAGGTGAGCACTTGCCGTGTCATGTAGGTGTACCCCTCATCTCCTACTCCTCCTTCATCTCCTCCCAAACATGCGTTCGTCAATCTTTGCTGGGTTGGTTGGTGTGTCTGCCGTCGGTGCTGTTAAGCCCTTGGTGGATGTGAGCTACTCGAAATACCAAGGTGTCTCGCTCGAGAATGGCATCACTCAATGGTTGGGTGTACGATTTGCTGCTCCTCCTGTTGGTAACTTGAGATTCGCGGCGCCTCAGGATCCCGTCAAGAACAAGACTACGATTGTCGCTAATACTGTGAGTACTGTACCTGGTTGTTGTGAAAGTCTTCGCTGACGACCGAATGCACAGTTCGGAAATACTTGTCTGGGAACTGGCTCCGCTGCCAGCAATACTTCATCCGAGGATTGTCTTTTTATGAACATCTACGCTCCATCGAACGCCACAACAGGTCATCCATTGCCTGTATACTTCTTCATTCAGGGTGGAGGATTCAACACAAACTCGAACCCCAACTACAACGGTACCGGCTTGATCGAGGCCAGCAACCACAACATCGTCGTAGTGAATTTCAACTACCGTGTCGGCCCTTATGGTTTCCTTGCCTCGGAGGAGATCACCAAAGGAGGCAGCACTAACAATGGTCTCAAGGATCAGATCAAGGCTCTTCAATGGGTGCAAAAGAACATTCGCAAGTTTGGTGGTGATCCCGATCATGTTGTGCTCGGAGGAGCATCAGCAGGTGCTGCATCCATCACCCTTCTGCTCACTGCACACAACGGCCGCAACGACGGTCTCTTCCACGCCACAGCCGCCGAGTCTCAATCTTTCGCCGCCGTCCGCAGCATCAATGAATCTCAATTCATGTACGACAACCTGGTCATCCGTACCGGTTGCGTAGACTCCAAGGACACATTGGCCTGCCTTCGCGGCCTCAACGCAACATACCTCCAATCCAAAAACATCAACACTCCTTTCCCCGGCGCTCAGAACCCTCCCCTCTACATGTATGGACCTACCCTCGACAACGACGTCGTAAGCGACCTCACCATGTCCGCCTACCGCAAAGGCAACTTCATCAAACTCCCCGCCATCTACGGCGACGACACAAACGAAGGCACCGTCTTCGTCCCCGCAAACACCAGCAGCATCGGCGAAAGCAACACTTTCCTCAAAGACCAATTCCCTCTGCTCACAACTCCTCAACTCAAGCAAATCAACGCTTTGTATCCTAACAATGCATCCAATGTATTCCCTAACTCGGGCGCGTGGTGGAGACAAGCTTCTGATGCGTATGGCGAGCTCAGATACAATTGCCCTGGCATCAACGTCTCTGATATCTACGCTGCCACCTTTTCCCGCAAGGATATTTGGAATTACCACTGGGATGTCATTGATCCCGTCGCTGCAGCCGCCGGTCGCGGAGTCACCCACACCGTCGAAATCAACGCCATCTGGGGTCCTGAAAACACCAGAGGCAATGCACCTGTTTCTTACTCCACCACGAACGCGGCGATCGTGCCTGTCACCCAGGCATATTGGACTTCGTTTATCAGAAGTTTCGACCCGAATACTTATAGGTTGAAGGGAAGTCCGATGTGGGAGGCTTGGACGCAGGGGCAGAAGCAAAGATTGCATTTCGTCACCAATGCTACTGCCATGGAAAATGTGGATGCGGGCCAGAAGGCTAGGTGTGAATACCTCAGCAGTATTGCTTTGGATATCAAGCAGTAGATTTTTTTTTTCTCGACTTTTTCTTTTCTTCTTCGCTCTATAGGAGGATATGAATCAACAATGAGAATTAATTCTTGTACTTTTCCACTTCTTGGAGCATTTGAGATTATAAACGAACCTTGGGGCTCGATATTCCCCTCTATCCACTCACGGGTTATTGTCTTTGATTTGAATAAGCATTTGATATGATTGTGTTCGGGTAGTGCTCACATGCACTCGAATGTTGTGGTCGACCACACTGAGCAAATTCATGGAACCAAGGAATATCGGCTAAGCTATCATCACCATAGACGATGCCATTTGACCTTCCAGATAGAGTAAGCGAACTTTCTCATATCGACCACTAACCAAATCAAACCTATACTATCGTCGTTGGCGATTATGCGCATGCTCGATGGAGGGACCACCCTGTCCAAAACCTCTTCCAGTCAAATAACACAGCAGCATCTTTTGACCTTTTTCACCTTTGTTTCCCGAAATACCTGTTTGGGTATTTACAGTGGGATGACAGAACCCCTACGATATTAGTTCAAAGGGATCTTGGGTTAGCAAGGTAGTGAATTTGCAAGCTTTTTCCCTGATAAGACATTTGTATAAGAGATGCAAGTATCGGAGTTTCGCATACATGATGAACATGTGATTGATTTTGGCTTCGCACAACGACGAATATGTACAGATTGCTTACACCGAAATCCGAGGAAATCTGCTGGGATATGGATGGATCGGAGAATTTCCAAACAATGAACAGAAACACGCAAAAGGTACAAGGATCGATGGGGGAAGCAAGTGCGAGATGTCAATCAGAAGAGGAAACGACGGGTTACGCAGATGAATGACCAAAATTGGCATCACTGCTGCTTCTGCGTTGTTCTGGTTTGAATGTTATTGGTAAAAGTATTCTGTGTAATGGTGTAGCTAGAGAAAGAATCATCGGGGTTGAAACATTAAGGGTATGTGAAATTTTGACCTCGTTGGTTTGTGATCATCGCTCAACGCTTGTGCTGTCCTTCGGGAACGCAACAGGGGGATGCTAAAGAGGATATGAGTACATCTGATAGACAAAGTAGGCGCACGCCTTGTGCATACACCCCTGCTTGTGTGCCAAAGCTCGATCGCTGAGCACACGAATCCGGCTGCTTGCGACGTCAAGCGAACCTGGCGATCGAGGATGGTGTCCAGCTACGATCGCGAGGCTTTCTGTACTTCACTGTCCATTCTAGATTCTCGTCGAAGAAAACCCCGATGTTCGCGCGAAACGATATTGGAGTGTATGCATGTATATCGCTCCGGCGGAGTGTTCTCTTGAAGCGATGCCAGATATGGCTGGTTGCCTTGATTGGACAGCCAGCCTATCCAGCCACGTCGTTCGTGGACCTATTCGTCTTTCCATCCAGACCTACTGTTGGAGAAACATCGTTGTTCGTACGACTGCACATTTAATCTGAAGCCAGCGCCAACAGAGTCGGTCCAGAAGTGCCACACGATAAAGAGCCTCATATAGGTACTCGACTACTTGCGAAGCCACATCGGATCTCGACAATGCCAGCCTCTCGAAAGTTCGCAATGCCGTTGTGGAAACTCTCCTTCTCAAAACAGACAAATCCCCGAGCATCAGAAGAAAAGCCACAGATTGAATGTTGCCCTCGAGTCGTGATTCGTCGATGGCGACACTGGTTGTCGAGACCTTTTGTGGCTTGTTCAAAGGCCGTTATGCGACGGCAGACGGCGAGAGCGGCAAGCGTAGTGGGAAAAGGTGAGGAGAAGGTTGTCCTCGGAGACCCCCTTGGATAGCCCTGCCGTTCGCGTAAACCTACATTTTCTACTGTTCCAAGATCTGTCTCTGCCCAACGGGTGTGGGTTTGGTTGTGCAAAGTGTTCCTGCATTGCGATGTGCTTATCGTGTCTGGTAGGGAAGAGGGATGATCTGGAACCTCTTTGACCCTGAAAGAAAGATCTGAAGCTGAACCAAGCCTTTGTGCTGCGAACGTTGAGACGAGAAGATCCAGGGTTGTGATTAAATGAGATCTTCTCCATCGGACTCTTTATCGGTGCTCACCGCCAGTCGCGGAATGAGTCGACGAAAGTAACTGTACCAAGGCAAGTATGCGTTTCAAAAAACAGTAATGAGGCTCGTGACTTGTGATTCGCAATAGCAGACGCTCTTTCTACGATGCTGGCGAAAAGCAACTTGACGTAGTTGTTTGCCCGCACAACCGAGCCGCGCGCGTCTTGAGATTAGGAGGGGCTGCTGTCAAAGGTCCCTAATCATTTCGATAGCCTTCTTCTCTGTTACTTCTCTCAAAATTCAAAGCTGTCAGAATGTCTCTGGTTCGAGATCTCAAGTGAGACAAGCAGAAGATTGCCAATCTTTTGGCGTCCATCGATCGCGGACATCTTTGTCGCCCGCTACCGGATCAGCATCCCGCGGTTTCGGAGATCTGTAAAGTGATGTGTAGGATGAGTGAGCTATGGCCATTGGTTTTACGGACCGTTTTGATGAAAGAGTGGCAGAGTGTTGTGCAAGAGGTGGCTGGCTGGAGGAGAAATATTGTCGATGCTTTTTGCGGGAGCGGACAGAGTTTGCTCCAAACTTCGAGGAGTCACAAGTAATGTCTCCGGGCTCCGAGGGCTCGGCTGAGATTTGACTTTCTGATGTGCTGGCAGTGTTTGGGTGTCGTCAAGGCTCGAGAAGAAAAGAAATGAATCCATCATTTTCTCTGACAGCAGAATTCTGTTGAGTTCTGTGAAAGGAATGCCTTGTAAGCAGTATTGGAAGGAGTGTTGGTTTAGCAGCTCCTCATTGGTTGAATCTGCTTGTATTGCAAGGGCAACAAGAAAAAGCCCCCCACGTCGTCGGTACTCTCGATATAGCAAGCACCAGAGCTATGGCATCAACGGTAGCTAGACGGCTGTGTGGGGTGTGCAAACCCCCGTTCTCCACAGAAAAGGGACCCAGAAAGCCGCTCCAAGCGAAATCCTTCGCGGCTTGCCAGCAAAGTCGTGCTCAGCCTGATCCGTCTACCGGCATGACACTGCCAAAACTTCACCGAAAAGTCGTTGGATGAGAAAAAAGCTCTGACTGCACGGTGGTTTGCAAAACACATCAAAGGGATGTTCACGATCTGCTGAAGTAGAAAAGGATGAGGAAAACTGCCCCTTAGTAACCACACCCGGGCACGGCAGCGGTACCGTACCCGTCCAGCACAAAAGGCATGATGAGGCATCACTCACTTGGGACTCGGGCTCGTGCGACGCGAACCTCCCATCCCCAAAGCAGAGTCATTCGGCCCGTACGATGGCTTCCCGTCGAGCACAGTCGCGGAGTCGCCGACGTCCACCACAGCCTCCTGGATAATTGACTTTCCCTGGCAGTTTATGACTGTGTCTTTTGCGGAGAGCGGCAGCCAGCGACACCAACGCGGAGAGTGACGCCTACGTTGGCGAAGGCCCCGACTCATGAAATTAAGAGCTTCGACAACCAGGTAAACATGTTTGACGATGCCGAAACCTTTTTTACATGACAAAGAAAAAAATTCTGCTTTCTTGATGAGGGGTGACAACGGCAAAGCCCCTTTCGTGTGTGGCGCTGGGCCTGGAATAGTTGTTACTTGGGAAATCATCAACTCCCCAGCCCTGTAGATTTTCGGTTGGTTGATTAGATGATACACGCTGCACTCAAGTCGTGGAAAAGCTACCACAGCCGTATAATTGCTACAGTACGGCAAGCGCGGACTTGGAGGGTCCAGTGAAACATCGTTGAATTGGCATTGTGGGAACTGGTTTGTTGCTGGGGAGGTACACCAGCGGCAAATTCATGTACTAGTCAAGGTACATTGGTACATTGCTCCACGTGCGGGGTTCGTTGGTCGATTGGGGTGAACAAGGAGCACAAGGAAGGAGAAACAGACTGGCTGTGCAATGTAGGGCGTGAATTTTCTAGGGCGTGCAACAGGGAAAACGAAACAATTTGGCAAAGGAGATGAGGGTCTTGTATGATCATGAAGTGATGATGAAATTTGTGTGATAGATTTGCGATACATGTAGAGAAGGAGATGATGTGGTATGATAGAAGAAAAACAATGTCCATCCATCTTGATATTCTTGGAAATTGAAAACAAGTTAAGCAAAGGGTATCCTCTTCGAAAATGCAACCGATGTAATGATAAGTGTTTGATGACAAGCGAATGCATCCTGTGATCCATGAAATTCCTCCCTTTCCTACATCCCATGACCGCCGATGCAAGTAAATCAAATGCGCCTTTATAGTCCGATGTTTTGACTTTTTTTGTGGTACAACAATGCAAGGAAACGAGAGTCCGAAATGGTTGTCGCTGAGTAGAATGTGAAAGCAAATACAGCGGTAGAGATACCGGTAATAGTTCGTTGAGTCGTACAGAGAGATGTTGAAGATGGAGTGTGTTGTCGAGATGAGAGTAGTAAGGTTTTCGTAAAAGCGTCGTAAAGAAGGCAGGATCAATGCTCAAGCCGTTGAGTGGAAGAGCATCAGTGGCTGCTCAATGAACGCCTCTTCATCTCACGCGTCTGATCGAAAGCGCTGACGTATGTTTGAAGCTCAGTGCGTGCTTGCTCTGAGATGATGTTGCTTGATTGGCTGCCTGCCGAGGACGACAATGAGCTTCGTGATGATGAGGGTGACAGAGCACGGCGAGGTGATGATGATTCGGCGAAAGCGGTTGACATGGTTGTAGGCTTGAAGCTGAAAGCCTCGGGAAGTTGGAAGCCAGCTGAGGTGGTAGGAAAGTAGGAGCGAGAGCTTGACTCGAGAGTAGGTGAGAATGGTGATGAAGGGGTTGATGAGCCAGCCTTCTCAAGGTCGGCCAGGCGGCAAGCTTGTGAGCAGTAGAGGCCTTCGCTAGTCTGCTTGTCGCAGGCGAGGCAGAAGTCGAGGAAGCAGTCCATGGTGGATGGTTGTATGGAAGTGTGTTGATGAATGGACCGAGGTGAATGTGGGAGGGTGTTTCTCTCTTATGTATACGAAGAGATTATCAAGGTAGGACGTTGATGGCTATGAGCAATGTGGGAAATGAATCATATAAAAACGCCCGGACCTTATGGCGTGAGTAAGATGTGATGTGAGTCAGACCGGATCGAAGATGCAAGAAGCTGCTAAGGCGTCGAAGCTTGTCACAGAATGTTTCGATATGAGGTGCGATTGCGAGACAAGTTCAGAAAAAGGTGGAAGGAGCTGGAGAATGGGGGCTTCGAGGTTGATGATATAGTAGCGAGCACGAGTGGAGAGGAGGAAATGGCAACATATAGCATCTTCAGGCACACCACCTGGCGTACCCACGCCATGATCAGCAGATACATTGGCAACTGGGGCTGTTGTGCATGCACCCTGCTGGCCTTTCCCGCTCTTGCGCTCTCGACCCTCACCTGCATGCGCCAGAGGAAAGCCACTCCGAAACCTTCAGCGTGGGGGTTTCGGACGCGGACTTTTGGCAGGATTCGTTGTTCGGGTAGGATTAACAACGTTTTCCTCTCTTTGTACTCGTCCGTCCATTCAACTATCGAACCCTCTTCCTTTGTCAAATCACTCCCCTCTGGCTTTCGACAGTCAGTTGCTAATTCGCAGTCACCAGAGCGATGCCGCATGCAATTTCTTGTAGGCATCATCGCTTCGGCCGTGATCGGCAAACGTTTCTTGCTTGCGTGATGTCCGTTTCCCTCCGTACATTTTCATGTATCCTTGTCTTGGCTCCTATCGAGGGATGGCGTGGGTGCGTGCTTGACAGAGTTTTTTAGCGTGAAAATCATCCGGAGCGCCTTGTCATGCGCGAATAGAAGCAACATTCCGCTTGGGGACGGTTGGCCTGCAGCCCAGCTGCTCTGCTCACGAGGCATGAATGGCACTGGAATGATGAGCAATTCAATGAAATTTAGTTCCTCAATCGTCGCTCACTGTGCAAAAAGTGTGAACAATTGTCTTGTGTTTGTTGATCTCACTTCGGGTTTCGGCCGGCGCCAGCCTAACCGAAGGGATCTTCTAGTGTTGGGTTGTGACTTGGCTGTTGCCTTCACCACTTCGTCGTCGTCGTCATACTGCTTGCATCCCTGCCACTTCTGACTTCTGACATTGATTGAGTCCATCTCAGTGGCTTCGAAACCACCTTGATACGACAAACTCAACACCAGCCAATGGTACAATTGTGCACCAGCTGCTATGCATCGATTCTCCGCTCTTACGTTGCTTCGGTTTCAAGTGCCTGCTGCATGCAGATGCAAAAAGCTCGCTCCAAGCGATGTGCATTGAAACCGACCGGTAGCAACTGCCTTGCTTACTGCTGCTCACTCGTTCTGTCTTGAAGCTTGAAGCTGCTTTCACTCCGGGTCTTGGTTTGTAGACCCCGATTCAAGGGTCTCGCGGAGAGGCATTTGCAGACAACGTCTGTTGCCAATGCAGTCTCCATTTGATTGAGACGCCAAATGCCTCGTCGGCCGCCGACTGAGGCGAGTGGAGCTGCTGCAGACCCCAGACGCGCAGTGTGCTTACTAGGTAAGAGGGGTTCTTACGGTACCTCGCTTGCCCTGCCTAATCAAGTGCCAATGAGGCTGGAGAGCAACCCCCACGCCTTCAGGTGCGCATATTCTGTATGCCAAATTTGACTCCATCATCTATCCCCAGCAAGATCCTCGATATATGGCGCAAGAACTATTGTTATCAAGGCCACCAGGTGGTCAAAGACCCGTCACATCACAAGGATTTGCAATTCACGCTTCTGGTTCAAGCACAGCTTACAAAACAACTGCCAGGCATTGCATGCGGCAATTGCGCTGCATGGACAGCATTAGCAGCAGCATCAATGCTTCATGACGTCCGTGTACTGTGCCTCTTCCCAGCACAGTGGCACGTTTGGAGAAAATGCACTCCAATGCTTTGGCCTCATACCGATCCTCAGGAAGACTTTCTGCAAGTCTCCAAGTCGACCCAAGAATTGTGCGACGGGAGTGACTGGCAGGATCGCTCCAAAGAGCACGCACGCGCTGTCGTCTTACGGCATAGGCGATCAAGCGAGGCTGTGGCGCCTATCACCCGTCCACTCTCTCGCTCTTTCAGTATGCGCCGAGGTCACGTCCAAGGAAATTGCGCCTGTGGCTGGTATCTCGACTTTCAAGCAGCCAATGATCGTTCGCATCGTGCTGTGGTATTTCCACTTGGGTTGGTTCCTGCTGGCGCTAGCAGCTGTCAAGAGTATCGCCGGTCCGAGCCCTCGCCCTTTGTTGCTGATCTATCTTGGGTCGTGATCATAGCACGTCAGTATATCAATCATCAAAGTAGAGCCATGCCATGGCACTATCAACTAGGGCCATGTGTTTCCGTCATATAGGCGGGATTGACTCCATGATAGCAACAAGTCGCTATCATACAAGACGCCAACTCCATCTCTCTCAATCTCTCCTACGCTAGAGAGATACTGTATAGGACTACTATACAACACGGCTATCACGGGCCTCGTTGGCGGGAAGCACGACATTATTGGAATTCCGTTATCGTCGGCCGCGTGGCGCTTAAAGTCGACCCCTCTTTTCATATATCATGATGCAGTTGTAAAATTGCTTATCGCTATGCTTAAAGGACAGGCTGTGCATACTGGTGAATGGATAGATTAAAAACGCGGGATAACAGCCGCGTTCGGTGTCTCATGGCTGATAGCGACAATAGAAGGATTAGGCGACGGCAAGCGCAGCTGATAAGAATGTATTTTGCCCCATACCATGCAGTGCTATCATTTGGAGTGGTATGCATCAGGGCAGTAAAATCACTGGATGAAGTTGGGCATTGCATGAGACTCCACTTATTTTTGCGATCGTCCATCAAGGTGAGTTGCTCGCAACCAAAGTGGCCAGTGCTGTGAAGGACTGTCGGCAATCAGCAGCAGCTTGTCCCAGTCCTTTTCCGATCACTCTCCTCTCTCTCTAAACAACACACGAAATGGACCTCCTCCTCCTCAGCATAGGTAGTGAAACTTGCCATATTTCTCGTTGACGATTGCCGTTGTTCACTCGTCGGCAGCCCACGGCTAGCTCAAAGCCAACATCGACGTCATCGGCATTATCGGGGTCTACCTATAAAAAATCTTGTACAATGCGGTGAAAGGTGATATGGTGTCTCCCTCAAAAGCACGATCTTGTACTCACAAACTTGTCAAATCAACGTCATGGCATCTTCAAACATCCAGCCAGGCACAGTTGAGCCTCCCATCGGCATCGAGCGATTGACCAACACACAGTGGGAGAAGCCGGAGTACAAGCTGCCTCTTCCATCGCTTCAATTCCTCTTCCACCTCGAATGTGATATGGAGTCTTTCCATCACATTGGAAAGGGCCCCCACGGTGACAGGTCCACTGTGATATTCAAAGGTGGTCGTTTTGAAGGGCCCAAGCTGAGAGGCGAGATCCTTCCCGGCGGTGGTGGTGAGCAATGTAGCTTTTTGCGCCAATCTATTCATTCATCTAACCAATTATTGTTAGACTGGGAGACTGTGCAGGATCACGATGGAGACCAGCAAACCGCCCATTTGGATACCAGATACAACTTGAAGACACATGACGGTGCAATGCTCTATCTGCGTACAACAGGGTAAGTACTACCCATCGCGAATAACGCTAGAAGGAAACCCCGCAACTGACGTCGCGTGTAGAACGAGGACAGGCAAAAAGGAGGTCCTTGAGAAATTGGGAGAAGGAAACATCGGTCCTGATCAGTTCAGAATGCGACTGCATCTGACCTTCGAGACTGGTGATGAAAGATACACTTGGCTCAACTCGGGTGTGTTCATGGCGAGCTCCGGACGTGTTGGCGACATGGTCATCTACGACGCATACCAAGTTCTTTGAAGCTCACCAAAATTTCTCTCCCAAACACTGTAACAATCAATGTCATCCATTTATTTTCCATTTCTCTCCTGTCAAAAATATCATGCGATCGAATTCGGAGGATATATTGAAGTTAATCTTACGAGCTAATGCCCGATCAGCGATAGCCGCCGATGGACCCCAGATTTTTTGTCGTGATCTATGACGACGCTGTCTCCCATTTCCTTGTGTTCATCGAGGTCATGATGTGATTTTTTCCTTTGTCGATAGCTCACCCATACATCACTGCTGCCATCGCCCTCTGCTTCCTTTTCGTCGTCGCGTGAATATCACTGGCATCTTTGGAAGCGACGAAAAAGTAATTGACATGCCAGACTCGGTGAAGCCTCTATTGACAAGTCAACCCTCTCAGACGCGTTACGATATGGGTAAACAGATGGAGAACCAGAAGAGGAAGAAGGTGTTGGTTGTGGGTGCTGGAGCTGCAGGTAAGTGATGACTGGTTGAATTGGAGCTTGAAGAGCAGCATTGACGCGTTGCAACAGGCATGTCTTGCGCCCACCACCTCGCAGAGCACCCGGAGAAGTTCGATGTTACCCTCATCGATGCTGTCGACTACTGTGGTGGTCAGGCCTACAGTATCCCTATCGACAAGAACAGGTATGGTGCCAGCTGGTTGAACCAGGGTGTTCAAGGAGGCTCCTACATCTTCCATCACACCATGACCATGTTTGCCCGCCAGGGACACCACGCCGATCCTGTCAAGCTTCAGGTCGCATTCGGCAAGGACGAGCAGTTCTGGACCAACGTTTACTCGACAATGATGCTCAAGAAGCACGAGAAAGAGGTCAGACGCTTCTACTACATGATCAAGATGATTCGCTGGTTCGAGGTCTTCTTCGCCCTCGTCCCCATTAAGTACGTGGTCAAGCTGTTCATGTTCTCAGAGGAGTTTGCAAACGTCGTTGCACTTCCCATGGTCGCCCTCTTCTTGGGTACCGGCAACTACGCCCCTGAGGTCCCCAGTATGGTTTTGGAGAGACTGTGCACAAGTCCCACCTACGGCATGTGGTACCCCCCAGACAAGGCCAGCGTAGCCAGCAATCTGCCCCCCATGGTCGTCTTCCCCAACTTCAGTGAATTCTACGGCGACTGGAAGACCAGTCTGGAGAAGAAGGGCGTCAACATCCGCCTCTCCACCGAAATCACCCAAGTCGTCCGCAGAAACAAGGATGGTGTTGCCGTCAAGTTGATCAAGAGAACACCCGCCTCGGATGGCCACACGCAAGATTCCGCCTGGGTCCCCAACACAGTTGAAGGCCACAATGGCGACCCCGACGCCCAAGAATTCGAAGAACACTACGACGAAATCGTCCTCTGCACTCTCACAGACACCTCCAAGCGCATCCTCAAACCCGTAGCCACCTGGCGCGAAAACAAAGTCTTGGGCTCCGCAAAATTCGCAAACGACATCACCGTCACCCATTCGGATGCGGATTACATGCGCAAACACTACGAAATGGAATTCAACGAAGAACAAGCCTGCAAAGAGCTGAATGGCGCCGATCAGTCCGAGCGCCTGGACTACGCACGCAAAAACTTCAAACCAATGTACCTGATCAAAATGTACCCCAAAGACCTGACAAAGCTCGAAATGTCCTTCAACTGCAGCAACTACCAATCCCAATTCCCACCGGACACTCCTCTGGACAATGCAGTTTTCCAAACCATTTTCCTGAACAAAGATCGCGATTCTCACCTTTGGTCCATTGATGAAATCGACGAATCCAAGATTATCAGAAAGGATTGGTGGCATCAGTTGTGTCATTCTTTCACGCATTATCTATTCGTCGTTCCTTGGATGTGGGCGTTGAATGGAAAAAACCACACCCGTTTCGCCGCTGCGTGGACGATGGTGAATGCACACGAGGTGGCATGTATTTCCGGCATCGCCGCCGCCGTTGACCTGGGCGCAGCTTACCCTGAGGATTTGGAGAGGGATAGGTTCGCTTTGCTCGCGTTTAGATTGTACTACCTCCTCACGTATGGAAAGTGGTATAGCAGAAAGCACAAGAGTAAGAACGGCAAGGAAAGCTATTCTACTGGATTGTATGGGTCTGTATATCAAGGTCCTGGTGTGGCTTCTGAGGAACGCACGTGTTGGAAGAAGGAAGTTGAGAATGGACGCTCGTTGGAGGATTTCAGTATGGCCAAGTCTGATTAGAGGGGTGGAAGGTGTGTGTGTGTTTAGATATCAGTGTCGTCCGATATGTATGACAATAATCTAGAGAAACGAGATGTTTCAAACACACTGCTCCTTAGTTGTATTACATAGCATCTGTTGTTCAGTGGTCATTGGTTTTTAGTTTTCGCAAATGCATCGTCGCCTTCCGAATCGATCTAATCAGTACTGTGCCATTCCATCCCTACTGTTCCCGATTACTAAAAACAACATACCTTGATGGTCGATCTACATGACAGGGTGACACCCTCATCAACCCATGTCAAAAGCAATAACGACGACACCACCACATTGCATTAACTAATCGTACACGCCTTGATCTTAACATACATCTCAACCCCCCATTCTACATTCCTAAAATAACAGCTTATAGTCTAGTGCCACAACTCCATCAGTCTCACACAAAATGGGGCATGTATATCTAAACAGTACTGGTTTTTCAACGACCGACATCAAAACATCCCTTCACAGTAGTTCAAAAATCAAAATTTCCAAAAAGAACCTTGAAGCAAAACCAGCTAAAGAGAAAAGGCAGATTTGGCAAAAACAGCAGGAGTGATGATCGTGTTGCAAAGTGGGCCGAAAACCAACAAAGCAAGATTGCCATGTTGAAGGGAGGGTATGGTATGGTGTCAAACCCGATTCCCTGGAAAATGGGCAGGTGTTGGTTTGGAAAGGAAAGGGTCGTTTTGGGTGGTTTACTGTACAAAGCAGAGTAGGTGTTCTTGGGATGAGGAAGGGTAGTGCCGTCTGGAGAAATGCAAGTGATAAGATGTTCTTGGAGAATATAAGTGTATGTGGTTATATGTATGGTGCGGTGCGGGTGGTCAATCATTCACGAAAATGGCCGTGGGAGTTTGCAGAACAGTGGGTTTACAGAAGAGGCGGAATTTGCCTGTGTTTGAAAAGGCTTGCAGATTGTTCCTCGTCTTTTGCATGGGAAACCAAAGAGGGTAGAAGTCTGCCTCTCTCTCTCTCTCGACCCCGTCGTGTCTCCTGTCCCCATCACCAGCATCATCATTCACACATCTCCCTCCTCCTCCCCAGCATTTCCAGTAATCTCCAACGCCCTGAGAAACTCATCGAGATCTTTCGGATCCGTCAAAGCCAACACACCACCACCTTTAACATCCACCCCTTTCATCCCAACCTCCTTGCCCACCAAATTCCTCCCCACCTTACCCGGCCCTATCCCGATCCATCTTTTCACTTTTTCCTCCTGATGCAAATACTGAATACTCTGATGCCACAGAACAGGCTCGGCAGCAGATCTAGCCAATAAATCTTTGATGTCTTCCGCAGAGGAAAAAGGCAAAGCCGTGACGTTTGAAATACAAGGAAGTGTGCTGGGGGGAGAAAACGTTATACTGCCAGGATCGCTGAGCAGTTTCTTCATCAAATCCACTGCTGGTAACATGAGGGGAGAATGAAATGGCGAGTCCGCTTTCAAGCGCACTGCGCGAGGATCATGAGAGTCGAAATGACGGATATGATCGAGTACTTTTCCCACATGCGAGATATCTCCACTCAACACGAATTGGGTTTTTGAATTTACGTTTGCGATGACGCATTGCAAGTGTTTGTTCTGGGACAGATGACGGGTGATTGCTTGAAGTGTTTCATCTCGTTGCAAGGGTTCGCAGACCAGTGCTATCATGCCCATTTCTGAATTTGAAGAGGCGGAACATTTGGCCATGGTTTCTCCTCTGCGACGCACCATTTTCAGCGCCGAGGCGAATTGGAGGTTTCCTGCTGCTACCAGGGCGGCGAATTCGCCTAGTGAATGGCCTAGTGTCACGTCTACTGTGTTTTTCGTGTCGAAGCCGAATTCCTTCTCCAGTACGCGGAGGATGAGGATGCTGGTGGCCATGATGGCGGGTTGGGCGTTTTGAGTGGCGGTGAGTTCGGCATTGGTGCCTTGAGAGATCAAGTGGGTGAGCGAGGGCGAGATGTTGAGGGTGTGGTCGATTTCCTCCAGTAGAGGTTTTACGGTCTTTGGGAAAGATTCGAGCCAGGGGTCTATCATGCCGACGCGTTGGACACCTTGGCCGGGGAAGAAGAGGGCGGTTTTCGGACGGGTGCGGGAGGTGGATGTGTATAGTCGTATTGATGAAGGATGTGGGTGTAGTCGGTCGGTTCGTGTCGTGTATGTCTTCCATGATCTTGCTCCTCCTCTTGCGACGTCCTCGAGGCGTCCTGATGTAGCTCTCATGATAGGCGCCTTGTTTGCGTTGTGGATGTTCTGGATAGCGAGCTTGTTATGCGCATTTCCTTTCGACTATGCTGTGCGGTGTTTTGAGATGCCAGGCGACCGAGTTGAACAGGTGGTAATTCGATATACAGCTTGGTGACAGGACAGTAAACAAGAATGACGAGCCGAGGTTACTGTCATGATATGCTGAAGCGCCTGTCCGCGGCTCCGAGAGCTTTCCCCACGTGGAGCTCCAACTGGCCTCTGGCGGCCACCTGCGGCTTTATTCACCAGCATCTCCTATATATCACCTCACTAATCCCCAGCTCTGGACTACTGCACTCTCCCATCACTCATAGTACAGTAAGTCACATCTCACGTCTCAAGGAAGTCAAATCAAGGTAGGTCATTTCATAACAAAAAGGGATATCATAACATTTCGTTTCTTAACTAAATCATCATCCAAATCAAGAGGCATGATGCGCAAGAGGAGGTATCAAAGGGGAATCTTTTTTCGTATCAGGGACAAGGCACAGGCAGATGCATCATGATGCATTTACCACCAGTCACCCTGGTCGTGCATGGCCTGGGCAACCTTCTTGAAGCCAGCGATGTTGGAGCCAGCAACCAGCGAAGGGAACTCTCCCTCGGCGGGGGTGACGTACTCCTTGGCAGTCTCGAGTCCGTTCTCGAAGCAGTTCTTCATGATCTGCTTGAGCTTCTCGTCGACCTCCTCGCTGGTCCACTTCAGGCGCTGAGAGTTCTGTGCCATCTCGAGACCAGAGACTGCGACACCACCGGCGTTGGCGGCCTTTCCGGGTGCGTACCAGATGGCAGAACCCTTCTTCTCCTTTCTTGAGGCCTCGAAGATGTCGATGGCCTCCTGGGTGCAACCCATGTTGGATCCCTCGGCGATGAACTTGGCACCCTGCGAGATGAGAGCCTCGGCCTCGTCGGCGGAGACCTCGTTCTGGGTGGCCGAGGGAAGGGCAACATCGACGTTGCCGCAGTGCTTCCAGGGGCGGGCACCCTCAATGTACTTCAACTGGCTGCTGTACTCGGAGCTGGAGCTGAGCTCGGTGAGAGCCTTGCGCTTGAGCTTGAGGTCGGCAATGATGTCGATGATCTCGGGGGTGAATCCCTTGTCGCTGGTGGCGATGATGGCGCCCTTGGAGTCGGAGAGGGAGATGACGGTACCGCCGAGCTCGATGACCTTGAGGGCGGCGTATTGAGCGACGTTGCCGGAACCGGAGATGGCGACACGCTTGCCAGAGAAGGACTCCTTGCCGCCGGAGGCGTACTTGATCATGTGCTCGACGTAGTAGACGAGACCGTAACCGGTGGCCTCGGGACGGATGAGGGAACCACCCCAGCTGCCACCCTTTCCGGTGAGGATACCCTCCCACTGGTTGCGGATCGACTTGTAGGCACCAAACATGTAACCGACCTCACGGCCACCAACACCAATGTCACCGGCGGGAACATCAGTGTCGGCACCAATGTGTCTGCTCAACTCCTTCATGAAGGCGTAGCAGAAGCGACGGATCTCGTTGTCGGACTTGCCCTTGGGGTCGAAGTCGGCACCACCCTTACCACCACCCATGTTCACTGGAAGCGACTGTTAGCCACTGGATCTTGTGGTGATATTCAAGAATCAACTTACGGCCAGTAAGAGCATTCTTGAAGATTTGCTCGAAACCCAAGAACTTCAGGATGGAAAGGTTGACAGTGGGGTGGAGACGGAGACCACCCTTGTAAGGACCGAGAGCGGAGTTGTACTGGACACGGTAACCGCGGTTGACCTGGACCTCGTTCTTGTCGTTCTCCCAGACGACACGGAATTGGATGATGCGCTCGGGGATGGCGGCAATCTGGAGAGCACGCTTGTACTCGGGGTTCTTCTCAAAGAGGGAGGAGTTCTCAAGGGTCGAGGCAAGCTCTGTAATCTTCTAGTCAGCTCCAATCACCTTTGTGGAAAAAGCAGTCGCAATGCTTGGGTAGGTGATACACACCCTTGTAGGCCTGCTCGAACTCGGGCTCGGAGGGAAGGTTCGACATTTTGTATGGTATGTGTATAGGATTAAGAGGTGAGATAGAGAGAGTGAGGAGTAAGAGAGTTGAAGAAGCAAGAAAGGAAACTCGAGGGAAGAAGGTCTCTAGATAAAGCTCTGGACGATATGGGCGGCCGGGACAGGTTGGGAAAAGTAATACCGTACCGTCAAAGAGTGCCCCACGCAGGGCGACGGCGAAAAAGCAGCCGTGGACTGTGCGTCACCAAGCAGCAGGCAGAAGTCGAACCCTGGCGACCGACAAGCACCAGACGACAACGGCATCGCTCTCTTTCCTGCCACGGCTCGAGCGCTTCGCGTTGAGCAACTGTCGTTCACATGGCTAGCGCTGCACAGGGTAAACTTTCACCACCAAATTTGCCCACTCGTGTCGTCCGATGTCGGCCTCAGAAGGAGGGGCAGCTCTGTCCGTCGTAACTCCGAGGAATCTCGCACCACTACAGTACGGAAGTGGGTGCCACTACTATCCCAGTGGCTTGAAGGAATTGCACACAATCAGATACCGGATACTGCGACAAACATTGAATCTTGCTCGACCTTGTTGGCGGTGTTGATAGTTCAAGCAGATGGATTTTGGATTAGCTTTGTTTATTCGGTCGAGATGCCTCGGTCACGTAAAAGCCGGAGTTTAACAGAGAAGCTTCCCCCACAGATTCGAGATCTGCCACGTGAGTTTACCCATCCGGGCGGCTTGGCTGCCGGCGCGCTGCGTAATTGAAATCGAGTAACCGCGACACCTCAACAACTGATAAGCCTACTCCTCCTCCCAGATAGCAACCCTCCGGTCGCGGTCTTCAGCGGGGATTTACGGGGCATCGGTAGGATCCCAGTCTGGAGAGACACAGGCAAGTTAGCATGTTTATCTCGGCAATTCACCTTTCCAAATCATTCTTCCTTTGACTCACCTGTCACCAGATACTCGTCTAGCGCATCCATCTTCTTCATATCCTCCGCCGAGATCTCGAACCCGCCAATGTCACCGTTCTGAGCAATGCGCTCCTTCTTCACACTCTTGGGCAATGGCACATAGCCATGTTGGACCGACCAGCGAACCAACAGTTGGCCGGGGTTACACTCGTACTTCTTGCTGAGCTCCACAATGACAGGATGCTTCATACGAAGAGCGCGTGCCAGAGGAGCATATGCTTCAACCATGATATCGTTCTTCTGGCAGAAAGAGGTAATGTCGGTGCGCGTGTTGAACGGGTGCACCTCGATCTGGTTGACCGCTGGAGGGATGCGCGGCTTCGAGTCGAGGAGCTCCTGCAGGTGCTGCACGCCGTAGTTGCTCACACCTCCAATCTTGATCTCGCCGTCCATGATGGCGTCTTCAACAGCACGCCAGCTCTCCAAACGAGCCTTCTTGCCTCCGTACGGGCTGTGTAGGAGGAAGAGGTCGATGTATCCGAGGCCACACTCTTGAACGCTCTTTTTGATGCTCTTCCTGGCAGTGTTGTAGTCGCTGTTGCTCGCCAGCTTGGATGTGTAGTGAATGTCCTCACGGCTGAGGCTCGAGGTGTTGCTCGGCGATTTCAGGAATTCAGTGATGGCATTTCCGACTTGACGTTCATTATGGTACATCTGAGCGCTATCGACAGCAAGGTAGCCGGCCTATTCGTGACATGTGTATCAGCTTTATTGTGTTGAGTGATGATCCCAGAATGGATTGTAATCTGACCTCCAGAGCCCATCTCGTAGCTTTGGTCGTCTCATTACCCGACGTCAGGTAAACACCAAGGTGGATTTGTGGCATGGTCAAGCCATTGTTAAGCTGCGACTCAGCGTGAGCTCATGCCGCGAGTTGAATTGAAGATCAAGAAACATGCCTTGACGCGGCTAGCAAAATTGTATGTTTTCTGCGACATGGTATCGTGTTTTGTGAAGTATTCGTGATGGTGAAACACAAGCTATGGTGATGATCGTTTTGTCATGGGAGAGGGCAGCTCTTCAAGTTTCGCTTTCGCGCCGAAAGAGCCGCATCGTGTAAATGACGTGTTTGATCGCATTGCTATTTTGGTGATTTCGCACGCATGTCATGATGTGTGCCTCCTTCTTGTGAGGCATGGATCTTCTGTGAGGATTCGAGCTGCTCTTTCTACAGCCTAATCGACTGCACTTTTGCCTGGCCTCACACTTTCCCTCGGAGCCTCACGTTCAGTAATCGCATCGGATCTCGTACATGATGAATTGCAGCGAGCACTGGCCTTGCCAAGGACGCCACTGAGATGCAGATGGAGACGGCAGGGTCTTTCGTGGGCCTCAATTGAAGGCACCGGGGTAAAATCCATCATCGCGCATGGCTGTTTTGATTTGGTCGCCTTCTTTCTTCTGACCATGCCATGGCGCCACTCTTGTCTCTACTAAAAGACAAGAACCGTTCGTGAACCTCGTAGCCGGGTCCTCTGACTTTGCCAGCTCTGTCGCAGTCGTCAGGACATATCATCGGACCCCGCTATCAGCTAACGTACGGTACCGTTGTTCTTCCTGTAGGGTTCGGCTCGCCCTAGAACCAGCTTACCTGCGGAAAAGGGTATTTATAAAGACCGAGCACTGCCCGCAATTTTCTCATGTACGTTGATCCAAACACCGCTTTCTACTTTCCACCATGCCCATGCATGTAATGACAGACGGCGACAGCATGTCTTACAACGGCAACTACGGGAACTCGGGCTCTCGCTTCGAGCAGCGAGACCAGCAGCAACAACCACAGCAGCCAGGAACACAGCAAAACCGTCAACAGCCTCAGGACCCACCGCTCACCACCTCGCCCAACTTCGACATCCTCGACTGGCATCCGGCTTATGAGTCGTGTCAGAGATACTTTCTTGACCATGCTCAGCATGAAGCCGGTACACAGGCATTGTGTGCCTTGATCAACATTCGACTGCCTTTCCAATGGCTTCAAAATCCCGTAACATCATCAAATTCTTCACAAATGCCAGGAGCTAGTCCTGGTGCAGGAGGCCCATCATTCAATTTCAATCAGTGGTCACGACCGAATTCTTCCGCCACGGGCCGTAGCTCTCAACCCACATCCGCTTTCGTGTCACTTGTTCCTTATATCAGACGCCTGGTCATCACTGGCTTCGATAAGCCTGGTATCCTCCATGGCTTCTTCGGCGACGCATACCAAGCCGGCATCACCCCCATGCAAGACTGCGAACGCCGCAACTACCTCTTCGCAGCCAAGCACGGCGGCTGGCGAACCTGCAAAAAGCAATACGACATGAATGCCGAAGAAACAGTTCCTTTCCTGAAGCCCTTGCAAAGCATTCGCGACGAGGAATTGGATGCCGCCGAGAAGAGCTGGAGCTCATGGTTGGCAATGGAAGATTGGATGATTGGGCCCCGTGCGCCTCATGAAGATTCATCACAGGATCAATCTAGTCAACGATCTAGACCTTGGGAGCGAGCAGGGGGGATGTCGGGCTATGATGCTGGATTGCCAGATGGCATTTGAGGATCTGGAGAGTGCTATTCTGCTTTTTACTATATACCCAGTGCGGAATCATCATAGCGATCATTTTTGATTTTGTTCGGGTTCATCATTTCTGTTTCCATTCCCTACGTAGGCCTCTCCGGGTGATTCACATCGACTGCATATGGAAGTGAAGTAAGTTACTCGAGGACTTGATTTCTACTTCGCTCCTGCTGTATGCGACCGTGCACGACAGCGCCTGCCCTGCCAAGACAAATCCATGCCTGCCTCCAAACTTCCGACCATCGAACCACTCCGTCGTCTCATCAACATTGCCATCGACTATTAATGACTGTCGCATTGTATAATCTTTTCCCATTCCTATAGGCTGCCAAGGAGAGTGGACTTTGGTCCGGCTTTTCACTCGATGGAGCCCTCATCATCAACAACATCGGCATCAGCCATTCACGCAGTCGAGCAATGGACGACTTTGATCAAAACCTGCTTTGGCCATCGCATACGTGCTAAGCAACTGGGCAAGCCATTTTCTGAGCTGTGGAGCACAACCCCGGTTCCTGGACCTCTTCTGGCAAGCATCATCTTCAGATCTGGAGCCTCTGGTGTTGATCCTCTCATATCCGAATACTTGGAGCAGATCCTACGCGTTACTACTATCGATACAAGTAATGTACTTGTCGCTTTGCTTGCTCATTCTCGTTATGCCCTCAAGAAAAAGGCTGGATCTGGTTCGGATACGCCTATGAGCCATGCCTTTTTCGAACACGTTCTCTCCTTACTTATCCGCCTCGTCGCTGCTGGTGAACGACCCAAGACTGCGCGCGAAGCTCGCTCTGTTGTAAGAGCGCTAGGCGAATGTCTTACCGCATGCCGTGCTCATGAGATGGTGCTTCTCATGCAAAGTGTCGATGGAATGCAGAGTCCAGACCCTCAAGTCGTTACGTCTTTTGAGACCCTCGCCACGCTGGCCATCGCTCTGTTGAACAACCCAACTGTCAAGGTCGATATATCTAATGCATGGCCTCAAAGCTCAAAGGAGAAGCTTGCCTCTGCCTGTAACGACTTTGCAGAACTTATTACTCCGTGGTCACATACTCAGATCGGCGCAAGACTACAAATGCTTGCGAAAGCACCACCGATCACTACTGGCAAACCCGAGTTCAGCACCGCAGATATTGCTTCCGCTGTCAATGATCTCCAGATTGTCAACTCACGAGTCGGCCTATACGCTTACCTGAACGCGGCCCTGTGTGCCAGGCCGTTGACAGACGACATGTCGCTATTCAACCATCTTCACGCCAAATATCAAAACGACACGCAGTCTTTGGTTTCGGATTTGACTACTGCCTCTTTCGATGTACTTGCGAACGCCCTACAGCAACGTCGATCACCAAACCACATCCTCTGTTATCGCTCCTTCATTGCCAACAAGTTGCCTATGCTGATAGCGACTCTATCTGGATCTTTCCCGCCGATGACTGCTCAGATTGCTATCCAGATGGCGTTGGGCAGAATTGACGTTCACCCGTTCCCGCCATTGTCCACAGACGACGACAAGACCAACAACGAGACACTCAAGAAAAGTCGGCAAGAATTTGTGCAAGCCTGCATCCTGTTCCAACTTGGCAACGAGCAGGCCTTCTACTCTGTCATGGGTGAGCCACCTGCTCCGGTCTCTCCGCGTGTGATTAGGTACAATAGACAGTCTTTGGCCCAGCAGTGTTTTGCCAATGTACACCGTGTCGAGGAACTAGCTCGCGAGCTTGAGAGTATGAATGGTAATGCAGGGGCAATTGCGGGTGCCTTGGTCGACACAGTGCAGCACTTTTACTCTTCGAAGGACACAATGTCTTTGCGAACACTTTGCAACATCCTCTCCCGTCGTCTGCCTTTGATGGACATCATTCTTCAATACTCGCAGCCTGCCGATTTGCTTTCCCCGCTGTGCAGCTTACTCAATGAATGGACACACGACGAAGATCAGAGTGAATTTCAACCACCTTATGAGGAGTTCGCTTCGGTCTTGTTGCTCATACTGGCAACGATGCATCGATACGAGCTGACAGAATCTGAAATTGGATCGTTCGCTTCCGATTCGTTCATCATCAAGCTTCTCAACAACTTTTCCACCAGCATGCCTGTCAGCGCGCTTGATCATGATCAGCACAAGCAATTCACAAAGTGGGTTCAAGGCTTGTACGCGACCGATGAGCAAGGCGAAACGAGCGGTATCAGCGATGAGACCATGTCGCACTGTCCACCTCAGTCATTCTATTTACTTGTGCCAACGCTGTTCGAGCAGAGTGTTCAGGCATGCAAGCTTCTTGTCCTCAACATGAACACCTTGAAAGGCGGACTTGAGTTTTTATTGGAACCGTTCCTGCTCCCTTCGCTCATCTGTGGACTGAGTTGGGTCACGAAGCACTCATGGGAGGACCATGGTGACACTGAGATCCTGCTTCAGATGCTCCGAAAGCTACTTCAGCCAGATTCAATCTCCGGAGATGCTCAAGCAATGCATCAAACCATACTTGGAATGATCGCACGACCGCTGGCTATGTCTTTGCAGGCTCTACAGCGGAGACAGCCAAAGCGCAAGGACGTCGTTCCTCTGATTGATGTTCTAGGACCCTATGTCGAAAGCCAAAGATCGGGTAAGTGCAGTGCTGCCGAGATCAATGAGTGGTCAACTACGGCGGACGGTGGCTTGCGCGCCGTTGTTCGCAACACCATTCGCGGTCTAGTCCGATGGTCGTCTCAGGCTAGCATCAATTCCTTGCCTTACAACTACACTCACAAAACCATGATCGCCACTCTTGAGATTCTTGGCGCAGACGAAGTTCTGGCTGTTATATTGGATGAGCTGAAGTCTCAAACACTAAACGGATCAGGCTCGGCAGCACTCGAGATTGCCACCACTATCGTCTGTGCACCTTTGCCAGTGCCTGCGCTTTCTCAGGCCAATGCTCTCATGCAGTTCGATCAGAGTGCGCCTGCACCTGTTAATCAACGACGCACGCTACGTCAAGCTCTGCAGGCGCAACTTGGTGAACCCAAAGCGCTGTTGATTATGGACACTGAGCGTGTTGAAGCATTAGTGAGGCTTGGCCGACGTGTTGAAGCACAGCTTGTTATTCCACCACAGATGAGCATGCCCATGACGAACCTCGACCTACACGATATGAGCATGACAAGCGCAGACATGCAAATGGCAAGCGCAGATATCCAAATCACAAGTGCCGATGGCTCAACAACCGATCCCACTACCGCCGATCAAGACTTCACAGCAGCCATGGACCAGTCGCTTCAGATGGATACTTCCAACGTCAACGACCCTAATGCCATGTCGCTTGATCTTTCCAACAACCTCTTCTCTGGTCAAGACATGAATTTTGATCTGACTGGTGCCTCGCAGCAACACGGTACCGGACAGATGAGCAACGAGGACGACATCTTTGCTGGTCTTGAGATGGACCTAGGTGGTGACGACTTTGATTTCTCCTAGTCTGAGAATGGAAGTCTATTCGAGGCTATCAGTAGACAATTATTGGAGGCTCTCAGTGGAGAAAGCGAGAGCTCGAAAAACTCATTGCATTTTGACAAGGATGTTTGGGGTGGTGCTGGTGGTCAGCAAACGTCCCATCAAAGATTCGCTGAACTTCTTGCCCTCACTGAACCTACCGAGTCTGACAAAAACTTCACGACTTACAGCATGCACATTGGAGATGGAGCTGGCGATGGGAACGATGAGCCTGGTCAAGCGGACGAACCCGAGCAGGATGCAAGCACTTCCGAAATCTCTTCGGAGCAGCCTGACAATGACACCCATTCTGTGTCATCGGACAGCCATTCTGATGAGTATGAGGCAGGTCTCGAAAATCTTGATCCTGACCAGCCCGTCCAGTCCACCGAGTCGGGCGAAAATACTACGGACCAGCCGGAAGCACAAGACGATAGAGCAAGATTTGAGCGTACTTTGATGGAGGCTGAGATCGCCCGACTTGAAGCAAATATGTCCCGACGTCGACAGATTGAATCCGACCTGGCTGGCTCGACAGACTCCGATTCCGAGTCACCAGCGGATGATCTGGAAACCATTGATGACAACGAAAATACGATCAGCCCATCCCCTCATTCATCAGACGGTGAAGATCTAGATGAAGAAAATCTTCCCCCTTCGGTCGCATCTCGCCGACATGTCGCTTCCGTAGTCGATCGAAACCGGAGGAGAGTGCAAGATCCATTTGATGGAGATGTCGTGAGTGATTCAAGCACCGACGAGGGGGAGAGGATGAAGGGCGAGCTTGTAAGTTCGGTCAGGAGAAGTGAAAGCAGTGACTGGTGATTTTCTCCTCAAACGTTCTTATCATCTCCACTGTCGCCATGTAGTTTCATTGCAATCACTATCGTTCATATCCCAATCACAAGCTCTGGAAGATCACTCCTTTACTTTCAAAACATGCGTTTGTCGCTCTTTCCCGCTTCGTGCATGTGTGTGGTTGTTGACATGTGCTTGTAAAACCTTGTGATTGATCAGCACGATTTGCATGCAAATGCTTTTCCTCTGAACAACATCAGGATATAGAATCGAATCACCGTAACTTGTACACAGTAGAGTGGTGAGGGAGAGTGCGACGCCGTTCAGACGAACCATTTCGTGAGGAGAATATTGTCCCTGAGGTGTGGGCTAGAGGAAGATTGAGTTGATCACATGTTGTTGTTTCTGTTCTCTGACTTCGGGAGCAGTGTCTTGTTGACGCTTTGCCCTTCTGTGAGAAAAGATCACCAGGCTTATGTGATGATGTAGAGCTTAGTTGTGACTTCTCCCTCTAGTTTTTCTCAAAAGCCGCGCTTGTCCAGCGCGTCATTTCCACAACAAGTACTTTTTCTCCTTTCCTTCGTTTTCATATCTTGGCCATTCAATCAATCGATTTTCCATGGTTTCATCGTGCAAAACGACCATCACCTATTTCCGCCCTGTCCAGTGATCAATCTCAACGGAGCCAATTCTTGGCCGACTTAAGCTCTCGAAGCGTCTTTTGGTCCAACTCTTCTCTGACGAGCTCCTCAATCCAGGATGGTAGACTGCCTGTTTGCTGGGACAGAATAGCTCTCAATTCCTTGACTGGCTTGGCCTTTACCATCTCCCGCAGTTCCTTCGTCTGTTGTGCGATTTGAGAGGGGAGATCTTGATTGGTAGGTGAAGTTGGGACTTCTTCCCCCTCTCCATCATCTTCTCCTTCATCTTCCTCTTCATCCGCATGAGATATCGTGTACTGGTTCTCTGGTGATGGTGGCTTCGGTTCAAGCTGTGTCATGGTGGAGAAATGCTCAAGTTGAGCTCCTGAACGTCGAAGTGGAGAAGAGGTCAGTTCGGGCTTCAGCTCAGATTGGGGCTCGACATCCTGCTCGCTGTCGGAGCCTGTGAGGTCAATGGTTGCAATCTCGCTTGCTCTCACAAGGCGTCTTCTCCTTCTGCTTTTTGTCCCTCTCAGATTGCCAATCGACGACAATCTCCTGTTCTCACCGTCTAGCTGCTTTTGGTCCTCGGTGACTGGCGAAAGTCTGTTCTCGATGGATGGTGGTGGAGTTTTCGATCTCAGGATCACTAATATAGTCGCAAAGTATGCGTACTGGACGGTGCGACTCTGACACTCATCCAGGTAGAGCACCTAGTCGAGAGCGGGTACCCATTCGTCACAAACGTATCTTCCAGGTGTATGCAGCGACCCAATGGGACCGCCACACTGATTGTAGACCCTTGAATAGTTCTCGAACAACTTGAACCAGATGCCCTTCTTTGAGCCGTCCGATTGATCGATCCATCCGATCAAGAGAGAATCCATCTCGTGCTTAAGTGATGACATAGGAAGAAAGAACAACAAAGCAGGTTCGACAAAAGACAGCTTGTTTTTGCTAAGGGCGCCGATGGACCTTCTGATCATCTGTACTTCGTGTACAGTAGGAGTGACACCATGCGACTTGCACAGTTTGTCGTAGAGACCCTTAACAAAGTCTTTGACCTCAACTTGAAGTTCTTGCGACATCTGCAGAACTTCGTCAGTCTTGTGAGCGGTACGTTTGACAAAGTAACATCATGGACTTACAGTCAATCTGGCAGTCAAGCTTTGTGTCCGAAGAGGGGCGGCGCGCGCAATTTGCGAAGAGCAAAGGTTGATGACATCGACAAGTTGATGTTCCAATGGCAAGGATACCCAATCGAGAGAGCTTCTGCCTGGGATCTGTGCTTGGAATTGTGACAAGAGAGTGGAGTTTGACGAGACGGGTTTGCTGATGGATGAAGTGTGTGCGAGCAAGGGATTGTTAATGGCCAGTGTACGGAGATGAAGACCTTAAGGCCCACTGTGGACAAATTTTGATGTCTTCAATAGATTCGAGCAAAAGGATGCGGTCGCTTTGGCCCGTGGCGACGCGGTGTTGGGTTCGTGGAAACACAACCGCAGAGCGAGGTGCGTGGAGGGAAGTGTTTGTTGATGGATGAAGTGCGGGCGAGTATGAATTGTTGATTATCAAGGCCCCGTGAGTGACAAGAGTAAACGGAGATGGGAACCGCAAGCTATAACGCTGATATCTTCGGATATGGCAAGAGTCGTTAAACGGGAACGGATCTGAGTACGAGATCTGCGATCGCTTTGGTCCGTGGCGGCGCGATCTTTCGGTTCTGCCGTCTTGCTTCGGACATCCGTCCTGCGGCACAAGATTAAGAGATGTTTGATGGCTGAAGCAAGGTGCTGATGGAAAAATCGAAGACGGGATGAGTGTGACGGGTGGTGATGGATGCAAAAGAGGGAGGGCGAGAAGAGAGGAAGGACAAACTGAATCGAGGATTCAGGGGAAGTACGATGAATGAATGACTCTCCGGCTTTCAAAATCTCTGAATTCATTCGGATTGTGCGCGTTTTCTACTTAATCATGACTTCTCCTTGCTCTCTTGCAGTTTCCTCTCACAGAAACTTCTGTCACCAGAGATTTGCCCATTCCGAGGTTATTTGCCTGGTCCCTCAATCTATCAGTAATCATGTCCCTCCCTCGCTCTCCCATTACGAAAATCCCATTCCATCCACTCTCCTTATCCCCATGCTTATCTCCCAGGCAAGCACGTTTCGTCCACCATGGATATGCAAGAGCTCCACATATCAAAAGAAGTTCTTGAGCACATCAAGATCATGATGCATCTTCTTATCCATCTCTTCTTCGGCAATCTTCTTGATCCAGAGGGGAAGATCGGCTGACCTCTCTGCCAGTATGGCTTGTATTTCATCAACTTTTTTGCTTTGGAGCATAGTGCGTAGTTCTTGTCCAGCGGGGGCGATTGGTGACTCGTGATTGACTTGCTCGAAGATCTTGGTGGGTGGGGGCTTGAGGTCGCGGCTGGCAGGGACGAGGCTGGACGAGAAAGTACTGGAGGGCAGAGTTGACGGTGGATGGAGTGGAGTGGAGTAACCTCTCAATCCACTCCACTCCAGTGGAGTCTTGGCTGGAGTGGAGTCCACTGGACTCCAGCACTGGAGTCTAGTGGACTCTAGCTATATAGGTCCCCTTAAGGGGTAATAACTACCGTTCGAGCCCCGGTCGTAGTGCCTAGTTCCTCTTTTTGCACTTGCTCAAATATCGTCTAATTCGTTGATTTCTGCAATAAAACTCTAGACTATAAGATAGTTACATGTTTGCAATGTTTGCTTCTATCATTTACGCATCCTCTAGTGCCGCTATAACGGCCTTAAAGGTCGCACCTAGGTTTGTTATAATGCTATGTCTCATCTAACTCTTAATGCATTAGGCCTCCTTAATAGCCTCGCCGGTTAGCTTACCCCTCTAAGGGGTGACTATGTTACCGTAGCTTAAAAAGACCCGCTCTAGCTCATTAGACATCGCCGGGATAGTAAAGAGATCTCGGGCCATTTTAGATAGCCTTAGATAGGTATGTTTAATGCGTGATTTCGACTAGAACTCGAGGGGGTAATAGACATTAGGGACCCTACCTTCGACATACTATCTAGCGTATTTATCGGTCTCGGGGGTGTTATTATTAGTGTCGTCCTTATCTAATGTAATGTTAGCGTCCATCCATGCGGTTGCTTAAATAGATCGGTCCTCCTCTTTATTATTAGTTAATGCCTCGAGTAGTAGTTAGGAATACCTAAGTAACTAGAATTCTCGCATAGCGACCTTAGATGCCTTAATCTAGTCTTGTCTTATCTTCTACTTTAATCTTAACTACTTCTAGGTGTATGTAGGGTGTAGTACGACCGCTGCAACATAGATAGGCGACTAATCGGTCATGTAGTAATATTCATTTAACTTTTTCTAGGCTAGGTTTATCCTAGTCGCTAACATGCGATATTCTAATGTCTACTCGGTTATTCCGGAGGAAGTTAGTATCGGAGGTAGAGGCAGTAGAGGAGGTAGTAGGGGTAGCATCGTAGCCTACGCCTAAGCTTGTTTTGCTTTAGCCGTCTTAATAGCCTTACGCATCGGTCGGTATATAGGTAGGTCGTCGTCGAGGTCGATAGTCTAAGACTATAATTAGGATTAGGAGTTAGCGACTACTATACTCTATAATGTAGGTATCTCGCTAGTAAGAAGGGGGACAGCGGAATAGTTCTACGCTAGCTCGACAATAACATACTACGCCTTTAGCTTTTTAAAGTGTAAGAATAGACGCTCTATAGCAGGTATTACTTGCTAGACTACTCTATAGCTAGCACCGCTACCTCGACCCTCGAGGCGCTAAGTAAACTGCTATACTAGCTCTAAAATCTCGTAATATTGTGTTAGGATTGCCTAGTCGTCCTAAGTGATATAGTCGGCTAATATAGCTAGTTTCTTACGCATCTTCTTAGGCGGCGGCTTAGTGCTAAAGTCGGTCTTCTTATTTAAGTAATCTTGCTAACCTTTAAGTGTTTTATAGTAGAAATCGTCGATAGTAGGGCGTACGTTAATAAAGACTCTAAGGGCATTAAAAACCGAGTTCTAGCGAGTGTCGTTAAAAGCATAAAGTTTAGTAACTTTAGTTAGTAAGGGGTAGTTAGCCTATGCTTTTTTAAACGCTTTATTGCGCTAAGGCGAGGCTCTAATATAGACGATCGTGTTTCTAACTTTACCGAGAGGTCCTTACCGGCGCTAGTAATCGAGTTCCTCGACGGTTAGCTTAATACTAGCAAGCTCTTAAAGGAAGACGTCCTCGTTAATGCCCTATAGTAAGGCGCGCGCAACGAGGTTAAAGATATAGCCGGCGTAACGGAGCCGTTGTTCTATCGCATTAAATTAAAATTTAAGAGCTAGAGCTTTAATATAGGTGTCGTTATTCGAGGCATTGTCGGCGATAAAGAAACTAATGTTACCTAATAGATTAAATCGATTAATGATCTTAGTAATAGTCTCTGCTATGTTAGCACCTATATGCTTGCCTTCCTACTATAGTAGAGTAAGTAGAAACGTCTTAAGATTGCTATATTTATCTACGAAATGGACATTAATACTATATAGAGCTCGGAGGTTCCTCGAAGTCTATAAATTAAAGGAGAAATATATTACTAATGTTGCTATACGGAGCTGCTCGGTAACTACACTAATATAGCTATTATAGACTTATAATATCTAGTAGCGAATTGTTAAGTAGTAAGGAAGGCACCCCCGAGCATTAATAGCCGGATTTAGCATCTTAAGATAGTTCTATATATAGGGAGACTTAAGAAGGCGAAAGGTAAGGCTCTCGTAAACAATAAGCATAGTTATAGCTCCCTTCTAATCTGCTTTATTAAAGACTATTCTATACTACGTAATATCTTAACCGTACGAGGAATTCGAGACTCGTAATAAGGTAGGTTAGCTAGATAGCTAGTCGGCAATGCTTCGTAATCTTTTAGGTCTTAGTCCGTCCTTATTAATGTTATAGATAGTAAGCAAGTAAGAGATAGCGCTATCCGTGCCGTTAGTAACGTTATACGCGTGTTTACGGTAAGACCGCTACCTATAACAGTTAGTATAGACCTAGTAATATTTTAGTAGCCTTATTCCCTTTAGTTGCATGCGCTAGCCGTATCGCTAGATAGGGCTTAAGCTAGCGCCCTTGCTATTAGGAACACGCTTAAGGGTTAGTATACGACTCTAGTCGACGTGCTTATAGTAGCTAGTAACCTCCTCTTTTTCTTTGGCGGTTTACGGCGTAGTGCTTCGAAAGTCGGAACCTCGCTATAACTCGGTAGGGACGATAAATTCGGATAATTATAGGGCAGATGAAAGCGTGTCCGAGAAAGTATAGTGATTAGACATTAGTTAAGGTAGTAGTGTAGATAATAGGGTGTTAAAGAAAAAGTGTCTGGAGACGCCTGATGTTTACATTCTCCGCGCCTCCCATGACGTTGGAGTTGACCAATCAGAGGCTCCGGAAAGTGCCGTCGACCAATCAGAGAGCAGCTTGGCAACGCCACTGGAGTCCACTAGAGTGCTGGAGTTGGGAGCATACCACTCCACTCCACTCCAACACCCCTACCACTCCACTCCACTCCACTCTAGCACTGGAGTTTGGAGTGGAGTGGAATACCACTCCATCCACCGTCAACTCTGCTGGAGGGCGTGATCGGTGCACGTGGTTGAGGACGTTGAATCAGTGATGGTGTTTCGCTACCCATGGTTTGTCTTTGAGTCTCAGCTGCGAGTCTGTCACGGGTGGATGGCATGATTCTTGTGGCGGCAAGTCTCCTGCTGATCGCGACAGGCTGTCTTTGGGGTCGGGCGGCAGGGGGCCTGAAGTCCTCGATCATCGGCGGTGGGTTTGAGCTTCCAAGCAGCTTGATGCATGCGCTGAAATAGGCGTACTGCTCGCGGCGATCATTACAGGTGTCGAGGCCAAACACTCCGTCGAGAGCTGGATGCCATTCATCGCAGAGAACTTGGTGGCGTTTGACAACGTGAAGGGAGCCGGGAGGTCCACCACGATCCGAGTATGCAAGGAGCCGGGTTTTGCGTTGCTTTACCCAGATCTCCTGTCTTGAGCCATTCTCTAGGGTGGTCCATCCTACCAGCAGGGTTCCGGCTCTGTAGACCAAGGCTGACATTGGTAGGAAGAAAAGCAAGGATGGCTGCATCCGCTCATCGAAACGAGAAGGCATCGGGAAGAGCGCCTGTCTTACTTTGAGTAGAGCCTCGGCGCTAGGTCTGATGCTGTACACTTCGCAGAGGCGACTGTAGCGGCCACGAGCTGTGGCTGGGATGATAACATGGACGGAAGATGACATCTGTGAACAACGTCAATACGGATGGGCTTTATCGGTCCGCACATCTGCTCACTTTGGCGGTTGTCAAGCCGTTTGCCGAAAAGGAAGGCGGCTTGAAGTGAGGTCGGAACGTCTCGGAAAGTGATGTTGGTTTCGATGTCAGGCGAGCCAGCCTTCAAGCGTAGCACCTCTATGCGGAGCTACGATGAAGGAGAGTGCGACGCCGTTCGGATGTAAGACACCTACGCCGGGATTAGAAAGCGGCGCTTTGTCGACACGAAATTCGACGTGGTATCCGCGCCCGCCTTGGAAGAGCGCCAAGGCGATTCTTTAGCGAGACTCGTGACTTTTGGTGACAGGGAAGGCGCAGATGTGAGTGTTTTTCGAGAGGAATGAGGGAAAGAGGAAGGAAAGAGCAATTCAGGGTTGCAACGCGCTCATTGAGATTCTGAATGATGAACAAAACTTAACTTGAGTGCGACTGCATATTTTCGTTCTCAGCAACTCGACCAATCCAGATACACAGTAGGATCAGCCAAAGTCACTCCTCGTTGTCTCCTTCGTTTTCTTCTTCGTGGTCTTCTCCCTCCTCATCACGACCAAGAATATTCTTGATCAATGCGAGAACCAAGCCACCAGCCGAGAAAGCACGAACGATGCCCTGAATCAATGCAGAACCCCATCCACCCATGGCAGCGCTCTGAAGGACGCGGAAGAGCCAAGGTGTACCCAACCAGCCCTGGAAGCCAGCAGCGAGACCACCTGTGCAGAACAATCAGTACTGGAAGATAATCCTAAAGAAGACAGGGAGATTAGGCTTACCAGCAGCGGGGCCGAGACCGCCGAAGCCAAGCAGGGCGAGAAGAGGACCAGTCAGAAGAGCAGGACAGATGGTCAGGAGAGTGGTGACGAGGAAGGAAGTGGTGCGCTGAGGATTGTTTGCGATGGCGGTGCGGAGACGAGCGACCATGTTGGGCGAGAGCGAACCTTCAGGTTCGTTGTTGTTTTCTTCGTGGTCTACCATCTTGAATGTGTGCTTTGTTTCGGGTTGAATTGTGCTGAGGTGAGAATAAGAGGAAGCTGGGATGTCGGAGTCTTTTTATACGTGTCGTCGGCGGTCTGTGTGTTGTGTTGTGTTGTTGTTCCGGTGTCTTCTGCCTCGAACAAGAGTCTGTGATTGTCCCAGCACTTCCGTAGACTTCTACAAGAGCCACCCGACAGAATTGGCAATTAGTCAAGGTTGGCGCTCAATCCTTGTACCTCATAACACCACAACTCCTTTCGAGTGTCAGCCCCTCATCATGTTCCTGGTTCTCTTCGCTGTCCTCATCAAGATCGTCCACTCCAACATAAGCCAATCTCGCTTCCCAATGATAGATCGTTCCGCTCTTCTCTGTTTTGCGGCCACTGCAGAATTTTGTTAAGATCGTGGCTGTCTGGACCAGAATGTCGTAGGCCGCAGACACGATGCTTTGCTTGGGGGATTCACGAGGTTGCATTTCGGCGAGCATGGTTGGTTTGATGTGTCGGGAATGGTGAGATCGTAGGTAATGTAGGAATGGTGTCTGGTATTGAAGCTTGGAGTGATGTTTGCTTGTCTTGAATGTAAGGTGCGACAATCTTGCCAAGCATATTCTAGACAATTGTTTTGCCTCGACAACGCACTAACTTCGTTACATAACGGAGATGAGAATCAAGACCGTCAAATCTGGTTGTAGTGTTCTTTTGTATCTCGTTGAATGGTGATTTGAGCATGTGAGTCGCGCTGACCGGCTGCACTCTGTGTAATTGAAAAACTAGTCCCGGACTGCTTGTCTCTTGCTCCTCCTTCGCCCCTGGGAGGGGCTCCTATGAGCCTGTAGTCATGTCAGCGCGGTGTCTTTTGGTTAGCTATATCGGTCGTAGATATTTACCTTGTCACTAGCTCTCCTGACTCTGTCTCCAGCATTTTCCATCATGTTTGATGCGCGCTGTCTGACTCCTCGCTTATCCGCCTCTTCTTGGACATCATCCATGACATCGGAATCACCAGGACACCCAGTTCCGAAGACCCAGTCCAGGACGCCCCAGTGACCATAGTTGCCTTTGCCGCCAGTCGCATAGTGGGAGTCCGTCCTCTGAGCCATACCAGCCAGCAAGATCTGTGAGGGTAGTACAGAGTAGCCAGAGTAGATGAAGAATTGCTCCAGGCTGACGATAGCCGTAAGAATGTACCATGTCAAGACGTGGAAGCGGAAGAACAAGGTTGTCAGATATAATGGCGCCCAATCAGTCAGGAGGTGGCAGATGGGGTGGTCGTAAGTAGCGGTAAGAGAGAAGGGATGCTTCAAGCTGTGCGCCCAGTCGGCATGCCAACGTGCCAGAATCGATCCTCTGGGAGAAGCGTGCAGTATATCACGGTGTATGAAGTAGTGCAAGAACCCACGACAGACCAGGCCATAAAGCACTTCCTTAACCATGGTTGGCCATGGAGCTGGTGGAATCTTGCTTACACGAATGGCAGAACGGATGTTCAAGACCTCTGTGAGCACGTAATCGCATGCGCCTTGAGCGAAGACTGAAAAAGCGACATTGAATATGGAGACAAACAACACATTTCTCAAGCGACGCGAATTGAGTTGGGTGGGAAGCTGAGCAGCACCACGGGTCTTGATGCTGGCCGAGAGACTAGGGATGAGCGTGTCGAAGCCTAGAACAGCGAGACTGGGAAGCACGAAGAAGATGATCCTGATGGTGAGGGTTCCAATTAACTCCAAGTACAATGGATCATGAGTCGACACCAGAGTCACCCATGTCAAGAGAAAGAAAGCAAGACTGATTGTGGTGGAAGAAGAGCCGAAGAATGGAACGGCGAGGAAAGACAGCAATGGTAGCGGTATAGTCATGAGAGATGAGACTTGCGACAACATCTTGGCGGATGACCTCGACAAGATATCACTGATTGAGAAGCCACGGCCTTGAGAGTAGCCATAGTAGTACACTACCTCATCGCGCAGAGCTTGGAAGGCCATGTCTGCAAGGGGGGAGCTCGTGAGCTCGTAAGCTCGATGTTCGTTTCGCGTGAAGTCTCGGATCCAGAGATTGAGTATGTAACGCAAAAGATGCACTGATGCGCTGTCGCTGCTGCTGCTATTGTCAAGACACGGAAGTGAGAAGTCGCGGACGCGTTTGTCGCGTTGGTGGTGGGGTTCGTTGCGCAGTCTCGAATCCCGAGGTTGGCAAGCGGAGATTGGTCCAAGGTCCGTCTAGCGAAAGTCAATCGCCGGGGCCACGTGAGGCTGAGACAGGGCAAAGTTGTTTCTTCACATCGAGGTAAAACGAGAATAACAAGGGAATGGTCATGATATGGACATGGATTGCAAGTCAAGACGTCATCGAGTCGAGCAGGCATATCGAATCAAGGCATTGAAGGCTTCAAAGATAGAGTGAATGCAGGATAAATGACTGATGTGTTTGACGATTTGCGGTGGTGGGGGTGTGCATGGAAGAGTGGGCCCACCCCTAATGTTAATTTACAAGATGGGCATGAGCAAACAGAGAACAGGTTGGGAGGTATGAGAAGGTTGCACCATCCCCTCAGGCCAGGTCCGAAGCTTCTCTCTGATCTACAAGCTCCTCGGAGTACAAGAGCATCGGCTTGACAACAGGCGCGGCATGTCGACTGGCTGTGCGACGTGAATCCAGCTGGGCGCATCCGAAACAATCCAGTCCATCTTTAATCAGCCCCTGCAGTCCCATGTCACAGGTACGAGCGAGGTAGCGCGTCGTCCTGTGCGTGCCAGCAGCCAAGTCGCCCTCCGCCCACCAACATGCCGTCGGCACAGTTCCACCGTCCGTTCGATGCTCGTCGCGACAAGAGGCCCTCGACTGCGGGCAATGTCTCAAAGCATGCGCCGTCCGAGCCTCCGGTCATCTCGTCTCTGATCGCGTCCCTCGACGAAAACAAATCGCCCTTCACCCACGCTTCTTACGCCTACGTCTCGACCTCCGACCACTACGACAATGACGGATCCTTCTACAGCAGCCCTTCCCTCCGCCCACCACTGAAACACAGCCAAAGTTTTGGCATGGACTACGGCGCCTACCGTCAGCCAATCCAAGACCACGACTACGATAGCGACGGCGCTGACTTTCCCGTCATTCGTACCTCGAGGCGCCCCTCAGGAAAATCTACACATACTGCACCACCCTCGCCCGCCCTACACGGCTTACGAGAGATCCTACGCTCAGCCTCAAAAACATCTCTATCCCTGAACGGTCCAGAAAGACTCAGTCGCAGCAACAGCAGGCTGAGCGTCGAGAGCTGGTCCAGGAAACAATCTTCATCTTCCCCTACAAAGCTATCTTTGGACGCCCCCTCGCCCTCTGAGCGACTCGGCCGAAGACTTTCGCATCGCCAGACCTCACGCGAAACTCTGAAATCCTACAAAGACCCTCAGCAGTCAGCCGATCAGGCTCTGTTGAGCCCGAAACTCGGCCTCGAAGCCAAGGATCCAGCTAGAAAGAGTTCCAAGGGAAGATTATACTTGGAGGATGTGCTTGAAGACATGGCTACACCCAGCCCCAACATCTCCATGAACCGGCAACCAAACTCCAATCCTCGTTCTTCGAGCAGTAGAGGTGCTTTACACAAGGCTCCAGCCGAAAGTTTGCCAGTCAGCACCTCTAGGAGCACCCTTCCAAATCCTTCTCCTGGGCCTTCAATGTCGACCATCATTCCTCCACGCTCTTCGTCCTTGAACAAGCTGTCTAGTCCTACGAAGCCTAAGGCTAAGAAGCTTAGCAAGAGCAAGCGTGCGTTGGCGGCTCTCAAGGAAGTCAAAGAGGAACGAGGTCCACGTCGCAGATCGAAAGCTGACGCCCTCAAGGACATGTTCGAAGGCCTGGACGAGGAAGACCAAACAGTAAGACGCATCAGGCAACTCCGACAACAAAAACAAGATCGTCTCCGCATGGAATCTGAGGCTCTGCAGACACTGAACGACAAAAGGTCCGTGCATGACTCGGCAACTTCTTCCGCCTCGAGATTGCCGGATCAGCAGAAGCGTCCCGCCAATAGAGGCGCCGCCAGAGTCCCTGATTTGACAAAGGCTCACCGTATGCTCGGCCTTGACGAACTATCCTCATCTTCTTCCGTGGTTCACTACAAAGACACTGCAACGGTTTCCCCTTTTGACAGCAACGTTCGCAGTCGACCTAGCGTTTCCCGTGACTCTCCCAACGTCTCTGCAAACTTGTCTTCTTTCCCTCCTGATTCTCCTACCATCGGTAATGCCTTTTCCACCTCGACTGATTATTACCGTCCATTCCATACCCAGATTGCCAATGTTGCAGAGGAGCAACCATATGATTCATCTTCGGTTGGTAGACGCGCCGTTGCTAGGAAGTCGACTCACTCTCACCTTCTGAACGGTCTGGACATTGAAGGCCTCGACATGTCGCCACCTAGCACATCACATTCCAATTCGACTATTCAATCACGACCAAAGTCAAGCCGCCGTATATCATACGATGCCAGATTTCGTCGCAAGTCTATGAGCGATGCACGTGAGAACCGTCTGCTTGAAGACGATATCTTGCATGAACGAAACAGCAACGTCTCTATGGCAGTCAATGCATTTCTCAACAACCCACGATTGAATCAGAAGATAGCGCATCCGCAAACAGGCCGCATCATTTCCTTCTCCGAGGTTGGAGATCCCAACGGTCACGCTGTGATTGTCTGCGTAGGCATGGGTCTTACAAGATTTGTTAGCGTTTTCTATGATGATCTAGCGTCGTCATTGGGGCTTCGGTTGATCACTCCGGAACGACCAGGAGTTGGCGCAAGTCAGGCCCATCGTGATAGGGATCATATTGGGCCTTTGGCTTGGCCAGATGATGTAGTTACCATAACTCATCACCTCGGTATCTCTGAATTCAGCTTGATTGCACATTCCGCGGGTGCAATCTATGCTTTGGCGACCGCACTGATTTTGCCTCAATGTGTACGCGGAAAAGTACAGCTTCTTGCGCCATGGATCCCACCTTCTCAATTCGAAAACATCAGCCAGAAAGACAAATCACCGGATGATGTACCCATGGCCGCTTTGACACGAGGTCAACGCTTCCTTCGTGTTCTGCCTGTGCCATTCTTGAAGGCTGCGAATGGCAATCTTTTCTCTCCAGCTTCTCTCAAACCAGCCAATGGCAGAGGCAACGGCTCGCCCACCTCTGGCTCAGAGAGCCCTCGCGATACTCCTCGCAGGAGAAATTCGAAAAAGCGCCCGACTCCCTCACGACGGGAAAGCATGATACTCATGGATCAAGTAATACCTGAAAGGCCTCGCGATACAATGTTCCCTCTGCCCGAGCTATGCGAGGATGAAAAGGGTGACAAGACCGTTCGTAAACCATCAGAGGTTTCACTCAAACTCTCTGCGACAGCCTCGCCTATGGATCCCGGTCTTATGTTTGCCGCCGAGGCATTAAGCGCTGCTGAACATGCAGCAAGAGAGCACCAAGCAGCTTATTCCGCTCTCTTGACGGAACGAACGTGGACTCTAGCAACCCGCGATGCAAACCCAGCAACCGATCTGATCGTCTGTCTCGAGCGACACCGAGACATTGGGTTCCGTTATGTGGACGTGCACAAAAAGGTTGTAATCACACACGGGAGCGAAGACAAACGCGTGCCTGTAGAAAACATTCGCTGGATCGGTGACCAAATGAACCGATACAATACGCTGCACTGGAGCTTACAGGACAAGGATGCACAAGCGAACGACGGTGGATGCGAAATCCACGTCCTGCCTGGCGAGGGCCACGGCTTGATGGCTCATCCTGGAGTCATGTCTGACATCCTGTCAGACATTGCTAGCGAATGGAGCCCGACACGCTGGCTGATGCTATGAAGACTTGAACATATGTTTGGTTGTCATGTGAGGCATGACGACGAGAACCGGTCAAGTCAGTCATCTCCGAACCATGCCATTTTCCTTTCTTTTCTTTTCTTTTCTTTTATATGGACCTCTCTTGTTTGATTGAACAGTTCAGATACCCTCTTTCTTATGTCCCAGATATTCATACCCAACTTTTTCGGATGTAGTGTAAAGTCAACTCCTACTCGAGTAGACAATAAATTTCTATTCTTCTCGTATTAACACAAGTGAATGACGGCAGTGGTGAGACTTGTACTCCAATCAATATTGTTTGTTCCTCTGATCAACCCAGCAACGTGTGTTTCGTGTGACGGCGCGAACGACTAATAAGTTCTGTTGCGGCTGGGTGCATCCGAGAGCACTTTATGTTGCTATGCCAGAGGTAAACACACCGCCAAGAAAGGATAGTCGAGCAATCGCGATAAAATCAAGGTGGTCGGCGGCATCGTTTTCAGTTCTCGCATTGCTTCCAAGGCTATTTTACTTTTTCAAATTTCAGGTTATTCGTCTCGCATCTAGTGAAAGAGATCGTGGCGCAGATCTTGTTGTCGGATAATCGAGGTGGTTGGGCATTTTCGGAGGCTGGAAAACTAGCTGCAGGCGCACAAGGATAAACCCAACACGACCCTCTGCACCTTCCCGCGACATCCTTTTCTACACTTCTCCATCTTATCCTTCAGTCGTTATCCGCTCACCGTCGCACCGTTCAGATCAAACAGTCGTTGCTGATAAAGTTTCTGTTATCCAGCAGAAACATTCGCTCTTATCGATTCACGCTCACTGCGGGGTTGCAACGGCTATACCACACTACGCACATTCCTCCCCCACAACAGCGAGGCATTCCGCGGCCTCGAGTCAGCCATGCGCTCACCACGTTCCGACCTTAACTCAACCTCACGACAACTGCTTCGTCTTGCCGTCATCGCCATCACAATCAGTCCGACATTGGCAAATCCTCTCATCCCCAAGGAACTTGGTATCAGCGGTTTGTCACTCAACTCACTTTTCGGAAGAGGCAACTGCGAAACCCCTTGCGGTTGGTCCGGTCAAATATGCTGTACTGGAGGACAATCGTGCTACACAGACGCCAACAACCAAGCCCAATGCGCATCCACAACAGCTCCCGCACAGAGTGAGACGACCGGCTACTGGAAATACTGGACGAGCACCTGGGTAGAGACACATACTGAGACAGACATCATCACCAAATACAGTACTGGAAGTTCTTGGTGTGGTGATGCATCGACTACTGCTGTTGTTGGAGGAGGAGGCGGAGTAGCTACATCTGTTTGGGTTGCTCCTTCCTCCGCCGTAGCATCACCCACTGCTGCCTCTGTCAGCTGTAACTGGAACAACGGCGAGTCTTCTTGTGGCAGCATATGCTGTGCAAGCAACCAATACTGCGTAACCTCTGGACAATGCGCAGCCGCTGCAGGAGCCAGCTCTAAAATCAGCTCAGGCAGCTCAGCCGGTATTTCTCCCGCTATCCTACCAACAAGTAGCACCTTGGTAATCGTTACAGCAACCTCTTCCCCGACAACCACTGTCCCCTTCCTCGCTCCCGTCGCGACCGGCGCCAATGTCACCCTCACTGGAGCACAAGCTGTAAACTCGGGCGGTCTCTCAGGAGGTGCCATCGCTGGAATCGTGATTGGTGTTATCGCCGGCCTCATCTTGCTTTCCCTTCTCTGCCTCTTCTGCTGCGCCCGAACCCTCTGGGTCGCAATCTTCGGCCGCAAGAAGAACAGACGTACCGAACGCACCGAAGTCATCGAATCCCACCACCACACATCCTACGGCGGCGCAGGAGGAGCAGCATACGCCGGCAGCCGACCTGATAGAAGATGGCCTGGCTCCGAACCTCCCCGCCGCGAAAAGAAGAAGAGCAAGTTCAATGAATTGCTCGGAGTTGGTGCAGGTCTTGCTGCCTTGGCTGGTGTGCTGGGCTTGAAGAGGAAGCATGATCGCAGACGTGATGAGAAGAGTGATTACAGCAGTGCCTATACGGATGCTTCGTATAGTGATTACTACACTAGTGAGAGTGAGTTTGACCAAGTCTTCAGCAAATCTTCGAGTCACGCTAACAGATTTACAGGCAGTGCAAGCTCTGATGACAGACGTACGAGAGGAACGAGAGATGACAGACGCCCATCACGCCACCGATGAGAATAATACCACGACCGAAACGACGACACTCAGAAGAACCAAGACGAAGAAGAAAGAAACACGAACGAAGAGAAGGAGAAACCACACGAAGAGAAGGCGAATTAATGTTCTTATCCCCCAGCATGGCGGACGTGGGCGTTCAGGAGCTCGAAGCACATCACCCTTCTCACTACCTGACCGACCCACGCATTTCCACGGCGTTTTTTCTTTTCTATTCTCTTTTCCATAATTCCACGACCGCGAGATATGGTTGTGTCAAAGGCGCTTTTTTGGGAAGTCATGAAGAGAAGGATGGGTTGCTTTTTTTTTGCTCAAAGCTTTGTAGAAAGAAACGAGGCTTTGTCGATGTATATAGGAAGATGGGAATGCGAAAGCTCATGACAACATGTACATGACTTCTACTCCTCTTCATATCTGCCTTGAGGTAAACGACATTGTCCGTTTTGTCTTGCTCTTGACAAGACTTGGATGTTGTAATTACAAATCTCGTCCACAAGGGAGACTCAAAGTTATGTAAGGGAGTGTTGATTTCATTCATTGGTGTTGATTATTTACGTGGAATGACGAGTATAAGATTGTAAGGTTCGATGGAGTATGGACTTCGCATGCTGGACTTGAAGACTTGTTTTTAGAGATCTTAGAGGATAGATAGACATGAAAGGGCTCCAGAAATCGAGAGCTGTTACAATGTTCTTATCTACTCTGCTGTTCCTAACTCGCGTATGTTTCACATTTTATTTCTTTTAATGCTTTTTCTTTACAGCTTAGATTATGCTTGTAGCATGTTATAAAGCTTATCTTATAAAAACGCTCCTGACAGTCGAAGAATATCATGACAATCTTTGAGCAGGGTGGCCCTGTCAGAATCAGACAAGATGCGGAGATTTTCGAGCAATCTGTGCTCCACCTCACAGTCGTCGACGGCTTTGGGGCCTTGACTGTCTGCACCACCCGTCTAGCTAGCCTTTGTCGACAACTTCCACGGGCCAATGGGATGCTGCTGCAGTGGTCAGGGCGGAGTATCAACAGTCTGCATGATGGCGTTTTGAGATCGGGATCTTGATCATTCCGCCCCCAATGAGGCGAAGCGCAGGCGCTTACAGGCATCAATGCTCGCTATTTCGTGTCCGATGATTGGCTCATGATACCACACAGTACTGCATACCTCCTGAGGGGGGTGGAGTCGGTCAGCTACCTTCGAGCTCATAAGTCGTATCTTACCCATGGCGGACGATTTCTTGTTGTTTCGCTCCAAAACCTGAGAATCTGATATGGACGAAAACACGGCACAGAAAAGCGGCGGGGATTCGAATCCTCGAGACACATTTGGCCCTTGTCTGTTGTCGCTCGACGGCGGTGGTGTGCGTGGTCTTTCCACGCTGTATATCCTGAAGAGCATAATGGATAGACTGAACCACAGCCGCAAGCAGAAACAGCTTGCTCCGGTCAAGCCATGCGACGTGTTCGATCTCATAGGTGGCACAAGCACTGGCGGGTATGAATCCTTCTTTCCTGCCTTAGAGGTGTTTGTATTGACAATCAACACAGACTTATTGCCATTATGCTCGGTAGACTCGAGATGAGCGTCGATGAGTGTATCAAAGCATATAGCGGACTTATAGCGACCGTGTTTGGAGTGCAACTGAGCAAGATCCCCATGACCTTGAAGGGCAATGTCAAGCCGCGCTTTGACTCCGCGAAGTTAGAGGCAGCTATCAAACAGGTCATCAGCCAGAGCGGTCTCCCCGAGGACACCATGTTTGATGATGGGATCGAGCGTGGATGCAAGACGTAAGTATCCGAGGGTTCGATGTGGACAAGGCCCTAACAAAGTTAGCTTCGTGTGCTCCATCGATCGCCACACAAAGGCTATGGTCCGTCTTCGAAGCTATAGTCTCCCAGATGAGCAAAACGTCCCCGCTACCATCTGCCAGGCTGCACTCGCTACATCCGCTGCTACAACGTTTTTCGCCCCTGTGAGTATTGGCAAGCGCTCCTTCGCTGACGGGGCCTTTGGCGCGAACAATCCCGTAGACGAGGTGGAGGGTGAAGCCACAAATATCTGGAGCCCTGATATGCGCGAGCTGCAGCCTCTTGTTAAATGTTTCATCTCCATCGGAACAGGTAATCCAGGTATAGAGCCATTCAAAGACGGCGTGCCCGGATTCCTTGGTGGCACGGTACCTCAAATTGCGACTGAGACTGAAGCCACAGATCGGAAGTTTATCGCGAGATGGGCCAGACATTTCGATGAGAAGCGATACTTCCGCTTCAATGTCGAGCAAGGACTGCAGGGTATGGGGCTTGCCGAATATGAGATGGAAGGAGCGATCCAAGCAGCTTCGGAGGCATATTTGACCCATACAGGACAGAAGTCCCGAGTGCGAGACTGTGTTGGCAATTTGAGCCTGAAGCAGAGTGTGTACATCGAAGACTTTGCATGAGGAATTAAAACCTTAGCTGAATCTTTGCAGAAAAAACAGACGAGTCCTTCGCTACAGTGCAGCGGGTATGTGCATTGTAGCAATCCAGCATGTTGTTTGCTGACATGTTAAGGAATATCTTGCCCGTGTCGCACAATGTCTGTCACAAGCGAAGATAGCTCGGCGGACCTTCTACGATATTCCACCTACCGCGGTCTCATCTTTCTCGGGACGCGAGAAGATCCTGAAACGAATTAACGATGCTTGCCCACGGATCACAGATACGACGGCTACCCCCAAGCCACCCCTCTTCGTGCTGCAAGCCATGGGTGGTCAAGGGAAAAGTCAGATTGCCCTGGAATATTGTCGGCGCTCACGTTCACGATTTCAAGCTATCTTTTGGATTGACGCTACCTCGGACGCCTCCGTCCAAGGCGGGTTCGAAAGAATCGCAAAGAAGTTCGACCCATCAGCCGCAGCTGGTCCGCAAGGTAGAGACGAGAAAATTGATCTCGTTCAGAAGAAGCTCGCCAATCTGGAAGAAGAGTGGTTATTCGTCTTTGACAACTATGATGATCTCTCCAGCTACAAATTGCGACCATATCTGCCTACAAGTGAGCAGCCTTCTTTCAACACCTAGTCGTTCGTTAAGGCTGACTTGTTTAGATGGGCGCGGCCTCATCATTCTCACCAGCCGTCACGAATCGTCGCGTGGTTACGCACGGCCTGGACGAGGAAACTTTCTAGCTGTCCCATCCATGGAGCATGATGGTGGTCAAGTTCTCTTGCAGAACAAGCTGATCGATACCACCGAGCAAGAACGATCCGAACTCCTCCAGCGACTGGGTGGTCTTGCACTCGCTATTGATCAAGCCGCGGCCTATATCTCTTTCCACAAGTTATCAATCTCAGATTTCATGGCAGAATACGAGAGTCGCAAAGCCCAAATTCTGCAGCATTATGAAGAGGATACATGGGAATACCACACGCACTTGAACAACTCAGAGAAGCAAACAGCCCTCACTGCTTACACCACATGGGAAATGAGTTTCCAACAGATTGAACCTGACAATCAAGATCGGAAAGAGTGGATAACTCGATTTCTGAGCATATCTGCGTTCCTTCAGCCACTACGGATCGGAGAGCATGTGTTCCGCAAATTCTACACAAACGAGCCGGAATCATCCGTCTGGTTCAACGCGTTTACGGGAATTGAATCGGAAGACAGCGCGAGCGATGTCCATGAGACTCGGCCAAAGTGGAATGGTTCTCGATTTCACAAAGTCATCCGAAATCTGGAGGAGCTCTCACTTGTTAGTAACACTGGCAACTACTCTGGAGACACAGGTACCTGGTTTAGCATTCATCCAGTCATACGAGACTGGCTCCAAATCCGAATGAAGTCAAATTTGCGGCAAGAAACCCTTGAGGGGTCTCTCTGTTTTGTCGGAACAGTCACGGCACTCGAGGCCACCATGGTCGCAGGCGTCGAGGTGACCCAAGAGCTTTTGAATCATGTCGATATACTGGTTGGTTCCATGAAAGCTCTACCGAAGGACGGCTTTTTGGACTATGTATTGGTAGGAAACAGTGCCATCGATTTTGGGCATTATTATTGTGGAAATGGACACTACAAGAAGGCAATCGAGCTGCTAGAACACGCTCTCGACGTCGTCAGAGCCAGTTCCGCAGCAGACAACTTGGCTCTCAGGCTGGAGTACACACTTGCTTTTGTGTACAATAGAGACCGGCATAGTTCGAAGGCCATCGAGCTTCTGGAACATGTTGTACGGGTCGAAGATCTCGAGGAGACCCATCCTGACCGACTTGCATCGCAGCAAGAGCTAGCTATAGCATATCGAGAGAACGAACAAGTCGAAGATGCTATCAAGCTACTAGAACACGTCGTTGCGATTCNAAGATAGACAGGCCGAAAGAGGCATTAAGCTACTAGAGCACGTCGTACAAGCCTGGCAAGGCGTTGATGAAGACCATCGTCTTAGTCTTGTAGCGCAGTGCGAGCTTGCGAAAGTATACATCGAAGATGAGCAAGCAGATCGAGGCATTGAGCTACTAGAGCACGTCATCCAAGTCTACGAGAGGACCAAAACTGCAGATAACGATCCCTGGTATCGTTTGTCTCGGCACGAACTCGCTGAAGCATGTCAAGAGAGAGATCGGAACACACTTCAGTAACTGTCTGGACTATTAGCGTGGATCAAGGCACAGCCGCCATGTCAACACATACTTCCGGGCGGAAATGGTTGAATTTGAGGAAATGGTTGAGTTTGACTATTTGATCATGGCGACAAGATCATCAGGTGGCAGCTTGTATCTGTTTGGATTTCAATGAGATTGAAAGGCATGTCAAGAGGAGATTGATGATCGTTTTCCGCTGAGCTTAGCTGCATGGTTGGGTCAAGCTTTGGGATGCGAAGATCGAGCTGGAAGGTCTTGGTCAAGCGACTTGATTTGAGAAACTGAGCTGGACAGGTTGGACGGGCGTATTGGCAAGGGAGTATCTTCACATGCGAGCGCAAGAGTCGCTTCGGAGGCTGGGGCTCCAGGAGTTGTGACTTGTCGCTAGGGCCGGATAAAGATCTCCTTGCGGAGTTCTCATGCATCATTATTCTACACCCGGTATTGGGACAATCAAGAAGCACATGGAGAAATCAAAAACACCCGAGTATTCTCTATCTACACATTACTGCTAGACCAAAGCAAAGTCCGACCCATTCCAAGCAAATCTATCGCCATCAGCAGCAACATTATCCTTTCCAGTAAACGCTCTCAAAGTCTGAAAATCATCCGCAGCAGAATAATACCAAATCACACAACTAGCCTTGTACCCAGGTCTAGTGATCAGAACAGGGTTATAGCCAAACAACCAGCTACCCACATTCATAGTAGTTTTTGATATAGCTTGGTTGTAGATGTAAGTGTAAACACTCTTTTGAGTGATTTGCTTGTCACCATAGACCACAGAGACGAGTTTGATGGGGGAGTTGGCGGGAGGAGCAACGGTGACGGCGTTGCCTACGCAGTTCCAGCCGTCGCAGTTGGTGTAGGTGGGGAATAGAGAGTCGCGACCTTCGGCTTCGGAGATGGCGAAGGTGCGGAGAGTGGTACCGTTCATGTACAGAAGGGTGATGAGCTTGGGGTTGCCAACCCACGGGTCCACGCCGAGAGTGGGGACGAGGTTGAAGGTGTCGAGGTAGTATCCATTGCCGGACTTGAGCTTTGTCTGAGCGAGCGAAGTGACATCTTTTTGACCGAAGAAGGCACTCAGGATAGACAGAGTGGGTGCTGCTGCAGAAGAAATGGCGGAAGAGGAGGAAGATACAATGGTGGAAGAAGTGCTTGTGGCTGACGAGGTGGGGACAGCACTAGAAGAGCTGGTGGGCTTGGGTAGAAGAGCGTTGCTGACATATCCGTTGCTGCCGGCAATCAGGACTTGGAAGGAGTTACGCCATTGGCCATAGTTGTTCGCGTTGACGAGGCCGACGACATCACCCCAAAATACACACTTCACGTTGATTGTGGAGGCGGGGTTGGGGCAATTGATTGCGTTGGGATCGAGCTAAGTCACTGGTTAGTGTTAAACAACTTTGAGAAGGAAACAGAGCTTACGGTAGGATCACGCTCGAAGTAGATGTTGACCGAGTTGCATCCAGTGATGGCAGAGCACTTACTGGCACAGCTCTGTACGTCGTGTGAAGGCAACAAAGTGTAGCCCATGTACTGATTGGCCGAGTTGGAGGCATTCAGGTTGGTGAACATAGCGGTATATCCAGCTGGGGCGGCTGCATTGTTGGCGGCTTGAGCATAGTACGGGTCGGCGACAAAACCAGCAGGGGTATCAGGAGATGACTGATGGGTAATACCGCTGGGTTGAGGTGCACAAGTACCGTCACGCTTTCTCATGCGACGCCTTTGGACACTGGAAGCACCCACAGATGCACGGGCTGCAGCATCGATCAGACTAGTTGCGCTGGGATCGGAAGATGCGGTGGCAGAAACAGCCAAGGTGGTTGCAGTGACTGCAGGTTGACCAGCCGTAGCATAGACAACTGGAAGATTGAAAACGCCAGTCGGGGTAGCGACAGGGATACCGGTGATGTTGATCGATTGGGCGCTGACTAGTGAGGCAAGAGATGCCAGAGCAGCAATACCGCGCTTCATGGTGTAGGCGACGAGAATATTCTTAGGGGTAGAAGAAGATAGGTAATGGATGGTTATGGGTGAGTGTTTTGAAGCAGATACCTTCATACTTTATATCTGACTTCCCACTACGCCGATGTGGTGACAATTCAAAACCCAAGATCTGTAGAGTTCGAACACGACAAGCCCTTGGCCCAAGACTGAGGTCCGGTATGGAGCCCAAAGTGTCTTGAGCGGAGACGCCGCGAGATACCAGGCACAACTTCCTACACTCTGTCTGATTCCAGCCTTGTAAGGCTGTCGATGACAAGCTTGGTCCCTCCGAACTTGCCTCAAGGTTCAGGAATACGGAGAGCCTTTCTCATACAAAGTTGCGGCAATGATTGGCTGCATCGCAGTTTTATGGCCGGCTAGGTGTGGTGTAGCACGGCATCTATGGAGGGACTTTGAAAGCTGCTACAACCTGAATGTGCTTGTTTGATGTCAGTGTCTGTATGAACACAATACAGCTTTGTTGCAATAATATCCTAGAGAACCTACAAAAGATCAGAGTACGGTCACTGTTCGGTGGCATACTCCAGGGCTTAACACGAATTGAAGATCCTCGGTGGGCAACGGTGACAGGGCTGACGCAAGCGTTCGTATGTTTTTCAAGCCTGACAGGTTTGACTCAAACGCTCGTATGTCTCAGTGCACATGACAGGGCTGACGCGAACTTCCACGACGTTCAGAAAACTTGGCCGCAGACTTCGAGGCTTCCAGATCGAGTTCCTTGGGCCGAGACAAGTTGGGAGTCTACTCTTTCGTTGTGCTCGTATCCATGGGCGAGGCAGTGAGAGTATGCATCGCAATGTGTTCCGGATCCAATTTGCTTCCGCAGCGTTTCACGCTGTTAAACTCCTCTGCAGAGCTACGGCATCGTTGCTAGCTTCCACTCTCTTATCTCTCTTGCTGTAATATTTAGATCGGAATCTATGAGAGTGTAGTGCCGACCTATTCATGCGGACCAAAACCTTGGAGGATCGATGAGACGGATGTTCTCTCCAGTGAACTGGGCACGAGGTTACCTCATACCGTGGGACGAGCTGTCGTGGTGTAAAGATAACCGAGTCTCAAGCACACGAATCAGTCCACGTGCTTGCATTTATACAGCGCTGGCGAATCTTCACGATTGTCCTTTCGAATTTACGAGTGGTTCGCGGAAGCTGGTGAATTTCTCCAAAGCGGACATGTCGCATTGACCTCGACGCTCGCTGAGAGTCGCCAGAATCGATCGACAACCCACGACTTGGATGATCCGTTCATACGGTCAGGACAATGTCTTCACATACCACTAGGTGTTGAAGTTGAAGAAGTTTGGTGAGGAAGGTGCAAGCTCCGCCATCGGCCGCATTTAGCCGGAGAAGCCGGAGGTCTCAAGAAATTCGAAGAAAACATCCCCCGACAAGGCTGGGAAGCCAATCCTTCGACTTGGCTAAACACGGCAAGCAACCACCAAGGTGGGATCTCAGCAAAATTTTCATGCATTGAGTCACGATTATAACCACATATATGTCCAGAAGGTAGGTCCAATACTTTGTAAGTGTCGGACCAGTCGACCAAAGCCAAAATTATTGCCTCAGGCACTCATTATTGCGAGTTACTATCCTCAGGGTCGTGATGGAAGCTTCAGAAGCTCAACTACGGGAAAAGTCGCCGGTGCGAGCGTCTGCCGAAACATCAACAACAGATGCTACAGGAACAAAAGATGAAGCTTTAGCACTAGCTGGCGACAGGGCTCGAGCAATCGACCCGGCTCTCGAACGCCGAGTTGTCAGAAAGATCGACCTCTTTCTAATGCCACCAATGGTCATTGGATATGGACTCGTATACTACGACAAAGCCATCTTGGGAAGTGCAGCTCTATTCGGGATGACTACCGACTTGCATCTTACGGTTGTTGATCGCACGACTACTCCGCCAACGACGAGCACGGATCGATTGAGTTGGGCGACGAGTTTGTTCTACTTCGGAATGCTTTGTGGGCTGTATCCGATGAGTTTTGCTTTACAGAAGTTCAATATCGGCAAGATTCTTGGTCCGATCGTTGTGCTTTGGGGCGGTATTTGCATGTTGACTGCGGCGGTCCAAGATTGGCGTGGATTGTTTGTGCAGAGATTCGCTCTGGGCTTTGTGGAGAGTATCATCCCTACTGGCTTCTCTTGCATTGTGTCTGGCTACTACACTCAGCGCGAGCAAACCTTCAGGCAAGCCTGGTGGTTTTCTGGAACTGGACTCTTCACCATCATCGGAAGTGCTTTGAACTATGGCTTTGGTCAGATCACTGGAGGCGACCTCACACGCTGGCAATATATCTATCTGCTTGCTGGAGCTCTGACCATCATCTTCGGTGGCTGGTGTTTTCTGGTTCCAAACTCGCCAGTAAGCGCTTGGTTCTTGACTCCCGAAGAGCGTATTGTTGCTGTTGAGAGACTTCGCAAGGGTCAGACTGGAGTCCGCTGCAAGGAGATCAAGATGTATCAGATTAAGGAAGCGCTACTAGACATCAAAGTCTACCTCGTCTTCATCATGATGATGTGCGCTTACACTGTCAATGGTGCTGTCGCTGGCTTTGGACCTTTGATCGTCAGCACGTTCGGCTGGAATACTCTACAGTCCATCCTCTTGCAATTCCCTGTTGGAGGTATCAGCTGGCTGGGTATTCTACTTGCCGGATTCATACCTCTCTATATTCGAAACGTCAGAATCATCATCCTGGTCATCTGCTGTCTTCCGGTCATCGCTGGTTGTGCTATGATCTGGAAAGCAGACTGGACTCACCATGCCGCTGCGCCTGTAGTAGGCTACTCAATCATCGGCTTCTTCGGACCTGTGGTCTCGCTGATCATCGCACTGGGTATGTCGAATGTTGCCGGTGCGACGAAGAAGAGTTTCATGAGTGCTGCAATCTTTGTCGCATACTGTGTCGGTAATATTGTTGGTCCGCAGCTTATCAAGAGCGAGACTCGCCGTCAACACTACCCTGAGCTTTGGACTGGCTTAATTATCTTCTACTGCATCACTATTACTGCTTCCCTGACATTGTCCTACGTTATGTGGCGCGAAAACAAGCGAAGGGATGGGCTTGACCTCAATGAAGACGATGCTGATCGACTTGCCTTCCAGGACCTCACCGACAAGGAGAATCTCCACTTCAGATACGTTCTTTGAGGAACCACGGGACGGATTTGTTTGTTCAATGTCATGATGTGTATTTCATACCAAAGCATCTACCTCTATCTAGGTTCAAGATTTCAAGAGTTTATCCTTCTTTCCAATGAAGGCTTTTCCAAAAAGTCGTGTCATAATGCGTTTACTCGTCGTTGCAAAGGACGTAACGGTAACGAGCCTTGCCAGCCTCCATATCGACGATGGCGGCGTTTGCATCCTTCATGGGACGCTTCTGGATCCAGGGGTGAATCTGCTTGTCGGCGGCCAATTGGAGCATCTCGTTGATCTCCTCGGGGCTGCCAATAGCGCTACCACCGATCTTGATACCGTTGATGATGAGGGTGAAGGCGTTGACGTTGGGGAGCTCACCACCGTCGGGAGCACCGACCTGGATGAGAGTGCCCTTGGTCTTCAGCAGGGCGAGGTAGCCATCGAGAGGCATCTTGCCAGATGAGACGGTCGAGACGATGAGGTCAAGGGAACGTCTGTTGTGCTCAACCCACTTGTCGTCGTCGTCGGTAGCGATGTATCTGTCGGCACCGAGCTTAAGGACATCGTCCTTCTTTTCTGCCTTACGAGAGATACCGACAACTTCATCAGCTCCAAGGGCCTTGGCGAACAGGACACCGAAGTGACCAAGACCACCGACACCGACGATGCCGACCTTCTTTCCAGGTCCGGCACCGTAGTTCTTCAATGGCGAGTAGACGGTAACACCACCGCAGAGCATGGGAGCGGCCTCGGCGCTATCAAGACCATCGGGGATCTTGAATGTGAAAGCACCCGGGTGACGGGCGTAGGTTGCGTAGCCACCGTAGGACTTGCCGGAGCCGTCCTTGTACTTGTCGCCGTATGTGTTGGTTCCGTTCAAGCAATGGCTCTGATCGCCGTTCTTGCAGTCCTCGCACTTGCCGCAGCTGTGGGATTGAGCGCCGACACCGACTGGGAAACAATCAGTACGCTAGTCAAGCTTCGATAAATCCGAATTGGAACCATACCTCTGTCGCCGACCTTGACGTGCTTCACGTTGCTTCCGACCTTGACGGCCTTGCCAACAATCTCGTGACCAACGCAGCAAGCTAGAGCAGAATTGTTAGCGATTACAATCATCAAGGTAGTAAGAGCCAGGGCCACTTACGGTATGGTGTCTCTCCCCAACCACTCTTCAAGGTGTGAAGGTCAGAACCGCAGATACCACAGTGAGAGACCTTGATATCGACATCATCCTCAGACCACTGCTTAGGCTCGAATTCACCCCACTTCATGTTGCCCTTGACGGACTCAGCATCGTGACCGAGCCAACCCTCAAACTTGTAATCGGTTCCAGACATTTTGTGAGAAATTTGTTATGTATGTGTTTTGTAGGGATAAAAAGGTGTCAATGGACAAAAACAATGCACGTTTAATGGGGGCCGCACCTTCCCTATCTTTATAGCCACCATAAAAAGCCGTTCCCAAGACACGGTGATCTCATCATCGAGCGTAAATCCAGAGCTTCGAGGGCCGGAGTTTACTGGTATTCCCGTCCTTTTAGCCTACGGCAAGCAGCGGAGCATGTCACCGCGGCCCTTACATTGTCATTCACAGCCGGAGTTGGGGAATCATGATGCATCAGGCCGGACTTAGGGTGCTCCGGAGCTGATAAGCAGCTCTTATCGCGAACTTTGATGACGTAGCAAGCTTCAGCCGTTTTGTTGACCGCTGTTCGTCGGCCGAAAATCAAATCATTCTTCAGAAAGGACAGTTTGGCTTTACAGTGGTACCACCAGAAGTCATCGGCCGAAATGGTATGCACTTGTTCTCTTGAGGTATAGCAATTGGACCCAATGTTGTTGAAAAGGCGATGCGACTCGAGATCATCTCATTGCTTTGTGAAGCCTCGAAGCCAAGCAGCTCTTGCAACTTCTCTGTCTGGACTTCCTGCAAACCACATCTGCTACTAAACTACGTTTGATGAGCCAGAACTGATATACAGGTCATCGAACGCGGTCGTACAAACCCTCCATCAGCACGATGATTGTGGTCACTCATTAACCATACCCACGACGCTGCTGTCACGATGAACCCAGCCTCCAAATCGTTCCTCAATTCTACTCGCATCAAGCCCAAAGCATACATGGAAGCAAGCATTATCACAAGCATATCAGAAATAACTTTCAAGAGGTGGAATTGGACACCACAACATGTTTCGTGCAATGTGATTTGCTGCACCATTGAGTAGACCAGGGTCATGCCCTCAGCCATACTCAAAATCAGTCACCGCATCGACTACGGTATCTCCGATGATTTATACTTGGTCTAACCAGTGTTCATGAGTCTTGGAATCTGATCAAACCGTATTAAGTCGTCATTTTGGCAGAAGAGGCTCGGACAGTCCATTCACGCGTCTTTAGACTCATCATTGGATCCGGCGTCGTAACACCTGCAGAGTCAATAGACACAAGACTCACTGATTCAGGCTTCTGCCAGTAAAAATGAATCATATAATGTTCTGCGTCGTAGGCAAAGTCCCTGAAACAACCTTGGATGTTCGGTCTTCGTATTGGCATAAGTGAGCTCAAACTCCTTGTGCCCGAGGAAGATACTTTGCGAGACACAGCACTGATGCGACCTCTGCACACCCATATGAGACTGATGAGTATACTAGGGTGGAATAAGACGCAGGAGTAGATCAAGCTTGGTCATTCGAGGAAACTGGTTTGAAAAATGGTAGATTTGGAAATATGAAAGATGGACATAGTCTACATCGTACCCGCCAGCCAACTACCCCCCGTGTATCAGTGGTACCCGTTCGTTGATCCACTGGTTCCATTGCTTCCATTCGACTGAAGCTTGCTGACATTGATCTTAGGCAGGTCTGCGAACTGGACTGCAGCATGAATCTCCTTGTCTGCACCTTCAGCAAGGGGCATCAATGGCGAGCGCACGGTAGCGTGGTTGAGAATGCCTCTAGCAACAAGCGCATGCTTCAGCGCCACTGTTCCCTCCATATGGCTACCACGATGGTAAACAGCTTTGGTCAACGGCAGCAGCTGATCGTGCAGTTGTCTAGCTCTGGCGTAATCCTTGGCCTTGCCTGCTTCAATCATCTGGATCAGAAGCTCGGGAGCGATGTTTCCGTATCCGACAAGGAAGCCGTCAATATCAAAGGCTGTGTGCAGGAGGTATTCGTCGTGGCAGGTAAGGATCTGGAGTTCAGGACGCTGCTTGTGGATGATGGGGATCTCGACGTCCCAGCGACGCATGTTGCGGACACCGTTCTTCATTGCGAATACGCCAGGTTGTGCGGAGATGTCGAGCATAGTTTGCAAGCTGTATGTTGCCTTGGTGTTGTCGGGGTATTGGAACAGGATGAGAGGAAGCTTGCTGGTCTCGTAAACGACGCGGTAGCGATCCTGAGGTGCACCATCCTGGTGTCCGAAGCGCAACCAACCATGGGAAGGGTAGAGAAGACCAGCCTTTGCACCAGCATCTTTGGCGCGCTTAGCCTCCAGTGTGGCCACTTCGGTACCCTCGCCAGTGATACCAGCAATGATCGGGATTCTGTCATCTACGGAGCGAAAAAAGGCTCTGATGACTGACTCCTGCTCATCTTGGGTCAAGAAGGTTCCTTCTCCGGCGTGGCCTAACTTGACGCTCTCGTAAGTCTTCTCACACACTTGTACACAAAACACCGGAGCACTCACTTTGCTACAGGCATATGGCTATCCTGCTGGATCCAGCCCGGACTTGGGTTGCTTTGACCCCATCATGTACTGATGAGAATAAACCCTCAAAACCAAACATTCACGAGATATTTCCCGATCTTTGTACTCTTATATGTGGTCGTAGTATACCACTTGTATATAAAGCTTCCTTTTGCCTGACGATCATGCCATTACATCAGAAAATGTAGACCATGAACACCGTTTGGGCACACACTTGGATGCACTCAAATCATGTTCCTTGTAATAATGATCCTTCCCGATGCATGTCAGACCTCCGCCAAGACAGCCATCCGAGGCAGCAGTATAAGGTTCTAGAAAACCAACCACTTCCCCTCATCTCTCCAACCTCGTCCAGCCCATAAACATCCTCGTCCCAATTTTCTGCCATACCGAAGTCCACTTTTGCGTGTCTTTGAGAACATCACAATGGCTGCAGTGCAATCACTTCTTCGCCCTGTCTTCGCCCTAGTGGGCTGGACTTTCGCAATGGAAGGCTGGATGTACGCAACCCGCCTACCAGCAATGACAAAATACAAGGTCAAAACCGACCCGAACTTTTCAAAGGAGAAACTTAACAATCAGATTCCTGCTTCTGTGAGATGGAAGGGTGAGACTTGTTCCTCATACAAGGCTGCCGAATTTGTTGCTAATGTCATTAGCCGACAACTACGACCACCTCCACGAAGCACCTACTCGCTTCTACGCCGTCGCATTGGGACTGGCCCTCTATGCCTCTACTTCCCCGGCCTCATTGACCACCAACTTCATGGCTACAGAGGCCAATCTTGCGTGGATGTATGTTGGACTCAGAATTGTGCATAGTATTGTGCAAGCAAGTGCCAATCCCGTCATGATAAGATTTGGAATCTTCGCTGCTAGCGAGATCACCATGTTGGGACTTTTGATCAAGGGCGCGACTGCTGTTTGGGCGGCTAAGAGCTCTGGAAGTGTTATTGGTCTCTAACTGTGTGGAATGGTGATAGGGGCTCAAGGGATGACGGACGGGCTGTTCTACCATGTCAGTGACGGCCAGTGTGTAGTAGCGGCCGAAATGCACAAGCTTACTTGCGAACTGCGACAAGTTCAGAACCCTGCCTATTGTCGATGGCTTTCGATGGTAGTCCCCACGATGCGAGATCACTTTGTCTGGTCCGACGGTTTCTCTGAAGCAGAAAGCTGGTAAGCGCAGCGATCACGGCCGATACATTACCATGTGGCTGCCATGCAGATCTGAGCTTTATTTTAACATATGCTCAAAAATTATTCCACAATTGGTTTTGTGGTGTAGTTGGTTATCACTTCTGTCTAACACACAGGCGGTCCTGAGTTCGAGCCTCAGCGGAATCATTCGTTTTGCTTTTGTTAAGATGCCTTTTTTGTCAGATGCGGCAGGTTGTGATTAGATCTTCTGGGTCATCGTCGCCCATGAAACAACGAGAACGTAGAGGATGGAAGATAGTCATGACACAGTATGATCGACGGTCTCAATCATCGTCTCACCACTCTGCTCTGCAGTTGTGGGGCAGCGTCGGTGGAGCAAGCTACTCTTCGGTGACTCAATTCGTCCTCAACTACCATCTATCCTGTCAACACCAATTTCTATCTCGTCCAATCGTCACAAATCCCAACAACCGCAATATTGTGGGACTATACAAACATGAGCGACGAGACAGACCCCATACTCGCAAAACCAGCCGACCTCTGCTGCCTCAAAGGCTCCTTTCACACCGGAGAACCCCAAGGAAAAACAACACACATAGAAGGCATAGAAACATACATAGCCACCCCAAACCCCAAAACCGCCAATGGAAACGTCCTACTATATTTTCCGGATGCCTTCGGCTTGCATGGAAATAGTTTTCTTTTGATGGACGCTTTTGCGTCTTGTGGGTATTTGACTCTGGGGGTTGATTATTTCCTGGGGGTATGTTGAGATTGTAACTTTGGGAAAGGATTGGGAGGGAGAGATGTACTGATTTGTTGTAGGATGCTGTGTCCAAGCACACCACGACGCCGTTGAGTGACCCTAAGTTCGACTTTGAAGCTTGGTGTGATAAGCACCTTAAGTCTTCGGAAGAAGTTGCTGCGAAGTGGGTTGAAGCTGTAAAATCGACATACGGCACGTCCGGCAGTGTCAAATTTGCCTGTGTTGGTTACTGGTGAGTTCTGGTGTCTTGTTAGTATTCCATCTCATACTCTAACATGTTCAACAAAGCTGGGGCGCACGAATTGTCTGTCAACAACTGTCCAAAGACGGGATTTGCAAAGCAGGAGCAATAGCGCACCCTTCATTCATGAAAGAAAGTCATGTGTTCGGCGTTGATGGTAGGTAAGCTCCACAAGTTTTCGAGACCAGCTACTGACTTTTGCAAGCTCCATTATATATCGCCGCGCCGACTACAGATAGTCTGTTTTTACCTGAGTCGCGCGCCCGAACAGTCGAGATTTTGACCGAAGGCGAGAAGAGATTTAACATGCAGGTATATTCTGGTGTAGGACATGGGTTTGCAGTGAGTTCGTCTTGATATGTGTTAAGACTAAAGCATACTAATGTGTTCAGACACGACCTGATATGTCAGATCCTTACCAAAAGTGGGCAAAAGGACAGTGCTTCAAGAGCTTTGTGGAGTGGTTCAATCTCTGGCTGTCATGAGATCGAGTGACAATCCCGGTAAAGCAGCACGCGTGCTTGAAAATGTGCTGTTCAGGTCTCACTTTATCCCCCGCTCATCCATTCTCGTCAGAGCCTTGTTAACATCAACTTCTATGTCATGAAACCAGAGCCAGTCGAACCTTCCCTCTTGCAGTCTAGGCAGTATCTTGCTCATATCTGAACCTGCTTCCTCATGCTGGAAGAAGATCATCTTCCCAACCTCCGCGGACTGTTCCAATTGTCTCTGAGCCCGAGGACGTCGCACCGAATCGTACGCTTCCAGACCTGTTTCAATAGACGTCATCGGGTTGACAGAGTCATTGTGCATATCGGCAATCTTGGAAAGCACATTTGACAAGACCAAGGCATCTTCCAATCCTTGAGCAGCACCCGCAGCCTGGAATGGCAGGGACGCATGCGCGGCGTCGCCCAGCAGGACAACGCGACCTCTGCAGTAAGTAGATGTCCGCCAATGGTGGAAGAATCCCCATTTGATAGGTTGTGCTTTGGCAAGCGACTTGATAAAGCGAGCGTCGACACCAGGGCCTTCGAAATCAGCCATCATAGTCTCGTGTGTCGTCTTTTCCGTCACGGCCTCTCCCAGCGCCCATGGCTTTGGGTCCGCCACGCAAAACAAAAGATTGAGTTCTTCACCACCTGAGATGCGATAAGTGATTGCACTCCGGTTGTGGCCAAAGTAGAACTTCGCAACATCCGTGAGGTTTCCGAGGATTGTGTAGGCTTCGGACATCGGAATTACAGCTCTATAGCAGTAGGCATCTGCATATACTGGAGCCACTTCTTCAGGGTGAGATGGCCGGAGTACGTGTTCTCGAACAACGCTCTTGATGCCGTCGGCGCCAGCAAGCACACTCGCATCGGCTTCCTCGCCATCTGCAAATTTGAGAATGACCTTGTCAGAGTGCTGTTCGATGGATTCAAGACACTTGTTGAACTTGACATTCTCGATTGGGATAAAGCTAGTCATAATTTCAAGCAACTCTTTTCGATGGGCCTGAATTAGGTTAGTCAAAAATTGACTTCATGGCTTTCGAGAGGACGAACAGATTTGCGATTGAAATTAGGGTGGCCCCAGGCAGACCTTCCAGACCATGGTTGGTCTTGACCTGCCAAAGATCAGCGATAGTTTAGTATATACTGATTGCAACTCTTTCACGTACCGAGGCCCTCCTCAAGAAGCATGCCCTCAAAGAAGATGTTCTGGTCTTGTTCGCCTTTGTTCCCAACACATATCTTTTCAAACAGAGGGCGGAAAGCCGGCTCAATCAGGTCCATGGTTCTCATCCCATTTGGAGCAAACCCAATGCCAGCGCTGAGATACGGTCAGATAGATACGTGCAAGCATCTGAATCGTAACTTCTTACCCTACGACGGAGTACTCTTTCGCGCCTTCGTACAAGGTGAAGGGAACACCCTTCTTGTGCAGGCTGATTGCTAGAGCCAAACCACCAATGCCGGCACCTTGAGAAGCCATAGAGTGAGCCATCGTCTATACAAGCTTTTTGGGCAGCCTCACCAACGATAGCGACATGGAATTCGTCGGTAGTTCTGCTGGTCATGATATCTGATGTTTAAAGTGATGTTTGTACCATGTAGTCAACGAGAGCTCTTTGCTATTTCGATAAAGATCACTCTTCATTACCAGCGAGATGATGATATGAGTGCGGGGCAAGATCGATCATGGCCCGCTAAGAGAGGACAAGGCGACGCGGGTTGGGAATTGAAAGATACCAACTAATCGACAATGCATTTGAGGTGATCAACATCAAGCTATCAGTGTGCCGAATAACCAGCGTCAAGGGGCTTATCACGAATTGCCGTCAAGCTCCATCGATCAAGTATCTTGAGGTCGGTAAGGATATTGAGGCAGTTGCGAGGCATGTGTAATACACCAAAAGCTATCCTCGATTATGCGGAATAATCTCGTTTGAGGGCTGATAGCTGTAAACTCGAGACAGATGGAAGAACAAGGAGAAGATGGGGTGTTGCAAGCTGATGACCATTTCGTTCGCACGGACATGAAACTGTAGCTCTGGCGGACCATTGCGAACACATCGAGAGTGTATCATCATGCGACGCTGCGGAAGATTTCCGTTTCCACTAATAGATTACTTTATCATCAAGCTCCTTCCTAATATAAAGATTGCTCATCATCTCCTTTCACATTTCAACTCTTCTCGCATCAACAACATGACCGACACCACACCAACCGCTCTCACTCAGCTGCCCGAAGCATCAACCCGTCGTCGCTACAACACCACCGAACTACAAGACTATTTCACCAGAATCAACCTTTCTCACAAATATCTCGACTCGCCTGTTTTGAAAGACGCCGCTCTCGCGAGGACGAAAGAACATGGTCTTCCATTACTAGAAGCGCTATGTCGCCATCACACTACCGCCATCCCCTTCGAAAACCTCATCCTCCACTACTCTGCCAACAAGAAAGTGACCCTCGACTTATCAGACCTGTACACCTGGTTCGTCAAAAAGCGCCGCGGTGGCCGGTGTATGGAAAACAACAGTTTCTTCGGCACAGTGTTGCGGTCTATTGGCTATCGCGTGCGGAATTGCGGAGGTAGGGTGTCGAGGGCTATGAGTGCTTTTCCAGAGGTCAGGGAGAAGCAGGCGCATACGTATGATGGATGGAACCATATGCTTAATCTTGTGCGTTTGGAGGGTGAGTGGTATGTGGTTGATGTAGGTATGGGAGCGATGGGGCCAAATTTGCCGTATCCTCTACGCGACAATTACGAGACTGTCAGTATTGCTCCGAGGAAAATTCGGATCCAACAACGAGCGATTGGAGAGTCTTATGCAGAGGAAGACGCACCGAAGATGTGGTGTTATGATGTTTGCTATGATCCAAGCAAAGGTGCAGACAACAAGTGGATCCCTACTTACTGTTTCACGGAGACGGAGTTCTTACCTCAGGACTATGAGATGATGTCTTGGTTTACATCTACGCATGGCAACTCGTTCTTTACGCGTTACATGACGGCCACGAGGATGATCATGGATCCCGAGCAAGAGAAGATTATCGGCAGTGTTACTCTCTTCGAGGCCACTATCAGAGAGAGTATCGGAAGTGAGCGCAAGGTCATCAAGGAATGCAAGACGGAGGATGAGCGGATCGAGTCGTTGAAGGTGATTTATGGGATTGAATTGACTGATGAGGAAAAGAATGGCGTTCCTTCCGCTCTCAGGTTGGCCTGATCGCCTACCGTGAGGTCTCGAAACTGAACACCAGGGCTGGTGATACATCGACCACGCTGCAACGATCTTTCTAGCCCGCGATGAAAGGGTAGCCATCTTCTCACATAGAATCAATAGACTAGCTTGGCAGACACGATCCATTCTTCAGCATCTTTTCAAGTAGGGATGATCCTGTCAACCTCGACTCAGAATACTCCGACCTGGGTCTTGTGAACAGTATCTCTTGACCGATTTCGAGTGAGTTGAGTTTATGAAATTTGCGAAAATCAAATCAATCGGTGATGTAGACATTGTCCTTGACATGTTCGTTCTCGATTGGAAATGCCAGCTGTGTAGTCCAGACGGCGCTGAATCAATATTTAGGATACGTAATTTTTGTATATGGTGCATTACAGATATGTGCGTTCGGATCCCCCATACGGGCTTGCTGTATTTAAACTCACACTTATCTTGTCTCTGGTCGCTCCAGTGAGGTGCGAATGAATCGATCCAACTGTTCGGTTGCTTTGAGTCCATCGTTTCCTCCACGGCGCCTCGCGGAAGGCAAGCGACGGCGACCTCATAGAGGAATGTAGCGACGCAGCGACGTCGGGACTACACGGCTTGATGAACAAGAAGCGGGGCACCCCTTTGAGGTGCCTGTCGCTCAGTGCCACCATCAAGTATGACCGCGATCTGTTTGTGATCGTTTGAGTTATGGGATGAAAGGGTTTATATAAACTTCCAGAAACTTGATCTTCGGGAGAGCAGTTTGAATGGATAAGAGGGTATCATTGTGTAGAAGATAGAGCTAATCAAAGATGAACCAGAAAGTCTAGTCAAAGGGCAGTCTCCTCAAAGATTCACCACCTTGACGCTTCTTCATCTCTTGCATTGCGCCGATTGCAGAGGGGACTTTGATACCGCAGCAATCGTCCCAAGTCTTACCGCTATGGTCGTGAACGTGCTTCATGCCGCCTTCTGGGGTGACTTGACCTTGTCCACCTTCTGTTTCTTCCATCTCGCCAGCCACGTCGGTCTCATCTTCGGTACTCATGCCTTCGACTGCAGGCACGAGGCCACCGAAGAGGAAGTGCTGCATGACAGGTAGCTTACCCAAGACTTCAGCGACGAACATCTTCTTCATACCTGCCTCGACCTTTTCCCAGTTCTTTGCGCTACTGATGTCGTCAAGCATGGGAGAATGCCAGCGCAGACCATCGACATTCTTGACACTGTTGACATATGCGACTTGTTCGAGGTACAAATAGTCTTTCGAACACTCTTCCAGAATCAAGGGCTTGTGGATTGACATGGGACGAATGTGAGGGTGGTGGACCAGCTGAGCGCTGCCGAACAGGAAGGGAGCGAATTGGTAGTCATCGAGGCCCCAGACACCGTGAGAGCCTGCAGGTTCGAGGTAATATGTGGATTGGACGACACGCATAACGCGGAGGTAGCGAGGGAAGACGATGAGAGCGAGTTGTGGGAAGGTGGACTGAGGAAGAATGTCCAGACGGTTCAGGCACAGCAGCCAGATGAGGAAATTGAGTTCGTGACCGGAACCGTAATCAATACGAGTCTTGTTGCCAAATGAGTGGAAGATGTATGTTGAGACCTCATCCTGGGCAGCAGCACCCGTCACACCGAGCTTGTCGTGCCATGGCTTGAGTAGTGTCTCAATCTTGTCGAGGTATGTGATGAAGGCCTTGTTGCCGAAGCGGGAGCCTCCAGCATCTTCAGCGGGGCATAGAGCCACTGCTTGCTCTGCTTCGTCCAAGAGGTTCACTATCGTGTCGATGACGGGCTCTTTTACAGCCTTTTGTACCGAGGAAACAGTGGTTTGGCGGACCGAGTCGGAAAGACCAAACACAAAGGCTGTGACTAGATCACATGTTGGCGAGCCCAGGAAGAGATCATGGTCTTTCTTTGACAAGATCCGACGTGTAGGATGCTGATATTTGACGTCTTCCGTCTTCGGCGGACTAGGGAGAGCGGGGGTTGGTGGCGGAGGTTTTAACGGAGCTTCATTTGATTTGTCTTGCTTGCGTCGAGGGATGAGTTTAGGGAGCTTGTTGGAGAGATCCGGCGGTGGGCTGGGGATTTGCGTATCGGATATCGGTTCAGCAGACGGCATTGTATTGTGTGATGAGGGTGATAATTGCTAGGAAGGAGCGATCGAATTTAGGACCTGAATGGTTTCGTGATTAGATTGTTTGAGCTTTGGCTTGGCAACGCTGCCACATGGATCGAGGGTGTTTGCGACGACTGTTGATCATTTCGCCCTCTTTCCACGTTCGACTACGACTCGACCATCCACCCGTCGGCTGATTCGCGCCTTCCTCGAGCAGAGTGTCCACCTCGTCGCTGAAATTCCACGACATTTGCGACGTCCTTTCCGCGACTGAAAACTCCATCTCGCACCTTCCCGCCAAGCAACGCCCATCGCGAGACGTCATCAGGCCGGCCTTCATGTGATGATCGCGAATCGCAAAATTATTCGCATATAACAACCATCCATATAACAAACACGACTGCATGCCATAGCCTTCCCTAGCCCTCGGGCATGTCCTGCCCCAGATGGTCAAGCGCCTGCGACTTCCCTTTCGCATCCCCTTCTTCCGTATCTTCTACAGCACAACTTATACGACCCTCTTCCTGCTCATCCTCCTCTTACTGGCAATCACTCCAGCTACCCTTATCTATACCGCTCTTCGTGCCAGCGCTTTTCAATATGTCTTCGAGATCGGCGGCGTCTATGTCCTGGTCATTATCTTCACCCTCTTCATCTACTCGAGTCGACTCTATACAAATCGCTCTGTTTTGGCCGCCGTCGGCAAGTCTTGGATTCCAGTACAACCCGGCGAGGTCAGCAAAAATGTTCGCAAGGAGGTTGTCAAGGCTGCGAACCGATGCGCCTTGATTGCATTCGAAACAAAGCCGAGGAATCTACAACCTGAGCTCATTCGGCTAAAGAAGCAAGATGAGGATTCGAGCCACGATGGTTATGATGGTCATTCCACGACTGTCGGCAAGATTGTACACGTCGACCCACAACGTCCTCCCTGGGGTCGAGTCTCACATGCTGGCTGGTCTTCTCCCTCTCAACTAGACGCAAATCTCGCTCCCCATATCCAGTTCCGTACTGTTGTCATGGAGCTGCCCAACCTTGTGGAAGCTCGCGCTGTTTCGCTAGCTCCTCCGGATACATCTTTCGACATCCCCAAGGATGGCACCGCTACTGCCGACGAACAGGTTGTGAGCTTGCTATCTAGGAAGCCGACGGCAGATATGCGATCATATCTAGCTCAACTCTCCAGCCTCGGCCTCATTCCCCCGGATGCTGGTCAAGACTTTGTCCAACGTTACGAACATGCTCGTTTTTCTCCTATACAAATCAACGAGGCTGAATTCGAAGATCTCATGTCGGCGTTCGCCCATCTACTCGCGAATATGAACCAACTCCCATCACGCGTCATCGACCTGGCTCACTCTCAAAGCTCCGAACTATCGTCTTCCGATACATCAAGCTTATCCTCTATTTCATCCCGCAGCGACAGCATATCCTCTTCTATCGCTGGTTCTGTGTTCCGCGCCCGTATGCCTAACTCAAGATTACCATCTTTCTATACTCCGCGCGCTTCAATATCTGTAGCACGCACACCTTCTCCGACCGCCCGTCGTGCAGTCCCATATTCTACGCCTCGACCTCATACCTCGCAGACAGGCAACACTGTCTATCGTACGCCATCTCAACAAACCATCGACACTATCAACTCTGTACTCAGAACCACACCCAGAGGACGGCAAGGCCTAATGATTGACGTTGGCGGTTCTCCTACACATAGTCTACATCGACTAGAGAGCTATGAGAGTCAACAAAGCGTCATACGATCGCGCGTGCCTTCTTCCGTCAGGAGGTCACCCTACCGATGAGCTAGAGGATTTTTCTATTCTTTGTCAATACTTTATACCCTTAACCTATATCTTTACTCTTATCTATGCTAATGAGAAACCAAAAATGTTTAATGCCTCTCATCTTTTTTCGATCTGGCGTGTCGGACCTATTTCATTCATACCCGGTTTCACAGACAAGCAGCCAACTGGTTGATGCGCGTCAAAATGTAGAATTAATTTTGCGACACATCTATGCCCGTCTGATAAAAGTGATATGACTTTGAAAGACCTATACAATTTTGTTTTGTGCTTAATTTGTGACTTTTCTCCTCTTGAAGACACGAGCATACAGCAAGAATTACGCTGTGTTTGAGAGATTGTTATCTCCTCCGACCCGCAGCCATCATTCTGCAACCTACCAAAATGCAAGGAACTTTCCTAGATCAATGCAGGACCAGTGAGAGTCACTCAGGTTCAATGCTCGCAAAAGAAGAACTGGGCTTCACACTCAATCATGCTTTCACCAATAGGCCCTCGCTCTTCCATCAAAGCTTCCCTTATCTCTTTGGCCTCATCCATAGATATGGGGAAATCCTGCACGTCTTCGAAGACTTTTTCCATCAATTCGTTGGGGAGAGTGTTGAGTTTCTCAATGCCCTCGCGCTTTTCGCGGAGATCCTTCTCCCACCAGTGTTTTTGTTGCGGTGGCACTTTTGATGTCGATAGGATGCGTACGTGTGGGTCTACGAGGAAAAGCGCGAGGAGTTTTCTCTCCCGGGTTGTGTATTGTCTTCGAGTTTGAAAGAGCCGACGTTGTGTTGGAGGACGTTTGGAAAGGCGAGTAAGCGACCCTCTTTACACAACACACTGCCTAGGCTTTGGACGAGATTGTCTTGATCGTTGATGAAACCAGTGATCTTTTCGAGGTGGGCATAGTCACCTTGTTCGTATTCCATGTCGAACCAGGATTCGTCGCTACCGTTTTGACGGAATTTAAGGTGGGAGGGTGTGATGTTTGTATTGGAGAAGTAGTAGATGGCTGTCGCGACGATGTGTTCGTTTGATAGGCCTGGGGCTTTGGTCAGTCTCGAAGTTTGCCATCTGAATACGTGAAAATCAAGGTTTACCTTCGACGTGCCAACTACCTCCCTCCCACTCTGGGTCGTTGGGTGACAGATAAGTGTTAGCTAGCTTGACAATTATCTGCAAGCCACTGTCTGCGTACTCTTTACGCAGATCGAGAGGAGGTTCTTCAGGTACCTCGCGAGGCGCATAAGATTTCGGCTCAGGCATATGCAAAACGCGCATGTTCTCTCTCCACCACTCTTCCAACTCGTCAACGTCGACACCTTGTTCTCTCTCGAGACTCTCATCCTTGTGACGTTTTTCCCAGTTACGATGATCGAAGGCATCCGCGCAACTAAGGAGCTCTGCCTTTTCCTCGGCAGTTTCTGGGAGCCTGCCGAGCGTCCAACCAGTTGGTCGATATTCGCCATACAGCCATTCATGGCGGAAGTCGTTTATCTCAACACGAGGCTTGAATGGCCTTACAAACTCGCGAGATCGCTTAATACCGTTGTGCTCGTAGGGTCCACCGCCGGTGTGGCTGAGTACTTGGTCCCAGAGAGGTACTGCTTTAGCAATGACCTTTTCAACCAAGCGGTAGATGTCCGGATACTCTTTTGGGTGTAGGTTGTTGACATAGCTGACGATCTTGATTTCATCTTCACCTTGAAACTCGACATCACAAGGAAGCCATTGGAACTGATCGGACCAACCACCACTAAAGGGCTTTACTGGCGTCTCGACCATTTCTCCTTTGCCGCAATAAGACATACAGTCTTCAAGACCGACAGTTCCCTTTTTCAAGACTCTCGAACGACCATAGACCAAGGGGAAAAGAGATGGATGAACAAGGTCAAGAACTCTTTCCCTAGTCTTAGGGTGCCAATCTTTGTGCTTGTCCGGTACATTTTCCAGTGAGGCAACAGCGCGATTGAGGTCTTTTCTCGTTGATTCTGAGATAGCAGTGTCCGAGTAAACGACTTGGGAGTCAACGTCGATGGGTGCAACGATTCCAGTTTCTTCCAGAGTTTTGGCCTTGTCGCGAAGCTCCGCGACACAGTACTCCCACATCAACTCGCTGAAGTCGTCGACATGGCTCATGACTTCAGACATCCATTTGGCGCAGACGGTTTCATCATGAACTTTGCGAAACCATTCCGGCTTCTCCATGAGTTTTTGCATCGTCACAATCATGTTGACTTCTCGGACCGCGAGAAGCGTGCCCATCCAGCTTGTCGGATCTTCCTCCACCAGATGATGGTGTGGGCATGTGTTTGGGCCAGTCTGGTTGAGATTCAACTCCATGCCCCAACCGGGAAAGACTCGTTCTCCTGCATCGTTGTAGAATTGGTGGCATTGAAGGTTGTCCACAAGGCTAGCCTGGGGAGCTTCGGCGGGGCTTGACATGACCGCGTAGTTGACCTGTGTTGAAATGTTCGTGAGGAACACAACGAGATATTCAGCAGTGCGGCCAAGTATTTATGTTTAGTCTCATCTCATGGTTCTGTCCGAGTCGCGCAAATTGCATCCTGCACGGCGCCAGTGGTTTCAAAGGCAGCGACAGGCAGCGGCAGGCAGACGCGCGACCGAACGTTACGATTGGTGCCGAACATGACCATGACACGCAGTATCAACACGATTGTCGACTTTTCGGTCGATCATGCAAAGAAACAGGAGCTTGGAGATTTTACAAGAGGACGCGCCAGATTCGAGAAGGAAGGGTGATGAGGGAGACGCGATTTTTTGCGCTTCGAAGCGACCTCGGTCGCTGCTTCCCCGTAAGAACCACAAAGCCAGTAACCCAGATATCTTCGTGCATACCGATGGTTCGATGCCGAGAGTCTTGCGAACTTTCGATCTTACAGATTCGGATCCCAAGACATAACGAGACCGGGTACCAATACTGTTACTAAGATTCATTGGCCGCCACCATACGTGCTATAGCTAGGCTTGAGACATGCTGCGGCTACGCAAGTCCACAACCACACCGCGATAGCGTCAGAGATCTCGTCATTGCCTTGTTCCAACACCAGCCTTGAGCTCAACTCTAATTCTAGCCTTCTGTCCATCAACAAAAGTACCCAATGGTCTCGTACCTGCAACAAGTTCTTCTTCCCTTTCCTTCCACTCTTCACCAACTTCTTCTGCCTCCTCTTCATCAGAATCCCATGCTTCTACTCCGTTCCATGTAGCCATGTCTACGCGATCCTTCTCGCCAGTCTCCAAGATTAGGCGCAGTTGTGTGGGCTCAAGACCTAGGCGTCTACCGATGACACCGTGGACTTTGTAGATGCTGCAGGATTTCGGTATCTCAACTACAAGCGGGTTGTGCTCGTTCGGGAGGGTGCTGAGATGTGCGGCGGCTGGCGAGTAGATAGTGCATTCCAGTAGTCTTGCGGCGAGGGAGTTGGGATCGATACCACTTTCTGTTCGTCGCTCAATCTTTGGCTCGCCATACTCTTCGCATAGCTCTTTCCATCTCGGGTGAGCAGACAAGATTTCATTCTCTTTCTCCTTTGGTGCAAGAGACAGCTGTCTACCGATTTGGGAAAGGTAGTATGATTCTGAGTTCAAGCGTTCTTTGTCTGTAATCTTTGAGTAGTTGAGTGTTTCGAGTTGAGGTAGTCGGGCGATTGTGAGCATGTATCCGTCGGCTGAAGTCATGGGCTTGCCATCCGCTGAGCGCAGTGAAGAGAAGAGAGGGTTGTGGGCAATACGCAAATGTTTCAATCCTGGGATTTTTGATGGAAGCTCATTGATTATGCTCCATGATGTGATGTTGTTGTATGCAAGATCAACATCCACAATAGTCTCTGGCAGCGTGAAGGATTCAGTTCGCTGCTGGTCCTTGAATGTGCTCGTGATTTGGTTGTTTTTGAGGTTCAGCGTCTTGAGGAGTGGGCTTGATTTGGCCAACCGCTTTACGTTCTCTAGACTTGTGAAGTTGTTGTCTTCTAATGTGAGCGAAGTCAGGGTATAGGGAAGATCACAGTAGTCCAGGGAACCCAGTTGATTGGTTGATGCAGACAAGTCTCTGATGTTAGGCATACAACTTGAAAGTGTTTCTAACTGGATGTTGGTCAGTGAATTGAGCTTTGACGAGTTCGCTGACGAGACTGACCTCTTCGTCTGTACAAAGCATATGATCAAGACTTGCGGAAGTGATCTGAGCTAGACCAGACGCAGACGCAATAGATTCAGCTCGCCCTGCAACATCCCGAAGACGATTCGCACTTTCGAATGTCAGTGATGTCCAACGCCGTTAAATCGTACGAACTTACTCGAGTCTCAAGAACTTCAGCTTTGGCAGACGATCGCAAATATCAGAAATCTCAGAAAGTGTCTCGAAGAGGTTTCTTCCCAAATCAAGGTCAGTGATATTCGGACATGTCTCTTGTATGTGATCAAGTCCATCCGAAGTCGTCTCTGTATTATCGTAGGCCCTGACGAGCAAGTCATCCAGCACTACAATACGTAGGTTGTGCAATTGGGCCTGTTGCCGAGCAATCTTCTCGAAACCAACTTCTTCGGCTTCTTTACCGCTGATTCTGATAGTATTTTGAGCTGCAGCTGCATTATCTCCGGTTTCGATGGCTGCATATTTCGTCCTCAAAGCTTCGAGGAAAGTCCTAGATTGGTCCCACGTGGCTGAAGGGCGAAGGAAAGATCCAGCCTTCGGATGCGAGCTCCTACCTGAACATGATCTCAGATTTGTTTATCCGGCACTAGTTGTGCTGAAGACCTACACTTGAAGTACTCAAATCCTTCGTGAGTTCCAGAATGCTTTCCTCGAGTTGGGTCGTCCCATTCTACACCTAGCCATTGGCCTTGTTTGCCTTTGATTTCGCCGACATAGCGTACTGTACAGCGCTCGCCTTTTGTTGAAAGGCGTTTGCCAGGATAAAAAGCCGACATCAATGTTGTTCGTGAGTGTCTTTCAAAAGCAAGAGGTGGAAGAAGGGTCCATCTCACGATGGTCTGTGCTCGGGCCGAGACGTGAGCCTCCCAAGGAGATGAATTTGGATCTGTTCGATTGTCACAGTATAGGCTTGAGAGGTTTAGTTCTTTTCGACAAAGCATCGACAGGCCTTCGAAAGATCAAGCGTACTATCCAACGCTCAGAAATTATCTGAGATCATCAAAGCCTGAAGAGCATATCCTGAGCCTCACCCGTTCTCAACTCACCCACTTAACGCCAGACGCGAAACTTTCGCGCGTCCTTTCATCTCTCCTCCGGCGCCGACGACAAACGGGAGAGCAAGAATACCAGACCAGCAATATCATCAAAAAAAAAGCGCATTCCTTTTCTCCAACCTACACGCAAGGTATCGACCGCACTTTAGTAACGTATCTGCCATCTTTCTGCGACAACACATATCACACCGCAACCATGCCTGGCAGAAAATCAAACCTTTCGACCGTCACGAATGGCGATGAAGAGTCGCCTGCTCCTCCTGGCAGAGCATCGCGCGAGGGATCAAGTGTAGAGGTAAGCAGTTTTCCCACACAAATCAAACTGTGTGAACATAACTGACATTTCGAAAGGATCTGGCCTTGCCACGAACCATGATTTCGCGGTTAGCAAAGGGTGTTTTACCACCAAACACATCAATTCACAAGGACGCTTTATTGGCGCTGTCGAAGAGCTGTACTGTATTTGTGAATTTCCTCGCTTCCAAGTAAGTTCTTTCCACCTCTCATTGACCTTGATGTCATGAATATTGGATCGCATGTTGACCGAATTCATCAAATCACTTTGGATCGCCATGTATACTGATGTCCTGAACTCTCCAGCTCAAACGAATACGCGCAGATTGCTGGCAAGAAGACAATCCAACCAGCAGACGTAATAGCCGCACTCAAAGAAAACGAATTCGAGCATTTCATCCCTAGACTCGAGGCAGAACTCAAAAGTAAGCCTATCATCCTCTCACCTACTCTTCATCCATCACACCCGCACTTCAATCTTTCAACCTCCCAACCTTTTCGTTCACAATAGTGCATCTCTCATTCTCTCCTTCTTTCCCCGTCTCTCTCACTGCTCACAGAATATCCCCTGTTCCTCGCGGTTTAGACACGAATACTGACCTTGAGATCTAGAATACAACACAGTCCAATGCGACAAACGAAACTCCTACCGCCGCAAAATCCGCGAAGAAAAGGCTTCTTCAAAACCACCCGGCGCAATCGATCTCGACGACGACGGTAAACCCACCGACAGCGGCGCAGAAAACGGTGATCACGATGCAGATGCCTCAATGCTAGACGCCACCGACATGTCCGCCGTCAACGGAAACACCAGAAATGGGGACGATGAACCACCGTCCAAGAAAATGAGAAGGGAGGATGGAGATGAGGAGGAGGATGAAGAGGTGGAAGATGAGGAGGAATTCCATGATGCGTTGGAGGGTGAGGATGAAGAGGTTGTGGAGGAAGATGAGGAGGAAGGTGACGAGGAGGGTGAAGAGGAGCAGGTGGATGAGGAGGAAGAGGAGAGGGTGGGTGATGGTATGAGGGATGAAGCGTTGGATGATGCTAGCGAGGACAGCGATTAGGCATTGCAGACTACCGAGGGTCATCAGCCTGAGCATGACAAGTACACTTGGACGCCAACGGGAGATTGCTGGTAAGCTCCTTAAATGCTGAAGCTCGCAGCGGTCCCAGCAAAATCAATGCATTGCTACGATTCAGAACAATGCATATGTGGATTGAAGCCTGTGAACTTGCATCTACGCTGTGAGGAGTCTCGTTTGGCAGAACTCTGTAAACGTGGCAATTTTGTATTATGCGATATCGAACCCTACCCATCGATGGTTCCACTCTATGCTGTACTATGCGTGTCCTTCCGAGCCATGCTTCTCCTCAGCCCATCGATGATATTTAACCCCGCCAGGTAGTATGCAGTATTCTCAAACGCCGTGCGCCATGCTTGTAAAGGAATAAAGGACGTCATTTCGTCAATGCAGGTCATGGGGTGACTTGCTACTGGTGGCGCGAGTTCATGTGGGCGAGTTCGCGGTCGGCCATGGCATAGGGATCGCCGTATTTGTCTAGTATTGTGTTAGTCCAGTAATTCGAAAGTCGAAAGACGGGCCAAAGACATACTGCCGATGCTGCGGTTCTTGTCGACAAGAGCGTCCCAGGCGCGGCTACAGTCGTCCTGAGCCTTTTTGTTCTTCCAGGCATATCCAGGCGCATCCTCAGCTTGAGTCCAGTGGTATGTGGTAGCAGCGCTGGCCCTGACCTGCGTATCGGTAGGAATAGCAGCGCTGAGGGAAACACCACCCTGCAATTCTTGAGAGTGGTCGATGGAAGAGATGGGGCGTTTGCCGTTAATGTTGGCACCGGAAGCAGATGGAGCGACAGTGGGCATAGTCTCCGAGGGAGGATGAGGCACGCCTTGGGAGTCTGGGGGCGAGAGGTCGGAGATGGCGATGGAGCGGATCTGGGAGTTGGGAGTGCTCGGCTTGGGGGACGAATTGCCAGACTGCATAAGACTGTCACCGTCGTTGTCGAAGGAGGACGAGTTGGCGCCTGTGTTGTCGGGAAGAGTAAAGATGATTAGTCATGGACTTTTGTACGCAGGCAGCCGCTGAGAGACTTACCTGACATGATGGCGATTGGGCGTGAGATGTGGCGGCTCGATTGTGTGTTTTGAATGGATTGAGCGAGTAGAACGGACAGGTCAGAATCGACAGTCTCAAGCACTTGGACTTGCCTAATGCAGATGAAACAGTGCAGCAAGGTGAATTGCTAGGGAAAGGAGCTCGGACATGACGCAGGGCGGGGTGGACAGCAGCAACGCTCACCACGCGCCGAGCCGCTCTGACCGACTATCCGAACCCACCCTGGCCTGACTTTCTGACAAGTCACTTGTTGCATGAGGGAATAATTGTCCTTTCATCCATTTTAACATTCGAGTCTTATATATCGCCGTCCTCTATAACATACCGTGTATTCGCAACAATCGACACATTCACCTTGCTGCACTCTATTGGCCGACAAACACTGACACCTCCACCGCACTCGGCCTCGTAATTTTACCACAATGCCTGATGCATGGGATGATGACTGGGACAAGGTCGCTGATGTAAGAAGTCAACATTCAAGGCCTTGAGAGCGTAGTTGACATATGTTCAGACATCAGCGAAATCTACGGCGCCAGTCCAGCCGACCGTCAAATTATCTCGCGCCGAACGCAAAGCCCAACACCAGGAATTGAACAAGCAACTATGGAATGCCGCCGAACAACCCGAACGCTCCTACTTTCTCGAAACAAAAGGCGCCACTCCCTTGAACTCAGACTTCAAGCCGCAAGTCAAGCTCCTCAGCCGCAGACCCACCCCTCAAATCGCAAACCGTATGGCTGGTCTGAACCTGGAAGATGAAGATGATAGCGAGGAAGAAGAGAGGAAAAGACAAGAAGCTTCGCTTGCCGAACGACAACGGAAAGCTGCCGAAGAGCGCAAAGAAAAGGAACGCAAATATGCCGAAGTCCGCGAACGTTTGTTCGGCGCTTCAGATTCGTCAAGAGATCCATCGACTTCTCGTACATCTTCCGCTAGAGGAGACAGAACCTCACGCAGAGGCAATCGCGGCAGAGGAAATAGAAACGGCGGCACTCCGAGAGATAGCCAGTCCAACTCTCCAGCCGATCAATCTCCCGCGAGGTCTATATATCAACCAAACCAGCTCTTCGATCATACCTATGAGCAGAAGCCGAGGAGCATCGCTAGCCCGCGACCTACTGGTCCGAGAGATGAACAGCCCATTCGAATGCCGAAAGGTCCTGACAACTCTGGTCGTGGTGGTTTCGGCTTTGCTCCTCGAGGCGGCAAGACAGGTCCCTGAAGTCAATACGCTTGTTATCCCAACACGTTGTAAACAGACACGCTCTTGGCCTTGCTGCGATGTCAAGAAACGACAGCCACACAAGAGATTCCCACTAGCTCTCCTACCTGTTTCGCTATGGTCGCTCCACTATAGCCGGGCTCACGAAGCCTACTCGGATGATGACATCTGGGCCCTGCTCCTACAAATTTCCGGCGACGCGTGGCGACTCCATGCTTCTTGCTCGGATGTTCATCCGTATACCATGGCTCCGTGCTATATGTGCTCTATACGCTTGCGACATCGACTTCTAGATCGTTCCGATTCAGAAAAGCTTGATCATTTCACGAGCCGTCTCTGGACGAAAAGACTCTCGCATCCTCGTCGCACAAGCACTAGGCTTTCAGACTCAACATGCAACGCCGAAGACGTCCGATCTTGAATAGATGTCCACAGCTCAACGAGCCTGGCCTCCGAATAACTAGGTATCAGCTTTTCGACCGGCGATATCGTTCACAGCATGACTTCACATAGCATCTGGATGGTGCTTAAGCTTCCGATCAAGCGAACCCGAAATTGCCAAAACCGAGAGTCCATCTTTTTACCTTTTGTTCAAAGTCGCGAAGAACGGGATGGTAAAAGTAGATGTTTCAGCTTGACGAGGAGTTCCTGGCTTTTCAAAGTTTCAGGTCGAGGATCAGCCCTAATACTCATCACAAGCCCTATAATTCTTGTTATACAAATAAACAGCCATCGCGACACTGCTTTGCTACTTTCGTGTCCGCTCTACATCCACCTTCTTTTCTTCATTCATCCATTTTTTTCCACAAGTCACTCGTTCATTTCACACCATGTCTTCATTCTTCGCAAAGGCCTTGACTCTCGGCGCTCTGGCAGCGCCCATGATCGTCTCCGCCGCTCCCTCTTCCATGGTCAAGAAGTCCCAGATCATCACCACTTCTGCCAAACAAGCTGCTGTTGACCTCTGCGGCACTGCTGATAATCTGGTCCTCTATGATACCCCATGGATCGTATACAACATGTTCTACGGCGCTGCTTCTTCCGTCGGCACACAGTGCACTCGTTACGATCATGTTGTCACCCCATCCACCGGAAACAAGGAAATTGTCTGGAGTGCTGAGACCAATATCCAATATGTGAAAGCTACGTAAGTATTCCTTCCGCTGTCTGACATTATTGGAGCAGGGGAGCTGATGTGAGAGCAGGGACAACGTACCCAAAGGTTACGCCTTCGTCGGCCTGACCCAGAACCTGGAAACCACAATCTCCGGCATCTCCTCCATCCCCACAACATACACCTGGACCCGCACCAACACCACCGCATTCAAAGGAAACGTATGCTACGACTTCATGACCTCCAACACCAAAGGCGACTCCACCACCTCCAACGCCCAGGAATTGATGCTGTGGTTGCAATATGAAGGCGGTCAATTACCCATCGGTTGGGCTGCTGGCGCCAAAGCCACTATCAACAATCTCTTCGGCACGAGTTGGAAATTGTATGAGGGTAAGAATGATGATACTGGTATTACTGTGCATACCATGATGCCCGAGAAGCAATTCGATGGCAGTTTTAGCGGTGATCTCAAGCTTTGGCTCGAGGCTCTTGTGCAGCATGGGACCTTCAAGGACTCTACCTACGTCAATGTTGGAAATGCTGGGTATGTGGTTTTCTTCACGATCTTGAATATTTGTAGGGCTTTTTACTGATCAGATGGGCAGCACTGAGTACTTTTACGGCAACAGCAACTTGAACGCTACCCTGGGCCTCCAGATTAACTTGAACTAAGCGTAGTGTACGTCTGCTGGGTTGGAGGGATTCAAACTTGGGTAGAGGTGACCATGGCGGTTCTGCTTACTATATCTCGATGCCGTTGCGAAACGTCAATGCTCAGGACATTCTCGCCTGCTTACACCGTCAAGGTCATTTTGGAAGAAGAAAACCATGGGAGGTATATTTTTCTATTGTGTATATATGCTTGCGTTTTCGTCACTCACTATGCATATATTGTCGCAAAACAATTTCATGTTGACACCCTCTTTGCAGAGATGGCACTATACTATGGCTCTTCTTGTGACTTGATGCCTCCATATAATTTCTTTCATTTGTGAGTTTCATCCTACTGACTGGCAACTTCTCATCTACGTGATGGGTTGTTTGCTTTTGCTAATCTCTTAAGATTGGATATCCCAGACAACTCGCTCGCTCTAGGATATCTGATTTTCCAGATTGAATGTCGCTCGGGCGTGCTAAGGTCAGATGTCCGTCTGCAACTCATGGCATGAAGAAAGGTTCGATCTTAGAAACGGTCACATTCGCGAAATTGCAAGGTTGAGAATCGTACCATGGCAAGAAATAGTATTCGAAATCAAGACCTGGTGCTTCTTCGTAACTAAAACCAAAACGAGATCAACTCGTTCACCTCCGAGTACCCTCTCAATCCCTCACTCAAAGATAAGTCTTGTCAACATACGCAGCACTGGCATATGCACTGCCCAAAACATCAGTGATGGCAACAGCCTTACTCAACTCGGTCTCAAATTTCCTTGTTCCAGAAGCTCCGGCGCCGGTGTTGCTGATTTCACCGAAGGTAACATGATCAGTTCTCTCATCGCCAGTATTCCAAATATGCCACCCAGCAGCATTGATCACCTCACTGATCGTCGAACTCTGCACGGCAACCCTAGCGTACGCTCCCCAAGGGCGACCGAGATAGTACGCACCCTTTGCAACCGTGGCTCCAGATTTAGCAGCGATGGAGCAGTGGTCGAGGACGTAGTAACCTGCTTCCGAGGAAGCGCGGCCGGATGCGGTGATATAGCCCAGGGAAGCGGAAAGCACGCGGATGTCGCAGCCGGTGAACCAGGCTAGACCGTGTTGGCCGAAGATGAAGTCGGTGGCGCCTTCGATGTAGGATTTCGCGTAGAGTTGGGTGCCGGTTTGGGCGAGGATCGTGTCTTGGAAACCGATAAACTTGCAGGCGTAGTAGCCTTGGTTCTGTGGATGGATGGATTAGTAAAGGTGAGGAGGTAAGGGCGAGAGGAAGGGGAACTTACGGCGGCTGCAGCGTTGAGAGCGAGGGCTTGTTTGCCAGATCCGTAGCTGTTCACCACATTGACATTGTAGAGTTTGAAGTTGGTGGACCATGCGCGAAGGGTCGCAGTCAGATCGTTGGTCGCGACCTCATTCTGAGATAGCTTTTGTGTAATGGTAACGACATTGTGAGCATAGTCGGCAGTGTTCTCAGAGTATCCGTAGATGGTGAGGGCGGCCTTGCGAGGTGCAATGTAGACTTGCTCGCTGTAAGTGCCAGCTTCGATGAAGATGGACTGAGCAGTGGTGGAAGAAGTGGAAAGAGCATTGACGGCATCCTGGATCTTGGAGTATTGTCCTTTGGCAGGGGCTTTGCTGACAACAAGGGCTCCACTGGGAGCCGTAGTTCTGCTGGCGGCCAGCACCAGGCAGAGGTTGAGGCACAAGGCCAGAATGTAAGAAAGCATGATTGGAAGAAGTGAAGATGGTATGTCAAGCTTCGGGTCTTGGTAAGAGGCGAGACATTCTCTTATGTACTTTCTCGGCCTATATTGATTGCTGGTACGGACTTGCTTTCCTCCGCGCTGGTAACGGACATAGTAGTTCTCGTAGGGCTTCTCTGAGCTAGGTCTAGATGCCGGTGCCTACGTGAAACAACTCCTGAGTGAAGCGAGTTATTCCACGAGTACTAGGCGAGGAAGGCGCGTCCGCCTAGTATGATCTGCATCAACGTGGTTCAAGAAATGAGGGGAAAAAGAGCCTATGCCGGTATTAGTAGCCTCAATTGTGACTTCAGTAGTTGCAGGTCACGAATAAACGATTGAACTCAAGAGCTCGGGTAGAAGAGACAGCTCATCTGACCAAAGCTGTTATACAATCAGCCGCGAAAGGCAAATCCTCATTGGTGGAACAAGTCAGCGAAAACACAACCTGCAAATGACACCGAAAGAGCAGGACCGGGAATTGCAATAATGCATGCCAATATTGGGAGCTATGTTGTCGGACGAGGGCAGAGTGGAAAAAGGCGAGGTTCAAGATGAAACATCTCCACATTCTCATCTGCCCCTCGCGGCCCGGAGGGCACGCAAAGCTTGGTATGCTTGGTGATCCACCACGGCCAAGCAAATATCGTCGACATGAGGTGACGAATATGCAGATATGGATCTAGACTCTCCGTTCGTGCCACTTTGGTATTTTTCCGAATATCAATAGGTGTTTGCTCCTGCATTTCTGCAGTTTTCGCACCACTCGCAGGTGACCAGCATCACAATGTCTTCTGTGGAATTGTGGAGTACAATCAATGTTCACGAATGTTGAGCAGTCCATCCCGGGCTTACATTTGATACATTAAGAAAACGCTAATCCGGCTTGCGATCTGGCACATACTTGGGCTTGATGAGAGCCAGATCTAGCACAGCTTGATTATGGTCCGGTGTGCATATGAAAGCCCGAAGAGAGGAAGATCAAATGATGCTCGGGTAGAAGACGAAATCGGAAAAACGAAGAGAAACAGTAAAGCATTGATTGTGGTATCTAGAGGCAAGATCACCTCCTCCTGTCAAGTCGGGAGCTGCGAGTCTGTAACGACAAAGCTACCGCAGATATCTTGAGCAAGAGGTGAGATGTAATGTCTTCTTCAATCAAGGCTTGCATGTCGCAATACTGCGGGACCTCCTGTGAAGCCCAGGAACGAAAGTGGGAAATGAAGAAAGCAAGAAATCAACAAAACCATACGCTCGTACCTTCTTCCCCATGCAAATGCTTTTTCTTTACCGCCCAATGCTGTCGTTTTCGCTTTGTATCGTGTGCATGCCGTGAGATTCGTTGTTTTCGTGGTTCAATCGTGGCTGAGAGTTCAAGTTGATGTGTCGTCCGGTGTGTCAAGGTCGCTGGAAGACGTCTAGTCGTAGCGGCTGTCACGGCGGCGATACTCGACATCAGCATCATCGGCATAGTCACGGCTGTCGTTGTATCTGGAAGCTGAGTGAGCTTGAGGATCTTGAGAACACATATGAGATATCCTTACCTTCTGCCACGAGGGTCGGCATGATAGTCTCTGCGTTCGTAGCGATCGGATGAGCCACGGGGAGAATCGCGAGCATCAGAAGCGTAAGGATAGTCGGGCTTTGTGGACTGAGCGGGAGTACTGTAGACATGGGCGTATGGAACGTAGCCGGGAATGGGTCCCGAAGAAGACGTAGGACGATGGCCGTTGGCGATGGAGGTGGTGACAGGGATAGCACCGGGGACAACTCCGTTCTGCGCACAAGTCAATACCTCCTCAATTGTAAACAGGAAGGAATCTCAACATACACCAATAGGGTAGGTTTGGGTAGTGGGGTGCACAGCATAACCATATTTGTCGACGGGAGCGTAGTCGGCAGGGTTGTAAGACCTGCGATTGAATCTGGCCTCTTCTTCGCGGCGACGCCCATCCAGACTACGGTGTCTTCTGCGGTCGCGGCGATCGTACTCTTCTCCATCGTACTCGTCAGATGCCTCTTCATCGGCATAGTAGTCGTCTCTGCGGTGGCTGCGATGGCTGCGAGAGCTCTTGTGGGAGCTGGAGCGTTTGTGCGAGTGCTTGCGAGCACGGCGGGCATCGCGCTCTTCCTTCTCCATCTCTTCTTCCCTTGCACGGTAGTAAGGGATCTTCTCCATCCACTTGTCAGGGAACTTCTCTGCCATGTAGGCAATGCTGTGAAGCAAAACATTAGTCAACGAAGGCATGTTTGCGGCTCCGACGTTTGCGACAGTGATATCCAAGTGGTTTTGTTTAAGCAAGGGTAATTCAAGCAAAGGGTGTTAGAGCAAAGAATGTCGTGTAGAAAAGGTGATAGCACAAGCAAAGGTGAAGTGAGAAAAGTGAGAGAAAGGGAACCAGCCGTCGCTCAGTGAAGCTCGCTGTTTGCGCCGAGCTCGACAAACGACCAGCGCATCTCATGTTGCTTGCGAGTCCTGGAACATGCAACTGTGCATTATCTCGCGGCCTCGACCAGGATTTTGCTGGCCGGGATGAGTCTGCTGTGCCAGAACGTACTTCGACGATCACTCGAAGCCAGACTTACACCACATAACCTGCCTCCCACAGCGCACCGGTCATGAATTTCTCCGCCATGGTTGACTCCCAACTCTTTTACGGACCACAAAACAGGCGGGTTCTACTCTAACAGCGTGGTGGCAGCAAAGAGATTGGGTGTTTTACGGTGTTCGAAAGGCGGTGGAAAGACGGAAAAGACAGTAGAACGTTAGGAAACAAAAGGGCGCCCCAAAATCGATTAATGGTGAACAAGAAAGAGAAAGAGGAACGCACGATTTGAGTCCTAAGCCCGCCATGATGGAAGAGCAGTTTTAGAAGGAACGAACTGATGGGGAAGTCGCGACCGTATAGCACTCGAGTCCAGCTTCTTGAAGCCTTCTCAGATTTTCGAGCACAGAAGAACGTTGTCAAAGATATAAATGGTCCAGCAAGATGATTTGACGTTCCGAAAAATAGTGGTTGCTGTTTGCTTGTTAGCGACTTGGAGACGAAAGTAGTGGTGTTGTTGGAGCATTTATACCAGAATCTGAGCTTAAGGTGATTGAGCAGCTAATTTAGCTATAGGATAAAACCAAACAAGTAACAGACAATATAGAAGACTACGATGGCGAAGTATATAAAAAGTCGGAAGAAGTAGTACAAAAGATCGGTGAGCGAAAAGGTGGTGATACGCAAAAATGACGTCGTGGGCATGCGCGTTTCCAGCCAACTGTACATTTTTTCCCCAGCCTCCTTTCTTTTCTCACGAACTAGACAATATGGACCACCACGAAGGGTGTAAAAGACATCGGCAAGTTCGCAGCTAGTCTATAACAAGGGACTTGTCCTCTGCACATCGCAGACGCATTACAGCCCAATCTTCAGGCCCCACGTCACTCAAAGTCCTAGTGTGACCAACGGGAGCCTGCAGAAGACTGAAGATATGTACTGGATGTTCGCCTCATCGATTACTACATGCGTCTAATGACACGTCTATGTGTTACTTATCCACAAGTGGTCGTATGAAAAAGACAAATAAAAACAATAAATCTTGGTATCTCCGTCTGACGCCGCGTGGTGTATGCTAGATATTAATTGTTGGTCCGGTCTCGGCCGGCAGCGAGCCATCGCTCTATGCTGACCTTGCTCAAGAACGGCTATACTGCTTCATGGCCTTGATTCGGGCCATTGGTGGCTTCCATCCCGTTTGCTTGCTTGACCTGGTCTCCGTCACGATCGCGACCGCCACACTGCTCAGATGATCTCGGCCTTCTCTCAACCAGCGGACAGCCTGTTACCGTTCAAAGCGCCTGCACCTATCGTCCGACCTGTTGAAACAAGCTGTGTTTCGGAGATCTCCTTTTTGTACATTCGATCGTTTCTTGAGACTTGTCGATTAGCGCTCACGTCCTCAATCGCGACGAGGAGATCACGCTGAATGTTGGTCATGAGTGTCGGGATAGCATCGCAGATGTTCAGTCGGCGGCATCTCTGGAGGCATGGATACGAGGAGCTATACGAAGAGATGACGGGTTGGTCTCGAAACACCCTCCTTCATCTAGGCAATCGTAAGCAACGTACCCCGTCATAGGCTTTTCACTTGTTGCTGGCAGGTAGAAGTCGCAGTCAAGGATAATTCCATCAGCAATTCTTGACTACTTCCTTCTCTTTGGGCTCTATTTTTTAGTGGTGTTGATGTTGACACCAACACATGTCAGAAAAACCACTGTTTGTTTTGCAAGTGCTGGACGTAGCACGAGAAGCAGCCTTGTTGAGTCATGAAACGTGATCCTTGCTTTCGTATACGCCGGCTTCCTTAACCAGTAAGTGTTACGAGGATTTCTCAATGAGCTTCGCCTTTCTTGCCGACCAGTTTCTGAGCACACCTGACAAACTCGTCGCAGACATCCTTGATAGGAGCATTGAGTTCTCTGGCTACAATATCCCGAATATGCTGCTCTCTCGAGGTTTCGTCAGACGCCTGTGTAGCTTTCATCTTCCTGCCCAAGATACAGGTATTCCTCGTGCTCGGTATGCGCAAAATCTCCGTTTCGACGACAAAGTTCACATCGTTTGCGAGACCCGAGACGTAATCGCAGAGCGAAGCATACGCTGACTGTACGTTTTTGGTGCCAGTCGGCTTCTTCAGAGATCCAGTCTCTGCGGCTTGAGCACTTCGTACGTGATCGGTCTCGTCGACATGGGCTTTTGAGGATTCCTGACGTCGCTGCGCGGCAGCCTTTTCCTTTGCGGCTTTCGATATCGGTGCTCGCCATCTAGCTCCGGCTAGGTTGTGACTGCAGCAGGGTATGGCGATGAACGGAGAGTCGTTGAGATAAGAGAGTAGAGGAGTCCACGGAGTAAGCTCGTCTGCATGATTCGACACGATGAACGTCCCTTGTTTGAAAAGACCGTTGTGGAAATCTCGATCTCTAAGTAGATCGACAGGTTCTAATTTTCCTGCCAGATCATCAACATTCTCATCGTCGGCCGACGATTCCTGAGGGTCGAGGACTTCTGGCACCAGAATCCCTTCTGCAAGCTTGCTCTGAATGTTGGGAGCAAACGTTTCCCAGGATCTCCGGTGTCGGGCGTCGAAGCCCCAACCTGGAAAGCCTTCTTGAATCAAAATGTTCACTAGAAGACCGTTGCCGCAACCGATGTCGACAAATCCTGGGAATGGAGGCTTATCAACGTTCCCAGCTGGTTGCTGGATATCCAGGATGGCACTACAATCGTACATGTCTTTCCACAGCTCAATCAAGAATGAGGCAATTCCAAGATCCTCAAAAACATGCTTAGCTGGGTCGGTGACTTCTGCCCAGTTGTCGATTAAGGATCTAGCATACGTGCTTTTAAGCCTGGCATAGGTTTCTTGAAACGTCCTTTGTGGCACAACTTGATCGTGATGGACTCGTTTTTGGTACCCTGCTTGTTGACCTCGACTATGCTTGTGAATTTTGGTAAGCAACTGCAAGGCTGTTCTCTCCAGTCTAGAATCAAGAGGTACGTCGGGGAATAAGGAATAATGCACTCCAACTGATCCGGTCCTTGATGTCGCTGTCCAATTGTGAGAGAATGCAACTGCTTTAACTCTGGGATGATACCACGGCATCGTCTCAGAGTTTTTGACATGTGGAATGTATAAGATGAGGTTCTTTAGCGTGGGTCCATCCTGTTGGGTGTAGAAGTGACATGATTGCGGGAGATCTTTGTCTAGTTGTCGATTGCGCGGAACAAGCTGTCGAACATATGTCCTATCCCATTTGAACCCTGGGAAACTCGTATACCTTGGCTGGTATTCTGGCTTAAGGTGTCTTGTAAAGTCGCTGAATTGTGTGGTCGCTGGCTCTTGAATAAGTGTATGATCGGCATCACTGTCATAGAGTATGTCCGCCCGGAAAAGATGTGTAGACATGATGTTTGGGTTCTTGATCAAGTTATGCATGACCACGAGGAACATCTCAGGTTCGAAAGTGCAGTCACTTTCAAGCATAGCCTGCCACTGCCCTTCGACTACCTCTGGGTTGAACAGTTGTTGCGAAGGAGTGCGCGGTTCGAATGCGCCTGGCATTACAGCTGTCTTATCTGCCATGTTCGGTTGTCCGATTAGGAATGGTTGTCGTGCACTTGTCCTGAATCTTTTGTGTACTTCGGACAAAAACACTCATGGCGAAAAGCGAAGTCGAAAATTGATGCAATGGCTTGGCATTGTGTATTACCCGTTCATCAACTCTCGCTCGAGAACTGCCTTTCACACTCGCACACGTCGGTAGACAAGCAAAGAAGCGACAACAACAAGAATTGAAACATGAGTGAGTGAGAACAGCAAGTAGATAATCATCGGTCGTGGGAAACATTTGTGGTCGTGTTACGGAGTATTGGTATTGCTCCCGCGTCAAGACTCACGGATCGTGCCGCACGCGACTTCCTCTCTCTCGAGCCTGGCCCTCGTCTGCTTCACACTCTCGACTTGTATGCAGTAAACATGCATGTTTTGAGATTATTCGATTATCACTCGAAAGACAGGTTGCTGTCTTATGTTGATCAAATCGCGACGCTAGCGCATCGACTCGTCCTTGCAGGTCATAAAGCTGAGCTAGAGTGAAGCCGGGCGAATAACTCGCTACGGGATATCATGGCCCTATTCAACACCCTACTCGGACGAATAAGCTAATCTTGCTGATCGTGTCCAAAGGACGATCTGGTGGAGGCTAGCTGACATTGTACACAAAGATCGAAAATGCTGCAAGCGGACACAAAGAACGATCCGACGCCCGAATGGGAGTCATCGCTGGTCGCGAGAAAGAACTCAGCAACAGGACTCCTCACAACTCGGGCAACATGCGGGGTTCTCGACAATTTGGACAAAGAGATGATATGAGCATGATTCCCTTTGAGCCAGTCTTGCAAGGTCGACAAAAGGTAAGCCGAAGACCGAGAGAGAGTAATAGTCTCATCGACTTGAAGTATCACAACTCTGCAAAAAGATCCGACTTTTCGATACCACTATATTCTGAATCCTCTCGAAGGAACACAGCATCGACCCGGCAAGATGTTCGCCCGCTATTTTAGTATCTCGTCTATCTTGATGATTGGCCTCTCCCTCTTTTCTCCTACCATGGCCATGGGCAGCTTCCAAAGTGCCGACAATAGCACGGTCGAGAAGAGAGATGTCACAATAACGCCAGTCATGAATGGCATCAACTTTCCGGATCCTTCAGTCATACGAATTGGCAACGAATGGTGGGCTTTTGCAACCATGGGACGTGTGAATGGAGAGCGCGTTCACGTTCAGATGGCCAAAAGCGCGTACAACGACTTCAATACCTGGACAAGCTATGGCGAGCGAGATGCACTTCCAAATCTGCCAAGTTGGGTTCATCCTGACAGTCCCGCGGTATGGGCGCCAGACGTTGTACAGCTCGGTCCTGGTCGCTTCATCATGTACTATACCGCCGCACTCAAGTCTAACTCCAAACTACACTGTCTAGGCACCGCTTCGGCTTCTACAGTCACTGGTCCATACACCCCTATTGGCCCCGATCCGTGGGCTTGCCCCACAGGGCAAGGTGGTGCGATAGATCCTGCTGGTTACTATGACCCCAAGGACAACACACGTTGGGTAGTTTATAAGATTGATGCTAATGCGATTGGACATGGTGGCTTTTGCGGAAATACCGTAAAGCCCATTCTCAGCACCCCAATCATGCTCCAGAAGGTGTCCGTAGACAACGGTTTTACAAAGATTGGTCTTCCGACACCTATGATATACAACGATCCTGCCGATGGACCATATGTCGAAGCACCGGCTCTCACAAAGATGTCTGATGGAACATACGTTCTGTTCTATAGCTCGAACTGCTTCGTCACTCCTCTTTACGATGTATCTTATGCAACATCGAAGAATATTCGTGGGCCATACAAGAAGTTTGGCGGTCTGATCAAGACCGGCACGTATGGACTCAGAGCCCCAGGTGGTCTGGACATGGCTATCAACGGAGACCATGCCGTATTCCATGCAGACTGGAAAGGAGGACGGGCCATGTTTACTGCGCTTATCCGGCCTAGAGGGAATAACCAACTACAAGTGTATGTCAAGAATGCTTGAACGTGTATGTAATCCGATAGATAATGAGCATAAACTTGCATATCCATTAGTACTTGTTCTGGAAATAAACCACACTGTAGATATAGGGGTGTAACGACAGCCACGTTGTTTTATGCTTTAATCGGCCGGTCCGGGGAGTCGGTGGCGCCTCCGCGACCGCGATGAGATTTTGGGAGCGGCATGCCTCAAGAACGTGCTCAGCATGATCGAAAGGACCAACGGACTGTTTCTCTGGCTCGGAGGAAGGAACAAGCTGCAGAATATTGGCGCATCTTCGCGATTATGTGCCTGCACGACCTCTGCTCTTTCTCTCTCTCTCCCATGACTCGGAAACGACTCCGCCTTCCATATTGTGAGATTATCAACGTAGGGCGAAGCTTTCTCTCAGAAGACGTGACACGTCGTCAGACGATTGCTGTATTGTTATTTCGACTCGCGGGGCATGAACATGGACGGCAGTCGGACTCCTGCTGACATGAACGGATCGAGCGAGTCTGCTCGGCCGGGCAAGAAGTCAACACCTGTACCAACATCCCGGCGCTCGTCAGATTCAAAGGTCACCAAACCAAAGAGAAGTGTGGTCCATGTGGCGTGTGCTTGTTGCAGACGGCTTCGCATCAAGGCAAGTACCTCGCTCGTCCATCAAGGCTTGTAGCTGACAGTCGTTGGCAGTGTGACGGACTCAGACCAACGTGTCAACCATGCGCTAAGAGGTACGAGGACTGTGTGTATGATGTCGAAGCCAATACGACACGGTCCAATGCACTGAAACGCAAGAACGAAGATCTGGCAAAGGAGAACGCACAGCTCCACGAACTGTATGACTTCCTGCGAAACCGCCCATTCGTCGAGGCCGAAGAGATTTTTCGTCGCATTCGAAGCACTGAGAATCCTCTTGATGTCTTACGCCATGTCGCTACTGCCGATACGCTCATGGCACAGACGACCACCTCGAACATGCAGCCTCAGAGCCATGATGCGCAATCCAGTAAGACCAACGGCAGCCACGTTCCGAGACCTGGCTCGACAAAGTATGATCCTGTCTACGACCGTCAGTGACAGCGCTGCTCCGGAAGACTAGATTTGCTCCTCCTCTATCGTCTCCTACCTATCAGGACAGCTGTGACATGCAATCCATCAGCTCTTCGGCCACGCTCGATTCACAACCCACAAAACATCCGCCTCCATCGCCCATACCTGACTTGACCAGCTCGCTGAACAAGTTCTCCATCCAGAGAGACTGCCTATTCTTTCACCAGATCTCCGACAGACATACACTGTATGTCGCCGAGGACGTTTTCTTAGGGGCCATGGTCATGGAAGAGGAGGAAACGAGAAAAAGAATCACATACCGTCAGCAACCACCCTCATCGATACGAGGCAGGATATTGGTTCTCCGTCTACAGCGCTCCTCGCCCAGTACAACACGTCAATCAATATGTCAGGGGAAAGGATTGCCTCACTCGAGCCCAATCCTAGACAACTTGTCCTCGCTGCTAAGCGGCAACAGGGCCTGGTTGCGACGCTGTGTGCGCCACCGCTGTGTTCTGACGTAGTCACCACGAAGTACTGTACTTACCCTTTCGGGTCGCGCGAACCACACCCATCGCACATTGGTGTTGTCGAAGGGGACTTCGTCTATTTAAAATAATGGTATTCATATGGATGTCTAATCCAAAGGAGAATTGTCAACCATTTCTTCTACACATATCTTCATGAAATAGTCAACTATCAGTCTAGCCGCCAGCGGGTGCGACCATGACCTCTTGTACTTTCTGAGGGGAGATGTCAACACCCAAAAGCCAGCCAAATCCTAGGAACGTATCAAGAATTGCCTTCTTGGAGCCACTCAGGAAAGGCAGGAAAGCAAAGTGTGCGTGAGGCAAGCCGGCCCAGATGTCAATTTTTGTCTTGACACCATTCTCACTGAGAATCTGCTCATAAATTAAACCATCATCACGCAGGGGGTCCAGACCATCGACCTGAATGTAAGTCGGTGGCAGGCCTTTGTGGGGATTCTTGCTGTTGAATGGCGAGTACAGTGGTGAGTTGACATCAGGTTCCAGATGAGCTCCAATCGCATCGATGGCATCTTTGTCGAGAATAGGCGCTTCGGCATTTTGCTCATGCGAAAACCAGACATCCTTGTACTTCTCGGGCACGAGGTCTCCACTAGGGAAGACCAAAGGAACACAGAGCCAGAGACCAGTCAAAGGATGAGCCAGACTCTTGTCCTCAAGAGTCTTTTGAGCAATGACTGCCGTCAAGTTACCTGTATCATGTCAGAAACGAGTATTCATGGATGAGAATCATCAGGATACGGACCTCCTGCACTGATACCACCCAAGACGAACCCCTTTGAAGGATCCGCACCAAGACTCTCCGCATTCTTCGCAAGCCACAAAAGAGTGTCTTCAACATCATTCGGAGCAGTTGGGAACTTGTGCTCCGGAGCGAGTCGATATGCAACCGTCACAACAACCGCATCGAAAGCCCTGGCAAACCCACGCCCATAAGGCGTAAGTTGCTGATTGTCACCGACCACGAAACCTCCACCGAAGATCAAGACGAGCAGAGGTCCTCCACTCTTGCCAGTCGGTCTGTGGATCTTGATCTGGCTCTCGAATCCATCTCTCATGGAGACGTTCTTGAATTCCTCTTCGACGTGAGGGGCTGGCGAGCCCAGGGCTTTGAGCTTCTCTTTCTCCATCTCCACGCGCATGGCGCGGAATGTTTTGATATCGGACCAGTTGCCTTTGGGAAGGGGATTACTCTTGAGGAACTGTATTCAGACTTTAGCATTGGAGGGTCGACAAGTGGGACTATGGTTTATACCTCAGCGAGTTCCGGGTCCATCTCTGCCAGCTTGGCGACTTCTTCTTTAGTCCTCATGATGGGCGATATGATATTATACTACTGCACTTCTGAATAAACAATACGCACGATCAATCAAGGTCCCGAGGGTCTTATTTGTAGTTTCCTGAGCCAAAGCATCTTGCATCCATTCTATTGCTTTGGCCTCGGCACATCTCACAACCGTTCCCGCTCAAGCTTCCCGACCCCTCATGTGTGTCATCGATGCACTTGGAGCCCACAAACACCGTGATCAGAACTCCAGGCTCCAATGTTTTAAGAGCTGGTCCAGGGATGACTTCAAATCACGGTTTTCGGGTCTCGAGAACACCGGAAGCAGCTTTGACTCGGTGTTTGAAGCACGGCTTTTGCTACTTTGGGGCTGTGATGCTTCATGTTGACGTTATCAAAAATGCCAAGAAGTAGAGTATTCTCGCGGTAATCGGGTATTCGATGGATCCGGAGGTCTTTGATGCTGCCAATTCATGATTTGCATGGTGTGTGCGGTGGTGTAGGCAACGAGATATTGTTTTGGATGCCTCTGTTGTGATTTTCGGCGGGGGCGGAGAAGCTGTGTGGCTGTTGCGGGTGGGGTTCGTATTGCTTCGTATTGCCGCGGATAAGCATAAGGGAAAACTGCTGCTTCTTTTCGCAAGCATTAGGGTATTTTTGCAGCCGTTATCCAAGGTCAATTTTTTACATTTACCAGTCGCTTTAAGTCGTATTGGCAGTGGCGATGGCGTCGTTACGACTTAGCTAGCTCGTAGAGACATGAATCAGAAGGCTCGGCATGCGGAGTAGCTATATAGAGCTCTACGAGGTGTTAGTAGTCGGCAGTGTAGATGTTACATGGAATCTTTGAAATCTGGCCTCTATTCTATGCCATGCCACCTTGCTGACTAATTATTCCATTTAATGCTATGTAATCAGTGGAATAATGCCAATTCCACCCTCGTCGTCGTCGCTGTGACCCTGTCCTTCCTCCTCCTNTCTTAAGGAACTACTAATAGCGATGTTTTAAAGAGCTTTGTTCTATGTTCTTATTAGCTAACTATATAGAGCGTATAGTAGATTAGCATTAGAGCCCTCGCTTAATTATAGCTAGCTAGCTATTCTACCTCGTCGTGTTATTAAGCATAGGTGCGAGGCTAGCAGTTGCTTTAAACTTACGACAACGACGAGCTAACCTTATAACCTACTTAAAGAACTTACGAAGGTAGTCGACGGCCTTATAGTTAGCAATTCTAGTGCCCTAGCTAATTTTAGTAATAGCCTCTAAGGGCTCCTAGCTCTTAGCAATTATAGTAGCAATAGCTTCCTCTAAGCTCGTAGACATAAAGGCTTAACTAGCTAAGTTAATTTAATAACCGAAGCAGCGTGTTCGATGTTAAATAGGGTCCTATTTAACTAATAGGCGCTCGCGGAACAACGTAGCGAGGTGCTCTATTATAGTATCGTTGTAAGTAGCATTATTAGAGGTAATATAGCTAATCTTCTGCTAGATATTGTAGTTAATAATGGTCTAGAAGAATAGAGGCGTGCACTGTTTACTAGCATAGCCTACAGGTAGTTTATGTAGAGCGAGTAGAGCCTTATTTAACATACTATCCGGTATAACGAATCGAGCTATAATACTAAGTAACTTATAACTACTATAGTTCGTAGTCTAAGCATCGTAGGTAAAGTGGATTACTAACTAAGAAGTTATAAGTAATGCCTTAAGCTAATCCTTATAAAAATCGTGTTCTTTTTTGACATGTTTAGCTATAGAGTAATGCGTCTTAATTAGCAACTTAGATACACTAGGAAACACCTCGTCGAGTAAGGTATAGAGCTTACTATTGCTAGCGGTACGGAAGGGGATATTGCTCGAGGTAATGTAGTCGATAAGGCGCCGGTTTAGAGTAGCTCTATTAATGTCGTTAAGAAGGCGAGAGGCGCGAGGAACTATAGCTAATATAGTGCGTAGATAAGAGCTAGATTTCTAGTCGTGCTTGCGAGTAAGATGTAACCTAATATTGTCGTAGTTAGTAGTTAAATACTTATAAGGATAGTCTCTATCCTTATAATAGTAGTACTAGATCTTCTTCTTACGCTCGCGCTCTAGCTTACTAGTGCGCCGAGCCCTCGTATAAGACTAGAGCTTATTAGAATTACTACGGGAGGGGGCAACTTTACGAGGGCCTCGTCGATAGAGATTAGGTTATTCGTCGGTGTCGTTAGAAGTAAGAGGAGGCGTAAGAGGAGGAGTAATAGAGGGAGGCTATAACGGGACAGGTTACCCTAGTCTTCTCTCTCTCTTTCGCTAAGCCGGCGTTTCCTATGCGACACGCTAGCGTAGCATATAAGAAGAGTTCTATAGCTACCCTACGTAGAGTAACGAATAGCTTTAGCTATAGACAGACCTATTGTCTAAGAGTAATCTATACGTTGCTACATACCTTTATACCTTTACAATTCTATTCGTTCTACCTAGGTAGTAGCCTATAGATCCTCTATCGCTCCCTATAGGCGTACTAATAGCGTCTCGCGACCTATTTAACGGACGTACCGATCCGGACTACGCGACACCTAGCCTCGAAGAACCTATAAGCGTAGGGGACATACTAGAGGCTATAGACGACGACGTAAGCGTCGACGAGGACGACCTCTAACGTATAATTACGAGGGAACGACTACGAGCTAAGTACTTAGCGCTCCGAGAACGTAATCGTATCGTATAGTAGCTAACGGTTAACGACCTCTACGTAGGCAATACCCCTAGCGGAATACTAGGATTAAGAGAGACGAGCCCTACGTACTCGACTATTACTCCCTCCGAGGGCGAGGAATAGGCGTACCGTACCTAGCACTTAGGCGGCTCGAAGTCGAGGAAATAACTAGATATCCCGCCTTTCTATAGAAAGGACCTCTACGACGTAAAGCTCTTCCTTTATCGTCTCGAGTTAGCCTTCTTAAATAATAAAGCCTCGTTCATCCGAGATAAGGATAAGATCGTCTACGCCCTCCTCTAGCTAAAAGGCGACGCCGAAGCGAAGGCGATACGCGTATAGAACGTAGGCGCTATCGAAACCGGCATATAGCTAATGTTTAAGGAATT